AGAGAGAGTAAAAGAGTCTATTCATGAATCTCTGGTTCAATAAATCTCTGGATCTCCCCGTTCCCTTTTATATCCCTCGACGTACAAGAAAGTATATAATGCGCAGTACTATACACTATACTTGGTCCAGGTAAAATATGTAGGTATCAACAATTACAGTGTATTTCCATGAGCAACAATCTTATCGGCTGGACTACCGTTTGTAGTAAGAACATGTCGACGTCTTCAGCACGAACTGCGCCAGTTCTGTATTTTGCTCGACAGATACCCTGGACGAAAAAGGTGATGCTTCCCTGTTCAACGATTGTGAACCAAGCACTACGCGACCATGTTGCCGAGATGTCTATCGCTCCGCGCTTCCCCTCCATGGCGTAGTCTCGAGATGGTCACAATCTCGGTACGTGCATCTTCTTCCACCAAATCCGTCCAAGTTCAAGTACCGATGTATAGATATCACATTATGATCCTCACTGCGCCAATCCTAGCCGCGAGACCGGCCCTCTTTGAATATGCAAGGTAAACGTTACGGCCAAACAGGACCGCAGGTGATCTTCCCAGCAAAAGCAAAGATGCAGAACCAACCGTCGCCGACCAATAATTAAAAAACGACCTGGTCAATGTACAATTGAAGCGATTTGAGTGAGACGGGCGTATCGCGCAATATAATGGAGGGGCTTATGGAGGGGTAGCCTGTGATCCTTGCGTGGGTTATTATACCTAGAGGAGAACCCCTCTATTGCCCAAATTGCGAGCCATGTAACTATACAGATTGGGAAAAAAAAAACACCCTGTATCATTGGAGAGACATGGGTCGTACAGCAGAACAATTAAATTCTAACAACGACTTTCAGTGATGTCATGTGCCTGGATTTCTCTGTAGAGATCGATCATCGATGGGACACTATTCCTTGTTCTAAAGTATTTCTCAAATCACGGATCCTGATATCGACAATACATACACCGGATATGCGGAGTATATAGAATGCTGATCATTTAGAAAATTTTGACATTTTTACTTTTGGTTCCTGTTTCCCCATTCCTTTTCATTAGACTTTATTTCCATTCTTTGTCGTCCTCAATGCTATGCGACAGGAGGATCAGGAGTCATACCAGTACATGGATACTCTTACCTGAGGCATGCATATAAAGGTACTATGTCTCCAATGTATTGATTTTACATACCAGTGGGGCACCTGTCAAAGCAAGTCTAACAATATTACACGCCCGGACAACAACAGGACACAGCGAACCATAGCAACCACAATTCATACAATTGGGTTGATCTAGTTGAATTTCTCTCGAATACACTTGACTAACCCCCCCCCCTCCATATTCCCCAATGGCTTGCCAATTACGTACTACAAATTAACAGATACGGAGACCTTTGTAATATATGTAGTACTCACGTGCGGTGAATCAATGACAATGAGCGGTTTCTGTAAAACCACCCATGTTTCAATCGGGCCGGGTAACTGAGAGTCGCATTTCCTCGAAACATAGTTTCCACATAAATTTCTTCATCCATTACCAGAAGTGGTATGTCTCCGTCACACATCTTCAAACAGCTGTCTTATGCGCAATCCCACACTTAATCAAATATTTGGTCTGGTCGGGTTTAGCGCTGATACTTGCAGAAAGTGATAGGCTATGTGCTTCTTAATAGACCAGTAATTTAGAAACCAATCTAAGTGATACCGCAATTCCGTACTGGCCTAATTTTCTACAGATCGGTATATTTGGAGGCCCAGGAAAGCCACACGTGATCGATATACGCATTCGCATGTCCTTCCGGCGTATGCCGTGGGGATGAAGGTTTCTGTTCCTCACATCCCACTGCATAACCCGTGCACCAATGGTAGCGGCCGTAGATGCCGAGGCGGAAGAACGAGGTTCCTACCCTACCCATGCGGTTAGCCAGTTCAAAGGAGGGAAAAAAGGGAATTCTGCCAGGTGAACAGTCGCTTAGCGCAAGGTTATTAGGGCTGAGGCTTGCGGTCAAAGGGGATTACTTGTTCGGAATTCTTCGGATCCGCTGTTTTCAGTGGATGTGCGGCCGAAAGACCCGGGATATCACATGATCGCTCATGGAGATCGGATTAGTCAAATCTTGATGGTCTGGATTCTATTTCCGGAATGCCGATAGGTCATATCGTTCGATTATCATGGATATACATGGTTCTGTATGTATCGTATCGTGTAGTCATTACATAAGTCACATCGTCAAACACTACCAATGTCTCACACCGATCAACACCTGTTCATTGGGGTTCAATTCGATGGATGACTGCGAGCTGGTGACCAGTCCCAAACGCGTGAGGACCTGCCACACCAGTTTGCGCTTTAGGTTCTCGCGCACTGGAACCTTTTCGAGGGCATCCATCCCATTGAAGTACTTAATGTAGACCGGCCACAAGTCCTTCATTGCGGTTCGCAGCCCTGCATATTCCGGGTCGTTCTCGTCGATGTTGGCGCGTCCCCTCACAGTGAACCTGGGCTGTTTAGGGAATCGTGAAACGATCTCATCGAGCCACCGGGACTCTAGCGGCGGAGCACGATGGGGGAACAGAATCAAAGATGCCGTTTTCAGGGAGGTGTCATGGTCGAGGAGAGAATGCGAGAGGTCTAGTTTGCTGTCAAGCTTATACCGACCAGGCATTGGCGTTTCCTCGCCGCTGTCTTGACTTGCGAGCGAGGACGATGAAGACGAGCTAGCATCATCGTCGTCATCCTCTGATGTATCGCCATTGTGTTTGCTACTGCCTGAGAGTATGGACGATCCTTGTTTGCTGAGGTATTTGTCCACTTCCTCACGTCGAAGAGCCCTCTCCACTGCCAGCTTAATCTCTGGAGACACTTTGACTCGTGCAAACGTTCGGAGCTGAGTCACCCATCCTCCCCGTAGTAACCATGCTAGGATCGCAAAATAGGCCTCTTTGTGGTCTTTACTCGGAATAAAGCTCCCATAGGGTCTAGGCGTGCCACTCAACGCCGACAGCATCTTCGGTAGACTGGGAAGGGTTGGAAACGCTAATTGGTATGCAGCGGTTGCTACTTCTAGTTTGCTGAGGTCACAGTTCGGGGAGACGAAATACACATCCCGCTGGTGGAGTGGCGGGATGGCGCGTGCTCGCCTCCAGTACACGAGATGGCTCGCCAACATCTGTATGGTGGAGAGAGGTATCCCTGACAAAGCAGATATTTGGGCAAACGATTTCGTTGGCCTTGAGCATCGGATATAGTGAGCAAGGGCGGGAGCTAGAGCGCCTCCTGACGCTTCTACGTCCTTAAGGATTGTGGCCTCGTCACTAAGCAAAAGTAACGCAAAGTGCTTAGCTAGCACCTGATGCGGAGCAGTGGTTTCATCAGCGGTGGGGTCATCAGCAGGTGTAACACTATCTGCTGTCGTAAGCCAGAGACCTGGGTACGCTTTGTCGCTTGGCCCAGGGAGATAAGGCGTCGAGGTAAGAGGTGGGATTTGAAGCGAAATAGATACGTCCGGGCTCAGCGAAACGGAAGCGATCTTGGACGCTGAAATGTTACTGTAGACTGTGTATATTGCCCTTGCTAGAGAAGAATGGTGTATGAGTTCAGAGTAGAGCGAATTGACAGACGTCCCTGTAATCATCAGCGCCAGAAGTCCCATTCGAAGCCAACTAGAAACCAAGCAACCTACTTGTTTCTTTCGCCTTTTCCTTGATATGTGAAATATGCTGAGCTTCCCGCCAGACGTAGTCCGTCCGCGCCTGCTCCCACTTCAGTGCCTTAGCAAACTTCTTGATGATATTATCGTATATCTCTCGGATGCGCATGGAGTATTCCAACAGCGGCGGGTCCAATACAAACACCACATTGAACATGGTCATCGAATCCTTATCGTCACCATCCAGCAATTCACTTAGCGTCCGTGAGCTCTTGATGCTTCCCATCGAAGCCCGTTGAGAATCTGATGGCGCCATTGTATGCGGGCTCAGGGTTTCCGTCGAGGCAGAGATAGCCTCATCGGCATCATCGCGGGTATCCTCCGGCGATTCATTATGGCCAAGTTCGCCCCCCTCCCACTCCGGTTTGGTCTTCTTCTTCTTCCTTCGCTGTTTCCGCCAAGTCCCATCCTCTCGAACAAAGACCGGCCACCCAACAAACGCCAGATCATTGATTCCGACCTCAAACCGCCGCTTATGCCACGACCGAGACGGGCTCAGCAACTTCTCCCAAACATCAGCCTGTAATCCAAGCAGCGACTCCCATGGCTGCCGGAGCCCCCCTCCTGAAACCCCCGCGCCATCTTGTCTATCCGACCCGGTCCCGGAATCATCCTCGACGTCCGAATTGCCCGCACGCTTCCGCATCCCACGAGCCGACCCTATGGACCCAGCCCGCTGCGAGTCCCCTCCAGGCGAAGCAGCCATGGAACCATGATCATCGAGACCAAAATTACTCCACCGTCGCCCAGCCGACAAGGCGCTTCCGGCGAGATGTGTTGAGCTGGCATTCTGACTCTGGGCATGCGACTCCTCCTCGTCTTCATCGGACGTCGACCCGGACTCTTCACTGGAGCTGGACTCATTGCTCTTGGAGGATTTGGCGCGTGAGGGGCGACGGCCTTTGGGTGCTGGGCGGAGTCCGTTCTCACTGAGGGGGTTGGGGGGATAATGGAACACGAAGCGAGGGCCGGCGCGGGAGCGCACGATCAAGATAATCGCGACCAGACATGGGTCTGGCGGTCGTGCAATTGACGACATTCGTGGAGGTACGATGTAAGTGTGAGGGTTTGGCGATGCTGCGTTAGTTTGGGCTTTAAAGCTAGGGTGACGGATGCGCTCATTGGGTTGCCGTCTGCTGGAACTCCAACTGGCTTTCCCCGCATGGATTCGCGTCAACTGGTTGATCTACATTGCTTAACTTGTCAACCTCCAATACATGGCGAATGTATGGAATGTCTATGACTTGAGTTTATTTGAGTGGACGTATTTTACAAACCAAACTAGATATATACACAACCCGCCAACGCCCAGGAGAACAAGAAATATCTAAACATCAGACATGGTATCATACAGCTTCACCAAATTCAACCAACCTCACGACTTCTCATTCGCATTCTTGCCTTCCTTGTCGAAAATAAGTCCCAAGTTCTTGAACTCGTCCGGTGCCATCAGGTTCCTATACAAGACTTCCGTTAGCCACCATAGAGTCTCCATACCCAAATTCTTGCACGTACTTATCCATCCGGCAAGCCAGATATCCCTTTGCCAGTTTCCGGCACTCTTCATCGTTGACGCCGCGCTGGGACTTGATACATTTCAGGTAACCGGCGATGAGGTGTTTGCATTCGCCTTAATCAATTAGATATTAGCACAGTTATGTTTTCCGGTTTCGAAACGATCGCAGATAACCTCGTCGACACCCCGGCGGGCTCAGAAGATCGAAATCGAGATGGTAGATAGACGTAGGCTCGATCGAAGAATTAGGAAACCATACCTTCATGGTCAAGTGGGAAACTGCCGCGCTCGGGACTGCATTACAGGTTAGCCTTCAACTTTCGAAACCATAGCTTCTACGGATGATATTGCGTGACTTTATGCGCCAGGAAGAATGAAGGAACTTGGGAAACTCACGGAGTGGGCTTGGTGGGAGTCACGCCGGTGCCTGGAGCTCCGAAACCCATTGTGACTTTTCTTGTATTCGAACAGGGAAATCAGGAGAAAGAGAGGAAGCAATTGAGAAATGATTAAGCCGACAAATTGAAGGTGTGGAAATAACACGGCCACGGGACTTGATGGTATGGATTGGGAAAACGGCGCCGTCGGTCTCCGACTCCAGTTGGAGCAAACGGTGCAAACTCACCACTTAGTGACATGGATGGAATGTATACGATTTCAGACACGCTGAAAGTTGTAATTCTGTATATACCTCTGCAAGGCTGCCGTAATGAAAGCTGTTTGTATTATATGGTACGCAGGCGGTGCTAGATGAGAGTACCTTGCATGTTAAGTATGCTACAGCCCTCTAATTCTGTACCGCATTCTACTAGTCATTGAACCCGTAACTGCAGTGCTGCATGGCATCTGCCTCCCCTGTCTCCTGTAGAAATGCATGTACGCTAGCCAGGGGGCCCTTGCGAAAAACATATTCCCGGGGATGCGGAAATTTTGCTCCAATCCGGGCATTGTAACTATTAAATTCAGGGCTGGGATATTCATTACTAGGTGACTTGCACAATAGTGGATATTGGGTTACATCTGCTGCACTTGTTCCTGCTTGGGATGTTCAGCAATCAACAGGGATTTATAATGAACTCTATTAACTACAATGTGAAATACTACAAAGATGGCATGTTACGAGAAAGATATTGTTCACAAGGCAAGATTTGTATTGGGGTATCATAAAGTAGCTAAACTCATTCCATTTGCGTAACCTGCGTTAAGCTGTCAGCCAAGCCCAAAACACATCTTCATGTGACAAAAGACAGATAGTGTAGTGATATCAGTTCTCCAAGGTGAAAATTTTTTTTTCTTCAATGATGTTCAGTAAGAACACAGCGAAATAATTGTTGCTCATCATAGGAAAGCTGGGGCAAGGAGATGCAGGGATACTCACTCTTTGAATCTTGCTGGTTTACACGACTATAGCAGCAGAAAATCCTACATCACGAAGCCAGTCAGCACATATCAAAAGAGTGTTATGTGTGATTCAAAAGTGTGATGTGTCAACAATAGTCAGGCTAATGAATGTTAGCGGAGTGATACTTGTACATAGTAGCATATCGAAACTCACCTCATTAAATCAGAATTTTTGTAAAATGTTCATACCATGCAGAGCATGGATCACACAGTGTGAATAATAAGATTCATCATATAAAGTTGACTGGGTTGGGTGCAACAGAAGCAACAGAAAAATTGGAAAATACCTGAAGACTTGTTAGTATATTGCAAGTCCCACGAATGGCAACCAAAGAAGGATAAGCCGAAAGCTCAGGTGACGAGTTCTCAACAAGTAGTACACCGTCCTACACCCGCAGAGTTTGTACGCTCTGCTTTTGATGGATGCAGGTAGATGTATACGTTATGTCCGCCCGTTCGTTCATGGTTTCTTCATTGGAATCGAACAAGAAAATGGAAGAGATTTGTTTACCTATTGACATTCTGTTAGTCAATGATCATGCAAGTTAAACTTGTTGGTAGTAGCAAAGGTTGTAGTGTATGTCAGACAAGGCTGAAACTTGAGTTATACACGAATTCCACATGGTGATTAAGTTTGAGGAATGCCATAGCGTGTCATAGAGTCATCATTCGAGGGGAGAAAAGGACAAGAAAAAAGAGGGAAGTTTGTTGCATACCTTTTACAATACTATGAAAAATATTCGATTTGAGGAGAAAGTGAAGTCATCCTCCAAATTGGATGTACACTACACAAGACATTCTCAAGAATACAAGATCATGATTTGTAACTTGAGACGCCAAGGCAATGCTCAATCCATGTTGTTGTTGTCGCTGAGGTGTAAAGCTGGGAAAGTTCAGAGAAAAAATTGTTGTGGGTGGGACGAAGTTTTATAGGTGGAGAGCTTGGACCAACGGTAAGCGGGTTTAACCCAAAGCGTTGTTTGCTGCAAAGACAAACACAATTTTGTACCCTAACAATTACAATTGAAAATCCATGATGGTACGGAGTACAACTGAAGTCTTTACAAACCCAGCGCTAGTTTCTAAATAGATGCGCTCAAAAACTCCTTGAACAGTCTAAATCATATGTAGACAGTGAGCTCTACTGGCCCTCGCTGCAACAAATAACTCTTTGTATGCTATGGAAAACCCTCGATAGATCACTGCTATGGACCTATGGTTTAACAAGATCGTGGCTAATTGGCGTTTTAACACCGAGTAGATAAAATGTATTCAGAGACGGAACATGTTATTTCCGTTTATTCTTTCCAACTAACCCAACTTTTCGCGATAAAGAGCAGACCATAACAAGCCGTTGGTTTAGCAAAACAGCAACAATCTATACGACAGAAGTTCTATGTTCCAACAATGACGGCAATGAAGTCTCAAGCGTAACTCAGGAATCACTTGCTGGTCGAATCGGGTGAAGTTGCGCAACTGGAAGACCGATGCTGATTCCTGACCTTCTCCCTGAATAGCAACAACCTTTGAATGAGGACAGTTCTCCCCAGCACATTTGAAACCGAGTGCGTCATTTGATAGACTTGCCCGGTGGTGGCAGGCTTTTCACGTGCAGCAAAAAGTCGTTAAATATATACACAATACAATATATGCAATAGAACAAAAGACATGGAATGGATATGAGTGGCCACAAAAGACAAACGAATAGAGATTTAAATGACAAGGTGGAAAAGAAGAACAAAGGGGGTAGCCGAAATGAAAGTCTATTAGCATGTTTCAATTCTATATCAAGCGGAGACCTTGGTTGCCTTGAAGTCATCGCTGAACTCATAGTCAATATACCCTTCTGGTGTCTGTCCGTACATACTGGCGGGATCGTACGAAGCGAATGGGATGTTTTGTTGTACCCTGAAGGCGAGGTCGGGATTAGAGATAAACGGCCGGCCGAAAGCAATTGCAACGTCATTGCTCTTATACTTAGCGTCTACCGCTTCTTTAGCTGATTCATGATCGTAACCTCCGGCTAGGATGACGGGACCTGCATTGCCATAGGCATCAAGCAGGAACTTGGAGCTTTCTGCTGGGTCCTTGCTATCGGACTCACAAGCATGCAGATACGCCAGCTTGAAGTCTGCTAACTTCGAAACCAGGTCAGAGAATTGAGGGATCGGATCGGCCATGCGCATGCCCTGGTATCGGCCCCAAGGACTTAGTCGTATAGCGGTACGGTCATTACCGATTGCATTGACAACGGCTCGGGTGACCTCCACCGCGAACTTGGATCGTTTTTCAAGACTTCCCCCCCAAGCATCGGTCCGCTTGTTCGACACGTCTTGAATGAACTGGTCGACAAGATAACCATTCGCCCCATGGATCTCTACCCCATCAAACCCGGCGCGGATGGCGTTCTGGGCCGCAGTTGCAAAATGCCCGATGGCCGCGTGAATCTCCTCTTCGCGCAAGGCTCGTGGATGGTGCATTTCGTCACTGAATGCGCTTTGCATCGGTACGTCGCTGCTAGAAACTACATCATATCCTTGAGCCTGTAGGAACTGGGGGTTTGCTGCGCGCCCAAGCGCCCAGAGCTGCAGGTAAATGTGTGACCCTTGTGCGTGAACGGCCTTGGTAACATCTTTCCAGGCTTCAACCTGGGCGTCGTTGTAGATTCCAGGCACGTTGGAGTAACCACCGTGTGCGGGAGTGATCACAGTGGCCTCAGTTATGAGTAGGGTCCCCGGGACGCAAGACCGTTGCTGGTAGTACTCTTTTACTGACGGTAGGGGTCGGTGGTGCTGATCGGCTCGCAAACGGGTCATGGGTGCCAGGGCGATGCGGTGGCTCAGAGCCATGCGGCCGACTTTCAGAGGAGTGAACAATTTCGACATGATCTCAGTGTATTAATGGTACTTCCCGCGTATCTCACGATGATTCGAAATTAGTCTGTAGCGAGATAGCCCGCATTTTATATACCGATCCTGACATTCCCATCGAGCCATCCAAGGCTTCCCCGGTACAGTTTGCATGAATCTTCTATTGGCCGACCAGCCAGGGGAACCGTGGACGTTTAGCCACCAGAACTGTTTTACAAAGCATTTGTCAGTCAAGAGATTAAATCGTTGTAGATTGTCGGTTCGTCTGTGGGGCGCCGGGATAGAGTGTACCGGGCCCAGGATTGGTCGACGATTACCCACTTTGCCGACTATCTGTCGAATAACCCTAACAGAGAAAAAGGAGGGCCTCCCTGGCCCAAGTATGTCGCGATGATCTCCCTGCCATGCTATGAAGTAGCACGCTTAGATATTACGAATCTCGGCTTTAAAAGATGCCGGACTACCCGATTGATTGATAAGCCTTGGACCGAAGATTGAGCATTTCTACCAACAGTCCGGACTCTCTGGATTAGACTACGAGCTGGAAAAGAGGGCAAAAACAGGAGCATTACACACAAACATGTCTCCCACTTCCCACTCAACCCTCCTGAGAAACGGGATCATTCTCTTTCATGAGGGCCAGAATATCTGATGGCTCAAAGGCTACGACTTGCTCATCGAAGGGGACAAGATCAGCGAAATCGGACAGAACTTGGTCGCCCCGTCCGGCTGCAAAGAGATCGATTGTGCAGCCAAAATTACCTCCCCGGGGCTCATTGATGCCCACCGTCACTTGTGGCAGAGTCAGGTCCGTCCAGCTAGACCGCGGTATATTGTGAGATACATCGTCCGTTGACCTGTCAACAGCTCAAAGGCCGCCACGGCGGCCAGGGCTTCATGGAATATATGGCTTCCGGTGTGGTCCGGTCCTTGTCTATCCCGCTGTTGGGCTATGGGCTGAGGGCCCAGAGGTCTCCCCATGTTTAGATCAAATAGACTGATCAGACACTCTATTATCGTCAGCCAAGCAAGGAATCAAAGCATCAGTATCTTCGGGAATCCTATCAGTCTTCTGCTACACATCGATCCGCCGTATCCGAGAGTGGTCATCAACTGTAGAGGTCGACAACGAGTTCCTCCTCGAGTGGTGGCTATAGACGCTTGAATTCCTGGTAGTAACTGCACCGTTCGGTGATGGGCGGGTGAGCCTCTGTCTCGCGGTAGACTTTAATGTCCCCTACGACAGCGTGGTCGACTTATGGCAAAAGACCCAGGTCCTGGGGATAAAGCTCCTCACTACGCATTATGTTGCCGGGTTTATGCCAAGTACGTGGACCTGAACTATGCCCTATTTCTCTTGGACTGAGCTAATGAACTGGCTAAAGACGCCATCCAACTCCTATCCTCCGCCAGCCAGCTAACATCGCGAGTACTAATATCTTACGGAAATGGGATCTCTGAACTAGACGCCCTCACGCTGAAACCTCAGGACGCCTTTGTCTGCAGCACACCCGAAACAGAAATTCAAATGGGCCTTAGCGATCCAGTTGCCTTCCTCTGTGATTTCAAATCACACACCTGCGTTGGGGTCGACTGCCACTCGAACAATTCCTCGGACATGCTCACCCAGATCCGACTGATGCTGCAACATACCCGTGCCATTCGCAATACCCATGCCCTTCAGAGCAGCCAGTATCCCAGTGTTGATGTCCATCTTCAAGAGGCGTTTAATCTGGGCACGATCCAGGGGCGCTCAGGCTATTAATATGGAAGCGCAGATTGGGAGTCTGGCGGTGGGGAAGAAGGCGGATATTTTTGTTTTGACACATTGTCGCCGGGTATCGTTGTACTGCGGAAGAGAATCTGCTGGCGGCGATTTTGTTGTATGCGAGTGTGCGTGATGTGGAGATGGTTATTGTTGATGGGTGTATTCTCAAGGAACGGGGCGTTTTAAGGCCAGTGGAGATTCGGGATGGGTTGGATACCGATGATACGACGATCACTGGTTGGAAGGATATTTCTAGGCAGCTGTTAGAGAGTCGTGAGAGAGCTCTGGAGAGAGCAATCGGATAAGATATCGGTGCTGGGATTGCAGCGCTCCGGGGGGGTATAAGGATACTGTTATATGTTCTGGTGGACTTTTCAGGCTGTCAAGCTGCAAGCATGATATTGAGCAGCTATAGCAGTTTCGCAAATAGATAGACAAAACGTTATACCCTCTGCTTAGCAATTACATTCCTCATGCGAAACATCCAACAGAGTATCTAACTCTTGGAAAGCAATATCCTTCGTCTCTGGAAGGTAAAAATAGCACTAAAATTTACACAACACCGCATCCCCCGGGTTCAACTATCACTGGGCCCTTAGCCTAAGATACCATGAACCATGGATGGGCGCAAGGTCCACATTGCTAGGTAATTGGGGCTGTGTTGATGTCGATGCTGCAATGATAGACTGGCACGTGACCAGCTTACCATTCAGCATAAGTTATGCTGAACTACTGTTCCTTGTCTTTAGCTATTGTTTCATGGGGGAAAGTAAATATAGACCAGTCAATGCTCCAATAAGTAAAACTTGATGTAATGAGAGAATTGAGCGGGTGGGACTGCCTATGTGCACAGTAAATACGCCTGAAACATAAATCCCTTATCCAGGCGACATCAATGATGTCACATTATTGACAACGCGAGTCTTGACAGTTCTTTACAGTCAGTTGATGGAATATTAATGGAGCTTCTAGGAGTCGCTAGAAGCAATGGGAGAATCACCCCGTATTACTTCCTTCCCAGTTCTAGCTTGTTACGTACTGATTGTGGAGCTGCTATCTTGGTTCACCGCGACGTCATCCTATCCACCGACAGGATTAATATTGGGTGCGTCAATTTGACGTCGACTGGTAGGCCAATTCTCCCATTAAAATAGACATTCTCGACTAGATTTTCTCCAATATGTAAAATATATATAGAAGGCATTGTCTCTTTGTCGACTATAAAACAACAGGAGCCCAACCCTCCAAATCATCTAAGAAACAACCACATCCTTCCAGAACAAAATGACTCAGTTCAAGCTTAACACTGGTGCAGAAATCCCTGCCATTGGATTTGGCACCTGGCAGGATGCCGAGGCACAAGAGAATGCCGTAGCTGAAGCCATTAAAGCCGGATACCGCCACATTGACACGGCACGAGTGTGAGTTCATGACCGACAGCTTCGCGAACATTAACTCAGTCCTGACAATCGATAGTTACGGAACCGAGAAAGCTGTAGGAAACGCCATCAAGAAGAGTGGTGTGCCCCGTGAGGAGCTATTCATTACGACCAAGCTCTGGAACAACAAGCACCACCCCGATGACGTCGCTCAAGCCCTTCAGGATTCGCTCAACGATCTGGACCTAGAATATGTCGACCTTTACTTGATGCATTGGCCTGTGGCATGGAAGCGAGGAGATGAGCTTTTCCCCAAGGAGAATGGAAAGCCGGCTGTCATAGATGTTGACTTCGTTGATGTATGCCTCCACATCAGCAGCGCTCTGAATTTCAAAGCTGCATGACTGACTTCCAACCACAGACGTACAAAGCAATGGAAAAGCTGCTATCCACCGGAAAGGTCAAAGCAATTGGCGTCTCGAACTTCTCCAAGGCTGACATGGAGCATCTGCTTAAGAACACCTCGGTCGTGCCCGCGGTGCATCAGCTAGAGGGCCACCCATGGCTGCAGCAGCGTTCGTTCGTCGACTGGCACAAAGAGAAGGGCATCCATGTCACTCACTACTCTCCCTTCGGAAATCAGAATGAGCTCTACAGCCGTGAAGGCACTATTGGCAAGTTGATTGATGACCCGGTACTGGTGGAGATTGGCAAGAAGCACAATAAGAGCTCAGCTCAGGTTGCTCTTGGTAAGTGTTGTGTGCTGAAGATCGATATTAATTGTGGAACATACTAACTATTCCTCGTAGCTTGGGGTGTTACGCAGGGTCATTCGGTGCTTCCTAAGTCCAAGACTCCCTCAAGAATCAGGGACAACTTGGCAGGAGACTTCAAGTTGAGCGAGGAAGATATGCAGAAGATTCATGGAATCGATAGGAAACTTCGTTTTAACGACAGCAGCTCTGACTTCGGTCGGGACTTCTTCTCTGACTTGGATGGAAAGAAATGAGCTGTTAGGGTACTCACATTGAGCTTTGAGAATGATTGTATGACTACCTTCATGATATGCCAATATAGTTGCATAATACAAGTCTCGGTTGCTGTATAAAGTCCTGATAAACGGCATCTTGTTCATATCATCCTTTTATTAAGCTTACCTATGTCTCGGCCTCAAGTTATATAAATATTGTAAATTAGTTTTGATACGACCTGCCAAATCAGATTGATTTCCGTAGGTGTCTCCATAGAAGTCCAAGGCTTCATTCCAAAGCTCTTCCGCATTCTGAACTTCCGAAGCTGCACATACACCCGAGGCGATTTTATGCTCGCCTTCCACCATGAATGCTGAAGCTAGCTCGTCCACCACGCGCATAGTGTCGGGATGGCGGCGGCCCCACCATTCAGTATAAATAAAGATAACATCCTGCAGCAAGCTCTGCGCTACCTTGAATTCACCAAGTTGGGTATTGGCCTTTCCGAGATTTACCTTGGTGGACATTATTGTTGGATGAGATTCGCCCAACACTCCTCTTTGGCTGTCAAGAATGTGGGAGAAGATATCAGTTGCTGCAGCTACTGAGTCTTTTCGTAGAAAAACCTCTCCCATATCGTTTAGTATGCGAATATAAAGTCGCTTCCGTTCATCCTTAATCAGACCTCATATTTCTTAGATCACACAACTTGCCGGTGCTGCATGCATTTGCTTGACGGAGTGTAATCTCAAGATACCTATAATTAGTAATTCAGGTTAGCTACTTTATAAGGTATATCTAAGTCTTCGGACTTATTAAAGAGTACCGGGCAATACTGATAATTGGGATCTTCATTGGAATCACAAAGCCTATCATGGAGGACGAAATAGTAGAGAAGAATCTTCTGGGACCGTGTTTACCAAACAGTAAGTATTGACAGCCGGGGTGGGAAATAGGTCTAGGCGGACGAGAATGAAGAATTCGCCATTTCCCGGATGGCGTATAAACCCTCATACCATTCCAACTGCACCTTTTTGTTTTCAATGCCAAAATATAGAACAGTCTTTCCATTAGACTCATCTATACTGTACCAAGAAGGCTTTTTCTGCTAAGAGTGTGCGGCATTTGAATTCAACCCTGGAACAATCATCCTGCGCTTATCTATATCGGGATGCTTGGTAAAGAATGGTGTTACTGAATATATAGCTGGAGAGCGGCTCAATCCAGAGAAGTCGATAGCCAGGGGCGTTTGAGGAAAGTAATACCTGTGGATCTGTTCTCTACAGAGATCCTCCATGGAAGTCTGCCGGCTCTATATTGACTGTGTCACAGGTGGCAATGCCCATGTCAAGCTTTGGTCTAGATAGACAATGATTAAGAATTTCTTAAGTAATGTATTATGAGGAGAAGTTTCTATGGCGTCGTGTGTGACGGCGCGGAAAATGAGGCTTTTGTGTTGGGGTAGATTAGATGCCCGGGTTTCTCGTGATCTGAGTTATGGGCCAGAGATTAGTTATGCAGTTATACTGAGTCTCAGAAGCCTTTTAATACAGCAATGATGGCAGTTCTGATATTGAGTGCTTCGGTCTTTGTGCAGTTGTAGTCCGGCCAAGGTATTTATTCTGAGAAAGCAGCAGTGACCATAAAATGTAATGAATGACCAGAATCCCTTGCAGTACAGAACAGGGTAACAAATCATAAATCCAAAAGCGACAAAAAAGAGAGAAGAACAAGGCGAAACATTAGAAAAATGAGAAATAGCTCGACTTTCGATGCAGACCCGGCAGATGAGATTCGCCTTCACTCTACCAAAGCTCAAGCCTTTCCTCCCAGAGGAGCAAAGGATCCAAGGGTGAGACCACGATTCAGTGAATCATATTCCTTGTCTAAAACCTTAAGAACCTGTGGCATCAGCTTACAGCAATGAAATGAGTAATCTACGTCCATGTCCTGACACGCGGTTCTCAGCTCCAAGAAACTGTATCCAGCTGCCGGTCGCTGGGGCGTTTTCGAAAGTATCCCAAACTCCTGCATTCCTTTGACAAGTGCGGCCAGGCGCATCAGATCGCATTCGAAGTTACACAGTTGCGGGCCATATCGCAAGTGATGGAATAGGTCGTAAAGAACGTCAATAACATTGCAAATACCTGCTTCCCTCGACGTCCGCAGCGTATCTGTTGAAGTCGTATATTGGTTATCATTGGGTTCTAGGTTTGCAAAAGCAACATACTTGACGGACATACCTATGACCTTAGCAGGGATTGCCAGTTTATTTGCGAAGATCTTTTCTGTGTGCTCTAGCTGGATGTGCTTCGTTACGAATTCAAAGGCTTGAGCCTTTTTAAAAGCCCATGTGATGCATAGCCACTCCATGGGATTCTCCCTAGCTATTGTCCACTGCTTCTTTTCCAAATTCTCTAGTCCACAGATCAGAAGCCATGGCAACAGCTTCGTAGCATTGGTAGTAGTCAACAAGTACAGCCATATCTCTCAGCCAGTTAAAGCATAGAGAGTGTGGCACTAACCGAGTCTGCCCGTGAAAGATAGCCATCAGTAGCAGAAACGGCACAGGTTCCCAGTCACAGATCGGCATCTCTATCTGGCCCGCAGATCGGAGCTCATTGCCCTCCTGGAACCCATTTCGGAATGTGGCCCTGAACTGTGGGCTGGCTAGAATTAAATGCTTTGAGGACGCACGAATGTGCAGAGATAATCCAGAGGGTTTGGCGAGACCTGACTGACTACTTGGGAAGGTTCATCAGTGTGCTTGAAAACAAGATCTCCGGTTGGTGTTAACATACCTTACATAGCACTTCGAGAGGAGAGAAGCGTTGAGATCACTCAAATTTTGCGGCAGGGATTTTGGAGCACGCTCCATGATGAATGTCACATCTCCATCAGGATCGAATTGATAGAGTATGGTAGACATGTTGAGGTCTCTTCAATATATTGTGGTACTCTCTTGGAGTGTAAAGCTGACTGGCAGTAGGAATAGCTGTTGTAGGTGAGAGCCCAGTTCAGAAGCTGAAGAAAACATGTAAGTATTTCATGGGGCAATGGCCTGCAAATGTGTTATTCCAGCGAAGTGTTCTTGCGCACATATTCACTGATTTAGAAACGAGTGTTCCCGGTTTATCGAAGGCAGATAAGAACAAGAAATATGAGCCCTGGGAAGACTGAGCTCTATGTAAGCTCCGCCTGTATATCTGTTGCATCTAACACACTCTGTCTTGCTGCTGGACGCAATGGCTAGCGATGAAGAGTTTCGATAAACAGTAATTACAAAACAAAATGGTATAATTTTGTATGCTCCTAAAAGCTATTCTTTTTTTTTATGGTCTTTTAAGCCTGCCATTACTTACCTAGCGCTGAATATCCTTGGTTCTTCCCGTAAACCTGACCGCTACAATATCTCCAAATCATGACGCAGTCGAAATATACTACATCCATGTTAGTAGTTCCTAGTGAGAGAGGTTTACATCATCCAGCAAGAATGTCGAGGGTACTCTTACCGTCTAGTGGATACATCCAAGTATGATAAGCTGCGCTTAGATGATCGACTCGGATTCATCAAGCCACCTGAAATAAAGTCTATAGTCTGATGCTGTATAAATTCCATGGTCATAGCGGCACACCCTGTAGTATGAGCTCCAGTGACTCTGAGCCGTAATACTTCAAAGTACGATTCTTATTTCTATCAGACCAAACTCAATGCGCCAAATAAAGAAAGTCGACTGAATTGAAATATGGAAGCCTAGCAGAATTGAGTTTGACCGTGCTGAGTGTATTGAATCATACCCAAACAAAGGTCAATTGACTGCTGCCTAGAGCCCATCCTCGGTCTGATATTAGGGCTCGTCAGCGTCTACTCCATACAGAAGAACTGATGTCTTTAATTATACGAAATTAAGCATTCGTCGCTGAACTTACGTGACTAAAATACGGCTAATCCAACGAGTCAATTTATACTAGAATAAATAACACGCACTAAGACCTGCAGTATTTCCTGCAATGATGCTTACCATACATCGCCAAGCTGAATGATGTACACTTTAGTGACTTCCTCCATGTAGAAAGATCTACAAAACAAACTGAACCACGCAAAGATCCATTCTCTACCCCGTTTTACATTCTATTATTCCATCCGACTACTAGGGAATAGACAGCAATCAAGGTATCTCCGGAACCACTCCCTTGGCAAAAAGGCAGTGTTCCCAGCCAAGAACGCGGAAAGCAAACCTGAGAATTTATTTCTCTCCCGAACTTAACCTCCTATTTAACTCACAGGGTTTCCACCTGATTGGTTCCGTAGTAGTTATTTAATCTTCGCGGTTAGGATTTGATCTTCGACTGTTGATCCCTGGCGGGTCGTCAGTCTTCGATTCTGTCAGTTGACCCGTCATAGTTAACTACTCCTTCACTCATTCTCCCCCCTTTCGTCAATCCTCCCATAATCAAGAAACACCAACACCAACACCACAAGAATATACATCTAGATGCCCGGCGACAAAACCATCCACACGATGGGGACGCGTAATGTGGACATCACCACCGCAAAACAATACCTCCCGCTTCTAGTATCCTATGTAATCGACTGGGTGTTCATCATGTACATCCCCCCCCCCCCCCCCTTTCTACTAATCTATTAATCTACTGCAGAGAAAATAAAAACTAATACAGAATGGATGACCAGAGGAATAGCCCTAATCGGCTACGGCTTCCACAAAGTCACCCCCAACCACCGTCCCTTCACACTAACCGACCCCAGCACCTCGTTCCCATACACCACGCATGAAACGGTGAGCACCGCCGTCCTGGTCGTCGTGGCGCTCATCGTGCCCGCCGTGATCATCGTTCTCGTGACCCTGGTCGTCATGCCCGGGGCATGGAATCGGGGTACGACCTGGCGGGTGAAGATCTGGGAGTGGAATGCTGGGTGGTTGGGGCTGGCGCTGGCCGTTGCGGCGGCGTTTATGGCTACCGAGGGGTTGAAGGATTTGTATGGCCGGCCGAGACCCGATATGTTGGCTCGCTGTGACCCTGATCTGGGGAATATTGCGGCGTATGTGGTTGGGGGGCTTGGGGGACAGCTGGACGGTGCGCCGAGGGTGGTCAGTTCGGAGATTTGTAGGAATAGAGGCAAGGAGTTGGTTATGGATGGGTTTGTGAGTTTTCCGAGTGGGCATTCTTCTTGTGAGTTTTTCCTTTCTTTATTATATTTTTATCCGTTTTACTCGTACTGTTTTTGGGTTGGGTTCGGGGGAAATGGATTTGGTATTGATTGATCTATCTAGTTGCCTTTGCCGGCTTGACCTATCTGAGTCTCTGGTTATGCGCAAAGTTCTCCATTGGATTCCCTTATTTGGCGCATTCGCCCTTCGGCCTGGATCTGCGCGTCCAGAAGCGCGAGGCCATTCGCGGCCTGGGCGCTGCGCCTCCCGTGCTCTTGATTATCCTTGCCTTCGTGCCGATGGCGGTCGCCTTCTTCATCTCGGCGTCGCGCTGGTTTGACTTCCGACATCATGGATTCGACATTATCTTCGGCTCCGTCATGGGCATGGTCTTCGCCTGGGGTGCATTCCGCCTGTATCACCTCCCCATCATGCGTGGTGGCGGCTGGGCCTGGGGCGCCCGAAGCCGCCGACATGCCTTCTTCAAGGGCGTCGGACTCCCAAGCCACATCGGCGGCGACAACTGGACCAGCATCGCAGACGGCCCCCGGCGAGAAGAGAGCACAGCAGGCCAAGACGTCGATCTGGAAAGCGGGCCACGCAACCTGGCAGAATAACCAAGGAACCCCCGAACGATAGTGTTGTGTGTTAGTAGAATCTTTGTTTGCGTCCCACGCGATACGTTAGTCATAGCTGTATACCCGTTCGCACTATAGTCGAGATAATCTGTGCGCCATATGCTTCGTTAGAAATAAAAGGTTACGTTATACTCAGGCCAGATCCGTTTCATCCAAATGATCCACGGTAGATATCCCAGGCTGTATCACCTCCACCCACCCACTCTCCCCTCATCCCACCGCGCCTTGGCCTCCCGTCTGGCCTCCAACTTGGCCCCCTCCGCCCGCACCCGGCGAATCCAATCCGCAACCTCCTTCTCCGTCGCCCGCCCGTGATGCTCTCCCTCCAGGAAGCTCTCCTCCACGGCATGGCACACCGCCTCCTGCTCGGCGATCGACGCCGCCAGTCGCTGGTACAGCGCCTTAGGCGACCACGGCGCCAGCGCCGCGTCCATCTCCGACTGTTTCTTCCGCCACGACACCTCCAGCGACTGGTGCGTTAGCAGCAGCGTCTCAGTCGACCCGCGCAGGTCCATCACCCGGCCCTGTAGCTCGAGCACATGGGCCGCCAGATCCTTGTTATACTTCAGCAGCGACTGGAGGTACTCCTGGTGCGCCGCGTGGGACGGATGGCGACTCGCCAGCGCGGAGATGAGACTCGGGTCTTTGAGAATCGTCTGCAGGTCCACGGTTCTGGAAACACGCCTGTCATTAGATGATGTGGTCACACGGGTCGACAGAAAGAGGGAAGCGTACGATTTCTCCTTCACGATCTCCGGTATCCAGCCCTCGTCGACGGTCGGCGGGCGAGGGAGAGACGTTATCGGGTTTGTGGCCGCATGCATGCTCGCGTCTGCTCGGTATCGTTGGGACTGCGGCGTGCCTGGCTGCGAGGCGTGCAGCTGCGGTGTGCCTCGGCGACTCGCCTCGTGGCTGGTGGGCTTGGGAGGCGGGGGTGGAGGCGTATCGGCGTTCAGCGTTGGGTTCATTGTAACGAGCGACAACTTGAAACTGCTGGCTAGGATTCAATGCGGAGGCGAGGTCGGGATTGGATCGTCGAGTCTGGCGGGATGCGGGGAAATGGGAGTCACGTGAGTTATATTCATAAGTATAGGCTCCAACTAGGTCTGCAGTTAATGCAGTCAATGCAGTCAATGCGGTCCATAATATGGACGAGGATCGTACTGATATATGACTACGGGAGACTATCGATCTAATTCGTATACTCGCTCAAGGCTAGTGGGAATTCGATGACTGCCTGAGGCCGACACCATGTGATCATCTATTCATCAACGCTAGCCATGTATACTACCCAGATACTCCTATGATAATCCTGAAATACCATGTTTGAGCCATGCATTGCCTCCTATGTGGCTCCCACCAGACGACTGGGCCTCGTGTCCCGCCTCTTGCAGCATATTAGTTGGTACCGCCGCCATGACTTCTGCAGCCACAGACAGCGATAAGAGGAAGATTCTCACTCCCTGCGGATTACACTTCTCGAGTGTGGATATCCGTGACCATATCCTTAGCCTCAGAACCGGATATAGTAGTCCAGCCAACTCAACTCCTTTCACCCGGTTTCTCACAGCGTATCCATATAGTCGGCACCAGGCCGAACAAATAGAAACCAGAGGCATTGAGCAGCCATGTCATTAATAAGAAGTTCCGTCCGCGTAGCTTAATCCATTCTGCGCCGCACCTCCCGATCCTGAGTATCCACATTAGATCCCCGAATGGCCTCCATGACCAACTCCCGAAGCTGAGCCTGCGTCGCTTCACTCTGGAAGTCGTCCCGGGCCGCCAGCTCATCAATCCTCCGTTTGAACTCCGGGTCCACCTGGTCCGTGCCCGCATTCGCCTCCTGCTCCGATACCGTGCCCAGGTTCACCTTGATGTTGGACGGCAATGGCGGAGCGGGGTTCAAGGAGTCCGTGACCTGGTCCTCGGCCGGCGCAGGCGGCAGACCCATCACTTGGCGGAGATAGACAGCAACCTCGGGGAATGACCCGTCGGCCTCGATGGACTCCTGCGCGGTGATGCCCTCGTCGTTCTTGTGGTTCACGTCGACGCCCAGCTCCTCCACGAGACATTTGGCGATCTCCACAGTCTCGGTCACGAACAGACAGGTCTCGGCATCTTCGTCGAGCAGGTTCACATTGACGTGGAATTCCTGGACCAGGGCGCGCAGCAGGTCGAGGTGGTTGTAGGATGCGGCGGCGTGCAGTAGCGAGTATCCATGCTCATCTTGGTTCGAAGCGATGGATGGGTTGGAACGCAGGAGAGTCAGCACCGCCGACGGGTTGTCGCAGGCCAGAATGTAGGGGTTGGGCTGAGACATGATGATTCCTACACGATGAGTCAGAGATGAGCCATAAAAGTGGCGGAATGGGCACTCACACAATGAGCACTATTAATAGAACAGGGACAGATATTAGGATAAGGAGCGAAAGGGCGAATCTTGAAAAGTTAGGTGAGGGAGTGAATGAGGGGCAGCTTTTAAAAGGTGCCCGGCGGAGAAAAAAAAATCAAATTAATTAAAATAATTGAATTATTGCTTGCCCCGCAGATCCGACGCCGATAAGAAACTAAAGCAACAACAGAGCCTCCGTCGTCACCTTCTCTGTGTCATCGCTGCCCACCACTGACTCATCCCCTCGTACTCCCTGACATTTCACTTGGTTCAACCTGTCGCAGGTGGGGACGAGGCCTTCTGGTTACATCGAAGGAATCAGGACCCTGTTAAAGCGGCTCCTTCCCTGCGAATCGTCTTCGTGCTCAGCGTCTGCGCGCATCCCTTCTTTGAGTCGAAAACTACTTTTCTGATCACTTTTCGGCTGGCGCAATTCATCAAAAGATTCTCGCGTCTATTACAGACCGTAAAATTGAAAATGGTTCAGCAGGACGTCGGGGAAGTCTCCTACCTGGTCCAGGCCCTCGAGGCCGCCAGCAAGAAGGGCAAGGGCAAGGGCAAGCAATCGTTCACCTGCAAGAAGTCCACTTTCCCCGTGGCCGGCTCGGATAATATCTCAGTCGATTCGTGGAAGTTCATGGACTGGGATTACAAGCGCGGCGATCTCCCCACCTACGCGCGAGGCCTCTTCACCACCCGCAGAAAGGACGGCGCGCCCGAGATCGCAGTGCGCGGATACGACAAGTTCTTCAATATCGACGAGGTTAACGACACAAAGTGGAGGAACATCGAGAATAACACACGGGGACCGTACGAGCTCAGCGTGAAAGAAAACGGATGTATTATCTTCCTGTCTGGACTGGAAGACGACACCCTGCTGGTCTGCAGCAAACACTCAACAGGATCCAGGAATGATACCGAGATGAGCCATGCACAAGCAGGTGAACAGTGGATCGAGCGACATGTCTCGACCGTGGGCAAGTCGGTAAAGGAACTGGCTCAAGAGTTGCGTCGGATGAATGCTACCGCGGTTGGAGAGCTCTGTGACGATAGCTTCGAGGAACACGTATTGGCGTACGATGAGTCGGCTGCCGGCTTCTACCTGCATGGTATCAACTACAATGTACCCGAGTTCACGACGTGTCCCGGTGCCGAGGTACATGCGTTCGCCGATAAATGGGGGTTCAAGAAAGCGAAGTTCGTAGAATACGACGATATCGATTCAGTGAAGAGGTTCCTTGAGGGATGTGCAGAGTCTGGAACCTGGGATGGTCGAGAGACGGAAGGATTTGTAGTTCGGTGTCAGAAAAACGAGGGTGGTAGGGGTCCGTACCAGGATTGGTTCTTCAAATACAAGTTCGAGGAGCCCTACTTGATGTACAGACAGTGGCGCGAATGCACCAAGGCGGTTATTGCTGGAAAGGTCCCTAACATCAAGAAACACAAGAAAATCACCGAGGAGTACCTGAAGTATGCGCGGAGACAGCTCGTCCAAAACCCTCATCTGGCGAAGGAATACCAACACAACCACGGGATTATTGCCATGCGAGAGGGCTTCCTCCAAGAACGAGGCCTGAAAGGATCCGAGATCATTGCGCTGGAGGCGGAGGGACAGGAGGAAGTGAAGAACGACGTGATCCTGGTTCCCATTGCTTCTCTAGGCTGTGGAAAGACTACAGTGGCGCTTGCTTTGACCAAACTGTTTGGATGGGGACATGTGCAAAACGATAACATCCCGAAGCAGAAGAACAAGCCGAAGAAGTTTGCTCTCGACATCACGAATCTTCTGGCGACACACCCCGTGGTGATTGCGGACCGGAACAATCACATGCGGCGCGAAAGACAGCAGCTCATGGACGACATCTTTCCGGTGGTCCCTCGGGCGAAGTTTGTAGCTCTGCAGTATGTTCACGACCCCAAGGGGAAGATGCTCCCAGGCATCCGAGAGGTTACCCGACGGCGAGTGCTCGACCGTGGTGACAACCACCAGACCATCCGCGCTGGAAGCAAGAACTCAGACGAGATTATCGGCATCATGGAAGGTTTCCTCAGTCGATTTGAGGGTGTCGATACCGACCGTGAACCGGACAAGAGCTTCGACGAGGTCATTGATCTAGACGTGTCTGCTGATTCGCGGGGCAACTTGGACACGGTAGTGACCACATTGCATAAACTCTACCCACACATCGTGAAACAGGTCCCAACCCCACAGGAGCTCGATGCTGCCCTTGACTGGGCGATGTCCGACTACCAAGTCCAGATCGACCTCAGCCACCAATACGGGGCGAAGACCCAGAAGGACAAGAACAAGAAAGGCGCCCAGTCCACCCCAACACCTAATGTAACCCCTGAGAGCTTAGCAAAGGGTATCGAATACTTCTGCATCTCCCTGCCGGCAGCCGAGGTGTCGGAAGTTCTCCAGTCCTTGTTCCCTCCCTCCACAGACCCTGAGCAAGCCCGTGTGTACCGTCAGCTAGCGAATACTCGGCGCATCCAGCCCACGTTCCATGTGACATTGATTCACCGAGCCTCGAAGAAAGACCGCCCGGAAGTTTGGGACGGCTACACCCAGCAATACATCCAGGCGATGAAGGAGAAACCCGAGTCGGATCCTACCGTGACCCCAGCCCTAGCCCCTGCCCGCGTCCGGCTAGAACGCCTTATCTGGGATGATCGTTTGATGGCTTTCGTTGCTCGGATCATGCCCCCAGAGGACGACGAGCAGGCGGGATGGGCCTGTGCGAATGACATCCCACACGTTACGGTGGGCACGGTCTCGCCCCAGGTCAAGCCCAAGGAGAGCAACGATCTGTTGCAGCGCTGGTACCAGGTAGGATCTGGCGGCGACACGGGTATCTGGGAGGCTGAGATCCCGGGTGTGAAGGTGGTGAATGGCACGCTTGGACTGGTTATGAGCAGGCGGTAGGCTTACAACTTACGACCGACGATGACTAGAGAAAAACAGAAAAGACCTATCCAAAAACAGGTCAGATAAAAGAAGAAAAAAAGTTTTAAGTACTAATGAATGAATATACATTCAACTCTCATGCATGAATATATCCTGATATCCATAGATGATGTATCTTACACTCCATGATGGAGTGTCTTTAAGTACAGCGATGAACATGACACAGCACAACACCACTAGTCCATGCCAATAATTTCCTCCATCTCCAGGCTAATCTTTATAAATAAATTACTTTATATAAATAATACTTACCAACATTAGATAGCATAATCTATATACCGTGGTCTAAAATATATATTAAAGTAAATCCATCCTAATCACCGCCCACACGTGAGATATATCTATCTTACTACCCATACAAAAACCACACAAAAGATAACCACAACCGAAAGAAAAATATATATATATATATATATATATAGAGAAAAGGAAAGGGGAGACCAGGGTATACATCGCCCAAACTTATACTAGATTTATCTTATGATTTCTCTTGGGTACCAAGGATGGAGGAGACATGTATATTGTAAGATGTATGACCGGGGTCGAATGAATATAGCTAGGAGATTGCTTGTATCCTGGAATGATTTAGTGGACACATATTGGACCCTCCTTGGGTTAGTATCAAGAGATATGTGTCTATGTATCTCTGTCTATGTATTTATGTACTTATGGAGGTGAAATGATCTCTGATGTTTTGGCGATGGCCTCGCCAGGAGATAATACTACGTAACTTTTGTGGCTAAAATGTCGCATTGGTGAAATATGCAGAAGCTGAGATTATGAGGCATTTACTGTGTGGAATGTGGAAGAGATACGAGTTGGTACGGATACCTCTTTGGTTTAATGGCTTTATTCATTATAGACATATTGAGAATAATCTTTGCGCAATTCGTCATCCATTCATCGAGGTATACAAGGGATGGAGAATTGTAGAATACATAAACTGGGTCTATCATGCGACGATCGAATAGTCCACAGCATACATCCAGCGAGGGGCAGTCAGCCGGTCATCCAAGTCGTAACGCGCTGCGCGCCAAATCGTCCCATGAATTGCAACCCAGTGCTACCCATGGGAAAGTAGCTGACGAGGTACCAGATCAGAGCGGCGAGTTGGAAGATCGACGAAATGAGGGTGAGGAAGGTGTTATGGCGCTGCGAAGAGAAAGTGTCAGCAAGGCTGGTCATCGTGCTAGACCAGGGGGGGGTGGCCAAGATGCGGCATCTGCGGTATATTTGTTGCCCCGAGCTCACATGTACCACGCATAGTGATGTCATGCAGATCTAGTCCCAGACCAAATGCACGGCAGATCGAGGTGCAAGTATAACGTCTACTAGCGTGGGGGGCAAAGGTGCAAGCAGAAACTAGGAGACGACACCATCCCAACCAAGGTATAGCATGTAACGGAGGACTGAAACATGGACTTACCCCGACGGCGAAGTAGAGAGTCATGGCAATCGCCCCAAAATAGGCGGCAGTAAATGGGAGTCGTGGTCCCGAGACCAGGTGCTTAGCGTAGACCAGGGGTCCCATGAGAACTGCCCATGACAGCAAAAACAGCAAGGAACCCACAGACCATCTAATGAGAAACCGGTTCTGTCAGCCTCAACGCACTCAAACTCTACGCAGCGAGTGGTCGCCGGTAGCCTGCAGGCCAGATGCTAGGCGCGATCGGAGTGCGTGGCTCTCAGCCACAGGCCTTACACCGCCGCGTGCACGGGACTTCAGGAATGTTGTGGTGTGAAGGAGCCCTGGATCCAGAGGGATGGGCCGGTATTTGGAGACTTACAGGACAGCGAACTTGCGGGGCTTGAGCGAGAGCACCGGGAATAAGAAAAAGCAAATAAAGAAACAAACCGCGGCGCCGGCATTACATGCAATGAATACGAGCATACGATCCCACCGACTCACTAGTGCGATATCAGCCTTGTGCAAACAATGGAAAAAGAAGAAGGTAAATGATGCGCCAGAACGGGGAACAGAAGCACGGAATCCACAGGCTTCCGTGGCACCCGCCCTGATGCAGGAACTGGATCTCCGTCACCTGGACTAGGCAGTGCAGAAAAATCAAGGAATAGGAGTCCTTCGGAGAATCGGTCATATGTTCGGAGACTTACAAGCGAAGAAACTATCTTCCTCCTCCCGTCGACTTGCAGCCGGGAGGGGAGCTCCTGGAGCTTCATGAGTGGGCAGTTGCACGTATCCCTCGCCTTGACCGAGTGGATTCCAGGACTGTAACCGAGATAGGAAAGACGTGGACGAGGAGTTGGTGCGTACGGGGACGTCTGGGTCTCTCCGAGACCAGCCCAATGAGTTGACTGAATCGCGAAACGAACTAGTCGCCATGATCACGACTTGCTTTCCAGGAAAACCTGTTTCTCTTTCTTGATATGGACTGAGACCTAGAAGGCCCGTAACTGTTACTCCGCGTTAGTGGAAATAGCGGGTAGACCAGTGGGAATGCAGCCTGGGATGGCAAGCTGAGGAAACCTCTGCAGGGACTATGCACGACGGAAACCAATATGCGCGTGCAGATGATCTGCAGATATCAACGATGGAGGGTGGCAGAGGATGGCACCCGAGACGGTGATAGGACAAGACAATGCGGGCCAGATGACTTTGCGCAACCGGGCTAGACTCCGAGCTTGGGGCACGGGGCAAAACGAATGAAGCGTCGCGGACACAGAGTCGCGTCGCGTCAATAAGCTTGTGATCGCCTTTTAGAATAGATTAGTATGGTATCCAAGAGGTGACGACGAAGCTCTGTCCCCTTGGTTTAAACTCTCGAGAGGGTTGCTTGGACTCTCGACGTTGATAGGCTGAAGAGGGATATAGATCGAGCGGTGTAACGCTGCGTCCCACCAAGAATGACGGTATCTTCCACCCAAGGTATGCAAGCCGAGACGGTAAATCCCGTAGTGACTAGTGACTCACTGCGGAGATCGGAATGGGAGGGGGGGAAAGAAGGCTGCACGATGATGGTCTATTGAACGGACGTAACGGTGCGATAACACTAGTTTCGAGAGCGATCGTCTCTACACCGGCTGCCCTACTAACCATCGTCAGATGACCCTCGAAAAAAGGAGAACTAAAAATGGGACGAAGGAGGGGGGAACGATGGGGGGCAAGAGGGAGGAGGGGGGGGGGGAGGTAAAAAAAGGTGCGAGTGAGGGTGGTGGTTGGACGCGAGGCAGAAACAATGATGGTGCATACCGTGGATATTTTCGGTCGACGCTAGGATGAAGAATCTTGATTTTCAAAGTGGTGTAGACTTTGGAGACGACTGAATACTTTTTCCAGTTGGTCTCCCAATCATCCAAGGAGGGTTGACAGACACCAACAAGGGAAAGTTCGCATCGAAGAACGGAAGAATGGACGGTGCTCACCTTCGCAGCTTCGAGCTCCTCCAGCACGGGGACTACGAGCCAATCAGCATTCTTACGGCCACGGTCACTGCGGACGGCGACTTCAGGTTAGCGCCGTGTCGACACTAAACCCAAAGTGAGCTGATGATCCAGCCGAGGAGCGATCCGCCAATCAAGAACTGAGGAGGGAGCACCAATACATTGGATTGGTGGACGAGGGAGATCACTGTCCTCCATGTGTGTGGCCATTGGACAGAACAGTCTCCGCCACCATCTTCTGGGGTTAATTTGTTTAGCGCCGTTTCCGCTGAACCAGCTAGAGTGACGTATGGAGTACTCTTGCGAATGTATCTGCGAAGATATTTCGGGATATGTATGAATGTATGCATGGATGTATGTCCAGTGCCTCAGAGTATGACTGGCGAGTCACCCGTACCCACTCTATACCAAGCAGCTGAATCAGAAGCTCTGACGATACTCCCCAGACCACTGCGCTTGTTTAGACCCGTGGCGATCCAGTGTACCCCCTGTTCAGTCATCGACTTAGCCTAGTCGATCTTCTCTAGAGTAGCCGTTGATTGCAGAAGTCTACTTGAACTTCACGTTTCTACTACCGGAGTATATTCGGGGTAGTACAACGGGGGACTAGTCTCGATAGTAATCTCCAAGTTTTCTCTACCAGACTAGCCCAACCCCGATTACGTAGATGGCATGGAGTACCACCTGCAATGGACCCGATATACTCCTGGTTCACGTACCCCTCCAGCAGTTGCAAATGCGACGACCCCGCTAGTTATCTCGTCGGAGCTTCCACTATCTTTCTTCCCGTGTGGGGATCGGATAAGAGACCCATCTAATATCCGAGGGCGAGTTATCGCCTCCCCATGTCTGAGGTTACATAATGGCTGCGGATGTTTTCTCCCCCTGGGTTACGTTGGAGATTGCGAGCGCAATTCCGATGGGTCTCCTCCATGAATTTCCCTTTTTTCTTTTTCTTTTTCTTTTTCTTTTTAATTTAAATGAATCATGACCCCACGGTAGCATGCACGCCGGCGCCCTAAACCAAGAAATACGCCCTTAACGCTCTTAGTGCTAACTAGTATGAGCGGGGAGACGCTGCAAATTAATGGTCCTCCTTGCGGTAACCGTAGATTATCGGCCATGCACTCCGAACCTTCACGGGACGGCACGGGTACGGGAGCCAAACTGCGCACTGCGTTGGGCTCCATTCCTCCGGGCTCGTCGAGTGTAACTTCTTAAGACGATAATCAATACCATGGATGAGAAGATATACCCGACGCGACGAATAAACAGGAAGAATTCGCAACACACCGCTCTTTCGCGTTTTTGTGAATAGCGAATCAAACCATGGTTCATACCTCACCTGGGTTGGTACGCCAGTATGCCGGACTAGGATATCACAGTCAAGAGATAAACATGTCGACATGCCATCCTGGATTGTCGCTATTAGACACTATCCGGTTTTAGGGCCAGGGAAGGCCGATAATAGATGCAATTCCCGTGGTTGATTGGTTCGCCCCAGGTTTCTAGCATTCCGGAGGCAAAAGGATATCTCCCCATGTCCCAGATTGATTAAAGGCTCCCCCACATTCTTGGGAGGATTTCAAATCAAGGATATTCCCAAAGTGGTTGGAAGGAATGGATAAAGTAGGAACGAGAAAATGGAGCCAAGAAAAACGAAAACGAAAAAGAATAATGAACATAATAATACTAATAATAATTCAGACCGACAGAGTTTAAGGGAGGATACAGAACCAGGGAACTGCAAAACATAATCGTAACAATTTGAGATCCAACATCGACAATAGACCACATGAAATATCGCAATTAGACTCGTACTAAATCCGCCCTCCGCCTATCAGAGAAGGGACTCGCTCGGGAGGCGACAGAAACCCCAACTGCAGAGTGTCACGGACCGCCTGCTGGATGTCAGCCTCGATAACGCTCGGACTTCCGATTCTGAATCGATAATGATCCTCCTACTATACTAGGGTGGGATTGATGGTTACCTGGTACCCCGTAGGAACTCGCCCAGCACCCCGTTCCTAGTCAGTCGAAGCACATTGTCCACTTGGTCCGTAGCCGCTTCGGCCTGTTCTTCCAGCCTGTAGATCCTTCCAGTGGCCATTGCGAATGCTTAAATTCAAAGAGATGGATGGTACTCCTTGTTGGGCTCCCTTCGTACTGAAAGTTCACACACCGACAGATAGACTTCAGTCGAGAAGGAGATCATTTCCATCCACTCATCCCTTCCACATGGTGTCCCACGATCAGCCAGTAGCTACATTCCATACCGTTGAGACGATCCCTACTAATCCTGCTTGGGGAAAGGCAAGTCTCCTACCTCTTAGTCTTGTCAGCTATGATGTCATTCTCGGTGTTTGAGTGGGAGAGTATCGTATCTGATGATTATCTGCAAATTAAATGGGGGAGCAAGACAATACAATAGCATAGTTATGATTAATAAATAGAAACAGGAGGAGAGGGGGAAAAGAACAGAAAACGAAAACGAAAAGAAAAAGAAAAACCACAAACAGGGATCTGGTGCATTAATCCATTAATTAATGGGTGACTATAGCTTTCTGCCTATGAGCTAGTCTGCGTCCCCCATGCCCATTGATCATTCTGCCTGCTGAATGATCTTGGCATGTTTGGAGTTTGCCCTAAGAGGGCATCTGATACATCCAGGCAAGCTTTGGTGTGCAGGTCCCAAAATTAACAGCAGGACTTCTTTGCCCTCCTAGTAGAAAAAAGAGCCCGACCATCGTGAGTCATGACGTCGTGTCGAAAGGGGGCACAGGTGACAAATATAGTAGTACCTGGGTGCTCATGGGATTGCGGTGGGTGTTATTCTTCTCGATCCGAAGTGTGCTACCCTCCTTGTTGGAAGCATATCTGACCTTGCCCTACACCCTATCCAGTCGTATAGCCACCCCGGGTCCCATTCTTCCGTTATTCAGGATACCTATTTGATTTAATTAATTAATTATTAATAAAATAATGAGTATTATTTAAACTTTCATCATCATCATAATAGTGGTATTCTGTTATTTTTCGTTTTCCCGTTGGCTTGCCTTAAACCCCTCGGCCCTATGAATTGTCACATACCGAGCATCTATTGACCTTCATTGCCACTGGTCCATTTATTTTTATTTTTAATTACATTTTTTTTAATATTTCTTCTCATTTTTTATTTACTTTCCCTCCTTGGTGTGGCAGCGAAACCTTGATATTTTTTTTTTTTTTAAAAAAAATAGAGAATTAAACTGGTTTTCCCCTAGAGCGCCCCGTAATGCACGTAATTCTTGTAGTCGGTCTTGTTAAGCCTCGTTGATTTGAAGATCGACAGCCTGCATGACCCTCATCGTGATATATCAAATGAGAAGGTCCGACAAACGCCTCCGAACTCCTTTAAAGCCTTCCTTCCCTCGTTGTTCAACCCTCTTGTATCTCCGTTGCTTTCCTTTCGCCTGTTCGTCTTGACACTCTCCAACACCGTCCGACGAGGTTAGGATATCCATGCCATATCTTATTCGCTTTCCCACGCGCTCTGCAACCGACTTCACTCTCATCAACTTTCCCTTCATGAAAGGGAACTCGAAGGATTACCATTTGGTTTGTGCATCGGTGCTCAAACCTCTTGTTCCTGCGGCATCTTGGTGCCAATCACCGTATATTATTCAAGTTAGTATGCCCTCTCCTGTCGCCCCCAACCCTGGGTTCCGGCGTATCCGCCGTACTGGTTCATGACCATGCGCTGTGAGGGGATGAGGCTCTTCATAGTTGCCTTTCCAATCCTTTGCTTCTTTCGCCTCAGCCGAGTTCAGTGATTGGGCGTTTGAGGCGCAAGCGGTCACTGCCACGTGCAAGGCATCGACACCTCATGTATTGTCCCTGCCTGGGGGCCTCCTCTGTCTCTACTTATACTTGTCTTTTCCCCAACTGGCATCGGTGGGGAACACCATCGGAGACGGTTCAGTGCCTTTGCTAACCCTTTCTGTTCATGACAGTCCGTGGACCTCTCTGATCGCTAGCTGCAAGATCCGTACTTGGTGAGTCAGCACAATTTCTCCTACGTTGTTTCTTAGACCCAACTTCTATCTCCTTTGAATTCTGCTTTTTCTGTTCCATGTTTTATTTGTGTTTATTTTCATGATATTTTCTATTGCCATGCCATGTCATCAAGGGGGAGAGAGGGTATGGCGTCATGGGCAGAGAAGAGCGCATGTCGGAGCATCATGTCTCAGACAATGTGAGACGGGGACAATACCCCTCTTTTTTGATTCTCCTGTCACTCCTTCAGAATGTTGGACGAGGAACTTCCCGCGTTGAGCCATCGCTTGGAAACGGTGCGTCACCGATGGTTGCGCGGTGTTGCTGAAACCCGAACCCTGTATGCCTTTCTTGTAGCGGGGATCGAAGCCACCGATCGTATCTTCAGTGCGTGGGGCGCTTATTCGACGATCCCATTGCCCAGACGTCAAGGCCGCGGGGCACTATTCTAAGGCACACATCGTCTCACCGGCCCTGAGGGGAAAAAAGCACCTTGCCGGCTCAACCAGGCGGAGAACAGCGATCCGAGGGTCAGAAAAGAGGAGTCTGCAATCAAAGAAAAGAAAAAGAAAAAGAACGTTGGATGTTCAACTGGAACCGAAGTCGATCCCCAACTTCAAACCAAACCAAACCAAATTCTGGGGAAATCTGGCTTTTTTTTTCTTCGATTCTCCACTCAGGCACCGAACATTCCATTTCGGTCAGAGAATACGATCCAACAAGACAGACGGTAATGCCGAGAGTCACCGCCTTTGCGGGAGGGACTGCCATTGCTGCCAGTGCTTACCGCCTCTCTCATTTTCTCTTCTCCTTGGTTGCTGCGCCGCCCCCACTCGGTGCCTTTTCCAGTCCCTATCACTATCGCAAGCCTTCTTTCGCTCTCTATCTCTTCTCCTCTCCCCACTTTCTTAATCGTCTTCGCCTTCCTTCCTGTCGCATACAGACACATCATCTGTAACTCGACTTCGTGTGAGCTTGGTTCACAGGCAAAACTCAACTCGGTTGTGTTCTGTCACTTTCAAGTTCTATCCTGTCTCTGACCCACGTTGTGCTCTCCTTTTTTTTCCCTCCCCCATTGTCTTGTACCCCGTCGCCTCCGGACCCAGTATTCTATTTCTAGTCGCTTTTTTTTCTCCTTTGCCCGCCTCGCTTATGGCCACGCATCCTTCTCACCTCCTTTAGCCTGTTTCTATTCTGTCGTGACCCCTAATCGTCTATTTTCTATTGCTTACACTCGTAAGCTTTCAGCGGTATCTCGTATTTCTCTTTGTGCGCTCGACGGTGCCACCTATTGGGTTGTGACTCCCGCCTCCCATCGTGGCATTTTCCGCCTGGTCCGCCTTCGACTCATACTTTCCACCACGCCCTCGTTCTTCCGTGATTTGGCAGCAGCCATCCCTTGCGTCGCCGTGAATACCGCCCGCTCTTCCTTTCAATCATATCCTTACTTGTTTAAGGGGCTTCTCGGCATACTTCCATATATCCTTGGTTAGTTAACCCACGATCCCCTGATCTTATTCTTGCGATCTCGGCGTTTAGCACCTTGGCGCACGCACACGTTTACTGATGCGGTTTTTGCACCTCGCTTCAGATTTCTATTAGCCGACGCCCAGATTTCCGTTTGTGACTAGGCCCAATTACTCGAAGATCACTGAACATTGAAATCCATCGAACTCGATCATATTCGCCCTCAACGCCCTACTATCCTCAGTCTGTGTGCGAATCCGCCCGAAGAGAATCATTTTCGAACCCATCGCGTCACTCAAGGGTGGAGTTGGTTTTCCTGTCCTGCACTGAACTCCGGACATTTCAGATCTTGGATCGTAAGGGGTTCCCTCTGGAAACGTGCTTGACTTTCCTGTTCGGAGCTGCCCACCAGCTGCACGATGGCGGAAGCGAGTATTTTCATAAAGCATGATCCTGACGACCACAACAGTGACCACAAGCATTTCATGATGTCGCACGCCGGCTATTCGATGCCCAATCAATACGGCGGCACCAATGACGGTGTTGACCCCTCCGAACTGACCATGCACAACAGTGGATTCATGCCATATAACTTTGGATCCCAAAGCTTCAACTTCGGCGGCAACTCTGGAATTGACACGGATGAGTTGCTCGACTTGGAGATTAATGGACAGAATGGCATCCAGCGCGCTGATAGCATGAACTTCCTCCAGGATCAGCACTCGAGCGCTGGGATTTCGATGAGTCACCCGAATCAGATGTCCCAGATGTATTCAAACACACCGGATGGGGCTCCGATGCATAGCCCCTTCTTGCATAACAGTTTCAATTATGACCACTTCCGAGCCATGAATCAGCAACAGCCGGGTGCGCATATGCAAAATGCCGGCTCCCATTTTGAGCAGAACTACATCAATACCAAGGGACGGCCCACTCTGCAGACCATGGACCGTTCCGCGGATGGCCGTAGCCCCATGACACCGAAGACTCCTGCCTTGGCCGGTTTAACCCTGGGAACACCAGAGTCGGGCAGTTTCCCAACTGCGCAGCCCATCAGGACTGGGTTGCACCCTCGACACCAAAAGACTCTTTCGAACCAGTGGGACGGAACCCCCGGAAGTGCTCATTCATTCGGAGTTGAATCTCCCATCTCATCTCCTCCCAATCCCCACCATGTTGGAATCTCCGAGATCCTGAAATCGGGCAAGCATGCTTCCTTGCCGGCCAAGGTTGATACACACATGCCCGGAACTGCCCAGGATTTGGAGTCACAGGAAGCCAAGCGACGTCGTCGGAGGGCCTCACATAACCTGGTTGAGCGTCGCCGACGCGACAACATCAACGAACGCATCCAGGACCTGTCCCATCTTGTTCCCCAGCATCGGCTAGAGGATGACAAAGTCCGGAAGCAACTTGTTAACAACACCGCCATGTCTAGCACTGGAGCCAGCTCCAACGCAGCCACGTCATTGTTGGCTGGTGGCAACGGTCGTCGCGCAGCTGGCAACATTACCATGGGGTTGCCGATCGAGGAAAAGGAAAAGGGCCCGAACAAAGGCGACATTCTGAACGGGGCCGTCGGCTGGATGCGAGACCTCATGTGGTCGCTCCATGTGAAACTCCAACAGGAAGCCGAACTGGCGGAGTTGATCAGCAGCCTGGGAGGCACTTGGCCTTTTGAGCAAACCGAAGAAGAGAAGCGCATGCGCACGGAGATCCTGGATGCGCTGGAGAAGAATGACCCCAGTTCGTTCAGCTACAGCCGGGCCCCGGGCAGTGGGCTGCGAGTGCCGAAGCATACCAATATGGCCGGAGACCCTGTCGCGTCCAATGGCGGGCTGAGTCCACAGAACTTGAGCCCCTCGTTCAACAGCGGGGCTAGTAGCAACAGTGGGACCGGCCAGGCCCAGTACTGGAGCAGCTCCGGCCACGCGGGGATGAGCTTCAAGGAGGAAGATGAGTACGCCATGGAAATGAACTAGACATCTCCGATGGTGTTGTGCCCATCCGGGGTTCTATGAGTGCATGCCATGCATGACCCTATTGCATACACGGCGTCATATGGAGGGAGCGATCCGGCGTACGCGGAAGTCTTGACATACCCAGACTAATTTTTCTGATTCACTCACCCAGTTCATGTGAAGTTTGCTTTGTTGCTTTTCCCGTTCTTGTGGATTTGCCCGGTTACGCTATTCTGTTGTCCAATATCTTTATAAGCTCGTTCTGTCTGTCGTTTATATCAATGCTCCACCCCTTGACTTTTCGCTGTCTATTTTTTGGCTATCTATGTCCCTGGTTTCTGCTTCTACCGCTCAGACTTGTCGCTTTCTCTATCTTTATAATGTTATGCATAATGACGGCCAAGACCGACTCGGTATCATCTGCTTTTTGTCTATTTATCCAGAACGCGGTGCGAACTAGTTTTCTGCTAGCAATGCTGCCCGTCTGAGAGGGGCTTCTACATGCGTTTTTACATCGATACCCTTTCTCTGTTTCTGTTGCCTGCTCAAGATTTCCTTTGCCCATGATGCGATTGGTTGTATCTCGGATGTTCTTTGCTGTGTTATATAATGGTTAGTCATACATGACGGTTTTTCTACTGGTATCAGATTCTCGATCCCGACGTAGTCCAATAGAGCGCTCGTGATCTACGTAGCACACACAGTATAAGAGCGGTATCTTTCGAGCGAGATATCATCAAAAGTCCAATTGACATAAACACATATAAAAGTCTTTTACTACACCTCCCTCTAACTGAAAAGCAAGGTCTTTCTCTAGTGGCAAGCAAAAGAAGAACACACAAGAACCGAAAACGTACTCGATCAGAGATTCTCACCCCGCATCTTACGGAAGAAATCCATCACTCCCGTAAACACCACCAACAGGATACCACCACCAGGACCCAACCGCAGCACCTTGGGAATGAATCCCTTGTACAGCGCCCCGAAGCCCTCCTCCTTCATCACCGTGCCCACCGCCGGCCAGGCCCAGTTGTACTTGGGGGTCTGCCCCGCCACCTTGGGGCTGTTCTGAATCCGCGACTTCACCACATCCATCGGCGTGTTGAGAATCGTACCCGCCGTACCACCAATCGTACCCGCGATGAGATCGTTCCGCGTCTGCTCGGTCTTGTTTCCGGGCTCGACCTTGGGCAGCTGCGCGCGCACCTGGAAGATACAGCCGAAGTAACCAGCGTTCCAGAGGATGTGTCGCCACAGCGTCGACTCGAGGCCGTTGTACAGGGCCAGGGGTCCCTCCGTTTGCACGATCTTCTTGACGACGTCGAGCATGCCGTTGTACTTGGACGCGCGGTCTTGCAGACGGATCTTGACCAGCTCGAAGGGCACGACGACGAAGGATTCGGTGGCGCCGGCAGTGGCGCCCGTCAGCACGGCGAGCGATTGCGTCTGCTTCTCCACTCCGAACAGGCCCCGGTAGAAAGATCCCCAGCTGTCGTTGGCGGCGAATTTGGTCGCGCGCTTGGGCGCTTCCATCAGAATCGGGGCGGAGATACCGCGGTACAGACGGGATGCGCTTTATTACGTTAGGTGTGGTTTTCTTTTTCTTTTTCTTTTTTTTTTGTCTTCGACGGTGGTGTTCGTGTGGAATGGATGGCTTACCCCTCATTCTTGACGATCTTGCGCAGACAGTCGAACATGCCCGTGTAGAACTCCTCGCCCGCGGCGCGGGTGCCGGATTGCAGTTGGCTGTGTGGGGTTAGATTCGGTTTGTTGGTGGATATGGCCTGATGGAGCTTACACTCGGGTCTTCACGACGTCCAATGGGTACCTGGGGACATTCTTTTGGTTAGAATTGATACGATTGGCGATCGGATCAGAATTGAGCATACATGACCAGGATCTAGATTGGAGTCAGTGGGTTTGGTTAGCATGACAGGTCGCAGCTCCGATAACGCACCTCGGACACACCAGCCACCGCGCCGGCGGCGAACTGGTATTGGAAGGGGAGGGGCTTCTGAGTGTTGGCCGACATTGTTGCGGATATGGAGGGAAACAAAACTACGCAGCAATGGGACAATGGAAGCTGGAGAGGTGGTGAGGGGAGTGGGAAAAGAAGAGAAGGGAAGGAGATCACGCAAGCGTGCGAAGGAGCGAAAGCGAGCGGAGTTGCACGTCGGAGCGTATCGGACCAATTCCCGAACGGGAAAAATCCCAGCCCGGTGAGAAGTCCAACACGGCCCCACAACGCTGCCGACTGCAAAACGCCCCACGGGGTGAGCATACTTAGTTAAGATTATTATTAAGGATCATTCCCATTCGTGGTTCTCGTTTTCTGCGTTCTACTAGTAAGTACATGCGCTCGCGCCTCATCCAATCGTCCAGAGCACCCCGATTAGGAAATTGATTCCGGCCAGGCTCATTCCTTCCGGGAGGTTTCTCTCGCCAGCGGAATTCGTGGGCTGCTCCTTCGCCACGGTCCCTGTCGCAGTCCCCGTTTCCTGTGCGGTGCAGCTGGAGCCGCATGCGAACCCTGTTGGACAGCATCCCCCACCTGCGGTGTCTGCGCAGCGGAACCACCCACTCGCGCATCGTCCCGTCGTCGCTGGCGGCGCTTCCGTCTCGGCGGGAACCACAATGGTTCGGTCGTTAGTCGTGATCGTCGTCGATGGGGTCTGGGGGCACGAGCTGGTATCACAGTCGCGGCCGGTGCGACAACATCCTCCCTGGTAGACAGCGGAACAGGCGTAGAATCCAATGGGACAGATCGACCCCGTCTGGGAGGCGGTCGCCGTCGAGAGACTCGTTGGTCGAGCAGGCGGAGTAAACTCTCCGGTGGATTCAGAGGACGATCGTGTCGTGCTGCTGCTCCGGCTGCTACTAAAAACCGTGCTAGTTGCGGGAACTGTGTCCGTGACAGTCGACACCATGATAGTCGAGCTCACCGTGATCGTCACCGTGTACACGTTGGCGCCTGCAAATTCATTAGCCCAAAGCTCATCATCTTATAAATCGGCCCGGACTTACAGCCACCGCTGACACATTCGTATCCGGGGATACAGCATCCGCCACCCAATGACGCAGGACAGCTAGTGTACCCTTGCTGACACGAACCAATCGTGCCAGAGCAATGCTGTCCGTCCGGACAACACCCGACATCCCCAGACCCTGTATCGTCAACCAGCTCACAGGTCGATCCCGTACTGCAGCAGCTGTCCGGGCGATTAATCGAGGCGCATGAATTTGTCCCCGCGGGGCATTTGAATTCTCTCCGAAGAAGCGGTGAGAATTGGGCCATCCATCCGTGGGAGTTGTAAGTCTCACCCACAGACTGGGATGGCTGATACGGATATATGCGAGGGTGTAGATCAGATTGTGTCTTTTCTGGGGTTTGAGAGCTCTGTAGGTCGGTCTGGTTGTTCTCTCCGAAGTACCAGTAGTCGAGAAAGAACTTCTCGCCTTCGTCGTCGCTCATCTTCTTGATGCCCCGGACGGAGGTTTGAGATAGCTGGTTTTGAATAACTGCATTGCGTTGCAGGATGCTGTATGTGTCTAGATCTGCCTTTTTGTGGTAGATGGATGAGTTGCCGTCTGTCAGTGCCTGGACTGGCAGTGGTGCTGGTCCGAGAGCCCAGGCGAGAAGAGGGAAGACCAGCATCTGTGCTTGGAATATCTGTTCTCGCCATGTTAGTTCATAATAATCTTCAAAGTAAACATGAAGATAGGTATTCACCTAGAACTACGACAGTGATTGACGTCAAGATATATAATTCTACCGTAACCCGACCAGAGTTAGATACGATAAAATCCTGAGGTCTTAAAAGAAGAGTAAGAGAAATCGGAAAGAATGAAAGAAGGAATGACAGCAGATCGACAAAATGCAGATCCTGACGGACAGCTAAATATAATACTAGTCCAAGCCTGAAGTTGGGTTGTCGGTTTGAATTAAATCTTGAGGTGAACAAATCAGTGGCTGGGGAGCCCGTGCTGAAACAGTTTACCCTTTTTGGTAAGACGATGTGGATGCCTGGTTTCGAAGGCAGCAACATTATATCGACCATGCTTCGAATTGATCACTTTCACGATGTATGGAGTGGGTATGGAATTCATTTTGATTTAAATACAGTCTACTAGTATGAAAGCTGCTTTTCAATGATTAATCAAAATAAAAAGACACCGACAATCAAGCGATAGACAGCGTTATCGAGTACCGTATGATTACAGCTAATTAGAATGACAAGAGCCTTGCGATGGCAGCATCTTATGATTCATGACTTATGTGAGGGTTTGATTATGGAGAGCTTGAGCCCTGTGCTGCAGTACTGGGAGCCTTACATATTATAAGTCAGCTATCGATGTGACTGTGTCTCGCTTTGACTTAATACCTGCTGGAGGAGGATCTACCGCAGCGACTGGCAAGACTATGAGAACGTTATTCTATAGAATAATAAACTCCAGACCTTATTAACTCAATTAAACCAGTGATACTAACATGTGGAGAACTATTCACACAATCAATTAACCTATCGGACGCATGTTGGATATCACCCAGGAACTGCTGGAAAACAACCCTTTTCTTCCCACTGAATTTCCAAGGAGATCTCCACCGCCGAGTGCTAAGTAGGCTGCTTTGGGCATATTTCAGCCTGACATGCTTACCAGCAAGCCATTCTCCCAGGAGGACGAGCTTTTCGTAGAGATTCATAGCATGCGGTTGGAAATGGCGAAGCTCCAAACCGCGCGCAAGAAATGGTTGGTCTGTTGTCAGCCGGCATTCGTAGTCTTTTAAAAGCATCATAAGTGTTTCTTTTTCAATGATGTGGCCCCCAATAGCACTGTATATCTGGCCGATGAGATTGGCGATTCCAGCAATGTCGCCAACAGCAGCGGCGGCTGTCATGTTGAGTCTGTTGTGTGATTAGGAGGGAGATTGTATAGGTCCAAACTTGGACATGTACTTCACTGTGAAATTATCATCGTACTGTAGTGAAAAGTATAACAGTCGAAGATGATGTTACAATGACACTACACTTGGTTGCAAGACTGGTAGACTACTCTTTTCATTGTTTTTACTCGGGGTCTTGCCGCCTTAGTCTATAGGTGGTTTAATGAAGTATTTTGCTCTCTGCTGCACCTTATCTACTTTATACATGTATTGTTAATGTCTTCGATAAACAAATCTAATTATTAGGATCATGTTCAAGAAATATTACCTTCAAACCATCTATGAATATAGCCTGAAGTGAAGGATGTCTATGTGATCACTGATCACTATCGATTAGGGCTAAAGTAGTATATGCAGTTCTCATACCAAGGTCATCGCCTAGTCACGTTGATGCCATTACAAACGTAATATAGTCGCGTGAATAAGGACTTGCAATCCTTCCTTCCTTCCCTGTATATACATTTATACGGAGTTAATTTTCAAGCCAGTTTCTGAGTGCAGCAGATCTCGACTTGTCATCCCGCGTCAGACGCCATTCATATTCCTCACATTCCTCAAATCTGGAGTCAGTGAAATGGACTATTGCATAATCTTTGTTAAACTGGACAATCTGTTAATGTTCCCGCAATATATTACTGGCCTTCGTCCCTCGTTGTTCCGTCCGAGTCTGCCTCTCACCTTGCTTCAAGCGCGCACAGATGGATCGAAGCGCCCCAATCTTCTGTTAGAGCTGCCATCACAATCTCATTCAAATGTCTCTCTGTAGAGACTGATGAGAATCCGCTTCCTCTTATTGCGTGGCAGTACGCACGCGAAACAACCGCTGCCCCGCAGCCTAGACCTGGAATACATGCTCTGCACTAAAGAGGCAATCGAAACACATATCTTTGCCCAAAGACTCCACCCTCATGAAGGAGCAGAGCGTATGCGCCGGGTACTTACTCTGTTGATGGTCCGCTGAACAATCATGTCGACAATTCCATTCCACGGAGGGAGAATAATCGGCTCTGACATCCCAGGATCACAAAAAAGAATTTTGACAGTAAAGTACGACCCATACAAGCTGACAACTTACAAAAATGCAGAAAAAGAGTCCAGAAAGGGACTGTTCGTACAGGATGAGCACTATTGGAAGTACTTTTACTGGAACAGCCAGAAATTACGAAAGCGGGCGCTGTTAGTTTCCTGGCTTGGTTTTATCTTTCTCTCAAAGTCACTAGAAGTGGCCAAAATACCTGCGGCGCCGAGGCCGTCGGAAAGAGATATATTAGTCGACACGGGGATAACTTAAGTAGAGAAGAGTATTATCCCGGAGAAAGATATAAGTGTGAAAGATTTTTACCGCACAGCAAAAGCTAGGGTACGCGACACAAACACCGCACGCCTTGAATTTCTCCTGCGTGGCTCTCCGAAAACGAGAGCAATGCTGCCTATTATCCGTGATCAAGTATTACTTCACAAAGAAAAAGCAATTGTGTGGACTTTGTATCCCGCCGAACAAGTTTATGTTGCAGCTGTCATGAACGAGATAGGCCTAGATTATGGCGTACACCACAGTGGACTGAACATACGGCACGTCTCGATGTCTGGAATAAGCCTAGCTCTTTGTCGATCTCTGGATATTATCTTGATGATAATGGACTAAGAATCACTACTGACGAAATTTGGCTCTCAATCGACCTGTTCATTGGTCAACAAGCGACGGATTAATGAGCATGATGTTTTAAAAATGAAAGACATGCTTCTTGACCTTCTCCAGCAACCATGGGAATTTCGTCGGCAACTTGAAGTTGGACGTCCATGCATCACAGGGAGGGGATTAGGTGGTGGGTGTTAGTGAGTATTGATCTGACTAGTAGATAGATGAGGATGAGGCATGTTCGATAGTTCCTCTCGAAAGAAGTGCCAGAAGCACTATCTCGTGTCACATGTAGCCCTAGTTGGCATCATACGACTTCGTTCTCTCCAACTGTTGTGATAAAGCCGTAGTCATTACATGATCAACCGATGTGCATCTTTCTCTTACATCTTACTAGAATTCTTTCAGACCTACTTTTCTATATTAGGTGACAATTTTGGTAACTGAAGTGATAAAAACACATACCACCGGTCACGTGTGGACGTCCGAAGACTATACAACAAGGTGATTCAGATCAACTATATAAGTATGTACCTATGCTCATCTTATACTCATACAATGAAATCAACAAGAATTACATACGCACCGCGAGACCAGACTTAGTATGATCATTTGTCTCCAGCCAATGATCAGTTTTGCACAGTGTGGCCACCCGACCAGACCCAGCAATCTGACACACTCGCTTCACTTACTGCTCAGGGGTTCCATGTAACCTGATATGCTCCCTAGACACGGTGAAATCAAATCTAGTGTCTTACCCCACTCCTCAAACCCAAGCTTCTGAGCTTTTACTCCTTCATCACCTGTCTTTGTTCCTCTCTTCCTCACTCCACCTTCTAATTACACGCAACTCCCTGATTCCTTACTCTCACAGCATTCCATCTGAGCTCTCACAGAAGCGACGCCAAAGTCCAACACAACATGTCATTCCGAGGTTTCAGAGATACCCCCCACAGAAGGGAAGGTGGGCCGACAAGACCTCAAGGAAGAAGCGACATCATCTACTTGTTTGTCCACTAGATTCCACCACCACTGAAATAACAGTACTAACAATGGTTCCACCTAGACCACCAGATGGGAAAGTTCCTCCTCCTGATCCCACCGTCAGGGAAATCGAAGACGGAATTCAGAGAGCAATCGCAGATCCCTTGACTCTTAGCAAGCTCCAACTGAATACCGAATACCCTCCTCGCCCAGGATATGGAACGAAGGGAAAGGCAGTGACTCTTTGGGCCAACTACTTTCATATTACTCCGGACCCCAATCTAGTCTTCTACAGATACGCTATTGATGTGAGACCCGCTGCATCTGGCAGGAAGCTAGCCCAAATCGTTAGATTGGTGCTGGAGACACCAGCGGTTACCTCAATGGCAGCCGATCTAATCACTGATTTCAAGTCTACCATAATTTCACGAGAGAAATTACCGTTGGCGAATAATGCAATCATCATACCCGTGTTGTACCGAGATGAACAAGAGGACGAACCCGCCGAGGACGCTACCCAGTACAGGGCCCGTATCCTATACACCAACACTCTGCGGGTCACACAGCTGATAGAGTATCTCACGTCGACAAACTTTAGCCAGTATGATGAGAAGCTCCCAATGATTCAAGCGCTGAATATTCTTCTAAATCATTACCCCATGACATCTCCCGACCTTGTCTCACGTGGCGGTAACAGAGCCAACAGAACCTTTCCACTTAGCAACAAGGCCTCACAGTCGGACAAGGCTCATCTAGTTGGTGGGCTAACAGCAATTCGTGGATTCTTCTCGAGCGTCAGACTCGCTGCTGGTAGGGTCCTGGTTAACGTAAACGTTAGCCATGGGGCATTCTACAACAGCGGCCGTCTGACTGACTTCATGGATGCATTTCAAAAGGCAAACGGCAAGAGCCTGTCTGCCTTAAACGAAGTACTGCATGGTATCCGGGGACGCACACTCCATCTACCCGAAAGGAGAAACCGAAGCGGCGAGCTTATCATCAGGCCTAAGACGATCCATTCTCTTGCGAGGCGTGGCGATGGCACGGAATTTCCAGAGGCAAGACGTCCCGAGATACACTCATTTGGCGCGGGCTCTAAAGGTGTGAGATTCTGGCTAGAACCCCGCCAACTGGGATCGAAGAAGAAGAAGCGCCAACAACCAGGATCCGCAGCATCACTAGCTGGGCCTGCGAGATTGATTAGTGTGTATGATTACTTTCTGGAAAGTGAGTTTGTACGCGTGAACCGAGACGAAATAGCTGCTTAACTAACACGTCGTGTCTAGCGTACAACATCCGAGACCAACGACCCGATTTGCCTGTCATCAATACTGGCACACGGGGAAGTCCTATATACGTACTGGCACAAGTGTTTGAGATACTTCCGGGCCAGATCCACAATGGAAAGTTGTCCCCCGCCCAGACGCAAGACATGATCAAGTTTGCCGTTCGTTCGCCCTTAAAGAACGCCTTTTCTATCGTCAACCAAGGAGCAGACACTGTTGGTCTGAACCCTCAAAGAAATACAATGATTGTGAGTCCTTATCGTGAAACGATAGTTGTTAAACATAGTAACGTTATTTCATGGTAGACTCGATTCGGTATATCCACGGCGAGACAGTTGATCACTGTTGAGGGGCGGATCTTGGACCAGCCAAATATTATGTACCGGGGGAATTCCAGTGTAAAGCAATTTCCAGGCTCCTGGAATATGATCAGCACCAAATTCAACGTCCCTGGTCAACGGCTGCGCAAATGGTCGTATCTTCTGCTCTCAGACAAGGAAGTGCAAGGAACATTCCCTGACGTGAAAAGCTTCCAACCAGTTGTCAATAAGCTCCAGGCTGTCCTTCTCGACACCGGTGTTCTGGTAGACGCGCCCCTCATTGGAAAGATAGTAAGGGTGGATAAGGATAAAACAAAGGACCTTGATGATGTGCTTAAAAGGGCAGCTGGAATTTTCGACCTCCTCTACATCATCTTGCCTGAGAAAGACAGTCGCTGGTACCCAGTAATCAAGCGATTATGCGATGTGGAGTACGGGTTGCAGACAATTTGCAGTGTTGGTTCTAAGCTGGTTGCAAAGAAAGGTCAAATGCATGATCAATATGGCAAGGCCCTGGATCAGTATCTGAGGAATGTGGCGATGAAGTTCAACCTGAAGCTGGGCGGGACAAATCATGCTGTGGACAATCTTCGTTCGAGTATCATCAATGAAGACAAGACCATGGTTGTTGGATTGGACGTAACACATCCAACCGGGTCCTCGCAAGTTTCTCCAGCCACTGCACCTAGCGTGGCAGCGATGGTTGCCAGCATCGACAAAGGGCTTGGGCAATGGCCTGCAACTATCCAGCTCCAGTCCCGTGGAGGAAAGGAAGAAATCGACAGCTTGGACATTATGTTGAAGCGGCACATTAGGCTATGGAAGCTCCTCGGAAAGCACGCATCATTTCCCGAGAACATTATCGTCTACCGTGACGGAATCTCAGAAGGCCAGTATATGAAGTGTTTGACGGAAGAGCTGCCCTTTATGCGCAAGGCCTGCCGAGAAGTCTATCCACAGGAGATGCAAGAGAAAAACCTGCCCAAGATCACCATCATCGTTGTCAGCAAGCGGCATCATATGCGCTTTTACCCAACCGAAGTGCAAACTGCTGACAAGAACGGGAATACGCCACCGTGCACGATCGTCGATCGATGCATCACGGATCCCTATTACTTCAGCTTCTTTCTCCAGCCTCATTCCGCTATCCATGGAACTGCCCGCAACGCCTTCTATTTTGTGATCCTAGACGAGGTTTTCAGTCAGCGATACAAGGGAAAGCTTCCACCGAAGTACAAGAATATCGCGGAGATTGTGCAAGATCTGACTTTGCACTTGAGTTACCTAGTTGGCCGTGCTACAAAGGGCGTTAGAGTCTGTTGTCCTGCACGATACGCTGACCTGGTCTGTGACTGGGCCAGATGCTACTTAAGTCAATTCTATGAACCGTTATCTGAGACCTCATCGGTGGCCAGTGGTGGTAGTACAATGCAAGCGACAAACAAGGATGTTCTTGTCCATGAGAGGATTCGGAACACGATGTTCTACATCTGATGCATGGAGAGTCGGCATCAACAGCGCTTTTACAAAGGTTTAATCTGCGGGACCAGATTATTCTACGGCACACTGGTCAAGTGTGATTCGGACAGTAACGAAAAAAAAAAAAAAAGGTATTCTCGAGGCATTGATTGCGAAAGCGGTTAACTGCGCGAGCTGAAATTTCATTATCGCAGAAATTTTGTACCTCTTTTTTGCCATAGTACTGCGAACGAGAATGATCACATAGTATGTACATAAAAAAACTGTAAAAAACAAAAAGAGTTATACTCCAAAGACACATCCGTGTAGACAGTCCCAACCACCAATAGAAAAGAAAAGAAGAGGGAGAGAACCCTACAAGATAGCCCCCCTAGCCAAAAACCAAGCCCTCGCCTCCTCAATCCCAAGATAACTAACCAGAAGCATCCTCCCAAACACATCCACATCGCCAGCCCTAGCCTCAGTAAGCACCCTCCCGAAATTCAACTGGCCAACCACGAAGTGATCCTTCTCCATCCATGCTTCCCCAAACTCCCCCGCATCCTGCGCCTCCCACAAATACGCCGACAGGTACCAGCTATGCACCAGCCCCAGCGAGCCATCACAGACGAGATTCCTCTCCCCCTGGACCAGCCGATGGAGCTGGATCAGATAGAACGCGAAAAGGACGGTCCTGCGCGCGGACTCTTGGAAGATCCACGAGGTCCAGAAGTCTTGTTTTGCTTCTGTAGTGGGCGGGAGGATGGTAGGGGCGTAGGAGGGGTCCGGGAAGTAGATGCAGGAGAGGAGGGTTAGGGCTGAGGATTCTAGGTGCGGAATTAGGGAGAGGTTTGCGCTTGGGTCTGGGGAGAAGAACAGCATGATTTGGTAGAGGAGCAGGGCGTGCGTGTGGGAGAGGGTTTCCAGGGGTGTGGTGGCGACTGGAGATGTGAGTAGTGTTTGGATGTTGGTGTTGATTAGGGAGGTTATTACGGGCCTGTTGATGGCGTTTTGCGTTATGTGTAGCGCGCAGCTGGAGTAGGCGTCTGTTGTTGAGTTAGCTTCTCTCTCTCTCTCTTCTCTTCTTTCATATTTTATATTTTATTTTTTGTGAGGGAGGGAAAGAGCAGGAAACTATAGATCGACTTGCCTTGCATGTGTTTGGGCATGCCATTAACATAAAGCTGTTTATGGGACCAAGGGGTTTGGTTCTCTTGGACCATCATCTTGGGAACGTCCTTGAGGACATCGATGGCGAACTGGAGCCGGGAGGCGATGATTTCGGAGAGAGCCATCGGGGGTCTTGTTACTGGCGCAGTCATTGTGTAACTGGGCCGTGGGATGAGGACACCAGTGGGTGCTTCCGCCAGACAAGGAGCGTCGATGTCGATATAATCCCACTGTGGATCGAAGACATCGAATGGATGAGCGATAGCAGGTGGGCCTGGTAGTTCAGGTATACGGAACTCGGTCGTACACGAGTCAAATGATAACGGTGTGTCAACAGTCTGCGCAATCGATTCAAACATCTCGTCGATCAACTTCTGTGGGATTGCAGGCTGTCGTCCCGGATAAATGCATGGCGTATTCCTGGTCGCGCATCGAGAGCAAGCCGGGAATGCGAGATCGCAGCGTCGCTTGGCGGTCTTGCACGCTTCGCATGATTTGCGTCGCGGTGGGGGGTTTTCTCGCTCGGCCAATAAGGGGTTCATTGTTTTCACGCTGGTATCAGTTTTGCGGACTTCCGCTGTCCAGGTGGGAGAAAAGCTGATCTTACATTTGCCGCGTGGAGAGATATCGCTTCATGTGGGTCTGCCCGGCGGAATTCCGCAAGCTAGTTTGGTGTTCGGCCAATTGGAGACGATGCCGATGGTTAGGGTTGTGGAACTCCGCTGGGATCATCGAAGAGTATGAAATCAGTACCATATAAAGCCGTCAACATCGGATGGATATCTCAGAACATCACACAGTCTTCTCTTTCTCATTTACAAAGCTACCTCAATTCTCAATTTACTCAAACACTCATAGTAAACCACTGCATTACATCACACAATGTCCACCTCCACTTTCTTCGTCTGTGGTGCTACTGGCACCCAAGGCGGCGCCGTGATCAACCACCTTCTCAAAGCCGGCGCCAAAGTCCACGCCATAGCCCGCAACCTCAATACTCCAGCGGCCCAAAGCCTCCAATCCCGCGGGGTACATCTCACACAAGGCGACTTCACCGACCCCGACACCTTCAAACAAAGCATGAAGGGCTGCACAGCGCTCTTCCTCAACCTAATGCCAGACCTACGAGTCCCAAACAGCGAAGTCCACCAGGCCGAGAACATTCTATCCGCTGCTAAAGAAGCGGGCATCAAACATGTCATCTACTGCAGCGGGTTCTCCGTCGACGAACCCCAACGACTAAAGCACTGGGACCCGCACAGTTTCGTGGCGAAGATTCTCCTCAACAAACAAACGGTCGAGAATAAAGTGAGAAAGGCTGGATTCGAGTACTGGACTATCTTACGACCTGGAAACTTCATGTCGAATTTCCTGCAGCCCCTTGTCCAAATGTATCCCGGCTTTGTCGAGACCGGCGTCTGGACTACGGCTCTGCTGCCTGAGACGAAACTCGCCATGGTGGATCCCAATGATATCGGAGCCTTTGGAGCAGCGGCACTGTTTGATCCTGTCAGGTTTCATGAGAAGGAGATCGAGATTGCTTCCGAGCTTAGACAAGTGGAAGATATAACGCAGGCGTTGGCGCGTGCGACCGGGAGGAATCTCAAAGTGGTTTTCATGTCGCAGGAAGAGATTGAAAAGCAAGCTGCGCAGAATCCGTTTATCGGGGGCCAGCTGTTGATGCGTGGTATGGCGGATATTGTAGACTTGGAGCGGGTGAGAGCTTGGAAGTTGCCTATGGGGACGTTTGAGGAGTTCTTGGAAAGGGAGAAGGAGGCGATTAATGCAACTTGGTCTGTTTAGGTGAATTGATCTGTTACTTCGGTTCATCTTTGGACTGTTTTTATGTTGGCTTTACCTTTCTTGTCGTCTTAGCTTTGTGAATAATATATCATGTTTTTATCAGAAAGCATCTTCAAATTTACGTCAATGATTGTTGCGGCCATGTATGTAGGGCTACGAAAGTCCATGATCCGCTTTCCCAATGAGGTTAGCGTAGATCAATGGGAGATGCAGGCGGGAATGCAACAAACCCAAAATACAACCACCACTTCCTCTGATCAACGTGTCATTGCCAAAACAAACACAATGCTTGTGATATCTCGAGCAATTCGATGTAGAAACCGTCTTGTACTATCAATTAATCGGGCAGTGACGCCCTTGAATCCCACTTTGCTCTCCCGGACTTTCTCCACTTCTCGCGCCTTTACCCGCCATTCCGCGGGAAGCTCTGAACTGTTTGAGTATACGTCTGGGAGATGGATGTTTGTAACTTCTATAACTACCCTGTACTGGTTCCCATGTCTGATGCTTGATGGTAACGGCCGACAGCTACAATGAAGCTGTGAAACTCGCGGAACGACGACGCGTCTTCAACGTCCCCGAATTGAAGCGCCTTGCTGCCGAGTCGATTAACCAAGGCGCGAATGATGTCGCTCGCTTCGAGAAGCTTGCCGAGGGAGGTTTTAACCGTATTTTCCTAGTGACAATGAACGATGGCTCCCAAGTCATCGCTCGTATCCCGTATCCCAGTACCGAACCGAAGTACTTCGTGGTAGCCAGTGAAGTGGCGACTTTGGATTACCTTCGTCTGCATGATATACCCGTGCCCAAGGTTTTTGGCTACTCGGCCACAGCAGATAACGCGGCAGGCACGGAATACATCTTTATGGAATATGTCCGTGGACGAGACTTGGGTGACTTATGGTTCGACCTGTCCGAAGATGCCTGTTCCACAATCATTAAAAACATTGTCGAGTTGGAAGCTCGCCTTTTTAGACTACAATTTCCAGCTAGTGGAAGCCTTTACTATACGACGGATCTGCGCTCCAAAACTGATACACCATCCGTGCCGGTGGAAGATTCGCCGAGCAATGGCCGGTTCAGTATAGGTCCTGACACTTCGTTGCGATTGTGGTTCGGGAAAAGACGGGAACTGCAAGTCGATCGTGGCCCGTGTATGTTCCTTCCATCGCTTGCCTGACACTATTATTTAAAGCCCCACTGTGTAACGAGATTCACTGATAAGCTGTAGATGAGACTGCCGAAGCGGCTATGGCTGCGGGCGCCAAAAAGGAGCTTGCTTACTTAGCTAGGTTTGGTAAACCACTGCAACCTCTTCAACCTATGTATAGAGAGTTGTACAAATACCAGAAAGTGTCACATTTGGATCAAATGAGGAATTTAGAAAACTACCTACGGGCTGCGCCTCATCTTGTCCCTGGAAAATTTAAATTCCTCTGTGAGCCTACAATCAGACACCCAGACTTGCAACCGAATAATATCTTGGTCTCCGACGATCTTAGAATCACTGCGTTGATAGACTGGCAGCATTGCTCTATTTTACCTCTGTTCCTGCAATGTGGCTTCCCAGACAGTATACAGAATTACGGAGACGAGGTATCTGAATCTCTCGACACGCCAAAGCTGCCAGACGACTTCGAGAGCCTGGATGACAGCAACAAGTCGGAACAGCTCGAAATTCTCCGAAGACGGCATATCCATTATTTCTACGCGTGGTATTCCGTGAAGTTGAACTCTATTCATGGTATTGCTTTGGACCACGATCTAAGCATTCTCAAGCGCAAAATCTTCGAGCACGCGAGCAGACCATGGGAAGGGGACAACGTGTCGCTAAAAGCGGACCTCGTTTACTTAGCGCAGAACTGGGGCAAACTGTCGAACCCATCGTCCGGTACTAATCCAGGTGTCTGCCCGTTAGAATATTCGCCCGACGAGGCAAGCGAATGCTTGAATCTTAATGACGAGCAGATCGAATCGGACGAAGAGCTACAGATCTTCAGGAACTATGTTGGAGTGGGGCCAGATGGGTGGGTGCCGTCGAACCGATATGACGAATCCAAGCGACGTGAAATGAAATTGAAGGAACTTGCGCTCGAGGCAGCTAAGACGGAAGAGGACCGGGCTAGGATCTCCGAGAACTGGATCTTCAAGGATTACGACGAGGAGATATACAGGTAGCTGTACTGTACATATCTTTGCGCGGGGGTCTACGGTGGGTCATACGTTCGATCACACTACGAGCGCCCGGATGTTCGGAATGGCTCAATTCTGCACTCTGCTGTAAATTATTTCGGATTTCTCCCCTCTCTGAGCACATGTACGCGAACATTGCAATTGGTGTTTCTTCGGCGGGCCATTCTTCCCGCTGTAAACCGATCTATTTATCGTGCTTGCGTCGAGCATCCTTGGAAATTGAGTTCTTGACTTACCTTTCCAGAATAATTTCTCAGTGTCAACGCTGCCAACGCCATTGAATTGGCAGGGTAAGCAACCCAACTCTAGACCAGGGAAATGTTGTATTAGATGAGTGGATAGCCTGTACTGCGATAGAATATCCACTAGTAGGTGTGATGATATTGTCATGGAGGACTTAGCGGGCCGGGCCCGATAAGGTTCGGGCCGTGGTTGCTCAACTTACCAATCCCTACCCTTGAGTAACCAACCATGCTGTATACCATGTATGGTACGGTATCATCGCTACTTCAGCTGATCTTTCGTGAGCTTTCCAACATACAACGACGACGAGATCACCGAAACACACGACATTCTCCAAGACTTGTTCTATCCAGGACCATAGATATATTGCTCATCTGGGCACTAGCAATTCGCTAGCGTATTGCCTTAAAGCTCCTAAAAGCATCATGAAGACCCGCCAACACCGGACATGATAAAGGATCTCATGATTTAGCCTGCCATTGGAATCTCTACGAACATGCCGATGCACTGCAGAACTAGGTTACCACCCAATCAAAGTCTGATAAGCCGGAATTTACATCTGCATGTCTGAGGTGATCGAATTGACCATATCAGTCTGGGAATTGGCATTGGCCCATGTAGCACCTTCTGCTCCATCTCATCTTTCCCGGTTTTCAATAGTTAGATCAACCCATACGGTCTGTCCACAGAACTATGAACCTGTTGGGGTTAAATGGTCAAAGGGAAATGTAAACTATATGAGCATGGAGTCTGAGGCGAAGTGCAGCTCGAAAGAAGCCAGTACCATACCCCCATGTGCACGCGAGTTATCATCACTGGGAGGGGGCAGGGGTGGATCGTATATGCCAGTCTTTACCCTTACCTTTCTTTTCAAGTAAAGTATCGCGGATGGCCTAGGCCATTGATCGAGAAGCAGACTCGACTACTCGTGAATAACTACGACGCTGAGTTCGATGGCCCCCTCTGATTGTGTATCACGTAAAATTCAAATCATATTATTCGTGGAGGGTCAAGAAACAACGATATGTAGTTACGTAAAACGCACTTTCTAGGCGGATCGATGGTATCGATCGAAGACACTGGGATTTGAGAACCCACCGGAATATTCAGCCAGCCACATACGTGTCTCTTGCCGAATCCCAGAGCAGCACGTCTGCCAATTTGTGGATATGCAGGTAAGCGCTAGTCTGGATTGAACCGTGATAGTGCCGATCGGCATGGACCGTGCGGGTCGGACTCTAGTAGAGCAACACGGGGGGAAAATGAGACTCAACCATCAAATGACTTGGATCTCTCTCTCTCTCCACTGTTTTCTGCAGGCAAGGCACCGTCAGGACCCAGGAGAGCCAGGGCATTCTATTGATCTATACTCGTTGATGGGTATTCTCGGGTCCTTACTACTAGCGGTTATTTCGCAGCCGCTGTGCTATACCTAACGGGATGTCGTAGGGTTGAAGGAACTGTGCAGTTACAGTGCCAGGACGGTGTCTTCAAGCATGTCAAAAGTTTCTTCGTGTCTAAATAATTTACCATGGAGGATGTCCATTTTTTAAAATGATTAATATGTACCATATTGACATAATTAATCTCGTAATGCTACAGTACCAGTGCCATGGATCGATAATCACTCTCCACGGCATATATTTGTTTAAATTAATGGCACAATACATCAGTGTAGAACCAAAAAATATAAATCAAATCCAAGTCTATTGACACCGTCGTTCTACCACCAAGTCTCAGCTTCCTGTAATTCCACTGTATTCAAGTTCAGTATACACATACACCGCTTCTCCAACACTAGCACCTCCCGCTAGGTACATGCATGCACATACTAATGAATCTGTCACATAGCGTATACGTGATTCAGATGCAAGTATCGCATGGATTGCGTCATCTACGATCTCATCTCCACCACAGAGCCTAGTATACCACTTGACTTTCTGCAACAAAAAAGAAAATGGTCACACCGACCCAACCGGACAGCGTCGACCAGTTTTAGCAGTGGACTAGACGACGGCCTCCCCTCTCCTGTGGAATATACTTCCGATATGCAAGTATGTCGCCCTCGTTTGTACGCTGTATCCTATAGTAGCACTGTACGTGGCACACCAGCTAGCTGCGTATGCAACATCACGCCCAGACGAGCAGAAATGGCGAGCACACCTAGGTGACTGACTCCCTTAACAATCACCGATGACTTTGTAGAAGCCTTCTCTTCTCCACCCGGCAATGCTATAGTAGAGAGCAGGGTGCTGGTAATGGAGAATTTCAGCATCGAACAACGTCATTTTTTATTTCTTCTCTGAGCTCCCTGATAGGAAACCACATTGACTTCTGCCCTATTTCGCAACTATGAGTGACTACACCGGTCCCGGAGTCTATCAGCTGGTCAACAGGGCCTCTGACACTTCGCTTGATCTCTATGCCGCCGGAAAGGCCGATGGCACTAGAATTGTCGGCTGGTAAGTGACACATGTGCCTTTGGGATCCCAACTCCTGTGTTTGCATTGGCTTACTCACACCGTAAAACCAAACAGGAAGCACATCGGAGGCAACTCGCAAAAGTGGCAGATTGTGCATGCCGGAAAGGACGAATATATTCTTGTGAACGCCCATTCGGGGATCACTGCGACAGCTACAGGTATGTGTCTCAGCCTTAGATGGAGGGGGGGTGTATTCTGTAGAATCATCAATCACTGACCTGGACCCATCACAGCCTCCAAGCAGAAACTATCCGGAACGCTCGCCTCGCCTGTCAACAAGTTCGTCCGGTGGAAGATTGAAGCCGCGAAGAATGGTGCCTATAGGTATGTGTGTGCTCTTGATGAGAATCGCTATTCGCAATGGGATGTTCAATGTTTCTGACCACTCTTTTTTCTGCATGCAGGTTCCGTAGTGTTGCCCTTCCGGACCACCTGCTCGACCTGGGCAACGGAAATAAGGCAGATGATACCCCGGTGTGGCTCTGGCCGGAAAGTGCCGGTGCTGCGCGCCAGGAGTGGTATATCAAGCTCGTCTAGAGTCTCTGTTAGCTAGATCATGGATCATGCGCAAATGCAGTATGATTCGATCGTTCGCGTGTCACTGTGTGCAGTTGTGTCTTTTTAGAGGCCGACCAATAGTAAATACATTGTTTTGCCATTTAAATATGTTGTGTTGCCACTGTAGCAACCTATCTAGCCGTAATTCGTTCAGAGATTAATCAAGCAGGGCCGATAACAGTGTCGGAACACAGGAACATCTTCCATTAAGTTTGCGGTGCTCTATAACATAACAAAAGAAAAGCGGGCCAGATAGTAAGTAGAGAGTTTTATTCTGTGATATAGTCTTGTCCTTCGTAGAGTGGAAGAGATGTTCATTATCTTGTATTAAGTGACATTAGAGATTGAATGTTCTATGAGTGTTCGTTGTGGCCCTTGTTGAGAGAAAAGCCCCAACAAACCATGTTATATCATTTCAGGCGTATGTCTTACCCAGTTCTGCTGCTTCTATAATCAAAGCATGCTCGAGGAAATATCAACACGAAGTGCACATATCGGAAGATGCATAAGGTAGGTAACCTGAATACAGCCCCGGCAGCATATCAAGAGTGTTGCTGGTTTTAACCCCGGCGGTTCGTGATTCAGTTTGACTGCCTTCTCTTTCGCTTCCCACGGATTGTAAATTGAACCCGTGGTTACTTGTTAATACGGCCCAACGTAGAACGGTGACAGCTGATGGACATGCCGGCAATATAGCTGTCTGATAGACCACTAACAGATGGTAGCCAACGCTCAAATAAAAAGCCAGTCATGATCTAGGTCTCCGATGTCAAAGATCCATTGTGTCGAGGAAGCTTGTTTGTCGATCTTCTGCCAGTACGATTGCAATGCCTTGGCGGCATTCACCACGTTCAAACAGTTTGTGTCCAACCAGAAATTCTCCAATGAAGTGATTAAAAAGTTTCGCTGGGCCTGTGACTGGCATTCGAGGCCGGCAACGAATATCGGCCAAAGAACGCATTTCAATAACCTGCCATCGTCTCTCAACGCATCGATGACGCCTATTAATTCAGAGACGAGCTCATCTTGTGGCGTAGTCACACTGAGCAGAGCATCCAAGACGCGCTGGCCATAGATTAGAGCGCCTAGTTTGTAGGACTGTGCCAGTTTACAAAGGTTGCTTAGATATCGCGATGAAGTCTTCTGTGACTCTGGTAGATTTGAAGCCCAGGTGTAACAGTCAAACTTGTGGATTAAATCAAGCACGCTTGTTATATCTTGCATGTGCGTGTTACTGGTCGTAGACGGCTGTGGCTGGGGCTCGACCATGCTGTCCCGGTAGGCTGAAAGACATTGGACGGCATGTAATAAGTACTCAGGACACCCAATGAAAGATTGTTCGACTGTCTCATTAAGTAAGGACTCTGGATGGTCTAATGAGGTGCAACCGGATAGTAACTTAGGACGGACAAACGTTGCCCCAAGGGACTCGATCCTGAATAAAAAGCGAGTTAGCCAGGGCGTATACAATTTTACCTATTCAAGGACCAATGCACATACACATGAATTTGTTTGATGATGAACTTTCTTATCTGTTCCACAGTCCGTCCTGGATCCTTGGAACTCCCAGCCTGCACCTCATGTAATTGACCGTTGGTAATCAGCCTCTTAGCGCCCTCAAGGTGGAAGTTCCATTTGTCGCTTCCGGACTCCAAAAGATCTAGAAATATAAGAAGGAAAATTGAAGCTACGGTCGTGTCCTGCTCAGATATTGTCGGATCGTTCAGCGCATGCGTTAGTCCTTGTATAGCTTGGTGTTTGAAGACGAGAGCATGTTGGTGAATCTGCCGGAGGTCTGGGGACGCCTCCACTACAGCATTCCCAAAGGAATAACCGGAATTGGCCCTGTGGCGCGCCGCGAGGGCCAGTACCGCCTTCAGTAGCAGTGAATCGTTCACAGCCAGAGAGATAAGCCTTCTCAAAGGATTCTCCTCGCTGTCATGAACAATGAATACCTTGCATATCTGGTCGTTATCTAGAGATGGACATTAGCTACGGGATGCGGTAATCGCCTGCAACCCGAACTGTACTCACAATAATCAAGGTAATACCTGGATGTCCGGTCCAAGTTCGAGACGGGGCCAGTATCCAGAGCCAATGATAGGCTCGCTTCATTCTCGACTACATCTGAGCAGCACAGAGTTAGCATCCAGTCCGATCTACTGTCGCACTGAAATCGGATACCACATGCAGTGCGACTCTATAGAGCGTGAGACCTCACCAGTATGGTCATTATGATCACGCCGAACCAACGCAGACGATACTATCTTCTTACTACTTTTCTTCCTTGGTACCCGATCCAACGTCGCCAAGGATACCGAGGCTGCCGACGCATCCTTCACCGTCAACCCCTGCAGTCTGCCTCGAATAGCCACACCCTTGACCCATCTGAGGGGCCTCCTGTCATAGCATTCTAGTCCAGCTTTCAGACATTTCTTGCAGGGGACCTGTGATTGATCACACTGGATGCGTCGACGCCGACATGTATAACAAGGGTCGTACATTGTGCATCTCAATGTGGGGGAACACAAGAGGATGAGCAATGTGGCGAGAGATCCATCGGGTGACTAGTGCCAGCTATTTGCAACAAGAGTCATGATGCAGAGCCAGAATCGACGGTTACCTTCACAGTTGAGCCCGACTAGGGAAAACAGCATACCATGACCAAGCTATGGAGCGGACGTTGGAATAAAGTTTGAGGGGCGCCGACGATTTAAATTTCACGAACTCACTTTAATCGGCACTAACCCCTTCAGGCAATGCCTGTCGAGAGGTTCAGCTTCTTCATCGGTCACATGATATGCAGGAATTAAGTAGGCCATATGGAAGATTGCTGGAAAAAGAAAATAGTATAGGGTCTTCCAACCTTTTTAGGCATTGTTCCGGGTCCCGAGTGAGCGCTTTATTGTGGAACCTCGCGCTAAATTTACTGCCTTATGCGAAACTTTATATCGTACGCATTACTGAGTGATCTGCATAAATATCGCCCAACACCGAGCATATACATGCAGCTGGGTTTAATCGTATGTCGCATTTAGCATGGCAGTGTTTCAGAAGTGATTCTCTGGAAAATTGGGTGTTTTCTTGGAAATTGCCTTTGGGTAAGAGACTAATTCAACAACAAGAATGTCAGAAACGGTATATCTCAATATGTACAGTAGAAAGAGTTCGTGACATTAAATCATGATTGCGACAAAAGGGACTGGAACGCTTTAAGTAAATCGTTCTTCAGGTCTTCCCAGTTTTCCAGCCCAACACTAAGTCGCAAGAGTTTCCGGTCGACTCTGGAGTCGGACAATGCTCTCCATTCAATCAAGGACTCAACCCCACCAAGACTGGTGGCATGCTGGAAGAGATGCAACTTGCTTGGCAGGACCCGTGCGAAATCTTCACTTTGTAGAACAATCGAGAAAACAGGACCAAAGCCATTTGGCATCTGTTTCCGCACCCAAGGCTCATCTTGTAAGCTAGCATGATGAATCTTTTGAACGATGCTCTGGATAATCTGCTCCTCGCTACCAGGAGCTGGGCTCTGGGCCTGTAGTCCTTGGTTCAACCATGAGATGAGTCTTTCGGAGCTCTGGCTTGCACGCTCCACACGCACTTCTAAGGTACGTAGACTGCGCAGGCCAAGCCAAGCTTCTAAATTGCCGATCACACTGCCGAATGCAAGTCTATCCTCGAAAAGCTTCTTGGTCCAGTCTTGACGCTTCGTCGCCAGAACACCGCAAAGAAGGTCACTGTGGCCTCCAAAATACTTGGAGCCGGAATGCATTACAATATCAGCGCCCCATTGGAATGGATCTTGCAAGCTTGGAGGAGCGAATGTGCTGTCGACAATGAGATAGGCACCTCGCGAATGAGCCTTCTGGGCGAAATGCTCGATGCTGAACGCTGTACCCAGCGGGTTGACAGGGGTCTCTAGCAGAATCACATCCCCCTCTTCTAAGCTCTCCGCGGAGCAATGGAGATCCAGTTTCTGCAGTCCAGACAGGCGCGAGAGAACGCCGATCACCTCATGGCTGCCATGGTAACCTTCGCCGATGGAGATGCGGCGGGGATTCAGGAGTACCAAAGCGGCAGTCAGAGCTGCTAACCCGGTAGAATAGGAGATTGCATTCCCGCCGATGAGCGATGAAAGCACAGCCTCGAAGCGAGTTGCGTTTGGAGCAAACTCCCGAGAGTATATATAGTTCTTTCCGTTGAACTCATCCTAGGGGTCGTTAGTGGGCTGTGGAATTGTCCGAAGATGTACATGGTGGTAACAGGGTTGCATACCACAGGGTCTACCGATGGCAGGAGGTCATTGGGATCACTGGGAAACCTGTATGTTGTGGACAAATGAATTGGAGGCGCAACGTCTGTGACGAGATTGAGCGGGTCGTCAGCATGCAATGCTCGAGTTGAGCGATGAGTATCGTTTGCCGGGGACATAATGTCGCGGTAGTGAACTGAAGCCCAGAAATAAAGAAAAAAGACTCGAAGAAACCAGCATGATGGCAGACCATGCTGAGGGGCAGCATTTATAGATATCTGCAAGCGGATATCTTAGGGCCCACTCCCGCGACTTTCCTAACTGATGCTTACCCCTCAATCTCTGACACCTCATTGGTCTATTGGGCTAGAACTGCCCCACTACCATCAACTTCCCAAAAGAGACACGCTAATTCTGGCAGATTTTTGACATTCGGCGTCCATCCGAAGGGTTTGCCATCCTTCGACAAATAACTTCTGTTCTACGCTGAGAAACGCCGTGAACCAGTAGAATACTTTTGGGAGTTTCTTACATGATCGAGTCCTGACTGAACAGCGCCCTATGACCAACATCTCGAGCTGCTCGGCCCTGTGCACCAATCAGGATGCGTATAATCCTAAGTCAAGATTGACCCCTCGATCCACTCCGTTAAGATTGGCTTCATCTGATGTTTCTTAATTCTTAATTCTAACACTTCGGATGGGACTGCCCGTTGGGTGTGTCAGGTGATGACTCACCTTGACATGGAATATAAAAGCACCCGGATCCTTCTAGTGTAGCTAGGATTGCAAAATCAAATCTCACCTTCATCCATCTCTCTCTTTTTTTTCCGCAATACCACACAATTGCACATAAGTCATGTATCTCCGCGCAATTCACGCCGAAACATCGATCAAGGCTCTCTTTGAGCTGATTCAACAGAACCCCTTGGGAGTACTCACCACCGCCATCCCATCCAGCACGCAACACTTCTTACAGTCTAGTCATATCCCATGGGTGCTGGACATTATCTCCGATGACCCGGATGCGCCAGTGAAAGGTCGACTGCGCGGCCACATGGCCCGCCAGAACCCGCACAGCAAGACGTTCATCGAAGCTCTGAACGCCGCGGGCCTGCCCTCCGCTTCACCACTGCAGCAGGAAGTTCAAGTGCTCTTCACGACCAACACGCACCACTATGTGACTCCCAAGTTCTACACCGAGACCAAGCCCGCCACGGCAAAGGTTGTCCCCACCTGGAACTACGCCGCTGTGCAGGTCTATGGTAAGGCCAAGATCTATCACGACAGTTCCGCCCCCGAGACCTCGGAGTATCTCCAGAAGCAGATTCAGGATCTCTCGGAGCTTAGTGAAACGTCCATTATGGGCTACACGGGCGAGGAAGGCCGGCCGGACTCGTGGAAGGTGGCCGAGGCCCCTGAGCGGTATATTGATATCATGAAGAAGAACATCATTGGTATTGAGATCACCATTGAGGATATCGGGGGCAAGTTCAAGATGAGCCAAGAGTCGACCAAGGGAGACCGGGACGGTGTGATTCAGGGATTCGAGAACCTTGGCACAGAGCTTGGCCGCGACATGGCTGCACTGGTTCGCGAGCGGGGGGAGATGAAGGATGCAGGCAAGAAATAAACCCTATTATGTTGTTAGAGAACTAGAACAATACCCTTAGAATAGTCGTTATGAAAGGATTTTTTGATGATCCTGGTACCTCCGAAGAATCCTCAAGTGATGAATGAAGTTATCAAAATCGATATTGTAGATGTGGTACTGTATTGGACTGTCATACCACACTCGAGCAAACAACAATGTACTGAACAGTCTCTACATATTTTTCCTGTATGAGGCTGAGTCGGTGGAGGATATATGTCTATAACATACCATACTAGTCTAGAAATATTAGCAGCTCTCAGCTTCTGAATGCAATGCCCAGTGCTCCTTTCCGTATCTCTACCTTTCAAGGTGGTGGCACAACATATCGTCTTACAAGTAGTTAGGGCAGTTAAACATAGATAGCTATATTCTTAGTAGATATACTAAAAAATCTATCCAGTTATTATTAAAAGCCTCTTAGGTATCCTAGATCTTGAGGGATATCAGCACTAGGTGTTTAGGGGTGCCAGCACTAGATTTTAGACTTTTAGTATCCTGGCTACCCTAGGCTAGGGCCCCAGTTCTGGGGGTGGTAAGACACTAAGTCTTCAAGGTGCGTGGTAGCCGTGGCTTTTATGTAAAACGCTAATATTGCGGTAAGAAATGCGAAAATCTGGTCTACTGTCCGTTAGCTCGATTGAGTCTACCGTAGATTGGACGCCGAGAGAGTGCTGCTGCATCGTGAGGTGCCCGAGACCATTGAACCCCACAGAACTTCACCGTCATAGAAAACTGCCGCCCAAATAGTGTTTGGACGTGTCATCTCGCGTATTCTCTACGGATCTCGAAGCCGACCGAATATCTGCAAGTACCCCTCCTCAGTGCCACGTACAACTCCATTATTTGACAAAAGTAATGCAGCAAACTGCAAGATGCCATCACTTATAACTGTACTTAAAATTCTGCGGCGAGAGTTGTCCCGCCCTTTTACAATTCTCTATCTCGACCAAGCACCACATTGAGCGAACAACAACTTGGTTAAACAGATGCCAAAATGGGTACCATAAACCCGGATCACGAGCGACAGTTTGACGGACCTCTGCAACTATCCGGTGCCCTTGATAAATACGAATCTTTCGAAGTCACTCCACTTCTGGGGACAGAGTTTCCCGATGCTAGCCTCAGGTCCTGGTTTGAGTCCCCAGACTCCGACGTACTGATGAGGGAACTAGCAATCACAAGTAAAGGTGGCATATCTCTATTCCCTGGATTTTGTACTAAGTTATTACCCAGTCTCGCAGCGTGGTGTCGTCTTTTTTCGAAAACAAGACGACCTGACCGATGACCTCCAAAAGTGTATCGTCCAGCGACTTGGAGAGTTGACCGGGAAGCCAAAAACATCCAAGCTGCATATTCATCCATTCTTCTACTCTGCACTGCCATTGGGAACTGATGATGACGAATTAAATTTTATCAGCGCCAAACAAGATGCCATGGCATATGGGAAGCCAGAAAGATTTACCAAGAGACAGACTGCTCGGTGGGAATGGCACACGGACACCCCTCAGGAAGTTATACCTTCCGATTATTCTATGTTGCGCCTGGTGGAATTACCAAAAGGTGGAGGTGGAGGTATAGTGGTTGATATGTCTTTCTTCTGTTAATCAGCTAACCCTCGGCAGACACCCTCTGGGCCTCTGGATACGAGATCTACGATCGTATATCCAAGCCATACCAGCAGTTCCTCGAGGGGCTTACTGCTACCTTATCGGAGCCCAAATACGAGTCCCTGGCCAAGAAGTTGAACCATTCGCTCCATCCCGGACCTCGCGGATCACCGGAGAACGTCAAGTTGACGCCGGTGGTTCATCCGGTAGTTCGTACCAACCCAGTGACAGGGTGGAAGAGCCTATTTACCGTCGGGCACAGCGTGAGGAAAATTAACGGCTTGACGGCGAACGAGAGCGAGAATCTGCTCAAGTGGTTTACACAGTTGATCATGGAAAATCACGACCTTCAATTGCGACATAGATGGGTGAGTCCGAATGATGTTGGTAAGTATAACCTCACAAGTCTCGTACTATTCTAGGCTGACCAAAGACATGGCAAGCCATCTGGGATAATCGTTGCGTCTTTCATGCGGCTACTAAAGACATCGATGTGGATGATGACCGAGCCGGTCACAGGGTTTCGGGGATTGGTGAACGTCCGTATCTTGACCCTAAGAGTCTCAGTCGACGGGAAGCGCTTGGCCTTCTTTGATGGCAGTAGCAGTTTCGTGAGTGTTCGATTTGCTTTATTTTGATCTATACTCCCTGCGAAAAGATGGAAATTCGGCTCAACATATCCTGTATTGAAGTCTTCTATTTCACACGGTCATCACAATATCGAATACGGTAAGATGTATGAGCGAAAAGCCATCAAATTCCTTCACAATTCACTAAATGCGGAATCTCACTAAGGACAACTTGGTTTGCCAAAAGCGAAATGCGTTAGAAGTGAAAATAACGTAAAATCCGCCCGCAACTGGCCTAATAGTTTGCCAATGGTGCCGGAAACACTCGTGCCAGATACTGTCGTACGTCCTCCTTTTTCTCCCCAAAATCACAATTAGTGTTCAAATCAGGGATGATCCAGTAATTCAAATGATACCCTCTAGTACCTAGCGGTCGTTCTACCCGATGGACCGAATGTTTGATCTTATCGACCATTCTTCTGAAGATATGACCAGACAGCAAAAGAAATTCTCCAGGCTTGCAATTCGCCGGGACGAAGGGGGCAGTCTCTGCAACTGTCGTAGTAGATAGGTTCCCCTTGAAGTTATGCATATCTGCAACATGTAGACCCGCAAGTGAGTCTTGGAAATTAAACAGCATAGTTGTGGGGTCCATGTGAGGAGCAACGCGAACCGTAGCCAAGTCTCCCTCATCATCGAAGGGGTAGTAATACGGCGCAAAGAAGGAGTTCCGTTTGCTATGTATGGCGTTCAAAGAATGAGGAAGATTCAGTTCAGAGGATAAAGCGTCTAAGAGGGGGACATATATGCGATTGCACTCCTATTACTCAGTCTCAATAAGTATCCTATTTGCATGCTGATCGCTCGCAAATCAAGCCATCTCATAAGTTCTAATACGTACCTCATGCATCGCTTTTGCAGCGTCCACAAGCTCACTGGCGGGCGCAGACCATCTCTCCCCCAGCCCATAAACACCGTATTGAAGTTCCAAAGTTTCATCCATATGTGGTTCTCCGCGGATCAACTCGCTTGCGTAAGGAACAAAACGAGACTGTCTGGTTGCACCAGAATTGGAGTGATCTGCGATCTTTTCCTCCATCGGTCGTTCAAAGAAGCCTGGGCACTAACCCAAAATTTAGTCGTTCCAGCCGCAGGAAACCTGAAGCCAGAGTCAGGCAGTACACTCACCTTTTCAAAGCATTTGTCTATGACAGTCTGTGGGATACCATGATCGCTAACCCGGCAAGCTCCGTAGCGGCCTAGAGCCCGTACGAGCTCTGCCCTACTCGAATCGCGGATATTCTTTTCCTCATGTAGAAGATCGAGGTAGCTAACTAATGGAAGTGGATAGTTTTCTTCGATGGACCCCATTGTGTCTATAGAGCCCACTTTCAGTTTCACACCGGTAGTTTGAAATGCTGGGGAAGCGCATTTAAAAATAAACCAATAGCTGATAGATCACGCGAGTTGATGGATTCAGCAAAGTTGCTGCATTGACACGTCAGACCGAAGCACAGGCCCGCGCAGGTTTCAGCTCCCCTTACTCTCGGTAGCTTAAATTGCAGTGCTCGCTTTATCATTCTACTGGAAGTGTCAGTTATCCACAGGTATATTGGGCATGTGCTTTTTTGTGATGAGCACTGCCATTTGAATCGATAACGGAACGTTGGGCGGGGTATAACATATACAGGCCAAGCTTTCGCAGTTTGAGTAAATTGTCATTTTTTATAGGAGGAATTATTCACTAGAACCTTCCCCTCGGGCTCTACTAGTTCTTTGGTTTTTAACGTGCCATGGAGGCATAGTAGATGGTTGAATCCAGCGAGATCTTGGATACTGTTGAAAATGCGGTAACGGCTCGCTCATGTTCCGTTGGCTAGGTACCTGCATGCCCATGTCGCAGTACCCAACAGATATCTTATGTCAGTAGTACCATTCGCCCATTAGGCTAAATGGTCAGTATAGATCTCCATAACGCAATTTATTCCGAATCAAGCTCGACTTGCCTTTTCTAGTTGCGCAGATGCTGAGCTAATCGACTCGAGTCAGAGTGTACACATAGTCACGTTAACATAGAGTAGTTTTATGTGGGCTATGTGGCATACGAAACGACAAGTTTGTCCGATTGCTGTGCTGGAATGGCGATAAAATATTCGCCATATCTGGATCATTGGTTATATCACTTTTGGCAGAGCCTACCGTTCAACTATGATAGCCCCCAGTAGAAGAAAGTTGTCAATACCACGAAAAGTAACAATATCTATGTTCCTCTACATATTGTCAGAACGCCAGGATATTCATGGCTCAAGCATTATTCTCGTCAACTGGTGAGCCATTTGTCCGTCATGAACTACTACTATCTGAGGTTGGGCACGAGATTTGACCCAACAGTGCTACAGAGAAGCAACAAGTACTTGCCGCTCCGTATGAACAGATCCGCTCTAGGCTTCTATCGTGTGTTCTGAAAGTGTGAGACAGCTTGTGCCGTGAAAGTCTGTTCGAACTGAAGCTTGTACTGAGCAATGCCTCTCGTGGCTTGTTCACCTTAGGGCTTAAGATGTATTTTTTATATCATAATGGACTAGTATGTTTGCACAGCCCTCACTCGACGGTTCAGAATGGATGTATCCATTGGAGGAATTTTCTACTATGTCTGGTATTATGAAAGTGCAGCATCTATACATAGTCAGAGGACATTCATCCTTGTAGTGGGACTTTCCGACAATTACAAGGTCTACTACTAATATCCATCGATAATAACAGATCTGAAAACAGCCCTCTATTAAATCTACCAACAAATCTAATCCATCACTCTCTATCCTCCCTCACCAAATTCCGCCAAAGGTTAGCAGGATCATTCTCCTCCTCCTCAACCGAAGGAATCGTCTTCTTCACCCGGCAAGGAATGCCAACTCCCACAGAATAAGGCGGAATATCCTTAGTCACAATCGACCCAGCACCAATGGTGGACCCCTTCCCAATGCGCACACCCGGCAGAATGACTACATTAGCCCCAATCCAGCAATCATCCTCGATGAAAATCGGATGCCCGAATTCGACAAACTTCCGGCGCGAAAGCACACTGGTGTCGTGGCCGGCAGTGATGATGCTGACATTCGTGCCGATTTGCACCCGGTCGCCGATGACGACGAGACTGGTGTCTAGCACTGTCAGGCTGTTGGTTCGTGCCATGTAAGCGTTTCGCGTTCGTGGAAGAGTGGCTTTTGTGTGTGTAATTGGTCCACTTACTTCCAGTTGACGAAGCAATCGCTTCCGATGATGAGGTTGGACCCGTAGTCGGGTCTGAAGGGCGGCTCGATGAAAGTCCCGTCTCCTACGCGGCCGACGAGCGCCCGTAGTCGCTCCATGCGCTTGTCTGCGATCTGGTCGTAGGGGACTGTCTTGGTGTCCAGGTTGTTGTAGTCGTCTGTTAGGCCGCGGCAGCGGTGGCGAGCTTCTAAGAGCTTTGGTATGTTGGGGTTATACCTGGTCTCGTTAGCTTTCGCTCACCACTATAATTCCCCAATAGGGTCTTGAACAGGGATTTGAGGTTTAGAACAGGACTGAAGTCAAACATACATCATTCCAGAAATCATACATTCATATTCCTCGCACATGGGGACCCCGTTTAACCCACGTGCCAGCTCAATAATCTCTGGGCGTTTCTGTGTAGCTGCCATTCTGTCTATCTATACTGAAATCCAACAATGATATTCCCAAATGTTAAGAATAAAAGAGCAGGGGCTGAGATAAGTAGAAATGAGTAAATCGGCTATGCAATGACTTAAATCGACCAAACGGTCCAGAATATATGGGCTCAACCCAACCGAACAGCTGTGACTTAGGCAATCTTATAATCGGGACTTTGCCTCCTGAAATGCTCCACTCCTGATGAGTCCGTACTGGGTCCAATTATTGCGGTGGGTGACTGTTTCAGTGCAGCAGTTGGATATCATGATGCCACGGTCATGGACCCCGCGGAGACGACGCCAACGGATCTCCGACATTTCCCCGACGCCCTAACTCCCTTGCCTATTCTGGGCAAACTGCCAGCAGCCGTGGGGCTTGAGAGTCAGGTGAGGGGGGCGGGGACATCTGCCGGCTTTCATAGTGCAGATGCGCTAACCGCTTTCGCTCTTTTAATAGCCGCGCTTATCGGCCTTATCAGTGGGGCTGGGCTAACTGTTTTTGGTTGGTGTGTTGGGACATGTATACTCCGGAGGAAGCCATCATGGAGAGAGTTTTGTATACGGTCAGCATAGGCTGTATGTAGAGTGGGTGAGGGGACATGGTGGAGTATTATTATACTACTTAGTGGATATCTTTCTATGAGATTAGAATGAGGTTTTACGCATGACGAGCGGTTCATTAATACTGTAATGCTATGATAGCTAGTATATCAGAAAGCAGGAAAGCTCTATCCTGTAGAGCGTCCATACTTATATCCGTACAACTACATTCTCGCTTTGACAAGCTTATTACGGACGCTCTTGAGTTCCCGGATAATCTGCAGTGCAGCCTGAGACCCCTGCTCGAGCGCACCGTCAATAGATGCCCGCCAACCATGGGCCCAGTCCGCAGAGGCAAAGAAAACCTGTCCATGGCGGCTCTGCAGCTCATCCTGATACTTTGACATGAACTCGGGACGCCACCATGCGGGACCACCTTGAGACCAGGGATCAGTGTTCCAGTTGTGGAAGACCTGTGCAGGGATTAGTAAACTGCAGGTATATCAACAGTGGATGAGGACAATACCATCTTTTCTACTTCCATAGGGTGTAGCTTTTGGAATGCATCAATGGCCTTCTCTGGATCCCGTTCAGGGACAAATACGTCTCGTTCATCCTTCCCAAAACCCACGATGTGCGCGTTGCCGCTGGGTGTGACTCCGTCCCCATAGCCGAACATCAGAAGATTTGGATACCGCATGCCGTTCCACGAGGTTAGGTCTGATCCTTTAACATCTGCGTGGATCTTGGTCATGTGGTTGACGTGTCCGATTGCAATCGCTTGCTGGCGTGTAGGAGAAAGAGGCGGAGTGAAAGAGATAGTGTGAAGCACGTTGAGTGGAATAGTGCTCACCACGCGGCGAGCTCGATATTGCTTACCTCCTGCTGTAATTACCTTTACTACGTTGGTCTCATCGATGACTGACTTGATCGGTGTCTGAAAGGCGTACTGCAGCCCGTTGTCCACGGCCTCCTCAAACATAGCACGAGCAAGGGCCGATTGGCCTTGACGGAGCTTGAATGTGGTCCAGATCGGGCCAAAGTTGTCCGGGCTGTATGACATCAACGCATGGGAGCGGATCATGTCCCACAGGCTTGAGTTCTCCATACTACCACCGGAGATGTGGAGCAGCAATGCGGTGAGGATTCCTGCCTCTTCGGGTGTCAACAAGTGCTTGATCTCTTCGAACCGGTCGCGACAGGAGATCTTGTCGTATCGTTTCACCTCAAGTCGATCGACCAGAATGTTATCGAGCTGGGCATGTGGTAATGGACAGATTGCGCGGCAGTTCTGTCCGTCCACGTTGACGAAGATATTCCACGCTCGCGCAGTGATTTCACCTGCTTCTTCGTGAGGAAGTTTTCTTGGGGTTGCCCCTGAATGGACGATTAGTTAAAAATATCCATGAGGTTTTCTAAGGTAGGTAAAGCTTGGTGTACCTGGAACGTTAATTGTGTAGTAGTCGTTGGCATGTTGTCGATCGTGGGTAAGGATCAGGTCTCTATCCAATTTATACCGCGTCATCTCTTGGAATAGATATGCCATATGGTGCGTTACCCATGTTCCTCCCATCTCGTATAGAAAGCCTTTGGAGAGTTAGCTATGCCACGAATGTAATCTAAAGGACTGGAGAGATAAATGCTTGCCATCAGACTCGACAGTATAGGTACGTCCACCGACACGATCGCGAGCCTCAAGCATCAAGACCGAGAGACCTGTAGCGCATTAGCCTAGATTTCTATACGACAGAATATTGACTTACCGCAGTCCGTCATATCACGGGCGGCCATCAGGCCACTATAGCCGGCCCCAATGACAATGGCATCGTAGATGTAGTCCACAGGAGCAGTTTGTCTCTCAGGAGGGTCCACAACACCTGCGCAATGGAGGTTGCCTTTCCGGACGCCAGTGCCCTTTCTCCATACATAACCATCCTGAGTTTTCTTCATCTTGTGTAGTGCTACCTTTTATTTCGTGGATAACAAGGCCACCGGGCACGAATGTTAAAAATAGAGAAAGCGATGGACTATATGCTTTGATATTTCCATAGGTAGAAACGATAGTGAGATTAAGTCCTACACCGCACTTTTATAAGTGAGCCCGTTTAGTCTGTGAATAGAAACATCCCAGAAAAGGAAATCAGTGGGTTGCTAGTCCATGTCAACGCGAAACATGTCTGGCATGATCAATATTAACGTTGATATTAAGTTAGAGCAGCCCTCGGCACACAGCCGTCAGTTCCGTGGGTACAGCCAACTACCTAGTTAGGAAGGTGAGTAGTATTATAAAGTCTTATTCTTACCCTGTCGGACAAGTTCAAGGCTGGGAGAGTCTGGTACTGTCTAATGCGGGTCGCTGTGACTATCTCTGCTCGTCGCAAGATAGTATGAGACGTAGTCGGGGTTGATTGGGTACGGTCTGTTCTCAATTTTTTTTACCTCTGATACAGTATAAATAGGACTAACTGCACGAGATTCACCAAGAATATATAGGGAGAATTTGGATCGATGTTGATTAGTCTGCTCCATGTGACTTCCTCACTACCCAACTGGACTAGGATATACTCTACCAAAGCCAAGAGAATAGACACTGGTTCCCAACGGATGCTCCACAGTCTGTCCAGGATCCAACGCACTAACACCTCTAATGCAGCCCTAAACGCCCACCCCGAACCTCCCGGCTTCAGAAATCACCAAGTGCGAATAATAATTTGGATCGGGTGTCTCCTAACTTGAACATTACTAGTCCCGTTACGACCGACAGAAGCCACCCGATGCCGTGGCAAGGAACAAAGGGCTCGGGGCTTATGGAACCGACAGGAATCTGGCCATCCTTAGCAGCATCTCCCGTGGTATCAGCACTGTTGTTCTCGAGCTGCATAGAAATGTGCTTGATCAAGCATACTTACTTAACTAGTTTCACATGGGACCCACTAGTGCTTCACTCCATCATCAGAATATCATACCTTATTTGAGTCTATTTGATATCTGTAGGCTTTCCAATATCAGCGAATGCTTTATGCTAAGCTGGTGATTTCAAACCCCGAAACTAGATCAGCCATCCACCGGACATGGAGAAAACTTCTACAAGTCTATTTTGTATTTCAAATGTTTTCACCGGATAATTGCGCTTGTGTTCCGGAGATGACATACCGTACTTGACTATGTTTCTTAGCTTTGATTTAAAGGAGGCACGCTGGCAATATCCAGTATACTACTAGATTATAAAGATTTCTGGTCCTAGGGCGACGAGCAAGAGCGATGGCAACCACACCTGACCAGTAATATTTTCATGCATTTTTTGTGGTTTCTCTATCATACGAGATGAGTTATCATTTTTTTCCTTTGGCGAACAGTCGCTGAAAACTTGCGTTGCTGAGACCAGAAGAAAAGAAGTGGAGATGCGCCGTCCAACGACATCTCGGATGCTGTAGCTCGGCAACTGCCGGTCACCTTGCGTAGAAACCACATATAAGGGAGACTATAGATGGAACCAATAAAGTCGACACGCCTAGAGGGATTCCAAGAAGTTTACCCATATTTGAGAATATACTGAAATGTTGACATACGCCATGATAGCTACAGTGCGTAGATCAAGGCATCAAGCCAAGCATGCCAAGCAGACTCGCTTAAAGGTCCATCTCGGCTACCAAACCATTAGTTAGATTAGATTATTTAACCAACTCCTTGAGTTATATAATTTGTAAGCCCATTAGATCTTGCCACGGTAAGCAGACCGACCTCAACATATTCCAAAGAACTCCACCAACACCAAGCACATCATCATAAACCCGGCAGTACCACAAACGACCAGAACACCTCGAACACGCAGTCCAACATGACCCAAATTCGCGTGGAGCCCGTCACAGACCCGGCGGACTTCAGCCGATTCTTTGAGCTGGCTGCCCTCACCTTCGGTCATCAGGTCCACGATGGGGTCTGGTGCGCCATGAACCCTGGCTGGGACACGCCCGAGGGCCATGCGAGCGGAAGTGCCCGTCTTGCGGCGCGCTGGTCCGCCACCACCAAAGACCGGCATGGCAACCCCAACACCATCTTTCTCAAGGCCGTCATCGACGGTGGTTCGGATGAGGGAAAGATTGTCGGCGCGGCTATCTGGGAGCAGGCTTCAATGGTGGACGGGTACGGCCAGGCGCCGGCACCCGATATCGGCAGTGCGCTAGACCTGGAAGCCCTGTACCCAAATCAGCCGGACGAACAGCGGTATCTCCGGCAGGTAGACCTCTCACTGCGCCGGCGCCGCTTGGAAGTCATCCGGGAGATTGCGACGAGCGCGTCCCCGGCGGTGATGGCGTTGGACTTATGTGTAGTCGACCCAGCGTGCCAGCGACTTGGAATCGCTACGAAACTGGTAGAATGGGGCCTCCGGGAGGCCAAGGCTCGCGGCGGACTGGAGGCTGTGCTGGAAGGGTCGAGCATGGGGCGGCATGTTTACCGGAAGCTTGGGTTTGAGCAAGAAGGGGGCGAGTTCCGTTACGACGTGGACGATCAATTTCGGGATCGTGAGCAGCCGTCGAATGTATTTATGCGTACCGGTAGACCGGCAGTATGACGAGCTCTACTGCCTGGGAGTTTTTTCAGCAGAGGCATATGAAGAGGCTTGGGTCTTCAAGCTTGTCATTCTTCTTAACCCAGCCAAGTATAAAAGAATAAAGGAAGTCCACTAGACGTTTCTAGGAACATTCGAAAGTATTGCTGATTCAGGCTTCAAAAGAAATCATTGTATGGCACTGGTTATACTAGCACGACCAGTCAAAGCTGCTGTAATTACTTCGGAGAAATAGGGAAACGGCTTTCCACCAAACATTCTTCTGCCTGGGGGTTAGCGCATACCTCATCCTAAAGAATGTACCAGTAGTCCAAAGCACAAGAAATGCGAGTCTTAGCCGAAGCTGTAATATTGAACTCTGTTTGAGTGGTGTTTAATCATGGAGTGTAATATAAAACTAGACTTACTAGCACTTGTTTTATACTTTGGTAATAAGCTAATGGATCCACCGCTTTGCCCGATCCCCAATTTAACCCCATAGACGCAGTGTACGTCCGTGGTTTTGTGGATCAAATGCTTGTTGATTTGTAATCGTGACTGTGAGGCGAGATACTGATTTCCTTATGTCGAATAGTCATTGATGCCTTAACATCTCCTCATTCTAGCTTGTAGCAACCCTTGATATACGATTGCTTCACAAGATTCTGTATTGTCGCTCTCCTTCCACGCTTTTGTTTACTTACCATGATGCCAAACAAGACCGCCAACACACCTCTGTATGGGCAAGCATCTCCGCGAGTTCCGAGTCCCGCATTATTCCCACGGTATGATGCTTCGAAATCGCTGTCGAGTCACGAATTAAATGAAATTGCGCCAGCCAAAAGCAGATCTCAGCCAGGTAGAAACAGGCGAGACGATGGATCGAAACAACATGGCGATTCTGGAGAGCAAACAAATGATGACGGGCCGCAAACGACGGAGCGGGCAACGAACCAGACACTCCCACAGGAGAAGGCCAATTGGCAACTAGTCAGTGCATGTCTCATGAACTTTGGCAATGGAATGAACGATAGTGCGCCTGGTGCCTTGATCCCATATCTCGAGAAAGACTACCACATCGGATATGCCATTGTTTCACTGATTTTCATCGCCAACGCCGTCGGATTTATCCTTGCCGCTCCTTTGACTCACACGATTAAGGCCAAAGTAGGTCATTGTAGAAGCTATGCACTGTCTATGGGCCTCGTCACTGTGAGCTATATAGCGATTGTCTGTCACCCACCCTTTGCTGTCGTCGTAGCTGCTTTTCTTCTTCTCGGCTTTGGAATGGCCATGAGCATAGCCATGAACAACGTGTTCTGCGCAAATCTTCACAACTCCACCACTGCACTGGGCTGCTTTTCTGGAGCCTATGGCATCGGTGGAGTTATCTCACCATTGTTTGCCACAGCCATGGTGTCTCACGACATTCGTTGGGCATACTTCTACACCATCACATTGGCTGTTTCTGTGGCCAACCTGTTGCTCTCAAGCTTCGCATTTTGGGATTACGATGAGAATGCCACTATGGTCTCCCAAAGGGCACCCGGCTCAGCAATTCCTCACATGACCAGTAATAATGATCATTCACAGGGTCGATTGCAGATGCTAAAAAAGGGGATTCAAGATCGCACGACGATACTAGGATCACTGTTCATCTTCGCCTATCAAGGTGCCGAAGTCTCCGTTTCAGGCTGGATAGTCTCATTTCTCATCAACTACCGGGGTGGGGATTCTCGAAGCGTCGGCTATGTGAGTGCCGGCTTTTGGGCTGGGATCACTCTTGGGCGATTTCTGATCGTGTATCCCGCCCACCGAATTGGAGAGAAAATTGTCGTCGGGTTGTTAGTAGCCGGGGCGATTGCCTTTCAACTCATGACCTGGCTAATCCCAAATATTATCGGCGAGGCCGTGGCTGTGGCGGTCCTCGGCTTGTTGTTGGGTCCCTTATACCCATGCTCTACAGCGGTGTTCGCGAAACTCTTATCTCGGCAGATGCAACTTGTAAGCCTGAGCTTCATCAGTGCTCTTGGGAGTAGTGGTGGGGCTATTTTTCCTTTCCTAACTGGCATTCTTGCACAGCAGGTGGGCACAATGGTGCTACATCCCATTTGTCTTGTGTTGTATGCGGCGATGCTCATCACTTGGTGCTCCTTACCGAAGATCTCGAAGCGATCGGAGTAAAATTGCCTATATAACATAAGCCAGTATGATGTGCTCATCCGTTGATATATGATACTTATTCCAATCTGGGCAAGGAACGATGCGTACGAGGATACTAACTAGTAATGTGGAGCAAAAAGAAGCTCCAGTATTTTTTCCTTCCAAATCGGGAAATACAAACCCCACCTATTTGATTAGATATCTTCGATATTGGTGTGGTAAGACATCACTACAATCTGTCTCATATGTACCGTGAGAGGCGGGATCCGCATCATTTCCAATATCGCAGATAATTTACTTCCAGTGTATGGGCTCAAAGGAAATAAGAAACAGCCATGCCAACCACACCCTTCTTTGATTTACTGAACGCGCTCGACTCAATCAACAACGCAGAAAAATATTCTGCTTTCCATACTGTTAACGCTACATATAAGACATCCAGAGATGAGAATTCCCACATCACAGCTGACATACTCATTCCGCGTACTTTGCGGGATACCCAATATCAAGGGCCACGGCCGGTGATCGTGCGAATCCATGGAGGTTTTCTTGTACGGTATGATGGAGACTATCTTCGAACCAAGGCTAAACTGTTGACAGGTAACGGGATCAAGTTTGTACCCACCGTGGTTCAGCAACTGGATCCTGGGATATGCCTTAATAAACAACGCCATCATCATCTCCCCAAACTATAGGCTTCTCCCCGAAGTGACTGGAAGAGATATCCTAGACGATATGAACGACTTTTGGCACTGGCTCCACAGCGGATCAGTAGATCCCATTATCTGGGGAGCTGGATACCAAGGTGTAACGCTGGACCAAGATTCACTCTTGGTGGTCGGGGAAAGTGCTGGTACAAGATATTCCCTTTGCGCTTTTCTCTTGGCTTTGATTGCGGATCTGACATCCATGATTTAGGAGGCTACCTAGCCATTCAACTGGCAATTACCTACCCGTCTGAAATCCGCGGGGTCGTTGCAGCGTATCCCATGGTGGATTTACGATCCAAATTCTACACAGAGACGTACTCCAAGCCAATTGTCGGAGTGCCCAATGTCCCAGTCAGCTTGCTCGACGATCACCTTGCCATGATGGCAACCAGGAAACAGGGCCGAATTGAATGGGTTACAGCAGCTGATCCGCCAGATCGGCTGGAATTGGCATTTTCTATGGTTCAGAACGGCAAATTTCTAGATTTCTTCGGATCGAAAGATAGAGGGCTCTTTCCGATGGAGAGACTCCAGGATCGAATCCTGGCAGGAGAGAGGGTCCAGTTACCACCAATGTTTATCTTTCATGGGCAACAGGATTCGGCAGTTCCGGTAGATAGTTCAAAGGCATTTGTGCGGTTTTTGAGGGAGAAGGTACCACATGCCCGTGTTATGTTTTACACCCAAGACGGGGACCATGGGTTTGATGTCGATGCAACATTGGAAACTCCGTGGCTGAAGGATGGGTTGCAGAGGATTTCGAAGGTGTGGTTGGAATCATGTAGCTCTAATCTCTGATATGGTTACTCCTTGTAATGATTTTTTCCTTGTACCTACAATGCAAAAAATAGTATAATCCAGACATTGTACGCAAGAGGGCGCTTTTGTTCTTCCCCGTTTACCCTAGTCCATCTTCTCATGTGGAGTATGACGAGACAGTCTAAGGCAAAATTCTGATCAACATAGCAGATACTCCTTATCCCTTGAAGCCTTCCTAATTAATTGATATCCGAAGTTTTCCCTCCAAGCGAGAAGTTGGGCCAGTTCCCTGATTCGGCAAAGCCCTCAGCTTCCCGATTCAGTAATGTCGTTAACCCATTGATATCACTTTTTGCAGAAGCTTCTGGATCCCCTCATTGATGCGGGGTTGACAGTGGTATCGGAACTTGATATGGAACTGATAAGAGAGATATATAGCAGCTACGATATTCTTCACTGTTCACAATCTCTGTACTTCCTATACAATCATTCCAAGCTTCTCACAGCAGTTCCTATTCTCACCATCACATCAAAATGGTCACTGATTTCTCTGGAGTATCCCTAAAGGGCAAGACTGCCATTGTCACAGGAGCCTCTCGGTGAGGAATAAATGGGATTCCCAATTGCATGGACCTTACTCTAACAATACCATATAGCGGTCTCGGAGCTGGCATTGCCCTCCTGCTCGCCAAGCGCGGGGCCAATGTCGTCGTCAACTACGTCTCCGACGGCAGTGCGAAGCGTGCCCAGGAGGTCGTAGACCAGATCAACAACCAGATCGGCACGAAGGCCATCCTGTGCCGTGCGGACGTCAGCAAGCTAGAGGAAATCCCTTTGCTGGTTGACGCGGCGCTGAAGATTAGTGAAACCGGCAAGATCGAGATCCTGATTCATAAGTTCGTCATTCTATTCCCTCGCCTTGTTTTCCATGTGCTAACATGTTGGCCGATAAAAGTGCCGCCCAAGGTCTGGAAGCAAACCTCCTCGATACCAGCCCGGAATTCTACGAGACACACTTCAACTGCAATGTTCGCGGCCCGATCTTCCTGACCAAGGCTGTCGTCCCGCATATCGCCAAGGGCGGCAGGATTGTGTTTATCTCGTCTGCTGGTGCGCGCCTGGGTGTCGCGGGCCAGACTGTCTACGCGGCTACCAAGGCCGCGGATGAGGCGTTGGTGCGTGTCTGGGCGAAGGAGCTCGGTCAGTCGCATAATATCACGGTGAACTGCGTGAACCCTGGTCCGATTGCTACTGGTACGTACTGTGTTGGGATTGGCCGTTCTTCATATTAATACTATCGTCCTGCAGATCAATGGTTCCAAAGTGATGAGCAGTTCCTGAAGGACATGCAGCCGTTGATTGAGTCGACTCCGGCTGCGGCGAGGGTAGGAGAGGTGGATGATATTGCGCCTCTGGTGGCATTCCTTTGCAGTGATGACGCTCGCTGGACTACGGGAGCATGCCTGTCAGCGAATGGTGGTCTCTACAATTAGTTCAGTTTATGTTTTAGAGTAGTTGGTAGTCATAGCACCAATTTCAATACGTTTCAATATGCTCTGAGCGAGTATATAGCCTCTACCACTCTGATGACACTGATGTGTACCATTCCGCATAACTATAGTGACTCAATCCAGTAAAACCAGAACCTGGCTCAACTAGTTTGTAAAATCAGCAAGATGAAGACTCAAGCCTCACAATTGAACCACTACCACGAGTAACCCAAGCCTCCTCCCCCCCAGACAACATTTCTACGTAACTACCTCACAACATCAACAAATACAAGACGAGATAACAACCACTCAAACTCATCCATAACATCAAATCCAACCACCCAGAAACCCAAAAGCATAAACACATCCCTAACAATCATGATAAACAATCCCCTCAGCCGCAATCTCCGCCCTCATCCCCTTCACATTTATCTCCTTGACGATCACCGTACACCAAGTCGGCGTGTGCCCCGGAACCATCCTCCGAAACACATCCTGCATAACCTTCTCATCCTCCACATGGACAAGATAGCTAGTGAAACGATAGCCCTGGGCCAGTCCCTGGCTCACTCCGGCATTCTTCAATGCGGCATCGAGACAGGCGAAGATGGCTTCGAATTCTGCTTCTGCTGTTTCACGGACCAAATTGCCCGTTTTGAGGTCCAGTCCGATGTGGCCAGTGGTGAAGACGAGAGAGCTGGTGGGAGATACGGGCACGGTGGCTGTTGTGGCGAGGGAGGCCGGCTTTAGGCAGTCGCCTACTGGGCCGGGGAGGTTTTGGTATGTGGTCTCTGGCATGGTATCTCTGATAGTAGGAACTTTGGGGTGTTGAATGGGGGGATCAATGTTAACTAGGGTTTGGGTATGTAGGCCTACTGTGTATGTATTTAAAAATGCACAGATCTATCTATCTAATACGGTGATACTGTCTGAAGTGATTTGCCGCGAATGAAGGCAACTTGATGCAGTTCAATTACCTAAAATGGAAAAAGAAAATAGTTTTCCAATGCCAGAAGATCGAGCGGATATCAAAAAAACGATTTTAATCATACCAGTCTACAGCAAGGGCACACTTAGGGCCACTGGTTTGATGCAGCAAGCTGACTGGCTGCGGATACCCACTTCCCTATTTGGGTAAAATAGCCAGCAGCGTTGAGGTGGGCTCAGACTCAACTGTCGCCCGGTAAAGCACCAATGCTTGGTCGCTGAGACATTATCCGGCGCTTCTCTGGGTCAAGCTATGAGATCCACTTCTACGCTAGGTAACTGTAAAAGATTAATCGATGTACCTGCAGCGCTAGCCGACGGAGCGAGGTTTCCCCATTTATCCAGCCCTGATGCATATCTCCCTACGCCCGCGTCAGATGATACCGCTTGGCTATGCGCCAGGAGACTAGTTAGAATCGTAATTTGAAGCTTTCCGTGGCCCCGCTGTGGGGAGGACGTAGAGTCTGCAGTCTGGATAACAGGCTATTTTGAGTTATACAGCGTAAAAATTGTCCTGACGCTAGCGAGGAGAGTATATACGTCGACCGCGGTCGTCAAATAACAATACTTAATCGGCAAAACTGCTTCTGCCTTCCATTTCCTTACAACTTCTCAGCGGCCAAATCTCCCGGACAGGAAATTCCCTGGCATGGCTACCCAAGTTGGCAAGAGAACCAACTCCTTGGCCTTCGCCCGTTCTGACTGCCATACGTGTGCATCAAGGGGTCAGAAATGTGACCGCCAGCGACCACAATGCACTACCTGCATCAGTCACGGTCGTAAATGTGGTGGTTTTGCAACACCCCTGTCGTGGGATCATCGACGGACGCGCAACCGGGGCCTAGCCAGCCAAGATGATTCCGGGGAGGATGCAGCCGTCACAACTCCCAAGATAGGAAATGGCCAGATAGGCAAAGACCCTCCTCGGCATTTTAAGTTTGTACTGGGTGGGAAACGAGATCGGAAACGCCGGAAAGTGGTGCCATCACGAAATACGGCGCGTGCGGAGGTCGAGGCAAAGGCCGTCAATCCCCCACAACCGGTGGATGTGGTCGATGGCGATGTTTCTCCCCGCGGTGATGATGAACCATCGTTTGATCTGGTCGCTCTTGCGCAACCGGAGCATCTGTTTGATCCCTCTGATTGTATGGTTGGCCATTTCCCAATGTCCACGTCACATCACGGCTCGTATCTACGATGCTAACGGATTCTAGCTTTCTATCAGCATGATACTATTGATATACCCACTCCACAAGACTATTTTGCGTCTTTACTACAAACCGACTCATCTGCTTTCCCCCTTGAGACCCCGTGTATGATGGAGCGTACATCAGGGGAGGTCTCCGGCTTTGGGTTAGGTGACGCATTCCAGGAAGGCCTGTCCTTTATTTCCTCGGATATGGGCCCTGTGGAGGGATTGGTGTCAACATTACGCGCACCCACTCTGGAATCCATAAGTGGAGCTGCGCCGGGCCCAAACCAGCCTTTAGGGAATCAGCATGAGGCATTGCTGCAAATGTGTATGGTGTGGGTCCTTGAAAGCTATGAGTGTTGTGGTCTGACGACATGTTCACAGATGATACGGAATTCTGTGTCCTCCCCCTGACATCCGATACAGCGCTGAACCCCTTCCGCTGTCGAGAGCCGTTGTCCCAAGGTTCAAGGCTCTTGTTCCATTCCATCCTGGCGCTGTGCTGCCGGCATCTCAGCCAGATTACCGGAACACCATCCTCGGAAGAGCGAGAGCACCGTAACCAGGCGTTTAAGCTCCTCGAGAATGCACTCCAAAGTGACCAGCTCGCAAGGAAAGGTTTGACGCTGCTGGATCCACTCTTGGTTCTCTTCACACTGGATGTAAGTTAACTGACCCTTGGGTATCCTTATCGGCGCTGAATACAAAACTGACTCATGAGTCCTCAGTGTACCCTCTCTGCGTCCGGGCGATGGTCCACCTATTTAACTCGAGCACATTCCATCCTCGAAGCATGTGGCGGTCCATCAGCCCTTGATAATGCGCGCATTCGAGCCCAAGTAGCCATGATTTTGTGGTAAGCGGACACCATGCACACAACTAATGTACTCTACCTAACAAAGCAACCAGGTGGGACGCAACCTTGGCTCTAATCTCCCGCCAAGGGACAGTCTTCTCCCAGCCCTACCTCGACCACCTCATCCGCGCCGAGAAGAAAGACCGATGGTCATTCTACGACCTCACCGGCTGTCCAAGCGACCTGGTAGCTGTCATCTTCAAGCTAGCAGAACTGGCCCATCAAAGCACAATCGCCTCCACCATGGAATGGCTCACATTTAACATAACCCCTATTGTGCAGATCGAAGAACAACTTCGGTCCTGGACACACCCTTCCTTCGCCGCACCTTCATACAGCCAGACCAGTCCTAGCGGTGATGACGGTACTCGCACCCTTCCACTCGACGAAGACAGGTTTCACGCACACCAAGACCGCCATCATTGCGCCGAGGCATGGCGTCACGCCCTCCTGCTCTATATCGAGCGGATTTTCAGGTGGGATCGAAACCAGATCCGGCCGTTGTCTATCCCTTGTCTGGCGAGATTAACTCTCAACCATGTGCGGTGTTGTAGACGCACTTCGCAGACCCAGAAACAGTTACTGTTGCCTGTTTTCTTGGCCGGTAGCGAGACTGGGGATGAGGAGATGCGGGATCTGGCTAGGGGCTATTGTCGCTGGTGGGGAGAGCGCAGTAGATATAATATGTTTCATTCGGTGCCGGCGTTGCTGGAGGATATCTGGGGTGGGGAGAAATGGTGGGGAGATGTCGTCGATGAGAAGACTAAAGGCGCGTCGGCCGAGGGGTCTAATGTGCAGTTTCTTTTTGGGTAGCTTCTATAGGAACAAGACTTGCACTGCTGTTAAGAGGGTTTCAGCCTATTCTGGAAGAAGAACGATAGTCTCACTAGATGGTAACGTGGGCGAGGAACCAGAAGCATAGTGGAAGCCCGACGAGATTACATCTTTGATTGCCCCTGTAATGGTCTGGAATAAAGTATGAGCTATGATCTATCCTTCGTATGTTCATGTCATGTCCATCAATCATCTCAACGCATTGCTAGCATTCAAAGCGTCCCAATCAATCTCCGGTCCTTTAAACTTATGCCTCCTTTCAATCCAAAGGATTAAGATCAGTACAAATAGACCCGTGATGACCACCGAATTACTATTCTCTTAGCCACAGTCCCGAATTCAAAGGAAATCTAAAGGAGAACTCACTAATTCATGCTCCCCAGAGTCGTGGGCACCGTAACCGGGAAACAAAAGAAGATCCCACTGATGATCAACCAGAGAACTGAAAAGATATTCACCGCATAACCGACAACGGGCCCTAGGTCGAAATGCCGACGGGGTAGTCTATGGCGACCGCAAGTAGCCAGGATTCCTTGTGGGACGGTATATGTTATATTCAGAATGAGGATTGCCGTGTTCACAATCGAGTTGAACGCCGCGGTTGACGCGACGTAGAGGAGGCCGTAGATTAGACAGAAACCGGCCGCTAGTAGGGTAGTGCGAATTGGGATTTGGCGGACTGGGTCGATGTGGCTCCAGTAGGACGAGAAAGGAAGGCCATTCTTGAAATCAGGAACCCGTTAGCTTGGTTCCTTGTTGTTCGGATCGGTGGTTGAGGTACTTACGTCTCGTGAAAATGCCCATGCTATTCGACTGGAGGCGATCCACTGGCTGGGCACGCATGCTACTTCGGTTAGCTGGGTCGTGTTCTGGTAATGATATGGTGATGGATCATGGTGAGATTCATACTGTAGTAAAGCAGAGTTAGATAGGCCTGCAAGATTGTAGCAGCGACCTTGTTCCCAGTTGCCTGGTAGAAAATCTCCATGCTAGGCAAAAATGCTGTCTGCACTGCTTCCAAGTCGGTGATCACAGTGGCCATGACCACAATCCAGGGTACAGCTGTGAGGACGCCAATGAACATAGTCATGTTGCTATCGTATCTTGTTAGACTGATCAAGGGTATCCGTATAGAGAACCTACATGACTTGGGGCAATTTCCGTCCAGGATCCGGCATCTCCTCGGCGATATGGGTACATGCACTTGCCGCAGCAAAGCAGTACTGGCCCACGCCAATACTCATAAGCCACGCCGGTGCAGGACCCCATCCACTAGATCCATGATATTCGACAATATTGGTGGGACGGTAGTGGTCTCTACCCATGGATAGGCAGACTATTATGACTAGGAGGAGACCGACAACGGACAAATACATGGCCGTCTGCGTTAGCCGATCAATATGCTTTTGTGGAACTGTGAAAATGGGAATAACTATATATCGTTAGCATATATCAACAGGGCAACGAACTAGGAAGTGAACATAGTATGTAGGAAAAAGAAGAAACGAACGTGTCACAATCACTACAAGAACATAGCAGAGATACACCTGCCACTGCGTGCCGACAAATTCCGGATACCAGAACTTTGCAATCCCGAAGGCTGATATAGCCGTGTATATAATCCCTGAAGCAGTGGTTACCCACCATGCCACCACATTAAAGATGCCAACGGTGTAGGCGGCAAAGTTCTTTGAGAACTGTGGGGCCACAATGTATGTGAAATGGTATTGACCCTGTGAGTTTGGTGAGTTTTCAGTCACCAGGATAATGTATCGTGATCCGAGTGCTATCAAGAGACTTACACCAGAAGAGGGAAGGGCAGAGCACAGTTCAGCCAGCCCCAGAAGGACGATCCACTGGACTGCCGAAGCGATCATTAAGCCAAAAACAGCAGTTTGGCCACCCCCGTAACCGAGGGCCATCCCAAAGCAAGCAGCATAGGAAAGCCACGAATTAATGATGCTGGTACATGGTTATTGCCTTCGTCCAAATTGCAGAACGGTTTTGCTTACCTATAGGCCAGGCCAATTGCTCCAACCCAGGAGAATGATCGTTCTAGCTCAGCCACATGGCCCTGGGCCCTCAGGACAGCATCATCCAAGTCATAAACCTCACCGAAACCTTTCCTATCCGGGCTGGTGGATGGAACGTGTTTTCCATCTGATTCAACTGAGTTTGACATGGTGATTTAGGCTGTTCCGTTGGGTTCGAACATGCACGTATGAAGGAAAGGGGGATGTTTATAGAGACTCCGTAGGCGGACATATATATATGCAATACTAAACGCCACTCAAACTTAGACCCAGCGGCGAACGAGGACTAGCAACGCCCTTGCTTCCGGATGAACGGACAACAGGTAAGCACCTCCGGGGAGATTAGAGGGGCCCATGACTATACTATCTCCTTGCCTAGTGCTGTGCAACACGTCCTATACCGTTAAGCGTGGAGAAAGGCAACAACTGCCAATCAGAATCATATGGAGTATCTACAACATAGACTAAGAAGGGCTAAGAAAGCCGGAGAGTGCGGGGAAATGATGTTGAGCGAGTCGCGACTCCGGCTCGGTGGGTACCATTCTGCCCTAGATTGACTTTATCAGCTCACTTGCTAGATAGGGAGAAGATATACACCCTCGATAAGAGCCACTGCGCACCGTATTGGGCAACTCTTGTAGATTTCATGTGTATTTGAATCACTTTTTCGTATGGTTGAACAGAACAGAGGTATTATCACACGTATTATAGCCCTGTCCTGTACTAGCAGCAGTATTTGATTCGAGGCAAAGGAAGCACTTGATAAGGCTGCCTATAACATAATGACGTGGTCCGGACACTGCTCTTAAGCCCTGATAAAGAAGGCTAGGCTGAACAGACCATCAATCACAGAAGTGCTGTGGCCAGTTACTGGTTCTTGTGTCATCAAAGATCCGCCGCGGTAGGGATGTTGGTCACAATATATACTTGTGTTCAAGCCAAGAAGCTCTCATCTAACATGGATATGTGGCCTGATCTATCACACTTTGCTTCACTATGTCGACATGATCGTATGATTTTATCTGACCTTGCCAATGGGCTTGTCATATCATGTATTCGAAACCCGGCTAAGCATTTGTTAGATACCCTCTCAACAAGAAGAGTTGTGTGTACTATTTTGTATATAGAACATATCTGGTCATTATAACAATATCAGCCTACGAGATGGACATGCCATGTCAGTTAGAATAAAACCAGATGTATTAGTCCAAAACACTTAGCATTCAAGACCAAAAGCAGTACAGACTCAATCTTCAATTGCACCCAGGCTAATCAAGAACATAAACGCCACAAACAAGGTCACAGCTTTGCGCGGCTCGCCAAAGCCTCCTCTACGAGGTTCACAGCAGCCTGAGCGCATCCATAAGATGACTGATATCCAGCTCCTCCAGCACCATAGTTGTGTACCACCCAAGTGTCTCCTATGCGTTCCTTCTCGATTCTTGTCCCATTCGCCCGCACAGGTCTCAGGCCCACGCCGTGTCGAATGATATCGAGATTCTCGATTCCCTTCCCACCCGTAAGCTGAGGACACATCTTAACGGCGCGCTTCATAATGCGCACGGCAAGATTGGGATCCGGCTGTGATTCCCAGTTTCCCAACTGATACGAGCCACCCAGGATTGTACCACCACCAGCAGCGCGCGTCATAACATAGCATGCTTCCCCATCACCGTCGTCAGTGCCGGAGACATCCAGCATCTTACCAGCTTCGTTTCTGACTATCACAATCTGTCCACGGGCGGGTACAACGGTTCTATCTTCAACTCCACCCAGTTTTGAAGCCATAAGGCCTGTGCAGTTCACAATGAGGTCGACCTTGTGTTCCAGGTGAATTGATAGGGAGGTTGCGTCCAATATGTGATTGAAAACAGCTCGCTTGAATAAAACTCCATTTTTCAGACACTGAGAAACGAGCCAGGGAAGGTATATAGCAGTGTTGATGCAGACGGACGTGAAGACTGTGGCAGCGTCAAAGCCAGGGCCATGTCGACTCTTAGGAAGAGCGCGAAACTAATCGATTTAGCGTGAGATTGACAGCTTCGAATCCAACTGTTAAAGTATTACTTACATTTGGAACAACGTCCTTGAACCACGGACTTGGTGACAAAAGCTCTCCAAACCATTTTGCTGTTGTTGTACCAACATCTTTCGAACGGCTGTGTATTTCGCATTCTACAAATCGTTAGTGGCTAGTCGTGAAACGAATCTTTCTCATTTGCCTTGGAAGTGTATCCCGGCATCAGGGTGATTGCGTGCTAGATCCTCCAGCGCCGTCCATGTGGACTTGTTCCAGTCTGCTGCCTTAGTGCCACGAGTCGACATACTAAGAATGGCCTTGGTGAGTAATACGCAAGGGGCTCCTGGTTTTGATTCGACTCACGGCATATAATTTGCTCCGGCCCACGGTGAAGCATATTCGATGTCATAATCTCCAGGCATATGTTTCGCCGCAACGACTATCTTGTATCCTGGAAGCCTCGAGAGGAGAAGAGCCGTTGTAAGGCCCGCCACTCCGGCACTAGAATCAGGTATAGGAGTCAGACATAGCTGTGGAAGCCAGTACGCGCATGCGGTTTTGAGGCCTCTCACCCGATAACTACCACATTCCTTTGTTCCATTGCGCCAATCTCTTGAGAAGCGATAACAGCTTAGATAGTTTGCTGAGTGAGGCTTTGAGACATCAATATATAGTCCTCACCTTCCGATAAAAACGAACAACACCCGTTCCCGCAAGGGCTTGTATGATAGCAATGTACCAAAACAAGTATACCATTCCTCCAATTCACTCTACAAGCAGATTGCCTTGTCCAAATACACTGCAAAGAGGGAAATAGTTCCGTGTCTCTTACCAGGCTTGGAAATCATACATAATCGTTCAATCATCCGGAACAAACTCAGTTTCCTCTTTGGGCAAGTTACCGGTTCTGGTCAAAGCGCAACGTCTATCATTTGCAGAAGTCCAACTCTTTGGTAATGAGAAGCCCTACTTTACCTTTCTCAAATAGCTTGTTCTCCATATACTTAAAGACAGTGCTCCATCTAGACATGTAACCAACATCCAAGTCAATCTTTCCCTCTACTTCGTCTACAGTCCCACACACAACTCCCCAACCTCACAATGGCCTCCATGCAAAAAGTCTTCGCCGGCTATGCCGCACGCCAGGCTGTTCTTGAGGCGAGCAGCAACCCCTACGCAAAGGGCATCGCCTGGATAGAAGGCGAATACGTCCCGCTCGCCGAGGCCCGCATCCCACTCCTCGACCAAGGCTTCATGCACAGCGACCTGACCTACGATGTGCCATCCGTTTGGGACGGGCGATTCTTCCGCCTCGACGACCATCTCACCCGACTCGAAGTTAGCTGCGAAAAGCTGCGCCTGAAGGTACCTCTGCCCCGCGAAGAGGTCAAGCGGGTCCTGGTCGATATGGTCGCCAAGAGCGGCATCCGCGATGCTTTCGTGGAGCTGATCGTGACCCGGGGTCTGAAGGGCGTGCGCGGTACCAAGCCCGAGGATATCGTGAACAGTCTCTATATGTTTATTCAGCCCTACGTTTGGGTCATGGAGCCCGAGGTGCAGCCCACAGGTGGCAGCGCTATTATCGCCCGGACGGTGCGACGCGTGCCTCCCGGCGCTATCGATCCTACGATTAAGAACTTGCAGTGGGGAGACCTGGTCCGGGGCATGTTTGAGGCGTCGGATCGGGGTGCTACGTATCCGTTTTTGACGGACGGCGATGCTCATCTGACGGAGGGGTCGGGGTTCAATATCGTCCTGGTCAAGAATGGCGTCTTGTATACCCCGGACCGTGGTGTCTTGCAGGGAATTACGCGCAAGAGTGTGTTTGATGCTGCGCGAGCCTGTGGAATTGACGTGCGTTGCGAATTTGTGCCTGTGGAGCTGGCCTACAATGCCGATGAGATCTTTATGTCCACTACCGCTGGGGGTATTATGCCCATCACCTCTCTGGATGGGAAACCGGTCAATGGAGGCCAGGTTGGTCCAATTACCAAGGCTATTTGGGATACGTATTGGGCCATGCACTATGACCCGGCCTACAGCTTTCAAATTGACTATGATGATGCTCAGAAGTCTGGTGTGAACGGATTTGGGAAGCTGTGAATACCTCTAGCTGCTACAGAGGTATGGGTTTTTATGTTTTGTTCTTTTTTTCTATGTTATGATCGATGAATTACAGAATATGTATGTGTTAAACTGAATAAGATAGCCATTCTAAAGCTTGCTTCGTGATTCTGTTACACCTTGCATTGAGCATCGCGAACCATTTGATTCTTTTTAACAAGTGTATGAAAGAATTGTATATGTGGAAAGAACTAGCTTCAGTCAATCAATTTCCCTCGTTCCTATACCCGCTCCGCCGAAGAGATGGGTGAAATCGCCTATATTACTGCCTTCTGTATCTCTCTCTCTCTCTCTCTATGTATATATTAGAACAGATTTCAAATATCGAATTAATGATATAGTAGCATAGACCTGTACAGACAAAACAGCACATAATTTTAATCCCGGCTCTAAACCTATTCGCGTCTCTAGATACTTATCATTCCTTCTATTAAATTGCCTTTCTACGCCTTTCTAGATTCCAACTCATCATATATCATCTTCTCCACCTCCTCCATGCATCCCAACACCTGAAGATCTAGAGATATAACAGTTAGCCAGCTGCCGTTTCCATAACCCAATCAATACATACCTCCATACGGAAGAATCTGAGATGCAATAATAGCCCCAACCCCATTCTCACGATCCGCAAACCAGAACAGATTTGCCAGTCCCTCCCAAGAGCCAGATCCAGCTGCCCTTCCCGTTGGGCTCTTGCGATGGCTGAGAGAGAAGGACAGCCCCCAGCCCTCAGTCAGGTCATCATCACAGGGCACCAAAGGACAAGGGTTGGCCAGAAGCGGCTTTCCCGATGGTGTATATTCGTTACAATACCGAGGCATATCTGGAATTTGGTCAGTGAACATCTCTAGACTCGAATTGTTAACTTGTTAAGTAACGTAACTTTGTGGACTGGGGTCTTTCTTGCCTTTTACTGTTTCGGGTCTCAGGAGCTGGGTTCCTGTTCTTGGATCTGTGCCGTCGTTTAGAAGTGTTGCGATGATCTCTGTGATGGTATATGTTAGCTACATGGGTGTACATGTGTATAGATGCCAAGGGGAATTTGGAAAACCACATACTGCAATACTCGATGGGCTTCCCGAAACAGCCTGCTCCTCCCATGCAGAACCTCTGGGCTTCCATTCCAGGTTTGCATGGGAGAAGAGGATACCGATACAGGTGATCGGTAACTTTCGCTGTACCATCTTTATCGCGTTGATGCATGTATGCTAGGTTCATTTTCATCTCCACAGAGGGGAAGAAGCTGATCGATTCAATCCCCAGAGGCCGCAGAATGAACTGCTGAAAATACTCTTCCAGAGATAGACCGCTGACTCGTTCCACGAGCACACCAGCCCAATCAAGCCCAACACCATACTGGAACCGAGTCCCTGGCTGATTGACCAATGGCCGGTGCAACACGTCCGACTCGTGGCCGGAAAAGTCGTCCAAGCCGAGTGGGCGAGACCAGTCGCGAAGCTTTAGATCCTCGAAGGCGTAGCCAAAGCCAGCTATACATGGGAAAGTCAGCGTTATTCAAGAAGTGTAAGCGTTAAGGAAAGCCTTACATGTGTGATTCAGGAGCATTCGAAGTGTGATACCACGGTCTTTCGGGACCAAACGAAAGCTGCCGTCAGTCTCTCGTTCAAGGACTTGGACATTCTCCAACTCTGGGGCGAGCGATTGGACTTGTTCAACATCATCGAGAGCCAGCTTGCTCTCCTCGACCATTTGCATGCAGGCTATGCTGGTAATCAGCTTCGTGCAGGAAGCAATCCAAAACACTGTGTCTAAGGACATCGGGTCTGGGGAGTCACTCCCACGCTTTCCAGAAGCATGGCTGAAGAATACGTCGCCCTCACGGTCTACAGCACAATAGACGAGACCGGGAACTTTTGGTGATGGGCCCGATGTTGTTGCATCTAACGTCCCACGAAGGGTAGATGCGGTCTCCTGCGACAGTTTGGTAGCCATTGTGCTAGTTGTCTTGGAATAGTTGCGCTTTCAATCAGAAGCTCTCTGGAAGGAGTAAATTAAGGATGTAAAGTCAATGGTCCAGAATTGTATTTCCCCGTATTTCCGTACTCCGGGATGTTCTATGTCAATGCGCAGTATGGTACAATTTGCGCGAGTGGGATGCTGTCAGTTCTACGGTAGAGATAAGCCCCGCCACGATATAAAGGACAGTATCTCAAAGTAAACTCATTAGGAAGCTGAGGGCGGCATTTCGTGACAACCCAAGTATTTCCTGATCCGGTAACAGAGAATGTTCGGACAAGACCCACTATCAAGCCCGTTCAAATTTAGGTGTATGGAATTAGAGAGAAATCAAACTGACAAATCAGGACCTATACAGTTATGGCTTCCAATAAAGTTGGAGGGTCATGAACAGAATACCGTCTAACTACATACCAGGGCTCTCTCTAAACGAGCCATTCGTAATCACATACATCATCAGTTCTTCACTACCTCGGAGATGCACCTCGCGACATAGTCAACATTCCCCTCATTCAGCCCACAGAGACTAGCTCGTCCAGAGGGCATCAGATAGATATGATACTCCTCCTTCAATCTGTTAACATGTTCCTTACTCAGGCCGGTATAACTAAACATCCCAATCTGGGACTCAATATGAGACCAATCTCCAAGGGTAGCAAGGTCTTCCAATCTCGTCCGCAATTGCTTCCGCATGCCCATTATGCGCGAGCTCATAGAGTTCAGATCTTTCTGCCATTGCTGTCTGAGCTCTGGATCCGTGAGGATGGTTTCCACAATCCGAGCACCAAATCGAGGCGGATTAGAATACTCTGCACGCGCAATCAAAGACAGTTGAGATTTGGCTCCTTGTACAGAAACATCCGATGGGGCGACTAGATGTAACGCGCCCACGCGTTCGCCGTAGAGTCCAAAGTTCTTGGAGAAGGACTGTGCAACGCATAGTCCGGGAATTCTTTGGTCGGGATCTTCGCTTGATAGTAGACGCTCGGTGAAATACCGCACTGACCATGCATCGTCTTCCACGTTTCCGGTTGCAAAGCCTTGGTAGGCACTATCGAACAAGACAAATAGTTTCTTTTTCAGAACCACGTCTGCCAGCTGCTTCCACTGCTCGCGGGTTAGGTCTAGTCCTGTGGGGTTGTGCGCACATGCTTGAAGGATGACCACGTCGTTTGGTTCTGCATCTGTCTCCAGCATCGAAACCATATCAGCAAATCTAATGGATCGCGTTTTTGGATCGTAGTATGGGTACTCTTTCTGCACTACTTCCGGGCCTGCCACAGCCCACACTGTTTTGTGGTTTACCCAGGTCGGATCTGGGATAAAGACATGCTGAGGCTTCAGGTGCTTGGCAAGAAATGAGGCGCCTAGATGATTTGCTCCGGTGCCAGACACAGCTTGGATGCTTGCAATGTTCCGGCTGTCCGCTAGCTCAGTCCCAAAGACGAGTGACTTGGCAGTATCCAGAAATACAGGAGACCCTGCAATACCAAGATACTCATGGTGTGATCTAGGGTCGGCCGCAATGCGCTCTTTTGCCTAGCCTTATGTTAGTATTTGTTGGATATGCAGGAGAATGATGCGCTGTAAAGCCCGTCACTCCTTACTTACTTGTTTCACACTGGGAAGAATCCAAGGTAGGCCGTTTTCATCCCGATAGGCTCCTGCGATTAAGGAGACTTTCTTTGGATCTTGGTCTGCATCGAAATCGGCTATCAAGCCAAAGGCAGCATCTGCTGGAAGGACGGGCACGTCAAGGTATTGGGTAGACATTTTCCTGGATGCGGCGTGTGCAAAGTTTTGAGTAGGTGCTGGCACCAGCCTATGTAAAAGCTGGCTGTGGCTGCGAAGTATTTGTTGAACCGGCCGGCTGATTGAAACCATCCGTTGACAGTTGTATACAACAGGAATGCCAGAGCTGCTTTCGAAGATAAAGATATCAGGAAATGAAAGCTATCCCCAACGTATAATCCTGCATTAATATATCTATGGATATACTGCTAACATACTAACTAGTAACTGCCTGGCCGATCGGGTAGATGAAATAATGCCGACGGAATTAGGGCTAATGAAGAGCTTACTGGTGTGGGAGACCATCGGCATCTCCACCAGAAACAGAGCAGAGATCGGTCAAGCTCAGACACGCCGACGGCATACTTGCTGGAGGCAAATTGAGTCATAGTTTTCACAAGCAATCAACTCATATATATACAACCCAAAAGTACATGCCAACTCTTCTACTGTAAACCCCTAGTCAAAGCATACCTTATACAGCATTGCGCGGAGACTCAATCCCCTTAGCATCCCGCCAGATGGACAACATCGCCACCTTCTCCCTAGACAGCGCCCCTTCCTACGAGAAGGTAAAGCTACAAGTCGACGGTGTGAGTCTCGAACTCTCCACAATCTACAAAAAGGGCACTTGCCCACCATTCATCTTCCTACACGGCTTCGGCTCCTCCAAAGAAGAATTCAATGACTTCGCCTACCTCCCCCATCTCAACGAATATGGACTTCTTCTATACGACGCCCCAGGCTGTGGCGAGACAACCTGTTCCGACCTGAGCAAAGTGAACATCCCATTCCTGGTCAAAACAGCCAAAGCCCTTCTCGATCATTACGGGGTCACCAAATTCCACCTCTCAGGCCACTCCATGGGCGGCCTAACCGCCCTCCTACTCGCATCTGAGATCCCAGACCGCGTCCTCAGCTTTGTCAACATCAAGGGCAATCTTGCCCCGGAGGACTGCTTCCTCAGTCGCCAGGTCTTTCTCTTCCCCGCTGACGACCCGGAGGTGTTCTTCCATGAGTTTACGGAGAGGGCGAGGCGCGCCCCGGCCTTCTCGAATGCCATCTATGCGTCTAATTTAAAACACAAAGTTAGTCCCCATGTCACGTATGGGATTTTGTCGACAATGGTCGAGATTACCGATAACAATGACTTGCTTGCGTTGTTTTTGGGTTTCTCTTTCCCCTGTATGTTTATGTATGGCGTGCAGAATGCTTCGTTGTCGTATTTGCCGAGGTTGAAAGAAGGTGCTGTTGAATTGGCGGAGATTCCGTATAGTGGCCATTTTCCTATGTATTCTAATCCACCGGAGATGTTTAGGCGTGTTAAGGCGTTTTTGGAGAGGGTGGCTGTTTAGAGGATAGATTTGTCCTTTTTTTTGTTTTCCTTTTTAGACTTGCGTTGACTTCTAGATTGTCCTTGTGGAACTGTCGTGTTGCATAGAATAAATATCTTAGAATAGACTTGATGTTTGATCGAGGTTTGGGGGTACATGGCGTTACGTGTATGAGATATTCTATAGCCTTTTGCTCTACATTCTTTCTGATCTTGCTGATTTAATCTAGATTTGCTAATGGATCACACAAGTCCTCGGTAAATCATCATATTCCATGTAGAAGGATTCGATATAACCTTTTTCATACATATATGAAATCCATACATATATTAAGCTATTTGCTCCATAGTTCGTTTGGAAAGACATAGTACGGCTGCACAAAGCATCCGTAACGCTAATTAGTTATATTAGGAACACAAAGGTATAAGTAATAGATATCAGGCGGCTAAACTCAGCTCCATCATGTTCTATGTAAAGATGAAAATTAAACGCCCATGCCCCACCTAGGAGCATTAATGATAATCCCCATAAGGCACCCAGAGATAATACCAGCTACGGGCAGAGTAATGATCCAGCCGAAGTAGATCCACAGAATCATGCGCCAGTTGATGGTACGCCAGGTTCCACTGCAGAGGCCAACACCAACTGTTGCACCTGAGATACATTGCGTTGTGGAAACCGGAAGCTCTGCAGATTGTTAGTGTTCAGAGAATGCCACCACGCAAGAGTAGACAATGGACTTACTGAGCCTGGTCGCTGTGATGACCGTAATGGCAGAGCCAAGTTCCATGGAGAACCCACGGGAAGGGGAGTGAAGCGTAATCCTATTACCAAGATTTCGCATGATATTGTAACCGTAGGTCCAGATTCCGATGGCGATAGCTGCACCTCCAAAGGCCCTGTAGAGATAAGTTTTGATTTGTTCATCGTGGCGGTGTACATGGTACTTACAAAATCCAGTAAGGGACGGGACTCTTGGAGTTGAGCTTTCCAGATTGCCAAATATCGTAGATCGTGGCATATGGACCAACAGCACTATGATAATTAGCAAATTTTATAATTAGCCATTGAGCATGGAGACATACTTGGACACATCATTGGCACCATGGGTAAAGGAAGCAGTAGATGCCGTCAGCACCTGCAGGAAGGAGTACATGTACTCAGTCTTATTATCGTAATGTTTTGCGTGGGCATGGGTCATTTCGATGTCGCCGGTAAGAATATTCTTCTTCTTTTGCAAGCTGACAACGTCTTGCTCGATTCCCCGAAAGAAGAAGCGCTTGAACTGCCAGAACAGCATAGCTGGGTGAAAAAACCCCTTTCCTTCCGGTCGAGGGCCAATGATTGAGAATTTTGGCTTGGGCGCCAGTGAAGGTGCATCGCTTGGCGCTTCTGACTTCAAAGCCTCGGATGAAGTATTCTGGTCCTCTTTCACCAGCCCGCCTTCGTTCTCTAGGTCTGACAGTCGGTTTCCTTGAGTCGCAGCGCGCTCCGCCTGCAGCTGCTCCAGAGTCTTATGGCCACTGTAGTAATCTTGCACGGGCGAATACCCTTCCGGCGGAGGGGGAACTTCTCCACGACGTAGAACTAGAGGGCCAAGGCAGAGGTGGTACCATTGAAGCTGCCAGTCCTCCTTCAGTAATCTTCGGTACAGCCAAGGAAGGAAGAAAATGGTAACGATCAAGGCGACAGCAGCGCCAACCCCAATAATCACACCAACAGTCTCTGCGTCAGTGAGGGTAATCCTGCTCGACCCACCCTTCCACACAATGAGCACTATATGTAGGTAAGCGAACATTCATGCGGTTCTAGGTATGCGACTCACTGGTGAGGAGAGCGGAAGTGATGCCGAAGTAGATCGGAATGGCAATGAAAGCATTCCGGACTGAGTTGCTCCGCAGCATCACTCCGTACTTGGTGATCAGGAAGACGATAGCGCCAAAGGCACCCGACATGAAAGGAGCAATGATCCATGCCAGGAACACCTGAACAACACCGGAGTTGATATCACCTCCCCACCACGAAACGCCATTCGCTCCAACCGACGCAATACCCATTCCAATAACACCACCCATGATAGAGTGTGTGGTGGAAACAGGCATTCCAAATTTCGTCGCTATAGTAAGGTAGATAGAAGAGCCCATGACCGCACATAACATGCCCAACATAAGCATAGAGGGATCCTCCTTGAAGAGATCGACCGCAACAACCTTCGTCCGGATAGTATCTGCAACACGGGCGCCCACACCAATACTAAGTCTCAGTATTAGCATCTGAATCCTCAAAAACACAGGCTGGGAAGGACAATGGAGTGTCCGTACCTGCCACCAAATTCCATGATGGAAGCAAGTACCATGGCCTGCCAATACTTCAGAGATCGTGACGAGACTGATGTCGCCCAAGAGTTGGCAACATCATTGGCGCCAATATTCCAAGCATCCAGGAAGGCAAAGATGGTGCCGAGAGCAAAGATGTAGTCAAACTGGTGAAGGGCCATCTTGGCAGAGGCTTGAAGGCAACAAGAGACTGGTCTTGAGTCAGGCTACAGATCCCCATAAACAGAGGGGCATTCATAGCGCTTATATACACCCCTACAGAGAAGTAGGTAGAACAAAAGCAAAAGTCTAACACGAGTACTCAGCGCTTCCATACTTTTGGACATCGTAATCCGCCCACCCTCCATGTAACCTTAGGCGAGGTCAGTCCATTCATTCGTAAATTGACCCCAACATGAGAGCACCAGACTCAAGCCTAGGCATAGTTTCTTATCAATTTCGGCCGCTGAAAGTCAACTGATGGGCTCGGATGCTCCGACGCTCTTGGCAGCATATCGTTCAATTGCCAAGCAGTCCGCTCATGAACAGTCTTGGCACCATTTGCTTCGAAGGCTTGTATGGCCAATTAAAGCTCTATAGAAAGGAACGTGGGCTCGGATCGAACTCATGAGTAGCGCTAACAGTCCAGCTCCAGATTCTTGGCATCCGCCATGGTATACGACAGTGCTGCGACATGACTTGACTTCCGCTCGAAGTACCCTTGACAATTACTGCAACCTAGCAGCCCTGGTTCCAGAAAGGATCGTGAAGGGCGTAGCCGTACCCTATCCAGGCCCGAGATTTGCCTTAGTATTCCTTTCGGTGTGGCAGCCACAGACCATAGTTAGGTACTCCAAGACTCGCTTTGGACCAGTCTTCTTGCAGCAGTCCAGCATGCTTCGTGCCTCCAAATCATTTCCTTTCTTGGCAGTTTGTCTTCTGCTCATAGAATCACCATATGGAAGCCACCGCTGCAGCTGCCTGACACTAGAGCCAACTAAGATACCAAAGTAGAGGCATAGCGAAGAGAAACTGACTAGAATAAGCATAGTACTATTGCTAGAAGCAGAAATTCTCCGACCAACCAGTCCGTCATCAATATCGTCGACAAACTCCAAACTATGACAACCATCTCATTTACCCCTCTCTTAGTTTATGATCGATGCTCACTTAACTTGGTCTGTAAGTGCTGGATATATTCCACTGCGGTTTCGATGAGCTCCACCTGTGAGAGGGCGAGCCATTATCTCATGTCAGCCAACAATATTCTAAAACAGAGTTCAAGGAAACATCCAGCTCGTTTCCGATGGTGACTTACCTTAGTGCACAGTCCCCTTTTTCGCCCGCCGTCCACGCCACTTGCGCTAAGTACATGGGCCATCTGATCGAAGGCAATCTTTAGCCGATCCCGCTGGTTCTTCTGGGAGAGGGCATGCTTTCGGCGCTTGAAGTCAGAGTGGCTATTAGGGATTTTGATCAAAAAGCGTCCTAAAGACAATTCCTATTAGTCACGTCAAGATAATTACCCGAGTTGGAAACCATCCGGGCAAGCATGTCCACTGACCATCTTTTGGACGAAGTTCAAGGTACTTCTGTGGCGGACTTGAGGGTGGACGTTGTGCTGCCGCATTGGGAGCACGTGAAGAAGTGGACTGAGGCATGACTTTTCTTTGGGGTTGCTGTCTGATAGATTGGCAGCTAACTGTATAGCATTGCTCTCTGGCTTGCGGGGCCACGCATGGCTTATATATATGCTCGGACTAAGTGTAATGAGTTCATCCCTGGCCTTCGTTGCGGCTTATGCTCCATTTCCAAGACTTTAACACCGTTTATTTCAACGGGGTACAGCACATTCTCTTGGGCCGTTAGTCTGGACTTCAGCCAATACCCTATAGCTTTTAATAGTGATTGCAACCTTTCTCAATCCAGTAGAATTCTGAGTAACTCCATTCTAAAGGTACACGGCCCATGTGCAGCATCGTGTGACTCGAGATTTCTGCCTAAACCAGCAGTATGCCTCAACTCCATCCCCCTTCACTAATCGTATATATGCCGATATTCAGAGAAGTGTAACTGGAATATACTGCGTAATCATACCTCCAGACACCCCTCTAGTCTGTGATTGACTTCAGCGTATATTTGTTTCCTTTTTTCCTTTCAGTTTCGCAGATTATGGGTCGCCTCTTTTACAGTTGAAAGACTTCTGTATCAATCATATCTTCCAGCTTGGCATATTTCGTTATCGAGTTATCACCTCTATGTATATATTGAGTTTCTTCTAAGCATATTTATAGGCGGTCAAACATGGACTACGTCAAATCTTCCTAATTTCTTTGGACCAAAGCAGTCGTGCACTTTGTGAAGCAAAATAGATGTATAGTAGAATACTTACTGCAGTAGTATCATTTATTTTCATAGTACACGAGCTAGTACACTCCACTAATCTAACAAAAGGCATGGAGTGACGATCTTCAGCCCTGACATTGACCCACTGTGGGGTCTCTCCATATGCCAACCCTAACTCAACCTGATGGACATGCTATCCTTTTGTATCTATAAGTGGTTATGGTACAGTCCCATACCACTCAATGCTCTGTCTAGATGCATACACTCGTAGGGTACGCTATGGTTGTTTCCTACCGAGGCTCTCTACAGTTTTAGCTAACCGTATATAGTACGTAGAGATGTCATCATCTTAAAGTAATACCATACCTCAAGGCATCAACGAGTCAACGATGACCATGACTATGTCCCAATATCGTCATTTGACTCACCGTTACCTTCTCCTTGATCTTTGCCACCTCGACTGCATCCACCTCTACCCAGCCACCTGACTCGACTTCATCATCCAGACACTACAGCAATACAACACACCATATCTTCCTTCGTGGACACTGCCTCATTCAAGATGAACTCCAAACCCGACTTCCCAATAATCGGATGCCGATCCCACATTGGCTACCTCCCCACAGCGCAGTCCGTATACTCAAACTCCCTACCAACACCTCGCAACTGGACTCCACCGTCGTCGGTGATGCAGTTTGATCCAAGCTCCCACAAACAGCCCAGCACAGCCTCAGACTCGCATACCGTTACCCCAGCGCCTAAGACCCAGCCCACAGAGCCAACCAACTACGCAGACCTCCTCCAGCTGTACCTGAAGATCAAAACAGACGTCTCGTCCAAGTTCACCCTCCCCAAACAGGAGGAGACCACCGCGCCGTGGGTCTTCCAGGCTCTGACGCTGCTGGACCATGCAGAGAACGCGGCTGAGGCTCATCTGGAGCTCGTAGAGGCTCTAGAGGGCGAGATCCGGGTTTTGCGGGATCTGCGCGATAGGATGAAGCAGTCTGCGGCCTACAACACGGCGGTTGCGTCGGCGAAGAATTTGATAGACGTTCACCGGCATGATGAGGAGGGCGTGAGGATCGTGCAGGAGAGGGTCAAGGCCCTGGAGAGGTTCAGTATGGATGCGGACGTGTTGTGGTAGTGGCTTTGTTGGAATGCTTTGGGACTGTGGCTCTATGCGTTTATGTGGGGGTGTGTGTGTGTGTGTGTGTGTGTGTGTGTCCTTTGGCTGTTCCTGTTGGTGCTTGGTTATTGCAAGGGCTATTGGGTGATGGGTTTTGAATCTTGATCAGATGTATTATGGGGTGTTCAATGTAAAGGAGGGAATTTGCTTCGCTGTTTTTTAATCTCTGAGAGAGAAACCATGATCCAGAAGACATCACCTACCATCAGTAATCCGCTTTTGATGTCCGATCATCCGTTCTCGTAGCATAGTCGTTTTGGTTCTATGATGGGTAGGTGAATATCACTACAACTACAGAGGGCTATATCACCCGCACTGGTATTCTCGGGGATCCTTTCTAGACTTTATAGGTGTCCAGAATCATCCGGTTACCACCAGAAACAGACCACACTCATCTAGTTCTAAAGAGAGAAAGATAAATATATGTACTGTGAGCTATGCGCGCTTAGCAAACTGGCAGCTTCTTGAATTTAGACATATAGTAGGTACTCAGAGTGGGAGGTTTTATCACGGTCATGAATTCAACTCATTTACTATTGGCATGCTATATTCTACTACTCATTCGGATGGCGTTTGATCCTGACAATGTCTGTAGTCTATCTAGTGATCTGTTTCGCAATAAGTACTAGGCTTAGGACGTAATGCCGTGAACGAGCCTATATATAAAGTGAGCCAACCCTGTCTACATAGTCTTGTATAATACTTGTCAAGGATCTTTCTCGCTTATCATACTATATATAATATTGTGCGAATCTATAAAAAACAACATACAAGAGAATACAGAAAGCGCTCATTAGCATCATCGACCTAACCCTAAATCTCCCATTCATAGCTAGTAGAAATAACATGACTGGAAAACATAGCGTAAACAAATGGAATAACTTGTCCAGACGTCTTGTAACCCTCTACAGCCCCAAAATTGAAGTATGAAAACGTTGATCCTACTAATCAGGTCTCGCATTTAATATACCAACTAAACATGGGTCGCATCGAAGTCAACATAGGTACAGATATGAAAACAAGGGATATATGCTTCGACGCCCCCAATGTATCATCACAATGGTCATAAACAGGCCACAATAGCGGCAGGGTATCCTCAGCAATTCGAATCAGTAACGGCTATAGCACACCACACATAGTAGTCTCTTCCGGACCTGGCACACGCAAGAGCAGAAGTGAATACTTTGCGAGGCGGGACCATGCCGTATAACGGAGAAATATGGAAAGGGGAAAGGGAAACGGATAAAAAAAGAAAGAACAAGTGAAAGGAAAAGTAAACAAAGGAAAGGGGTGTGTTCACGAAAGCATCCAAGGCTCAAAGGAAATCGACATAGCGAGGGACAAACAACGAATGCAGTAGTAATATCAACAATAAAAGGGAAAGAATGATAATGTGTCCGCGTGAAGTCGCGAACTGTATCGCGATTCATGAAGTCTCAGGCTGAGTCGGTTTGTCTTCATCATTCTTCGCCGACTCGCTCTCCTCCTTCTTGCTCTCAGTTTCCTCTGCTTCTTCAGAGATAGGTTCCTTCCCCTTAAGGGACGATGTTTCGTTTTCATCTCCGGTTTCTGATGCTCCATCCTCGGCCTCTGCTTCAGCACCATCTGTTGTGTTCGATTCTGGCTGAGAAGCTTGCTCGGCTTGTGCAGCTGCAGCTTCCGCCTCTGCTTTCTCCATCTCTGCTGCTCGAGCTTGTTGTCTCTCCCACACCTCCTTGCGGATGCGATCATCCTTGGCCCGACGAAGTCTTTCGGTCTCTTCCACACCACCACTCTTTTTCAGCTTACCCTCCTCCACAAATGCTCCTAGCTCCTTCTGGAAGAGACCGATCCGGCGATTCTCTAATTCTTTCTGCCGTGCTTTCTCTGCTCTTTCAATCGCCTCAAGGCGTGATTCGTGGTTCGGTTGCAGCGCACGAACTTCGCCTAGGACGCTGTCTTTCGCCTTCATGGGATCCACTGCGGGGTCGATGACCACATTACGAGAAGTGTTTCGTAGGGTGACTCCGTTAGTGGGATTGTTCTGCATTGCTTGTTCTTTGGTAGCCTGCTCAACAAGAGCGAATGTCTGGGCGGCCTTTTCCACATCATCCTGTAGGTCGGCCGCAAGGTCTTCTTGCATAGTGAGCTGATCACGTTCCTCGCATACAAGTTGTAGCTCTTTCTCCCAAATCTTGGTCCAGATCGGTTTCTCCCGCTTGAGGAATTCCTGCATCTTTTTAATCTCCTTCGTAACTGCACTGATATCCTTGCCCACACTCTCCAGTTGGCGTGGCAGCGGCCGAACCCCGCGAGTCACCACATCTTTGCGCAGATCCTCCACCAGATCCTGAAGGTCATCAACACGTGCCACAAGGCGTTCGGATTCTTCACCAAGCTCCTTCTTTCCCGAATTGACGCGTGCGCGTCCTGCATCACCTTCAAAAGTAGGCAGAGATACTTCCGTGGCAGCAGATTTCACACCGCTGGCCTTGGTGCGGATCGCGTTCATCGAGCTTGCGATATCCGACTGGAAGTTGGAGTAAGTTTGTCGCAGCACAGCAATATCACGCCTGAGGCTTTGAAGTTCTGCAAGCTGGCTGTCGCTGCCTGCAATTGGACTCTTTGAAGGTCCCCCAGAGCTTGCACTTGAAACAGATACCGGGGGTGCTGCGGCAAGACGCGCCATTTCCTTGGCCGCTTCAAGCTGGCGGTCAGACACCCGCTGCATCACACTCTCTTGGCCGTTCAAAGCGTCCTTGACGCCTTCAATCAACCGGCGGACGCCACCAAATTCATCATCAAAATGCTTCTTCACCTCGTCAAGGATGTCGACATTTAACACGAGGACGGACCGGTCCTTCACGTCGTTCAAATCCTCCAGCTCGTGGCGGACACCCGAGACGGTATCCTGGATATAGATCTCTGGCAAGTCAGCTCCATTATTGTGAGTGTTCCAGGCAAATTTCTCAATAAAAGCCAGCTGGAGCCTTCCAATTGTCAGACCAGTAAAGCCTTCTGGAAGAACATATTTCTTGATCTTGCTTTTGTACTGTAGGAACAGGGTGAGCTCCTTCCCAGGAGATGGCTGTTCGGCAGTAAATTGAGTGCTCTGGGGAGGGGTGGAAACAGACGGTGGCTGTCGACGTTCTGATTTGGGTGTCGTGGGAGAGGCAACAGCGTCGGATGTGCTCTCCTTGGCTGGCTGAAATGCCTCGGCAAGGGAGGGCTCCTCCTGAGGACGAGGTAGATCGATTGTTTCGGTATCTGGCCGTTTTTGAACTTTGTCTTGAGGGGTAGGAAAGTCTGTTGCAGAGACAGACGTCGAAGCCTCAGCCCGAGACTTACTACGTTCTTCTTCAATGCTCGGAACATTCGGAGGTGCCTGCGCCGGTGCAGTTTTGGTAGTAGTGGTCTCCTGCAAGCGGTTCGTCGATCGCTGTCGGCCGTGGGCGTATGATCCTCGTAGACGAACAGCATTTAACGATTCACGAACATCGCGGCCACGATTTGGCAGAGGAGAGTGCTGGGTCGGTAGAACAGGGACACCACTGGAAGATGTCCCCAGGTGCTTTTGTATCTGATACGCGGAGAACCTTCGGGAGGCGCGCCTCTCAAGCTCACCACTTCTCTGCAGCGCACCAATGGCATCGTCTTGCTTGGGAGGCGGTGGCGGCGGAGTAGGATATTCAGACGGATTAACCGATGACGCGGGTGCTTTGGGAGTAGAATCGCTTTCAGGTTGGGAGGACTGAGAGAGGATATTCTGTGCTTCTCGTCGCGATGCTTCTCGTTCTGAGAAGCTTCCCCCTCGCGTGTCAGCCGGCGCTGGTGACATTCGAGACGTACCAGACGGGTCTTCCACAGAGCCATTACTTCCATAACGACGACCGGTTCGTTTCGGTGATGACACGGTAGAAACAGTTTCCTCGTACGCCTGGTTCATAGCCGCCTGTCCACTCGTCACACTTCCAGCGCTTGCCTGCCGGCCAGGTACCGAACGACTTTCCTCTCGCTGTTGCCGCGAACGTAAGCGGGCCTGCTTCTTCTTGAGCCCGTGAAGAAGGTTGATGATGATGTCACGGATGCGCGGCAGATAGCGGTCGAGGCTCTGCGGGGAAGCATCCTGGCTAAGGGTGTCTTCAAGAATTGTTCGGAGAAGATCTGGCACCGGGCCCAAGTCGGAGGTGTCGACCCCGATCGCATTGAATGCGCGACAGGCAAGGTTGAACTCATAACCTAGCCGCACGTAGACGTCAGATACCTCGTTCTCCGAAGTTTGTTTCCGGGACCATTGTGTCAGTGTTTCTAATAGTTGCTTCGTGGCTACCAAGAGATGCGTGACGCTCTTTTCAATTTGTGAGATCTGCTTATCGGGCTGTGGCGGGCAAATAGACATGTATTAGCCGGGATAGTTGTGGGTACAACGTGGGTGACAGCAAGGGTAAAGGGTTGTGGTGTGAACTATTGAATGCACAACTTACCACAGAGCTTCTGGATTGTGATCGCCCGGAGCTGGATGAACTGCGTGGCGCGGAGGACTGTGAAGTCATGGCGGATTCAATACTGCTTCCGGAGCCCGAGGAAAAATGCTGGGCTGACGGACTGCGCTGAGAGCGAGACGAAACGCTAGAGGCAGACTGCATATGTGAACGTGTATGCGCGCGTGCGTATATGTGGGAGGTCGGAGGGTTTCCTTTTTATGAGGGTAAATTGGATGGCGGGTAAACGGGAGAGGGACACAGCAGATGCAGGGAGTAAGGGCCCGGTCGTAGTAGGGAAGGGGCCAAGCTGACAGACTGTCTCGGAAAGTGTGAGGGTGGTGTAAGGGAGCGAGAGACGAAACAGAACCAAAAAACAAGTGGGGAGAGACAAAAGAAGGGAAAAAAAATTCGGGCGAAAGCGAATCTTGCAAGAGGAAAGGGTCCCTCGCTGAGAAACACACCCACACACACGTATCCCAGCCTCTTTTTGGTGTTGATTGGGGGTTCGACGATAAATGAACTGATTGATCGGCTGTCTTCTGGTTTAGTCTCCTTGGGCTGCAGTTGGTCCAAGTCAGTTGGCCCCATGCCTAAGGCACCCCTTGTCAGCTGTTCCACCACCAGCCTCCCGCTTTCCCTCTTCCGGCGATCTCCCTCGCACCCTCGAGGTATAAAAGATGTGCCTCGGTAGGATATTCATTGACAAATATTGACTGGACTACCATTCTGACTGAGAGGTTGATGTCCGTCTGCAAAGAGAATCTCCTACATTCCCCTATATATTACGTAGTACCATACCTGCTGTTCTTCCTACTTGAACCCTATCGTTGTCCGACTCTGGAAAACTGGTGCCAAGAATGGGACCCACTCTCTAGGCGAATGCTATTTTTGTGAAGATCCGAGACAACCCATCGAGGGAATGTAGAGTATACTCCTAGTACTCTTCCAAACACTGAGGATATTTTTTCTCTTCTACAGAGACACTCTGAGTGGGAAAGCGTATTATCTAAAATTGACAGGTCCTGACTCTACGGAATGAATATTAAACTCTCTATCTGCGTTCATAGTATTGTCATGGTTAGTCAATAGACTGGACTATCGTCGTGCGGATAAGCGGAGATAAACCCAATCAATGGCCAGCGTCAACCTTATGGATCTTAATGAGACGGGATCGTTATGAGGCTGTCGGACTTTGTAAGGTAAAGTTTGTTAGATCTTTACTCGTATTGCAAAACAACGGCCAAGTAACCAATGTAGCAGAAGCAGAGGTCATGTGCAGTCTGACTGAATATATCTACTGTGTAGTCGTACTGGACAGACTTCTAAAGCGTAAGCATACGCAAGGTCAGTCTTTCAAACCTTTTAAATAGTACTATATGCAGTGTAGTTACTCCACTATAAGTAATCGTGCAATGTAATGGGCCTTGTCTGCGGGAAGCAGCCCCCAGCTTGAGTAAATAAAGAATTGATGCCTTTACTCCGAATTTTTGGCTATCGAGCACCGGAACATTGTATCCAGGTGTGTTACAACTCTGGGAATGTAAGGTTGTTGCAGACCTGTATGGGTCAGGTAACAACGTATTTAAACCTACGCTTAGGCAATACTCAGCATAGCGGACGGACTGAATGTGTGGGTTCTTGCAAAAATATGCTGGCCGGACAAGGAACAGAAGAAACAAAGGGAGAATAGATCGTGAAGATCAGGGGTTTATTTGACACAGTAACATGGCATTGTCGGTAGACATCGTTGGTATGGAGTACTAGAGGATTAATTCATGGTGCTATCAGAGTGGGCCAGAAGAAGTGGATTCTGACAGACTACCACGCAGGAGTACTCCATTCAGATTGGGCAGACACAATGGTAGAAGTGCGTTGGAGTAGGGAAAGTGGAACACGCACTACACACAATCATTAAAGTACACAGTGGTAATTCCAGAAGTCCATTCAGTCAGTCAGTCCCATTCATGATTTGATGCAGTCAGAAAGGAAAAACCCCAGATAATAATAATCAAGACTGAAGAAGAGCACAAGATTGAATACTAAATATTCTCATAAACGGGAAAGTAACTATCAGAGTGAAAAATAACAATAATAATAATACATAAATAGTATACCAGGTAGTATGTTTATTGTAATCATGATCCCAAGAGAAGGGAATATACCTGGGCATAACTCCGTACAAGGTGTGTATTGATGAAACAAATAACGTTAATTACCTACCTTACCTTAAGATTTCCCATCAAATCGAGGAGGTCCCCACTTTCGCTGCCAAACTGCCCAATGGAACCATGGGAAGGGACTCTTTTCCCTCCACCAAAACCTCACCTCACCTCCCGCCTTAACACTTTACTGTTCCTACTAATGTCTGGACACCTCCACGGACACTAAACCGTGACGATTTCTCCTCCTCCTCTTGTCCTCCCTCTCCTCCACTGCCGTCGCCTCTCTTCCGTTGGCCCTGGCTGATGTGCTTTGTTTCTATTGTTCTTTTTTATTATTCTTATTCTCAATCACCAGTTTGTGGTTCGGGATTCCACCCCATCTTCATTTTCTCCTTCTCCCCCTCATTTGGACCATTTTCTTCCCAAGCTTCTTTATTTACCTCTTTGCTCCCTTGATTATTGTGGTCCCGTGACCAATTTCTTTTCTTGCGATCTTTTTATTGCTTCCCCTCTAACATTCTCCCCCGCCTCTCTTCGTCCCCCCGACAAGGTCGTTCTCTGTTCGCGCAGGCGGTGTGTGTGTGTGTCTATCTTTCTACGGCTTTACGTCGTGCGAAGTTCCACGGCGTGAGCTTCATTCGATTTTTGACCACCACCCCAAATGGCTTCTGTCAACTCCTTGCCGGCTGCCAATAGTGCATCCGGCAATACTGTCAATGCGTCTTCACAGAACTCGGGTTCAAGGCCCTCATTGAGATCCAGCGCTAACTCTAAGGCGGATGGGGGTCGCCGTCAGACAGGCAGTCCGCTAGATGGAGGTCAGAGGTATGTTGTATTGTATAGTTGCATTGTCCGATTATTTCGTGTCCAAGCCAATCCATCGGTCTTTGGTTTCTGTTACTCTTGTTTCACCGCTTTATCACCATGCGAGAGCGCCGTTGAGCGTCTCCTTACCCATCCTGGTCTTTTTCCAACTCGCACAATTACCACTCGACAAATGACTTTTGCTTCTGCGCCCTATTTTTCTCTTCTATATTCATGTTACCGATGGCTGTGCTTGTCACGGCACGGAGACAAAAGCATTTGGATTTAATGTCTTTGGCAGCTTCGTCTTGTGATACATTGACTAACGATTCTTCTCCAGGCGCAGTAACTCCCAGAAGGCATGGACCCAAGGCACGAACCCGATTACTCAGAGGTCTTCGTATTCGCAACAGAACGGAAATATGGCTCAGAAACAGAATGCTGCCCCTAAGCCAACATCGAAAGAGTCGAACACACCAGATAATCATGCCCATGACCGTCTTGTTTTCTTGGTCACCAGCTTTATTGTAAGCTCATCCACCCTCAATCCCACACAGGACGGAGCACTTATACTTCTTAGGGTTTGGCCGCTACCATCACCACGAAAAATGGCGAGAAGTACACCGGAATATTCTCTTCGTCCTCCCTTGAGCCCAGCGACTCATCCTTTGTCCTGAAGATGGTACAGCGCCCAACAAAGCAAGAGCAAAACCGGGCGAATGGCGTAAGCGATGCTACAAGTCCGTTCCTCGGATCTGCACCGGATCACAGTATGTCGTTCGATATAAAGGATGTGGTGGAAATATCCGTCCCCAACGTTTCTACATCCGATGTTACAGCGAAAGGAGCCAATGGTAAAGCTTGTCCACATTTACTTTCTTCACCTGATAATGTTTCTTGGTCGCTAACGCTCTCTAGGTGCCTCTACGGGCTTTCGAACCGATGTCGACATTTCTGGTAACTTGGCGATGCGCGAGCGAACCTTGAAGCGCTGGGAACCATCAGCAGAGACCGAGGTGGATTTGTCCCTGGAAACTGCGAAAACTCCAGCCGGCTGGGATCAGTTCGAGGCCAACGCACGGTTGTTTGGAGCCACTAGTAGTTATGACGAGAATCTCTACACTACCCGGATCGACCGTTCCGATCCGACTTACAAGCAGAAGGAAGCAGAAGCCGCTCGTATTGCACGTGAAATCGAGAACACCGACGTTGACAATGCGCATATGAGGGAAGAACGAGGGTTAACTGTTCCAGGAGATGGCGGTGACGAGGAAGACAAATACAGTGGTGTCCGACGTGACGAGAGAAACTTCCCACCCCTTGTCTCTGGGCAGCCAAACAAATATACACCGCCGGCTCGTCGGGCTGCCGCTCAAGCTGCCGCAACCCCAAGTTCCTCCGCCAGCACTGTGAAACAGGTACCCAAGGACACAACGCCTTCTACAGCACCACCACCTAAAGATAGCACCACACCGCAACCGGCACCTTCGGCTACAGCTGCCAGCGCTGCTCCTGACGCAGACAAGTCTGCCTCGGCGAAGCCTCCATCAGTCACCAGCGCTGTACCGAAACGGCCTGGTACAGAAAATGCTACGGCCAATGTAGAAGCTGAAGTGCTAGATCACTTCCGTCAGTTCGCCAACAGCGAGAAACAGAAAATGCAGGAACGCCGCCGTAACCAGGCGTCCTATGATCGCACGATCAAACTCAATGAACTGATGAAATTTTCGAAGAACTTCAAGCTCGCCACGCCAGTCCCCAAGGATCTGGTACCTATCCTCGCCAAGGACCCTCATAAGCAGGAAGAAATCATCCAGCGAGCTCAGCTGCAGGCTGAGGAGAAAACATCAACCAAGACCTCTCCGACGCCTTCTGAGCAGAAACAAACACCTCGTGCCCCTGTCTCGGCTCGCCCTGACAGCGGAACAACGCCAGCGGCGACACCGTCCGATCGCCCGGCCTATCCTCGTGGTCGCCAGGTGTATCCTCCTACCGGTCCGCACGCAGGTTCTGGTGCGCGAACCCAGCACCAGGCAATGAACCCACCTCGTCAAACCACTGGAATGCTCGGGCACCGCCTGGCCGATAATCTTCAGCAGCGGAAAGGCGCAGCAATGGGGACCGTTCCTGCGCCTTTGCCTATTCAAGACGGCCGCTTACCTCCAACTGGCCCCGCTGGCGACCAGTCCGGCGTAACCAGCCCAAGCAAAGTGCAAACGCCAACGTCTTCTGCATCCACAAAGTTCAATGTGAGAGCCCTGGAGTTCAAGCCCAACCCAGCCGCAAGCACATTCACTCCAGGTGCTTCATCCAACACACCACCTTTTGTCGGAGGTCGTTCTGTTTCTCGTGCTACTAGCCCATCTGCATTCTTCGGTGCTAAGAAGCCACGGCCCGTCACCGAGCGCCCGTCTCTCAAGAACCAGTTCAACCCTATCAAACGAATGAAGAAGGAGAGCGCGGAGCAGACCGAGAAGGATTATACTTTCAACGGAGGAATTCCGCCAGCATATAAAACCCTTCCCACCTGGGACGTGGCTCCTGGCAATGAAGAGAAGACCTATCTGCAGATGTTCAAGCCTCCTGTTGCTGTTCCAGCCATCTCTCCCCAGAACCGCTCAGCATCTAATCCCCAGGCGCCTCATCAACCCCACATGCCCTTCCAGTTCCCCCAAACAACACCCGGTATGCCTCCTGTTTCTGGTCCCCCACATGGGCCTCATCTGCATCCCCAGCACCACGCATCTGGTCCACCTCACTTTGATGACCCTCACCGGATGCAAATGTCAGCGTCAACTTCTCAGGTCTTCCCCTCTCCGAGACTTCAACATGGGTATCCTTCTCCCATGGCCCCGCATGCACAGCTAGCATTCGGACAGCCTATGCCACAATTCTACGTCAATCAAGGTGGCCCTCAACCTGGTCATATGAGGCCCTACCCGGGTGCTCCTCAGTTCATGAACCCGCAGGCCAACATGGGTGCCCCCATGATGGTCCAACAACCTTCCAGCGGTCCTTACATGGGTGTCCCTCAGGGTATGGCCCCTTACACACCTCAGATGCAGATGTATTCCCCGAACCCGGGCCACGCCTACCCGCAGCATGCGCCCCCTCAGCCGCACAGCGGCTTTCCGAGCCCCAGCCGCGGCGCCCCGATGATGATGCACCAAAACTCCCAACAGGGCCAGCCGCCACAGCCAGTCATGTTCATGTCGCCGGGGCAGCATGGACAGCCTGTCTATGCAGCTCAGCAGCCAGGTCACAGTATGTTGCAACCAATGAAGCGACCCACTGCCGATTGCTGACCGTTCCCAGTGCCTCCCGTTCGGGGTAACTATCCACAACAGCAGCCGCCCTTCCAATCTAGCCCGCATCAGGTGCATCACTATCCCCCTCATCAGCATCGTACCCCGAGCAGTGGCTATAACCAGATACCCCAAATGCCACCCCAGATACCTGCTCAGGCACCACCGGCCGCAGCGTCGGCTCCTCAGCCAGCAGACGCTGCAGATGAGGTGAAATGAATCCGCATTATGGATAGTGGGCGAGACACCATATCCTCCCTAGCTGAGCAATCTAAGGATATAACTATTACACCTCGTGAATAGGCGTACCAGCTACGCTTGCGTGTGCACATAGCATTCGTTCAGCGTTGACAACCTCACTATCTCGCAACACCCAAGCCCTCAATATGTTTCTGCAAGACCTCTCTCTACCTTGGATTTTTGCTCTCACGCTACCCTTTTTGCATCCAGAGCGTACAATACTTCTGGTGAGCAGGTACTGTCATTTGTACTGGTGAGTATTCTCGGTATCTTTCCGGTATACGTTAGATTGTATAGAACTTGTACTGATGAACCAAGGCGATTACGTGTCATGTATCAACTACGTTCAGCGGGTAAGGTATATGATAGGCTTGAGGATGTATATGCTGAAATATGAGATGATCCACTTGTCGACAGTTGCAGGTCTTGATGGACTTGTGACAACGTCTACCTCGCCACCACCTATATTATACGTCTTGGGAAAATCTCCGGAGCAGCCGCGAGATGAGCTCAGCCAATATTACATCACATGCCCGTGCGAAACACATCGCTGGAATCGGTATATGCCAACCATGTTTGGGGAATTTTTTATTTGTCATATTTATCTTGCTTTTTTCGTTTCCATTTTCTATTTATTTCTCGTATTTTGCACTGCATGTAGCGAGGGGTTGTGCAGGAAGCTCAAGATGTGCATGGAGATGTGCCAGTCAATAACTGTGTTTGCTTCTCATAGCTTCCGTGCCAGAGGGTACCAACATGGCACTCTACATGCTCTGTTGTTGTGTTTGACTTGTTGCAGCCTAAGTGCTGAAACGGCACGAGAGGTGCAGGCTATGCATGGATGAATGATAATCAGTGATTAAACGGAAGGTCGGGAATGATAATCCATGAATACCATGTCCTAGTCCATGTAAAACTGAGGTTTCGGATGTGTAGCTGTTGCTGCTGTCAAATAATGGATGATAGAAGTCTATTGCACCAGGTTCAAGTTAGTAACGAAGCCTCAGAAAAGAGTGTGTAGTGAACTGGGGCACGGATGGTAAATCTCCTCAGGTCTTTTCAGTTTATATTTGGTCATCATCCAACCAAGACAGCGTCACAACCGCGGTACTTTCGCCTCATCCAGCTCAAAGGCAAGGAGCCCATCATACGACCACAACTTCCACACCGCCATACCGTAGCCAAAGCCATGCCTCATTTTCGATCGAATCCCCCACCGCATCTCCTCCGTTCCCATCAGCAGTTACTCCCACGAAAACCCAAGCATCCACCCCCACTTGTTTGCCGCAGCCATTAGTTTCTGAATTCCTCATGGAGACAAAGCGGACCAGAAACCCCAAATTGCGGCTTGCGAACTATCCTCTTTGCTGTACACACGTCTTTCCAGGGTATGCAATGCCGTGAGTCTTGCGACTATGACCATTTGCCTTTTACCGAAGCATGTGCCTGCATCTGATTGATGGGGAGCAAAGAGGATGAATGATAAGATCTTCTCGAGAATGACGTACGGCTGGCTGACAATGTGGGAGGGATTTTGTGTTCGTCTGATGGCACACCTTGACGGCGAATAAGGAGTCCCTTCGGCTGGTGCACAACGTCCCTCTTGGTTTTGCGGTCTGACCTTTTACCAGTGGATCATCACTGGAGATTTGGTGGGCTGCGAAAGGGGAAGATAGAAAGCTCACTCACTTATTTTGTGGTGCGGTGACATTAGTTTTCTAAAGCTATTGTAGGTTAGTTCGTGTGAAGAGTTAGTGTCGTGACGATCTGCCTGGTACTTTGATTCATTTTTGCACTATTTCGGCGGGTGGTAACGTTGACGCGCATGGTAGAATAGAATCGGAGAAAAAGGAGATGGAGCAACAGCTGTGATGATATTCGAAAGCTAGATGCCACTAAACCGCATTGGGGGTGGGGTACCGCTGGCCTACGCCAAGCCTAAGGCCATCATTTAGTTGTGATTAGTTTCCGTGATTCAATGCCACTGACAATCCCCTTGTAAGCAGCGCAGGCTGTTGGATCGGGGCCAAGTTGCTTTTACCAGGAATTCGTCAACGGTACAGCCAATTCAGAAGCAATCGAGTGGTTTCCACCATACTCGCTCTTCTCTAAACTCCAACTTCCGCCGGGCTATTGTCGTCAGAAGTCGGAGTAATCCGCGGCCGAGAAACGAACAACTATGGATTTCCTCAAATCCGCCGTCGCATCTGCAATCGCGAAAGGAAGCTCCTTCCCCTACTCGCTCGGTGACAGAGTCGATATTTCTGATTCGATATGGACGCTTCATAATGCTACGAAACGGGTATGAAAGCTAGGAAGCTGTTGCCGGTTTATTGGATGTGATCGCGGGGCTAATGAGGCGCTACCTGAGTTGGATGCATAGGATGACGGCTCGGCATGCAGTGTTTTCACATTCGATATTGCTTCTAATAAGTCTCGTCTACCCCTGGCGAAGAACGCGGTGCGGAAATCACGAACGTTACGACATCCTGGTGTTATTAAAGTCTTGGATACTATCGAGGTACTGGATCGTTTGGTGGTTTTAGATGCTGGGTGATGTCCTGGGTCACCCAGCCGTGGACGCGCATCTTACTTACGATGTATAGACAGAAGCCAGCCTTTATATTATCACCGAGAGAGTCGTCCCCCTATCGTGGCATGTGAAGCGGAGGAGTTTGAGTGAGGAGACCTCTAAATGGGGACTGCATACAGTGGCGGTACGTGGCTGAATGGGTGACCGGGCTTGGGCATATCTAACTAGATTTGTTTACAGTCCACACTTAAGTTCATAAATGAAGATGCTTCGTCTGTCCACGGAGTCGTGAGAGCTTCGTCAGTATTCACTAGTGAAAGTGGCGAGTGGAAGCTAGGGGGTTTCGATGTGTTAAGTTCAATGAATGATGAACATGCAATTATATACGTTAGTCTCCCCTTGACAGAGTCGATCAGACGGGGATGTGGGCTAACGACCGACAGACATATGCCAGTCTTGTACCGGACGCAGCTCGGTATACACCTCCAGAGGTTGTCAAAGGCGGATGGGATACTATCAAGCGCCACCCACTAACGGCTGTCGATGCCTATGGACTTGGCATCCTAATCTATGAAGTCTTCAATGGTGGCTTCATGGGAGGAGACCAGGTGGGCAGAACAACGAATATCCCACCAACTATGCAAGCAAGCTACAAGCGTCTTTGCACGGCGAACCCCAAGCTGCGACTCAGTCCGGGACACTTTGTGGAACAGGGAAAGAAGCATGGCGGCTTCTTCCAGACACCGTTGATCAGGTTGACAGACGATATAGAGAGCCTGGGCCTCAAGAATGATGCCGAGCGGGAAGAGTTCATCAAGTAGGTTACTCCTCACATTCCCTTTGCTGACAAGTATATTATAAAGGTTCAAAGTACTGATTGTCTTAGTGAGCTTGATGGACTTACCGAGGACTTCCCCGAAGAATTCTTCAAAATGAAAGTGCTTCCAGAGCTGTTGAAATCTGTTGAATTCGGTGGAGGTGGTCCCAAGGTTCTAGGTGCCATAATCAAGATTGGGTCCAAATTATCATCAGAGGAATTCAATTCAAGACTGACACCTGTCATTGTGCGCCTGTTTGCCAATCCTGACCGAGCGCTACGGGTTTGTCTGTTGGACCATTTACCATTGATGATTGACAATCTTCCACAAAAGATTGTAAATGACAAAATCTTCCCGCAGATGGTTCGTTGTGTTATTGAGTCCTCGTTTTCTTCCATTACTGACAATTGGTTTCCATTCAGACTTCTGGGTTCACTGACATTGCACCCGTTGTTCGAGAACAAACCGTTAAAGCCGTCCTGGCGGTCATTGACAAATTGAGTGATCGGACTATCAATGGAGACCTGTTGAAATTCCTGGCTCGGACTGCAAATGACGAGCAACCAGGGATTCGTACAAACACTACTATATGCTTAGGGAAAATCGCGAAAAACTTAGGACAAAGCGTATGCCGCACCACGCCCCTGAAACAAGCCAATGCTAACCGCGGGTATAGTCCAGATCCAAGGTTCTTATTGCTGCATTTTCAAGATCGCTACGCGATCCGTTTGTACATGCCCGTAATGCGGGCTTGTTGTCGTTGGCTGCCACTATGGAATTCTTTACCGAGGAGGATTGCGCCACGAAAGTTCTTCCCGCCATATGCCCTTCTCTCCTTGACAAGGAAAAGTAAGGGGTTCTTTGTCTCGCCGCTATCTCTATGCTTCTAACATGCGAATAGGATGATCCGGGATCAGGCGAACAAGACACTCGACGTTTATCTCCAACGGATACGTAAATTCGGCAGCACTATGCCGGAAACTGTGCTGTCTCCTTCCACCAGCTCAGACGCTCCCAAGGACGATGCTCGTATTGGAACGTCCAATGATAAGTCCTGGGCAGGCTGGGCGATCTCCTCATTTACAAACAAGCTTACCGCGGCGAATGGTGTGATTGAGCCATCTGCGAATGGCGCTAAGCCGGTCGAAGCCGAGCCAGCCCGCTCCGCATCCGTGCCACGTCCGTCGAAGCCGTCGCCCTCGGCGCAGCTTGATTTGCCAAAGGTGGCTCCACGCCCTGCAGCACAGCCCCTAGGCCACCGCTCAATGTCAGAGCAGGTCGTTCCGATCACCAATGAAGTCGATGAACCGGATGACGTGTACGACGCATGGGGTGCCATGGACGATGAAGACGGGGAGAAGGCAGATGATTTATTCAGCCCTGCCGCAACCACAGTTTCCTCCACTGTGTCTGCACCGGCGTCCAAGCCTGCCCCTGTGCCCTACGACGATGGAGGCGAGCCGGACTTCGCCGGTTGGCTTGCGGCACAGTCCAAGGCAAAGAAAACTCTACCCAAGGGCTTGAGCAAGACTACTTCCGCGGCATCCTCGGCTCGGAGCGCCAGTCGCAATAGTACGACTAAGCCCAAGACGGTGGCTCCAGTCAAAAAGATTGAAACCAAACCCAAAGAGGAGGACCTAGACGATTGGGGGGATGCTTGGGATTGAGTTTCTTTCTTTTTGTTTCTCTATTTTTCTCTCTAGAACTCAAAGTACGGGGTTTTGGTAAAATCGCAACGGGCGTTAGAATTTAGATACCATGCACATATAATTGACTGATGAATTAAGATTAATATTTGCATCGAATCCATGGAATGTTCGATAAGTCAGCCTTATCGATGCCGTCAAGCCAATCACATGCCAGCCCGCCGACCCCGTGATCGCAGGTGACCATCCGCCGCCTTACGAGAAGCTTCACTTTATCTTATTGTTGTCTTGCCTGACTGTCATCTTTCCCGGCGTTGATACCTTCTTGTGGAGTGCTTTTCGACCTTGGTTATTCTGCTAAATCTCATCCCCGCCATTCCTTTCGGATCGACTCGTATTTGAAATACCGATTGTCCCACTTGAAGCGCTAGATAATCTTGCTGCCTGCCTTCCCAGCGTCAGCGGCTGTGTCCGGTTTCTAGAAGGCTGCAGGTTATCTAATCGTTTATGCGCGATGGATCACCGTTGACGAGCCTAAAGGTCACTTGAGTTCATTGAAATCAATCCCGACTTCCTGCCATTTTGTTCAGATATCCGTGATGGACCATGAAGAGGAGGCACCTCCGCCATATTCCGCCGTCGATCCGCTGACTCGAAATGCCATTGCATCGGCCGAAGTAAACCGGGTCATACTCCGTCTCCGAGGGGGAGATGTCTCACTTGGTGATGCTGCATCAAGCGATAGCTCCAGTTCCGTCGTACTTGCCTCCTCTCCGCTTACGCCCGCCAACTTCACTTCCGCCACCGCTTACTTCGTTGAACGCCCGGTCCCTACCATTGACAATGAACGGCCGATCCTCGAGCACCACCTAACCATCTACCCGCGGAGTCAGTCCAAGGACTTTCCTCGTCGCCCTCGTTGCTGGGGTGCACGCACTGAGCACATCATCCAGCAGGACTGGGACATGTTCTTGCGATATCTGTTTCCTCCCCATCTCGGCCTCGCTTCCTCCTCCGATCAACTACCTCCTCAGGTTAGGGCTCAGATCCAACGAGATCGCAAAGACCGCCCACAAGAGACAGACGAGCAGCGTCGGATGCGAATATCGGCTGTGATCACCGAATGGAACCAATACTTCTTCGAACCCCGCGCAACTTGCATCACATTTTCCTACATCACCGACGCACAAAATGCACCGGCATCTCCTCTTTGTCCTAGATGCTACCCTGCTGCCACCCGGGTCTCGCAGGAGAATCGGACAGCGGTGACGGTGCGGCCTACTCCATCTTTAACTCCGAGACAACCCATGTCCCCGCTATCACCTCCAGCAAGCAATCGCCACTCTCCTGCGCCTTATGCATACCCGAGTCCACAGCATCCGCAACTGCCTCCTACTCCACATACACCTTACGGTGCTCCTCAATACTATCATCCTCCACCTCCTCACCATGCTACATACCCTTATTCTCCCCAACCACATATAGCCTATCAACACAACGCTTCTTGGAACTGGAATGCTCGGCCTTGGCCCCCTCCGCAGCAAAACTCGAGTTCTAAAAGTGGACCACTGGGCTGGATATCGTCGCTCGCTTCCCAGGCCCAGAAGTATGGAGATCAGATCAGTGCGCAAGCGTCACATTATGGCCGACAGGTAGAAGAGCACGCCATGGCGCATGGTCGGTGGATAGAAGAACAGGCTAGCCTCCAAGGGCGAAAGATGGAAGATGTTTTCACTGGCCTGGTCAGCCGACCCCGCAACGAATGGCCCGCCACTGATGCTCGCGGCCAGGTTTACTATCCAAACGGGTATAACTATCCTTATACGCCTGCTATCAACGCTGTCGAGCCCGTCAAACCTATTGAGCCCGCGGCCACACTACCTGTCCAACGTATCCGTAGGTTATCCACTGGTTCGGCCTCCTCTGACTCGTCGTTGGAATCGATTGACTCGTTATCCACCACCTCGGAGCTGAGCACATCCGATCTGGCTACGGTTCGGGCGCAGCTCTTGTCACTCGAAGACCACCATGACCGGGATTTGCATGAAGCTGCGGTAGGGCTGCGACGGCAGCTCACCGTTTTGCAGGAGTCTCGCCGTCGGGACCGGCTCGCCGGACGCAATTGGCGGCAGGGGTGGGGCCAGTACCCACAACAGCATGGCTACGGACGCGGCTGGGGTGGACGATGGGAATCGCCACAGCAACATGAACAAAGTGCCGCTGAGAAACGGGCCCTGAAAGAGGAGACGCGGGCCACGCGGAAGGCCTTCCGGGATGTCCTGCGGCGAGCAAGGGAGGAGCACAAGGAGCAGCGACGGATCAAGCGCAACCGACGCCGTCGGGAACGGTCTCACCAGATCGAAGGTCCTCCACCGGAGTCCAGTCTCGAGCAGCAGGTGCAGAATCTGGACCTCGACCATAACCGCGAGAGCCAATCGACGGTCCAATCTTTTACATCCATCCCTTCGCCGGCACGGTCCGTTGCCGAGATTAGCGTGATCAGTACCCCTAGCACTGTGTCTTCACATCATCTTCTGGAAGATGAGCCTCCAAGTAGTGGCAAAGAAAACCAAAAACAGGCCGATACGGGCAAACAAAGCCCGAAGGAAACGGAGAAGATCAAACGCAAGGAGGTGCCGAGGCTAGAAGAGAAAGGCAAAAAGTCTGGTTGACCGCGAGCTTTGCAACATTTGAGGTTTTGAGCAATTGCATGGAATCTGTTATTTAGGGGTTATGGTACATGAGGAACGGTGTTTCGGTGGAGTAACTACTGCATTTCTTGGATGTGTTCATGGGTAATAGTGCCAGTGGCATGTCGAGTCTTTCATCTTTGTGATCTACATGTTTTCGAAGTTTTTGTTTAGCCGTAAGTTAGCATGATACTGGCGCTTAATGAGACATGAACTGCATCACACCACTCTGCATTTGCAGGCAGTGTTACATATACATCTTTCATTTCACGGCAAGTAGACCACCAGACAATCAACATCCGGCAGCCAGTAAACCCGATCTATACCACCCTAGCATGAATAATAATATCACGGGAGAAAGAAAGAAAGGAGAAAGACGGAAAACCCCCCTTAAGCCTGAGTCTGCGACTCATTCTTCTCCACCAAATCTCCCACGCCCAATCCGCGTCCAACCCGTACCTTCACCATCTTCTCCTTCTCCTTCTCCGTCCCCAATTCACCGACCTCCTCGCCCTCGTCGGCGTCTTTGCCCTCCTTCTCCGCCCGCAGACGATCCTTCCGCTCGATCTCCGCCCAGTCCATCCACATATCCGTCAGATCCATGCGCATGGCATACGCATCCTCGCCGTCGGCATAGTACTTGCTCTCGACAGTCTCGACCTTGAACCCGAGGGTATCGCGGTATAGGCGCAGGGCAGCGGTGTTGCTAACACGCACATGGAGCGAGACATAATGAGCGCGGTGCGATTCCGCCATAGCGCGTTCTACAAAAAATAACTCGTTAGCCCCTCACCAAACTTGCCCCCAACATTCAAGAAAACCAAAGCAGGGCCCTAAAGGAAACTCGAAAGTGAAGGAAAGGGAAGGAAAAACATACGAGACATCCTCATCAAGCGCTCTGCAATGCCCAACCGTCGATGCGTCCTCATCACACTCAACGAGGTAATATGTCCATGTGCGACGCCGTCCGTCGGCTCCTCCTCCATCTTGGCCAGCACGTACCCCACTACCTTGGGGTATTGCTCGGCGGCGGTGGTGGCGCCGCCGGGCGCTGTGTGTTTCGAGTACCCATTCTTGGGGCGGACGACGGCGACGAAGCTCAGTTGCGGCCAGGTGAGCGCGTGGTAGAGGTAGTATTTTAGGAAGTAGTTCTCGGGCAGGTTGGTGATGTTGCAGGTTTGGATGGAGGGGAGGAGGTCGATGTAGCTTGGGTAGCTGGAGAGGGGGACTATGTCGACCATTTTTTTTTTTTTTCTGTCGGTCTTTGTTTTTTGGTGCGAGGGATTGGAGTGGGGGAGGTAATTGAGTGAGGGGTGAGGGGAGTTAGTTGGATTGAGTATATGTTTTTGATGTTGGTATGGTTAATTTGTCTCCGCGGGCGGTGGAGTGATGCGGATCAGGTGGTGCGCTAACCCGGTTGGGGTGTGCCCTATCTTGATCATTTGGTGCTGAGTCTATGAGTCTGTCATCTTGCTCGGATAATGGTAATGGTACTTATTTAGTGGTGTTGAGTGAAAGTTTATATTGTTCCTTCCTATATGCGCTACTGCAGGTCGTTTCTCGTTAAATATGTAGTAAACAGGCTGTCGTATCTCGTAACTCCCAGCCAAATCTTCTATACAACTAAATATATATATCAAGCGATTCAAAACAGAGAGATGAGGAATTGGATACCGCCGATCATGACTGCGGTGGCCATGACGCTCTGCGGCATCAGGCTCATGCCGGCGCTGGCCATGCCGCAGCACTTTCCGTTGTACGTCACATTGTTCATCTGCGCCGCGACCTCGAATACCGTGCCGTTGACGGGGCCGTAGTTGTAGTAATCGACCAAGAGGAAGTTCGGGGGACGATCCCAGATTTCTAAATGCTGTTAGACCCATCGCGGATCGCCACAAGGGAAGAGAAAACTCACTGGTACAATTGCTCGCCATCAAGCCCAGACTGCCAAACCCGGTCACGTTGTTCGTCTCGTTCAAGAGCGCCGTGTTCGGGATGAGCAGGCTGAGACCCAGCACGTCCATCTGGAGGTTGAGATTGTGGTTCGCCATATACATCCGGTTCCTGGCGTCCGGCGCCGCCAGATCCGGGGGACGCTGGACGTCACAGGGAAAGTCTCGATCCGTTGGAGAGAACGGCGTCTCCCACACCTGAGAAAACTCGTCCATGAGCCATGGATACGCCGTCTGGTTGGCCTGATAGTCTAGGAACATGACCGCACGCTTGCCGGACATGATCATGCTGGACAGCGTCGGCCAGTCGTCCAAGGCCATCGGAATCTTTCTGGGCGTATACACCAAATCCATCAGACCGGAGTTCTGGACGGGGCCGGTGAAATTGCCCGGATCGACGTAGTCCGAGTTGCCCATCAAAATGGTGACCACGTCGTACGGGTGAGCTTTCATCCACTTGGTCACCTTTGTCAGATAGGCCTCGAGGGTCCCGACGTCGAGCAGCTCGCAGCTGCTATGGCATAGGCGCATCGTGTTATTGACGAGATGGGTCTGGAATTGTACTATTCGAACATCAGTCGGCTACGTCCCCGCTTCTCTTTCTGACCGTCCACTTACACATTCGAATTCCATCGTCCAACTGGGCCTCGACGTCCAACGCTTGATTGGCGGCGACACTTCCTGGTTGCACAAAGGGACTGTTGTGGGCCGCAACCACGGTGATGTTGGAATAGTTCCGCGCACAGAATTCAGGGTATCCGTTGCAGGGCTGGGTGTTGACCACCGGGGATTCCGAGGCGGATGCGGAGGCCGTCATGGTGGCATTGGCGGTGCCGTTGAGGGTCTGGGTGCCGCCCAGCACCGTCACCGAATTCGAGGTGGAGGTGGTCGTATTGGAGCTATTCGACGCCGTTGTCACCATCGCGTCGGAGCCTGTGAGGGTGTGCGAGCCGATGACGGTACCATGGCCGGTGCCTAGCGTGATGGTCGAGGTGATGGATTGATAGGTGCCGGTCGGAGTGGCGGCATCACTGACTTTCTCGGTGATGGTCCCTTCCAGCGTGAACATCCCCTTCCCCGTAGACGTGCCGGTCGAACTCGAGGACTCATCTGCAGCGAGAATGCCAGCTGCCGCCAACAGCGGTAGTAACCGGATCATCACCCGCATGATGCCGGTTGAGCAGAAAAGATCACCGAGGGATTCTCTAATCGTATAATAATTCTGTGGCTGTACGTATATATCTGTATATAACTATAAATATGAAGGGAAAGAGAAGAAAAGAAAAGAAAAGAAAAAAGAGAATCGATACAATCCGGCAGGATATGAGTATAGGAAAGGAGAAGTAAAGAAAGTGGAACGATGGAGAAAATGTTGACGGTCGATGCGGAGTTTCGCACCTGAGGCAGTCCCTGAATGTTATGAGCTGGTTTGGTATTGTGTATTGTTCAGCGTTACTATGGGTATGTTCGGTAACAGGGCCAGCAAGCCACCCGCCACAAAAACAGACTTGAGTACCGGTAGGGCGATCGCAGGCTGCAAGAAAACATCTTGGCTGGTCTGGACTAATAGGAGTGGAGATACGAGATTAATATCAAACTAAAAACTCCACAGTGGGCCAGCACGCTACGATGACGTTGCGGCGGTGCAGTGGCCCAATTAACGCTAGGGGTTGGCGTGGGAAACGCAGAGAGTCCAGACAACTCATGCTCGACACAATTTTGGCTCAAGTGAAACACGTAATATCCACCGACGGCGCCTCTATTTTTATTCCGTTGGACTGTTACGGCGTATACAGGACTGTATTTCATCTCCTTTGATTTGTTTTGTTTGGTTCTTCGGTATTGTCATAGCTCAAAGTCAATGTCTCCGTCATGAAATCCTGTAGGTAATCTATATTCCAATACGAGTATTGATACTCGCCGTGGCCGTGAAATCTCTTGCGATCAACGGCACTATTCAAGGATCAACCGCTTATCAGGATCTCGCCTCGAGCCTGGTGGGACTGGGAAGGGAAAAGAATGACAGGATTGACTCACGCCGAGAGGACGATCGTTACCCCTTAGCCAGCGGGTCCCAGAATCCAGACCCGCCAGCAGGGACTCCCAGCTGTCCCAGACTGCAAAGCACTTACGACCGCATTACGCCGCCGCCGATCTTGCGCAGATTTTCCCTGGACAACCCAACTTTCGACCGTCGCCTAAGGTTCAATTGAAGGAGTTCCCCTTCGATCGTCACTTCCCTGGCTCCATTTCTCGTATTTCGCTTGTGCATCTCCTCCTGCCTTCATATTTTCTCTCCAGCCCTATCTGTGCCTTGTATAACACCCTGTAGAGACCGTCAACCGTGGTTTGTTTTCGTGGATGGTCTCGTTATACTGTTGTCCCTCTCTACGTCATCGTCAACACCATTGCAACTGACAATCCTATATGAATTGAGATCTATCAATCAATCAATCGATTGTCGTTCTACCAGCCCTACGACAACTGGGCCCGTCGCACGTTGCTGAGCCCATGGCGAACCTTCCATTCTTCCGGAAAGCTCCTCAACGGCCGGAGTACGGCCGCAGTCGCTCCAAAGTCCTCTGGCACCGTCTACTACGCTCCTTTCTCTACCTCATCGCATGGATCTTCCTGATCCTGGTCGTCATTGGCAATGTCTCCAACAAACCCGTCCTCCGCCAAACGTGGTTCCTCAAGATCGACCTCTCCAACATCATCCCACTCTCCGTCCCCAATGCCGTCCTGATCAACAGTATTGCTCGTTCTATCGGTCTCCATGATTTCTACACCGTCGGTCTGTGGAATTTCTGTGAGGGATTCAATGATAGCGGCATCACCAAATGCTCCAAACCGGAGACCCTCTACTGGTTCAATCCGGTCGAAATCATCATGTCCGAACTGCTCTCCGGAGCCACCAGTACGTTTCGGACCCTCCGTGCCGGCCAGACAGATCACCACTAACCAAGTCCAGTTGCCCTCCCCGGAGACATCACCGACGCGCTCAAGATCGCCCGAATTGCCTCCCACTGGATGTTCGCCCTCTTCATCCTGTCCACCGTCTTGACCTTCATCATGATCTTTCTCTCCCCCCTGGCTACGTCGTCGCGACCCCCGCAGTCGATCTCATCGGACCCCAACGTCAACGCCGCTCACCCGGCCCACCGTCGCCGCACGTTCGTCTTCCTCCGCGCCTTTCCCTTCTTCCTTCTGACCTTCTTCACGGCCCTCTTCACCATTGTCGCCTCCGTCGTCGCCACCGTCATGTTCATCATCTTCAAGAACGTGTTCACCTCGGCGGATTACGACCTGAATATCGAGGCGGAGCTGGGCACCCGCATGCTGGCCTTCATGTGGATTGCGAGCGCCTGCAACCTTCTGTCGTTCATTCTGCAGCTGGGCTCCTGCTGCGCGGCTTGTTGTGGGGGCCGGAAGGCCCGGAAGGCGCTGAAGAACGGCGGTGCGAATGGAGCGTCGATGCGCGAGAAGGATGCTCATAGTCCTGCAACGACCACCGCTACCGAGTGAGCTTGGTTGCCGTTTCATCCAGCAAGCTCGTTCATTATAGGTTTTGGATTGGATATTATGGGACATCAAGAACATACACATACAAAGAGCCGCATATATAAGCTGGCCATATATATCTCAACTTTTGTTTTAGAACTGGTATATAGACAGGGGTCTCTATCCGGATATTGCTTATCCCAGCTTGGCTCAGCATTGGAGGTGCATTTGATTTGGTTAGTTACGATTGTTACGACTTGTCATGATATTATAATCTACAGGTATTTGGACCGTTCCAGATCCAGAGATGTAACTCGTAAGGACATGCCAGGCTATTCGCCGCTTCTCAGTGTCAGGATATTGTAGTTTGAGTGAGTTCAATCTTGGTACAGGACGCATAGAACAAGTAGTCCAGGTAGAGCTACCCTACTCACAAATATACGCAAGGTTATCAGTCGTTTATTACTCCAGCCACTAGTACCAGTAGAACTACAAGTTAGGCAACATTTATGAATTATATGTCACGTATAACAGATGCAAATACTGTCGCCTATAGATAGGTGATCTGAATAGGTCTACTACAAGATTAGATTAATTGTTGACATTCGTCATTTGAGTGTAGATCTACATAATATTCAGTTCTCTGCGGTTCAACTTAGGGCACGTCCGGTTATTTCCGAAGATGATATATTGTACCTGTAGGTAGTACCTCCTGACTATTATATTAGATTTAGTACTCTTGTATATGAAACATGAGAAGAATAGATGATAAGTATTCATGTAAAGAGATTGTTGTATAGAGAAGCTAGAAGTATAGAAACTTCGTGTCCATGGGCTAGTTAGCCCTAGAATGCTGGGTGGATATATGAATGTTTGTTTGAAAACTACAGATATACTAAACCCAGGATTATGACCCTCCAGTTGACTCTTTTAATATTCCTATAGATATCATGAGTATGTAGGATTTGCATACTCATACACCCTTCAACTAACCCCATGTATATACAATATGGATTTTCATCTTAACCGTTACTTATTGTCGATTCGATAAATGTTAGGTAACCTCCGCCCACGAAACCTCAGAGTCCTTAACCTTGACTATGAATATCGTAGCAATGCCAGAAACTACTACAGAAGCTATTATAAACAATCTTCCTCCCCCGGGAAATATCCTCGGCTTTGCCACCCTGTACTCCATGGAAGTCTAACTCCACATCATTCCCTGCCGACGAAACTCCCATAGCTGTTGGATAACTTCAGGAACATGTCTTTCGGTATCAAAACATCCTGTTCACAAGAATCCGTGGCTTATTTCCCGGTGAATAACAGGTCAATCGGGAGCCGAATTTCATCAGTGGAGACTTTTTCGTCTATTAGCATCAGGAGGTTAGCATACGATTATATTGGCGTGCTTCATTAACAAAATCCAAGGCGACGAGAATGAGAATGAAAAGATTTACCTACCTGACTTATTCAGCTCACCATATTGAAGCGACAATGAGGCAGGAAAGGAGGACTCGTGCTTTTTGAACCAAGACCACTACCTACCAAGAGGATATAGGGTCCTTAGTATAATCACTGACTATGTATCACTGTTTTTCCCCAGGGTACAAAAAGCTTTTTTGTAACCTCTGATAGCTACTGTCGTAACCTACGGAGTCATGAATGATGAGCGAGGAGGTTACACACCGGCTATGAGCCAGAAAGAAGGACCAAAAAGTCTGAAGACTATGGACTTGTCTGTACTAGCAGAAGTCAAACAGCCACTGTAATAGCGAGCCCTAAAAGCGTTCTACTGTGGAATTTCCATGGAGCGACGACACATGCATGGAATATACCCTTCCTTATACGAGAATTCTTTGTCTTCTACTTCTGTATGTCCAGTACAGCATGGTTGATGAATCCCCCCTGGTTAATTATTGATGGAAACTAGCATAACAGACCATTTATCCTTTGAATGCCTGTCAGGTCTTTCCTATATAGTCCGGTGTCTATTATTATCATCAACAATCTACACATAAACAAAAAGACGGAAGGGTGCGTCTTGGTTTAACAGATATTTACAACATCAGCATACTTTACATATCCACATACCTACTCCATATCACTTTTATTCTTCTGCAATTCCTGCTTTCAGAACCTAAAAGCATTCCTAGAAGAGTGGAACCCCGTACCATCAACCATGAACAGCCCAGCAACCAGACCCAAGACAGTACCAAGGCCACCCAGTCCAGCCATCCGCGAACTCTGGATGCAACAAATTGGGCAGAGTCTCTCCGCGAACAGCCCAACCAAGCGAACAAAGGCGATTGAACTCGAGGAAAGCTGCCCGGAAGCCAGACACCGGTTTCTTACGGCCTACAAGCGTAAGAAGATAAGGGAGGAGAGCGGGCTGCGCTACGGAGAGCATTCTCCTGGCGATATCACGACACGTATTGGGGTATCGCTGTACGAAGATGCTAAGCTATACAGAATGGATCTGAGGCAGGATGTCGAGATATTTGAGGAGATGTATGGGATATCGCCTTTTAATGTGCCGAAGAGTAGGTACAGACTTGTAGCCAGTCCGACTGGCTAGGCTAACTGATGAGATGTAGTGCATTCGGAAACGCGGGCTTTGCTTAATGACCATGCGACAGTGTTAGCTTCAAGTGACTATACGTTTACGGCCAGGTTTCAACAGGCTTTTGGGGAGTTTGTGGCTGCTCTGAAGATGGCTAGGTTTCCGCTGTATGAATACTTTCGGTGGAACCTTAATGACGATATTGAAGATGAGTATCCAGTGCTCATGAAACTCAGATCACGGCATTGGGCTTTGGAAAGAGCCTTTGCGAACGAGGTCAGATATGTTGGTGGCTAAGAGAAAGGCTCTAGCTACGCCTTTGTTCGTTTGATATATTGACTTTTGAGTTGGGTTGCTTCATACAGGTATTCTTTATTAAATTACTCTTTATCTGCGAGCAAGCATTATTGTCGTGATTTGGATAGATCTACTCGCTCTGTTCAACTGACCACTGCCCACATAGCAACGGTGGTTGCTACATCTACAAGATTTAGTTACGATAATAAACACAGGCAGGCTTCACAGATTAAATAAGTATGCAATATTCCCTAATCGCTATGCAAGCTTCGATTACACTGCTGGAATCTTGAAGTAATAAGAAGGGGTATCATAATCTTTAAGCTTCGGCCAGTTCCGCCTCCATCGCACGAGCTAACTCGTCGTCATCATCGATGGGGTCGTCCTGGGCAGCTGAGTGATCTGGAGGATCACTGTGACTCCGCTCAACTAAGGTTCTAGTATCTTGCTGGGGTCGTGGAGATTGCGAACTCAATGTACGAAAATCATGCCCCGTCTGTCCGGTCTCGAGCCAGCCATATTTCTTGTTTCGTAGGGACTGGAGCATCTCCATGCGGCGCTGGCCTCCTTCCGTAGAGGGTTCCGGGGGAGCAGGTTTGTTCGCCATCTCGTCTGTCAAATCAATCGTGACTGGGGTCGAGTCGCGTTCTGTTGCTGAACTAGCAGGCTGTTGACTCTCGTGGACATCGGAGGCGCCTGATGGTATGCATTGGGGAGGAAGGGGTTGAGAGCCTTGCCTAGCAGGCTGCATGTCTCCTGAGGGTGCCGGAGTAACAGGGTGGGAATTCGGCGTGAGAGGGTGTCCCTGGGCTTGCGAGGTGCGTGGAGGCTTGTATGAATCCGGGACCGGGGCAACTGCAGGCACTTGCTTCTGAACGTGGATCTCGTAGAGAAGGTTGTTGTAGATTGTGCCAAGATCATGTAGCTTGTTTTTCCACTCTGTTGCCTCTCTCTTGTACTGCTCAACACGGTTCTGGTGTTGGCTGGAAACACGTCGAAGCATGGCATTCTCTTCGCGTAGCAGTTGCTCTCTGGTCTTGCCCGTCACAGGGTCTATAGTAGTCCACTCAAACCAAGCATTTTTGTACTTGTTCCGCTCACAGGTGAGATGATATATCTTTTCCTTCAGGCTGGAGACGCGATAACTCATTCGGTCATCTGCAACTTCAATGTATTTGACGTGGAGATGTGGTGCTGACGGAAGATAACCTAGAGGTCCTCCATATTGTGGATAAGGGGACGTGTATTCTGGTTCTTGATGAATTCGTTGTAACATTTCTCGGCTAATATTAGACGCCAAATCCGAAGAGTCGAGAGAAAATCGGTCTTTAGTAAGTTGGCTGACAGAAGGCTCCTTTGATATTGAGTTGTCAAGGAGTTCAAAAAGATGTTGCTCGTTTCCATTGCTGTCTGCCGGTTCATGACTCGAAGGTTCATGGCTGATTTGGTCGCCTTGTGCAAGGGGTGGCTCAAGTTCGAAATCTGCTGGGAGCTCATCATCAGGTATCAAAGGAACATTAAAATCTGGATCCTCGAACAGGGCATCCAAAGAGTCAAAAAGTGGATTGGGTGACTGAAGTCTCTCTATTCCTGGTGTATGGGGAGCGGTTCCACCTTGTTCCGGCTGGTGAGAAGAGTCGGGAGAAGACAAGGGAGGCGTTCCACCAGGAGAAGGAACACAGTGGTCTTGTTGTGACTCAACTAGTCGTCTCTTTTCTGGTGGGCCCCAGAAATCAAGCTCTGGAAAGGCCTCGTCGCCAGCTCGTTTTCGAGACGCAAAGGCCGCATCAAGCTCGCGAAGCACAGCCTCGGAATCGAAGAGTGGGTCGTCAAACAGTGCTTGTACTGTGTCAGTTGAACCAGCGAAACCTACAGGGTCAACATCCTGAACCGATAACTTGGACGAGCCAATACCCGCTGCCGAAGCCTTGAGCTTTTGGTCCCCGGGAAACTGGTCGCTGGTGAACGCTCCTTGTTCACCGCCGTTTGGCAAACTATGGTCTTCTTCCTGCGAGGGCACCTGAGCATCGACAGGTTGCTGTGGCTGTGACCCAGGGGGTGGTGTAAGCCCCAGATCATTCACATGCAGGTGATGTACGTAAGGGGAAGATGGAAGATCCTCGAGAGCATAAAGCCCTTGAAGATCTGGAGGGCAGGTCTGGAGAGAGGTAGAAATACCTTCAACCACGCTTCCATCCATCGTGACAGAGATAACCCAATATAATGTAGATCAGAAAGACAGAGTGCCCGCCACTATGGCTTTACACCCTTCAACAAAGCGGAGGTCTCAGACGAGGCAAGTGCGATGCGTATTGTAGACACGTCGATGGGCGCAAGGTATGTGGCGACGACACCATCAACGCAGCGACAGGGCGGAAAACGCCATGGATAATGTATGTAGGCTATGCAAAGAAGTAAGAATAAGTTCCTAGTTATTCCCCTCTGATGGTCCTTTGTTGCGCTGTAGTCCGTACCTGTTGAGACACCAGAGAACCTCTAATCAGAAATTTCAATTTTCTTCCGTGGAATACCGAGGAGGCGCAAAAGGTTTGCTGGATGTCACAGGGTTTGGAACGGTGCGAGCGATCTCGAAACAAATAAACGGTTGGTAACCAATATTAGTTACTTGACTGGAAGACTAGTTGCCAAGTACGACGCCTCGAGAGATGACAAGGACACGACTTTGCTGCTGCTCAACCGAAGGCGAAAATGACGCGGATGGTGAACCGGTGTCAGACCCTCTTTGACAGCCGCGAAATAATCCTCGCTGACGAAGAAAACAAAGCACAGGGCGCAGCTTTGTATCTTATCTGCACTAAGATGAAAACATGATTTAAATGGGCCTTTTTTTTAGTCGACTTTTAATCTCCCTGAGCGCTGTCCGCCTTACCCACCGCTTTCAAGACCGCTCACGTGTGCCTCGCCCAGAACGGCCAGGGATTGCGGGCAGCGAAGACCGCCGCAGCATAAGGCCGGCAGGAAGCAGTTCGACTTTCGTTCCGCTGATGGGGAAGGAATCACTCAGGGCCTCCTGATATTTAATTCTCTTCAGTTCCTCATAGGTTCCCGCACCTTCAATATGAGCGTCATTCTTTGCACTGGTAAGTACAAGCTGGATTTCAGCATTGGCTTCGAGATCTTCGGTAGGCATTTCAGTGACGCTAATTGACCGCTTCGCTACCAAAGCCGGATATGACCACACCATTCGGTAAGTCAACTACTTTCCCTACGATTGCCGGTATACCCAGCGCGCTAATCCTCCATGGCAGTTTTTGGGAAGCTCTGTCTGGAATATGCTCGCGGACTATCCAGCATCCGGACTCTCAAGTAAATCGCTTATGTATCACCCCGGACAAGCGCTATCTGGCCGCCGCAGGTCACAACAATGTCAAGTTGTACGATATCAAGTCCACTAATCCCAACCCGGTTATGACCTTTGATGGCCATACAAACAACATAACCGGTGTTGCATTTCACTGCGAAGGCAAGTGGATGGTTACTAGCTCGGAAGACGGCACGGTGAAAGTGTGGGACACGCGCACCGGCAGTCTACAACGCAACTATGCCCATAAAGCCCCCGTCAATGATGTTGTTATTCACCCCAACCAGGGTGAACTCATCAGTGGTGATCGCGCTGGTATTGTCAGGGTTTGGGATCTGGGCGAGAGCGTCTGCACTCATCAGCTAATTCCCGAAGATGACGTTGCTGTACAAAGTGTCAGTGTTGCAAGCGACGGATCTTTACTCTGCGCAGGGAATAAGAAGGTATTTAATATTCACCTCTCTCCCTTTTGGTGTCATATCAGGCAAACGATCCATTCACTTTGCGACTCGAGACTAATCGACTCGTCAGGGCAATGTTTACATCTGGCGCATGGTCCAAGATGCGGAATTGACTCGCATCGTACCAATGTGTACCTTCCAGGCTCACAAAGACTACCTCACCCGCATACTTCTCTCCCCCGACGTCAAGCATCTCGCCACATGCTCAGCAGACCACACAGCCAAGGTCTGGAACCTCGATCTCGACTATCCCCCGGCCAAGACAGCCGCCGCGCAAGCCAAGGCCAATGGCAAAGCCATCACCTCGGAACCTACAGAGACTCCTTCATCCCCACCTCCTTCAGACAGCCTAGTGAACACCCCAAGCAGCGAACAAGGCAGAGCCGACTTTATCAACCCATTCAGCTTCATCAACGGAACCCCGCCGCCCACCAACGAGCCCCAGCAGACCTTCCCCGTACAACCCGATGGCCCCCCAGTAGATCCGAATACCAACACCCTTTACCTGGAGACCACCCTAGCCAATCACCAGCGATGGGTGTGGGACTGTGCTTTCTCCGCGGATTCAGCCTATTTAGTCACCGTTTCGAGTGACCACTACGCTCGTCTATGGGAGTTGGCTTCGGGCCAAGTTATCCGTCAGTACAGTGGGCATCACCGCGGGGCGGTGTGCGTTGCTCTGAACGATTATTCCGAGCCTCGGTGAGAGGTCCGGAGGTACGCACCGTTATTGTCCGTTGTCAGTCAGTCTTCTTCATGGTTAGCATGGCGCCTGGGATTGGGTGAAGCATGGAGGCATGTTGCCTTCTGCATTGGAGTTCAGGCTTGTTTGTTCCCACTTGTATTGTTTTGGATGTCTACGAGTCTATGGCATGCTCACGTATGTGGTATATCCAATCCGAAATAAAGAATATACGTATAATAGTCTGTCTGTACAAGTTGTTTGTATATTCCCCTACATATGTATCGATACGATTAGAAATACACAAGGTATAAGGCTCACCCGAGAAAAATATCATACCCACAAATGATTCTGCTCGTTGCACCTTGCTCCCAAAGCAAACGGAGACCAAAAAACGATGATACTAAAATAATAGAGGGAGAAAATAAATCGTAAAATTCCAACCATGCGTCTTTAAGAACCAATCAAACCACCAATCAGGTCAAGAATTCTTTTATCTTTAATAACCCCGGACAAGTGGATATGCTTAGATTTAGTTGACGGCGAACCACGTTACACTCACGACAACATCCAAACCCCGCTCGTCAGCACCGGGGTACTTAAATGTCCACATTCCATCACGGTTGACGTCCCAGAACGCACCTGAGGCGGAGTGCATCCCGCGCTTGCCGGTGTTGCTGGCGGCGCCCTCTGCGGCGGCAGACTTGTCGATCAGGCCTTGTTGCACGATGGTGCTGTTCACGGTGAACCGGTACGGGGCTGCCGTCGAGGGGGCAGAGGGAGCGGTCGCGGCGATGAGGGCTTTGAGGATGGTGTTCTAGAGCGGTTTCGTGATTAGACCGGTGTCAAACGACGCCAGAGAATCCGGTCCACACTCACAATGATCTGAGAGTTCCATTCGCCGACCTTAGTGTGCTCGTAGCCTTCGACACCGTTCAGTGCGGAGTCACATGCCTGTTCTAGAATTAGTTCGGGTTTTCGTTATCTTGCCATGGTGACAGTTGAATTGAATCGTGTGTGTACCACCACGACGAGGTGGAGACGGTGATAAAAGGGAGAACGTACCTCGGAGGCAATCTTGGTGAGGTCCGCGATGGGGACAGGCTATAGGCGTCCACGAGAGACGGATGTCAGCGCGGACCGAGTCAATGGACGAACGATAGCGGACAATGACGTTTTAGCGGCGGGACAGGATTGCATGGTCACGCACCGAGGAAGTGGGAGCAGTCTCGACAGCCATTGTAGATGTGATCGTCGGGTGTAAAGATGGTTGTCTGGAATGAAGCTATCGAGTTAGTATGGTCTAACTGCGATTGGGGTCTAGACGGGCCCAGAGTCGACGGTGGCAGACCAGAGTGAATCTGGAGATATGGTTGTGGGGGGGCGCGGCCCCGAGAAAGGGGAAGACGAATTGACGGTCAAGATCGGCAGAAGAATCAGACTCACGCGATGTAGTGTGCTATGCAGGGATGAAACAAGCGTCGATGTGGGCGGAATTCCAAGACTGTAGGGAGAGATGGGGATTCCAACAGGGTGTTTGCTGGATGTTTAGGAGCCGCAGTTCGAGCGTGTTATCAGGATTGTGGCTTGATGGTCGATGGTTGGCCCACCCTGCAATCACTCCATACTGGATCGGGGTTGGCTGAGTAGCTACTTGCCAGCTCGGGGCTAGCGCCATGCTTAGCCCGTCACCGCCACAGGAAACACGGGGTAACCATAATCCGACACGACCTCAAGCGATGACAACAGCAACGAACGAGGGCACGTGGGATGGAGTCGACGGTCGGAAATCAACCCGACGCCACAAACTAGGCCGAAGCGGGTAAGTAGCAAGGCGACCGGAGCGTTTGTAGCGGGGCAGAATCTGGGCCGTCTTGAATACCGACAGTAGTGGTTGCAGCAACTGTATCGATCCTCTCTAGTCTCTCCCCCGACGCTTGCAATCAATTTTTTTTTTCTCTTCTTCCTTCTCTAACCGAGCGTCATCGAATATTTTTTCCATCACATTTCTTAGCTATAACATTTACGAGGTTGTTCAGAAACTCTCGTCTCCAATTGCTCTCATCCCTCCTGCAAGCTCTCCGGATCCCATCTCACTAGCTCTTATCCCGTACCCACACACACACGGACCAAAATGTCGAGTCAACCTCTCCTCCAGACTGCCCCAGGTCAGTAAAAGAGGAATCACGAGTCAATCGTCTCAGTCCCAACTAACAGCTCTCCCCAAAGGCAAGCGCATCGCCCTGCCCACCAGAGTCGAACCCAAGGTCTTCTTCGCCAACGAGCGGACCTTCCTCTCCTGGCTCAACTTCACCGTCATCCTGGGCGGCTTGGCCGTCGGTCTCCTGAACTTCGGTGACCGCATCGGTCGTATCTCCGCCGGTCTCTTCACCATCATCGCCATGGCGGCCATGATCTACGCCCTCTGCACCTTCCACTGGCGCGCAGCCAGCATCCGCAAACGCGGCCAGAGCGGCATCGACGACCGCTTCGGTCCGACTGTCTTGGCCCTCGCCTTGTTGGCGGCCGTCGTCGTCAACTTCATCCTCAGGATGACGGAGAACTAAGCTGTTTCCTGTATTTCTTGTGTTTCTCTTTTATGTGTGCTTGTTTCTCGCCCCCCTTGTTTTGTGCGGCACGTGCCCGTATTTTTGCCTGCGCTAGACTGGGTTATGTGTTATGGTCTATGCCCTTTATGGACTTGTTGCTTATTCGCGCTGGGGTGGACGTCGCTGGCCGGTGCAAGGGCTAAGAATGAGTGGATAGATTATGGTCTGGTTTGATGAGCGGTCGTACGACTGTCTTTCTTTTTTTTTTCGACTTTTTATGATTGGTTATTGTTGCTTGTACGTGTACACTGTGTGTAGTTGTATATTCCTCCCGTTGTTTCTGTGTTATAGCGATTCAAATTGTGCTACAGCCACCGTTTAGTGAGCTTCAAAATTGCAAAATTCGAATTATTGGCCATGAATTGAATACTATCCAGTACAAACATATCGTCTCAATCTACACAAGGACACCTGCTAGTTCGTCTGATGGAATCTCGTCAGGTCAATGTACCCGTGGTCAACAAAGTACTCAAAGTTCCAGTAGTCTGCTTGGGTTCCTTGCCCGTTCACGGTCGCATTGCCCGAGAACTTGGCGGTCCAGTAGCAGCTGCCCTGGGAATACTTGTACATGGCATCGAGGCCCGCATTCACATTCCTCTCGCGGAGGGCAAAGGAGTTCTGGTATAGCGTTTGGATCGCCCACTCGCCCGTGAACACAGGGAACTTGCCGTCTCCAGCCTTGGACCGCGCGTCCGCGTACAGGTGGGTTGGCAGGGTCTCCGACGTGACGTTGCGCTCGAAGTAGTAGGTGTGGACGTCAAAGACCAGGTTCGCGTCGGCCGGGAGCTGACCGGACCAGTACTGCTCCGGTTTGAAGCTTCCCTGGAACATGACTGGGATGTTGGGGTTGACAGATGCGACCTTATCGATCACGGCACGGATATACTTCAGGACCCAGGTGGCTCCGCGATCTGAAAGTGCGGCTGGGGTTCCGAAGACGGACATATCCGGGTTATCGGTAGGCTCGTTCATCGGCTCGATCGTGTAAGATTGGGGCGAGCCGGAGTTCTGGACGAAGGAGATGACGGCGTCAATGACTTGCATGGAGTAGTCAAACGCGGTCTCGTTGTAGTACCAGCCCCAGTGTCCGGTGGCTTCGCCGATGGTGAGACCATTCGTGCCACCAGGGAGGGAGTGGACATCCACGATAATGTGCATGCCGTACTCGGTGATCGCGTAGTCGGCGATCTGTTTGAGGTAGGCTGTCTGGTTCCCCGAGTACAGTTGGGAGCCAGGGAGCTTGATCCAGGCGGCGTAGGTCGTGGGAATCCGTAAGACTTCTACGCCGATGTTGGCCAGCTTATCGATGTCGCTTTTCGTGATGTAGGTCGCATATCGATGCTCCAACACAGGTCCACACCGGGATCCTAGATGTTCACAAAGCCCCCATTCATCGTCTGCGCCACCGGAATAGGTGCCCCAGAACTGGCTGTCAATCGTGGACTCCTGGACGAGCCAGCCTCCGAGGTTGACTCCGTTGGCTTTGAAAGTGGTCCAGTTGACGTACTCTGGAGTATGCACTCTGGGATGGGGAACTGCCAAAGCGGCCGAAATACAGCCCAGGGCAGTGAGAAACGGTAGTGACGAGCGCATTTTCACGCAATGAATGCAATTTTAGAGAGCTTATACCGGTGAGTCCGCTCACCTCCCAGTCTTCACTCTTCACGTCTTGTAAGATCCACGTGGGAACCCCCGCCATGATATAGGCCCAACTGGTGTCTCCGAGCCATATTGGAATTCCCGACCTTGGTCGTCACTCAGTGAGATCACAATGGACATACGAAAGCTCTTCGGGCAAGAATATTCCCGTCTGCTGCTTTCTGAAGATCCACAGTCTAACCGTATAGAGAACATATCCCGTAGCAGTTGAAACCAAGCTGTTAGACCCAAGGCAAATTACCCAATGACAAGAGAGCATAGAGCAGAATCCATCTTGCGATCCCACGAGAATTCTTCATTAAAATCATGGAATCCACATGGCGTCCCTGCCGAAAGGCGTGGTTGCGGGGTGCGGAGGAAAACCGGCCGTTCGTCAGTACCCTAAAACCCCAGAGTATCCACCGCGTGCAATCACAGTCGAGTATGTACGGTCTAACATCAACCCGAAAATGTTGATCAATATTTGCCAGGCCCTAAGTCGTGGCCGCTGTTGAACGAAAAGGCTCCGTCCGGAATTCCCCAACTGTGGTAGAAGGGATTGCCGCCTTTTGGCGCTCGGATATTCCGAATTGCGATCTTTCACTCTAGTTGAGCCATGCTGCGTTATATACGAGGGCTTTCCCTCGTGTCTGAAGTAGCCAAAGTTGCAGATGTGGTGTCCCACTCATTTACTGTTTGAGTGCACAACTCGACGATTCCCATTTTCAGTCTGGGAAGTATTAGCAGGACAGCACTGGATGAGAATCCAAGGACGGAAGGGAAGGTAGCGATTGAAATTTACCACATACTATTCTCTGGTCCAGAAGATGGATTCTACCGAGCCATGGCGCAGGAGTCTTTCAGTGGAACTACTGATCCAGAGTTATGGAGATGGTAGAGTCATTGTCTGATCTTCAAATCCGGGAAAACAAAGCACCCAGAATGGAAAAGCAAGCGATGACTAGATGCCATGATGTAATCATTTGTACCTCAGGCACGCCGTCGATGATATTGAAAAGATCAGGCAGCGAACGAACCATGGGCCCAGCAATATGAAAGAAGTCAACACTTGGAAGAGAAGCCACCATGGGTGTCCGACGAACCTTAACCACACTCTTCCGATCCATGGCACCGTTAGCTTATAATCCAATTGTTCACCACCGTGACTAAGGAGATATTCCATAGTTAGCCAACTATAGCTCCCACCATTCCTACTCCAGAAAGGCCTATACAGCTGCATTAGGGCATTAACTCTGCGGGTGCCCAATGATATATATGCACATTGTTGACATCGCTCACGGTGGTACAGCGCGCTAAACTACCGCTACCAGTAGGTATATCCCAAGTCAAGGTCGAGTGGGTTGTACATGTAAGTGACTCCTGTGGCAGTGCAGGAAGTTCTCAGGAAACGGATAGTTTGCAGGTACGGATAGACAGAAGACCAACAAGAGCTCAGATCGCTTGAGAGGGACAAAAGTACCATACCGGGCGTGACGATCAATACAGCGACGACGAGCCATGGACCAGTCCAGGCCCGGTATCACATCATGGACCCACCGGCCAATGTGAAGGGTCAATAGCGCGACGATCTGATTTGACGTGTCATTCTGATTCAACCAGACGCTGGAACAGGGAAGTCAATTCCTGAGGATCAATGAGAGCTCACGACGCATATATCCAAAAAAAAAAAAAAAAATAGATAATCAATATTATTATATTTAAAGATAATATTCCATACTAGGGAAACATTTCACCAGTACTTTTACGGCGCTCTGACTCGCTAGGAAAGTCTCTTCCGGCTCATCGATATTGGCCAGTTCTTGAGAACAGACGAGATAACGATTGAATGTGTGGTGATAGCTGCTTCCCCCCGTCGTCATAGACCATTCAAGTGTCGGTAGTACTACGACTGTACAAACATCCATACAGGGGACTAATGAGAAACAAAACCAGATCCCCTCACTGTCACTGATCTTCTTTTTGCCTCCACCCCCCCCCCCCAAAAAATCCAACTGTCTCGAAAGATTAGTATTCTTCTTATTTTCCCTTTCGCAGAACCTAAACCAACAACTCCTCCAACTCCAACTCTCGGATTCTTTCCTCTTCTTTCTCCTTCTCTCCATCCCCGACGGGTTTCATCACTCTCCATCTCCGCGACAGGATTTGGGTCCCTGGTCGGACTACTGATTTTCGATCATCCTTCTTATCGCCGGTCTCCCTCGTTCTCCTTCGTATATAGTTTTCTTTTTCTTTTCTTTTTCTTTGTCGGTTCCCCAAGTGATCTTTAGTTGATTCGCAGATTAGCTCGAATTTCCTTCCTATTCTGTATTATCTTTTCGGAACTGATTGAACCCAAAAAGTTCGTTGTCATCTCGTGCACTATTTTTTTTTCTCTTGCCTGATTCATCCCCTCTTCTTGTGTGCTGCCTGTTCCTGGTGAAAATTCATTACGAGTTGTGTTCCTTAGCATCCATTATTAATAGATTACGCCACCACCTGTGTTCCGCCAATTTTGCCTCTCTGGAGGTGCCAATCAATAGCCCCGTGGATCCATCTTGCTGCCTTTTCCCTCCTTTCCCGGGAACTGCATGTGAGTGGACTAACTTACTTGTTGGGAGCGTACGGAGAACGTACTGTATTCCCTCATACTACTGCCTCTCCCCATAACATTGTTCTGGTGCTTATCTGTCATTATTCATTCCTCTGGAAACTCTCTCTCTCCCTCTCTCTCTGGTTCGGAAATTCAATCTAAAACTCTTTCCCGTCCGAACTACTCTTCCCAACTTCTTTATCATCCTTCTCTCTCCCGCTAAAGGTGGTGAATCCGCTCTTACGTCCGGTGTTTCTGGTTGGGGTGACTCTTTCCTCCCTTCCCCCCCCCTTGCTGAGCTTCTGCCGGTCGCAAACGACGCCTGATCACCGATCGGCAGCAACGTCCATTCCTTCGCGGACTCTACGCCTCACTCTCCACCTCTCCATCCTTTCCCCCCAGATTTAGATCGCGTTCGCATGCACTGGTCCATGATTTAATCATTCAGTGACTAACTGTATTTTCATTTTTTTTTTTTTTTTTTTTCTTTTTTTCTTCCTTTTGGTTCTTTCGCTTTCGGACGTGTCGCATTTCTCCCAAGTCGTCTTGGCGTCTGAACACCCTACTTCTCTCCCTGTCGCACACCTCTCGCATGGCATGTTTCGGCTGCTACCCTGGTCCTCTGCAATTGGGGGGAATAAGGTGATGGCTGAGGAGCTCAAGATGCTCGCGACCTCGCCACACTGCGCCGCCCCGGGTGTGAACAGCCTGGCGCTGCCCCAGTTGAAGCGCAAGCGCTCCGATTCGAGCGATTCAGCCACCGGTCAAGGTGCTCCGGTCGCAACCAAGTTACGCGCAGACGATACGCCTAGCAACCCGGTCGCGATTGATCAAAACCCGTCTCTCTCTCTCAGTGGTGCGACTACGACGTCGCAAGAACCGACAGCTCTCAGCGATCGCGTATCCCAATCGTCGCACCCGTCCGACAATGCGTCCCGTCAGAACCCCGATCCGTCAGGTTTCCCAGGCGCCAACCAGGATGCCGCCCCGCGCAAAGTGAATGTGGAAAAGTTGCGCGAGACGTTGGAGGCACAGTTAAGCTTAGAGGTGTTGTTGAAGCACAATGAACTCCGTTTGATCGACCAAGAGATCGCCAAATGCCAAGTCGCGTTGGAACAGTTGCGACGGTGCGCCGAGATCCCTTATCCGGGATCGCATACCCCGGGTCAATCGGTCAGCAACGGCACGGGAATGGCAGTGTTAGCTCCTGGAAATGGACCTCCACCGCTCTCCCCGGCACCGTGGGGTGTCACGGACGGCCCGTACACCCGCCACTATGCCCGATGGTTGCTTCCGGACCCTCGTTTCGACGGAGGGGAGCTCGAGCCGGCAACCCCTCTAGGGTTCGGTGCGCCAGGCACGCCACTGATGGAAGGTCGTTCGACGCGTGGGAACTCTGGTGGCGATGGCTACTGGGCCAGCAAATCTCGTTTCCAGAGAGGCTCGGGTAACATGAAGCTGCAATCCTTGCCGAATGGCTATCCGCCGCCGAAGGAGAAAGCGGGCCCGATGATCATCCGGCGAAAGTCAGATGGTGTCCTGGTCAAACTTGTCTGCTTGGATTGTCGACGGGACAATTTCTCCAGCACGCAAGGATTCATCAATCATTGCCGCATTGCCCATAACAGGAACTTTGCTAGTCACGATGCGGCCGCGGTCGCATCGGGAGAGCCCGTCGAGGTGGACGAAGCGGGTGCGATCATTGGGGGTAAGAACGACACCTCCAGCACCGCCACGGCAGGTTACGTTCATCCGCTCATTCGATCGGCTCACGTCATTGAGTCGTCCAAGACACCATCCGCGTCGGAAGCCTCTGACAACGCGACGCCCCGGAAACCATCGGTCTCCAGCCGGCAGGCGTCCTCCGTGGTGGAAACACCTCGTCCGTCTGCCCACCCTCTACCCACTCAGCGCCGGACGCCGGCGAAGCCATCGGATGACTTCCTGGGCTCGCCGGCTACGCCTCATCTGTCATCACTGATGCAGCTCAAGGGGGTTGGACTCGATCTGGACCGACTGGTTGGGGAAGCGAAGACCCCCGTGGATCTGAGTGCCTACTCGTCCGATGAAGGCGAGTCGGACGTGGAGCCGGCCCCGCCGTCGGTCAATACGAGTCACGGCGAACAACCAACTGAAACTCGCATTGGCCGGCAACCGATGCGGACCACAGCTCCGCAAGCCGGGTCGCGGCGCCCAGGTAGCCGCAAGGGGGTGGACAAGACGAGTCATAAGCCCCTCACCTTGGAAACCCTGACGCCCACGCGGGCCGCGCCTTATCAATCCCCGTACGGCCCACCCTCATCGGTGGCTCCGATCGATGACCTTCGTCTTCGTGAAGTCGATGGGGTCGATCGTTCGGCCAATCTCAGTCCGAATACCGTCGAGTCGAACCAGGCTCCGAGTCTGGTGAGCGACGACGATGATGACTGTGAAGCGGCGTCGGATTCGGATAGCCCGGGTCCCAGCTCGTCGGAAGCTGGGGATCACGAAGAAGACTTCAGTCACATTGACGTGGAAGACGACGACGATACGACGGGCTCCACGACGACCAGCGATCCTAAGTCCGACCCCGCCGGTCACCCTTCCCCGTCTTTTTCGAAACCACTCCGGGGCGGCAGCTCCAAGAAGAAAGACAGCCTTCTTTCTGCATCCCTGGTGTCGTTGAACCGCGGCAAGGATGAGAAGCGCGTGAGCTTTGCCAGCCCGGACACCAGTCCTGCCAAGAGAAAGAAGGACCACAAGCGAAAACCTAGTGGAGGCCAGTAAATGTTATAGACTTCTTTTCTCTTTCTTTCTTTCGTTTTCTCAGCTCTTATCACTACTCGCAGGGGCTAGACCTCTCGTCCGTTGTAATGCTATACATCTCCCAATTCTTGTATGAGACTTTAGGGCCTTACAACTTGCGTTTACGTGGGACGGACGGTGCTTGCCACGGTCCGATCAGTTTGGCATGTTTCTAGTTATTCTTGATTTGTGCGATGCGAGACGTTGCAGTTGAGCGTTTCTGGCGATGTTTACGACTCTCTACTTATACAGGATGCTGTACTGAATAATTAAGATTTGCAATTGCCAACTTGTACTCTGTATCTGTATTCAGCAGGTAACGTACCGAATGATCGTAATGCTGATACCAAAGTTACGACGTCTAAACAAAAATACAAGTGCCTGGCACTCAGACCTCAGTAAAAAAGACAACCCCATGTATGGAGTAAAACCACCCACGGCCCCAAATAGAGAACCAGGAAGACGAGACCCACGGAAAAAGATGAACAACTTCCACCCGGCCCACATCACCCGGGCTACCTTCCAGGCCCTACTAACCCGCTACCCAGCCACGGTGGAGGCCGTAACGCGCCGCAAGGCCACAACCCGCGTTCTCCAAGCCTCCATCCGGGGCAAGCGTGGCAAGCGCGTGTCTCCTCCTCCGGGACAGGATGCCGAGCTGGGCGAGGAACAGAAGAAGCAAGTTGAGGCCGAGATCGAGGCGTACCGGGAGTTGGATGCGCTGAGGTATGAGGGTTTGCCGGGGGTGGCAGCCGAGAAGCAGTGTCTAGAGAAGGAGGAGGTTGTGAAGCTAGTTGAGTGGAAGCTGTAAAGTTCTCCTTTCTTTTCTCAGTTCTTCTGATATTCTTTTTATGATTTGATCTGTATGGTATTAACCCCCCCATGCAGAAAACATGGTATTTTCCGTCCTACTTTACTGGGCATGGTGAAAGCGAACCAGCCCAAGACCGTCCAGAAAGCAACCTCGGACGCTTTCACAACTACGGGCGAAGAGGCAGAGACAGAGACAGCGTCCTTCCCCAAGACGAGTCTAGACGCGCTGGTCAAACCCCTCCGCGGCGTGGGCATTGCCACCGCGTCGCTGCTCCTGTCCGTGGGCACGCTCCGGGACCCCGAGCATGAGGCCCCCTTCTACAGTGACGATACGTACCTCTGGCTGTGTCTGGAGACGTTCCCGGGGAGTGGCCAGACGGACAGCGACACGCTGGGGAAGAAAGGGGGCAAGTTCAAGCGCAATGGCGAGATTAATGTCAAATATGACGTCGCAGAGTATCGGGCGCTGTGGACGGCTGTCCATGAGCTACGGGCGAGGTTAGATGAGACGGGGGATTCTGCATTGGGGAGGGTTTCTTGTGCGGATGTTGAGAAGGTGGCGTTTGTGTTGAGGCATCTTGGTGTTTCTGGGTATGGGGCTCTGGGGGATCATGAGACCGAGGCGAATCCGGGGAGTAAACGGAAGCGGGATGAGGAGCAGACGGGAGGTAGGAAGAGTAAGAAGACTTGATCGTGTATGGTCTATAGAGTATGGTTATGATATCCAATGTATCTGTATCTTTTAGTAAAGTACCGTTGGTCATCCAGGGTATAGAATATGTCTAGCCTCATAAACCATAGAGGTCACCAGATCAGATAACGGCATAGAAAGAACAAGTGAATCCACACTAACTCCAAGCGAGGAGGATCAATTGACGTCTCGCCAATGCTTATTTCGCCGTTGGCGCCATGCAAGCGGGCCGGAGCCACATCGCCAACCAACGGAATGGCCTCTGCAGCGCGATCTCCCCACATCGTGGCCATCCGCTTAGCGGGCCTCGTCACCCACGCTGCGCAGTTTGCGTCGCCGATGATGAATCCACCGCGGACTATTGTGGGACACCATTGCTTTCCCCTTTTTCCTATAGACTCTGTCCCTGGCTGGCGTGGTTAGTTTATCATGGACTCTCCACAGCTCATCTCCATGACTCGTGGACGAAGTAGACAGTAGAAAGTATACTAAAGTAAAGTAGTACAGTGGAGTATACAAGGTCTTGACCTGTCGATCTCATTCAGAGATGCACTTTCCTCACACATGAACATATACAGACACAGACACAGACATACCCTCTCACTCATCCACACATTCACAGACAGTCAGAAAGACAGAAAGACAGAATCCAATGCCAATATACCTCCACCTACTCCTCCTCCTCCTCACCACCCTACTCCCCACCCAAGCCCTAACATGGCACTCCCTCCTCTACGACACCGGCCTACTAGGCGCCCACCCCGTCCGAAAATACGAATCCGTCGACCTCGCCCCTCCAGAGCTCAACATGCTCGCCTGGGACCCGCGCTGCGAAGACAAGTACGTCTTCTTCAGTCCGCGGGGCCATTTCTACCCGCAGCCGGGGCCGCTCATCTTCGACAATAAGGGGGAGCTGGTGTGGATGGCGAGTCAGTTCGGCATGGTCATGGACTTTCGGGTGCAGCGGTATCGGGGCGAGGATTATTTGACGTTTTGGGCTGGGGAGGACGATGGGACGAGGGGGTTGGGGGCGTATTATATGGTTTGTCTTCTCTCTCTCTTTCTTTATTTCTTTCTGTCTTTCTGTCTTTTTTCTTGATTTGAGGGTTTCGGGGTTGTTTTAGGGTTACGAGGAAGAGTTCCATACCTTACTTACTTGTACAGCTCGACTCAACCTACACCCCAACCCACACCATAACCGCCGCCAACCACCAAGCTGGCGACATCCACGAATTCCAGCTCACAGACGCCGGCACAGCGCTAATAACCATCTACGAGATCCGGGCCTTCGACCTGACGCCACTCGACGGGCCCGCAGACGGGTGGATCTACGACTGTCTCTTCCAAGAGGTCGACGTCGAGAGCGGCGCGCTGCTCTTCTCCTGGCGCGCCAGCGACCACTACAACATCACGGAGAGCTTCTTCCCGCTCAACGGCAAGGGGACGGCGAACTCGAGCGACGCCGCGTACGACTTCTTCCACATCAACAGCGTGGACAAGCTCTCCGACGGCCGGTATCTGGTGTCGTCGCGGTACATGCACACGGTGACCTGCATCGGGCCCGAGGGCGAGGTGTTGTGGGTGCTGGGCGGGCGCCGGAACATGTTTGAGGATTTGTCCGGCGAGGGGCTGGCGACGGGGTTCAAGTGGCAGCATGATGCGAAGTGGGTTCCTGGGGATACGGGCGATGTGATTACGGTGTTGGATAATGGGGCTAATGACCATGTTATGGATGAGGAGTATAGTCGTGGGTTGGTGGTTGAGCTGGATGTGGGGAAGTGGACGGCGAAGGTCAGGACCGTGTACCCGGCGCCGGGGCGCTTCAGTGCCCATTCGCAGGGCAATGTGCAGGTGCTGCAGGAGTCTGGGAATGTGTTTGTTGGCTGGGGGAAGGCTGCCGCGTATACGGAGTTCAGTGCCCGTGGGGACGTGCTGTGTCATACGCATTGGGGCCCGCGGATGTTCTTTGCGCTGGGCTGGGTCAAGTCGTATCGCACGTATAAGGCGGGCTGGGTTGGGAGGCCCGGCCAGCCGCCGGATGTGGCGGTTGATCGGGACTCGGGGATGGTGTTTGTGAGCTGGAATGGGGCGACCGATGTGGTCGGGTGGGTTGTGCAGAGGGTGTGGGAGAATGCTACGGAGGAGCAGGGCGAGACGGTGGAGTATGTGCCCAAGACGGGGTTTGAGACGGCCATTGAGATGGGCGAGGCGGATGGGTACTGGAGGTTGGTTGCGGTGGACTTCACGGGTGAGGAATTGGGCTCGACGGAGGTGTTTCGGCTGGATGATTCGGTATGTTAGTCTCGATTGGGTGATCTGGAAGGCTTGATACTGACGGGTCTTATCTATAGGAGACTGGGATTCTCATTGCGGGAGATGAAGGCCTGCTGTATATGCTGGTCCCTGCTTGTGCTGTCGGAGCTATACTAGCTGGTCTATGGCAGACCAGGAAGAGGATCTCAATGGGGCTGCGTTATCTTGCTTCTCGACGGCTCTATTGATACGGTCGATTATAGCTTATTGTTTGGTTTGTTTATCTGATACCCTACATGTATGTACATAAACAGGTAGATGTTTCTGATTGAAAACAGATTGGATGACGTTTATACCTGAGATGGAATTAGATATGATTATAATTACATTCGGTTGAATCATGGACTAATAGACATACATTATCCACTTCCCCCTTCCATCAACGGCGACATACACATTACTATTAAGTATTATCATAACTCCCCGACGCCACTTGGAACAGATCAAAGTCCCAAAACCCCCAGTACAACACCCAACATCAGTCCCCCCTCGACAGTTCCGAATGCCGCCGTAGGAACAGCAGCAGCACCCGTCGACGTACTAGTCGAGGTGGCAGCGGTACTGGTCTTCTTCGCCTCCGTCGCCGAAGCGGTCGAAGAGGGAACCTTTGTTGACGATGAGGGCAGAGCCTTCGCCGCGTTGCAGTAGACTTGTTGCTTTTGTCTTTCAGGGCCGCTCTCTGCAGAGCCAGGGCAGTTGTTGTAGCATCTGTTCGTGTCGTTCCATATATTAGCTATTTATGCAGGAGAGTGTTGAACAGAAACGGAAGTGCATTAACTCACGTAACGACATTGCCCTGCTGCTCACACAGGCATTTCCAATCGTTTGGTTGGCAATCGTTTAATTGGCCCAACATTCGTTGTTTACAATCATCCACGATGCTGTTCGAATTGGTCAATATCTATGCAGCTGACTAGAAGCGATTTCACTGTGACATACTTCTGAGCAGCGCACTTCGTCTCGGTCGAAGTTGTTGCCCCCGTAGTAGGAGTGGTCTGGGCCTGTGCCGCTGCAAGGAGGGGAGCGGATCCTGCCAGGATAGTGGCGAAGAGTGTAGCACGCATGTTTCCGTTTAGGTATTTAGATGATGAAGGGTTAGGGCAATGAGGGTGAGTATAGACAATATGTAGTCACAAGACAGCCCTAGACAAGAGTACAGAAACGTAGCAAAGAAAATGGAAGGAGAAGAGACAGTCGGCTCTTAAATCAAACACGACGATGTCTGAGCGTCTTCCCAGAAAGTGAATGGGAGTGTGACATCTGCAGAGCTCGCGTCTGTAAGACATGGCACCATTAAGTAAGAAGGGTGGATATGAGAGACACTGCATTGAACTATATCAGCCACCCGAGAGATTGCTTCTTTCAGGCGATATGAATGGCCCATAGCACCGACTGGGTTTGTTAGTGGGTGGTGTCTCAGGGCCAATATTCAATAGTACTAACCTATTACCCCGGGTGGGTTACAGTTCCTGCTGTCAACTACCATGGGGCCTGATATCAATCGCTGGATGGGGTGAACGTGGTCTGTTGGAGCATACATTCGAGTCCCTTCGTCCATTTTTTTCTTTCAACTAGAGGCGGTCTTCTATATCCAGTCCCTCGATTGACTCCATACAGTCGAGTGTCTATTGACTGGCGGTGACAAAAAGGGCCCAAGGACTAAGTCCAATAGTCAAGGACGATGTATCACTTCTCTCCAAAATCAGACCGGTCACATGCGGCCACAGCACAACACAAACCCTAAAATCGGATACGAAATTTTAGACCTCCTTAATGTAAAGACTCCAGATTCAAGTCAGCTCGTTATCCATAGGACAATAATACAGAATATATACAAATCCACCACTCTGAAAGTAACGAAAGAATAAAAAAAAAAAAAAAAAATTCATATAGTCTGCTCCAAGCCGCATGCAACAAAATGAAGACCACGAACGAAGGGGGAATATGGGATGCCAAAGGGACACAAGCCGGTGGAGATCACGAACATGCGCATGCGCCCTCTCAATCGCGTTGGTTTGCATGCCGTCCGCGCAGCACGCGGCGGCGGAATTAATATACTCGTATGCAAAATATCTGGTCTCGGAATGGAACAAAAGATGCATCTACTCCTGTCCGAAACCTAACGTCTCCTCCACTGCAATCGAGAGTTTATGCTCAAGTACATCATTGGTCTTATACGGAGGCAGATCAAGACGGTTGAAGCTACAGAGCAGTCAGCTAAGCAGTCGCGATTGCCATAGCGCAGAGAAACAACGTACCATGTGTGGGACTTGGGCAGCGCCCCCGGATCGCCAGACTTCTCGATGGTAAACCGTCTGGGTCCGTCGGAACCTTGCAGGTCTTTGAACCCGTTGACCGGGATACGGGAGGTACCGGTAGTGAACTGGAGCAGACGAGACTTTTGTTCCGCATCCCAGGTGCGGACAATCTTCCAGAAGTTCTGGATCACCTCATCCGACTCCTGGTAGCCACGGTAGTCGGTGTGCTTCTTCCAGTCATCAACATCAATGTCTGCAATACCTCCGATCAGCAGCTCCAGTTCGCGCTCATCGAAGACGTTGACCAGATCGGCCGGGATCAGTTCATTGAAGCCGGACATAAAAGCGTTGAACTGTTCCTCCACCCGTTTCACGATCTTCCACTCAGTGACCAACCTGATGCCGTGTTAGCTTTCCCGACTTGCTCGCCGCTTGGAAGCCAAAACTTACTCAACATATTCTCCCTTGTTTTCGTTGGTAACAGGAATATCCCGACCACCCGGCTTGAGATCGATTGTGCGGCGCTCTCCGAACTTCTCGTCATCAACCGCGAAGGTCAACTCTATAATGCCTTCGATATCGTTATCCCTATGGATTATCAGCAGGAGCTCTTGACAGATGTCTCGGCACACGGGAAAACAGAAACGTACAAGGTCCAGGTCAGGTTGCGGTGCAGATCTTCGTCAACACCCTCCATATCTTGCAGCGACACCTTCTTCCTGAGCATCATCTTGTAGAACGCTCCAATAAAGAATGAGTCCAGGAAACGGCGGTGGAAAATAGCCAATCCAACAACACGTCCAATGAACTTGAAGTAGTTCAGATGCTCCGGATTAACGCCCGAATGAGGATTAATTTGCAGGGTATAATTATCATGTGCGGAGTATTCGAAAAGACAATAGAAGGGGTTAAACATTTCGTGAGAGAGAAGGAAAAAGAATTCACTGGGCGACATTAGCATTGGACAATTCTTCGCAATCGACAGGACTACTTACCGGGAGAGACCACCATAATCCAAACCGTCTTCACCGTCAAATTTAATCATCAAGCGCTTCTTCAGATCCGAGGCGCTCTGCCGCATGATCTCGGCGTAGGAATCCTCGAAGATGTTGTTACGTCGTACCTTGACATGACATTGTCCGGACATAATTCGCAAAGCGGGTTGTGACCGGAAGTAGATCAGTTTACGTCTAAAGTCACGCTTGTACTGCGGTACGCCTTGATCCAAGGACGATGGCAGACGGGGATCGTCCCAGGTAGTGGTCTTCGTGTTGTGGTCGACAAAGTACACACGCGCAGTATTCGTCAAGCGCATTTCCCAACCACTGGGCAACGGCCCCAGTTGGGACACTGGTTGCTGTTGAATGGTGGTATTGGTGCCGTTGGCATTCTGGCCATACATCCGGATGTACTGCTGTCGGCGTGGATCCACCCATGTTGTGGTGCGAGTGTTGTGGTCGACAAAATAAGGCCGTCCTTCGGGGGTAGTCCGTTGCTCCCATCCTGGCGGAAGCTCGCCAGTGCCGGCGGTGGTCGCTCCGGTAGCCATCATAGACACAGCATTGGCGCTGCCACCGGCCGGCGGGGTCTGAGCCTGTTGCTGGTTCTCCTGCAGGTTGGGTGAACTCGCACCGGTGCGATCCTCCGGGAGCATGCGACTTTGGTGGGCTCTCCGTTCAAGCTGCATGCTGGCCTCCCGCTGCGTACGCGACGTTTGCTCGTTGTAGTTGTTCGATGGCCGAGTCCAAGTGGTCGTCCGAGTGTTGTGATCCACATAGTATGTCCGCCCCAGATTATCCTCTCGTCGCTCCCAGCCGGCTGGCAACCGTCCTTGGCTATCTTCAAACGAACTGAGATTGGTGCGAGAGCCTTGCTGGGCACTGGGCGGAGGGAGCGTTCCATTGGCAGGTACAACCGTGCTGTTAGGCCGAGTAGTCGATGGGACACGCTGAGGGTGGAGAGATGGATTTGACGCAGTTGCGTCCGCTGGACTTGGGCCGGGAGGTGGCTGCGGAGTCGATGCCGATACTTGAGGCACAAGGCCGCTGGAAGTTGATGGTTGCATATGTGACCGGTGTAAGCCGTTGGCTTGGTTGGTATTGGGTGTGCTTAAGTTGGTGGACAGATTGATAATGAGTTTGCCGTGCACAACAAGATTATCGTTGGATTTCTTCAAATCTCGAGTGAGCATCTCTATAACGCAGCAAGTGAAGATGTCAGTTGGGGCACTTTCACACACGGGACAAACCTTAGAAGATGACGACAGTTGACTCGCAGCCCAACTTACCATCACCGCCCATTTGCAAATCGATCACATCACCGATCCGTACATTGATCACACCGAGGAACCCTTGATCCTTCTTCTTGAACTTCTTCTGATCAAAGATCTGGATGGCAAGGATGCTATCTTCATTTACTCGCCTGGATTATAGGGTTAATCAATATGGGGACGTCTAAACGTGGCCAGGGAGGCATACAGATCAAACATCTCGTTCCAGTAAGGGTTCAATGTCTTCTTGATAACAGAGGTTGTATGGGTTTGTTCGCCCCCCACAGTGGCCACCGCGAACGGATCGGGGAATCCTGTATAGATGAAGGAAGGTATCAGTGAAACCTGTAAAGGCGATCGTCAATCATTTCAGATCAGATAGGCGGGACATACGGAAGACATCTCGCTTATATAGTCCATCCGCCGCGATAACTAATAAGAAAGAGAGTCAGTTAGCTCTTCGCTCTTTTCCTCTCTCTGGATGAATGACTGATAGTTGTCCCCTATTCCTGGATGTCTTACTTGTAACCCTGAGGTTTGGCTGGCTGCAAGTCATTGATTCGTTAGCACACCCTCGCTTCCAACCACGAGACTACTCTTCTTGCTGTTGACACGATAGAATTTCTTATCCAAAGAAAAAAAGGAGTAACCGGAGAAGACTTACGCAGGCAGATTGGAACCCATCCTGTACTGTGGAAAGAGATCTGGCAGTACACGCCTCCGGATGTTAAACGGCCGATCAGGACAAGCCTAAAAGGTAATTCGCGGCGTGCGCATCCACCACAGACCACAGGCCGCACACTAGACAGGAGTCGAACGATCGGAAACACAGGTCGGCCGTAGATCGAATGACAGAAGCGGTGGTATGAAGTGGAGAGGGGGGGAGGGGGGGGGTGAAACCGGAACAAGATTGATGATTGATGCAACGGAGAAAACTAAAGATGAGTTGAGGTTTGGCGATAACGGGGAGACTAAGCCTGAAGATGGAGGCGCGGGCAACTTTGGGGCTGAGCAAACCAGAGAAGGTCCTGACGTTGCGCTGTACGAACCAATCACCTTGTGACGAGGGGCTTTCTTCCGACCAGTCGAACAAGCGGCGCGCGGTTGATTGACTTGATTCCCGTTTGGCTCGTAGGGACAGTAGCGCGGGTGTGGGCGGATCGTGGCGAAGGAGGGGGGGGGGAAATAATAATAATAATAATTAAAAATTTAAAGAAAAATGAAAATATAATAGAAAATATTCGAAGGATACTGTCAACATTAGCAATGCATAAATAAACCTTTTCTAAATAATCCTACTAGGTATTCCGAAGATTCCTCGAACCAAAGATCCTATGGGTAATCGTCATGTAATATTATACTCCGATCCATTCCCATATCCTAGAAATAATACCAGCCAAAAAATACCGGTGACTGAGAGTGACGAGTACTCGGATCCATGTATATTACCTACTGTACGGCTAGTTGTTGACAGAGTTCATCCCAGATCAGGGAAGAGGAACAGAAGGTGATAGGATACCTGAACCCTAAGGTGTCCAGGCCGGCGGCTAACCCAAGAAATCCACAGGCCATGACGCCAAAAGCAGCAACCCCGCGTGCTTTAGTTTCCATTCGACTGGAAGCAACGTTTCGCCCGTAGCCCAAGCCAAGCATTTAGTGGCTGTCTCGTAAGGCAACAAAATTCATCCCTCTATTTTTATATTGACTTTGGTACTATGTAACTATGTACTATACCACGTCTCCTCAATCTTTACCCCCTTAATGTTGTCGTTAGGAGCATAACTCGGATATGGCGACTAGTCATAGACAGTGGGGCACACGACTTTGGTTTACTCATTACCTACCAGCGTTTATCGCCTGGGTTGAATCCTTAACGTCACAGTCACCTCGTACATACTGCCTAGCTTCGTACACATCGTATCCACACATACCCACTCACACACATGTGAAAAAAAAATAAGAGAGAGACAACATGGTGTTTTCCATTGACCCTCAGGATATGCTTTCAAAACTGACGATGATCGTAACAAATTTAAAATAAAAATAAAAAAAAAAAAAAAAAAAGAAACCCTAGTAGAATATGGGTGATATCATAGAAACAAGCGGAATCCATCCATCCTACCGGTTGCCAGATGGTTATCATACAGTACATCCCATCCCCAACTCCAAAGTATTCTCCATGAAATCAGAGAAACCTCACGATTTATCGATTTAATGTGGACGTGTTCGGCCGTATTCCTCTTTCACTCGACTCGTTCGAGCTCGCTTGCTCTTGTCTGCGAAATATGCGCCCTCGGCGTGGCGGCATACGTTGCATGCATTTAGTACGGTGCATAGCCCCGACCCCGACCACCACGATAGCCTCCCCGGTAGCCTCCCCGAGGGGGGTAACCGCCACGGAAGAAACCCCGGCCTCGGAAGCCACCTCGTCCGCGGCCTCGACTCATACCGGGCAAGTTGGTACGCTTGGGGACAACCTGCGTGCGTGTTAGGGGGAAAAACGGCACAGGGCACAAGGGGTAGACAGGGGTACCAACCTTTAGGTTCCGGCCACGGAAAACGCTCTCATTTAGAACAAGTGCCTGGGCAACCAAGCTAGGTTCTGCGAACTCTACATAGGCGTACCTGTACCACAAGCGTCAGCATTCGCAACCGATGTGGGATCCATACGGGCAAAGGCGGGGAGAAAAGTTCCAGAGGCTGGCAAAGCGATAACGCACCCTTTCGGCTGACCCGTGAACTTATCCAGGAGAATAGTAACACGATTTATTGAGCCACAGCTCTGGAAATGCGCCTGAATCTCCTCCGGGGAAGCACCGTAATCAACGTTGCCGACGAAAATACTCCGCGCATCGATCTCTTCCTTGTCTTCCCGCAGGTTCTCGGACTGTTGATCAAGGGTGGCTTGCATCTCGCGCAACTTCGCCGCCTCGGATTCCATCTCGGCTACCCGTCTCTTCATCGCCGCAATCTCTTCCTACAAGCGAGACCACCGTGTTAGTTCAACTGATACAAGAGAAATAACCATGGTGATAAAGCCAAGGCGATACAGAAACACCAGAATTGAGCTTCCGGTCTTCAATCGAGCTTGAGCTTCCGCATGAAGGAACACCCGTACCTCATCATCAGCCCCCTCCTCCTGATGCTGCAGGCGCTCATCTTTGACCTCGTTCTCTTCAGGATTCATTCTGGAAGTAATCGTGTGATGCCTCCTCTCTTGTATGTTCGACCCGCGGAGTCAAGGAAAAACTCAAGTTGTCACGGCACCTCCCCGACTGCTAGCGGAGCGGAGTGGAGCAAGAGCTCTGGGAAAATAAAATATCCGACAAATGCAAAGCTTTAAAGATTGAAGTAAAGTAAATCTAGATTAAAAGGATCGAAGAGGTAAATAGAATGACCAGCAACCGGTGATTGGAGGTAGAAGACCCGTCGTAGCAGGTCGCAAATGGTTATGCTCGTGTTTGATCGACGCCGAAGTCACTGCTGCTCTTTCCGGTTAGCGACTTTTGTCATCTGAACCTTCACGGGCAACGAACTTCACCCAAATCCAGTCCCGACTTTCTGGCGCAAAAACAAAGATGGCTCGCCTTTGTCTTCCATTTAGTCTTCAGAACTAATTAACTACTTTCGCTAATTCTATTTTTAATTTCATTCTTATTTTTTTCATCTCGATGATTTGTAGAAAAAGAAAATAAAACAATGCTACCATACACACTCTGAAGTCAGGTGGCTTGCAAGTATTCAGCATTATGGAGCTTCATAGATTAATCCGGTTCAGTATTTCACAGTTATCGGGGTAACAGAAGGATCAGATACGGGCAACCGATACTTCATCTGGGTTTTAAAGTACATTATCAGGAAACCAATCCATACAACTCGTACGGGACCGCAAAACTTCGTCCATCATCAAATTCGAAGCAGACGCCAGTTGGGAAACCTTGGTAAATTCAAGTCACATACAATTAGGAGGTCGTGATCGTGGCTGTTTCTATGACGTATATACAAGCAAATATTACGAAGCGTTAACTCATGATGGAACGGTGTTTTTGCGGAAGGAGACCTTTTCGACCGCGACGGTTTCAGCGCCATTGGCGTCCGTCTTGAGTTGGTAGACATACAACACAAGTACGTCACCTTGAATCTGCAGAATGTTCAGTATGGGAGAACGAGTGGCATGGAGATATTAGGCCACGACTCACGTCCATGAGACAAAAGCTAGGCGTTGGTTCCTCTCCTTCGGGCCAATACCCGGTACTCAGAGCGCCCGTTGCACTTCCCGGAGTGATAAAGAATCTTCCCTCCATCTCAAAAGCATCAAAGCGGTGTGCACCACCCCAGAGTAATATATCAACATCCATCTGGCGCGCGGCGATAAGCAGGGCTTCGGCGTCACCCGGCGGGATGATGGTGTGGCCATGTGTAAGACCGATCCGGAGGCTCCCGTGGGTCACCACTTTTGATAGAGGTAGATTGGGAGAGTCGACATCGAAATCACCCTTGACCAGTTGCAGATCGGGAGCGATACCACGGAGGAATTCAAATGTACTTCGGTCCGTCAGGTTGCCCAGACAGAGGATCTGGCCGATCTTGCCTGGCGTTAAGAGTTTCCGAAACTGCGACAGTTAGTCGGGATCGGTTTGCACAGTGAATTGTTGCCGATTGACGGGCGATTGAGTGGCGCGCACCTTGGCTGGAAGATCCTAGAGATAGCATATCAGCGAATTGAGGGTAGAAGAAGGGAAGAGACATATTCATTACCGGGGCTCTATCAGGGATAAAGAGGTCACCAATGACCAGAACAAGGCGCGACGTCATCCTGGAGAGAGGAACTTGTGACTCAACAGCCCATTCCAAAGAAACCTGTGCCTAGGAGACAAAGTAGTTACCTGCAAACGTACAGGATAATCGGGGCCGCCGGCGAACTAGTAGTTAAGGTTACGTATGGTTATCTGGTGCTCCGTCGACTCGATGGAGCTTCGCGGGGAAAGCTTACTGCCGCCTGACACCGATGCCGCGGTCTTTGAGCCCTAAGCCCTATATCTATGACAAGGATGGTTAGTCTGATACTTTTATCAGCCATATATCACGCTTTACCATCTTTGGGCTAGCCTATTCAGGTACTCCGTCCATGATCATACTTTTGATTATCATCGGTAATTGATGCCGTGCTGATCGACTTACCATCTCTCACTCTACTCCGTACTGAGTGGGCCAGACACACTGCGTATGATTTGATACTGTGACCAGGGTGCTTACTTGTTCTTGGCGATATCCCTTAGCCACAACTGGATTGTTGAATCATTGCAGATGCCATGTTGTCCCACCAGTATACAATCTACTGCGTTGTTTCGAGTCGTCCCCTCGCGTATGAGTTTGTGTTAGTCCTAAGTACATGGATAACCTTTGCTAGATGCTACTGTCTGACCACTGACCTTTCTGCGAAGCCTTTGGGGAAAGTCCTAGCGATTCGAGACTTGACTAACTCCGGAGATATCCATATGTCATGAACCTTGACAGAGGTATTGGAGTCCAGCCCTCAGATACAGTCTCACCGTAGTTAGTTTGGGCCTATTGTTTGGCCAAATACACAGAGTATGCAATTGTGTTGTTACGTTGGTTTCTTCCAGTATCATTTGGTGTCCTACGAATGTGATATATCAGAACTATATGTTCTATAACTACATATACACAGTCATGATTGACAAATATATAATGCCGCCGACTCTCCGCAGTGTACGGGTACCAACACTCTAAAACCGGGACGCAACAATGGAAGATGAAGTTTTCCTTCCGGCCCGAGTTCCCATTACTCGATAGATAGATGATAGATGACTCAATTGGGGCTCGCATCCCCCATCCCAACAAAAAAGTCATCCGGGGATCCCAAAGGTTCTCCGCAGTGCGGAGGTAAACGTACGGAAGGCTCCGCCCGCAGCCTGTAATTCCATTCCGGCCGATAGAAAAGGAGAGAAGGGGAAAAAGGGTTAATAATCTGAAAAATTTTATAGATCCATTGCCCTATTTAAACATCCCTTTCAGGACGTTTTCTTTCACATCTTCATCTTCTATTCAGTATACTCCAGGGATACTTGGGATATACCACAGCATCTACCAATAACAATTGATCCCGATTGATCCTCTTTGGGCTCCGGCGATCCCCGACTTGGTCCCCTCACTCCTTGCGATCACGTTCACTTTCTTCGACGACCCCGCGGATTCTCGGCGTTGAGAGCCGAACTTTCGGAAAAGCTGGCGAGCACACGAACGACGCAGCGGCTTAGTCTGATTTCCAGGCACCTGGATCAGCGTCTACCGTTGCCCGGCCTTAATACCCCCTTCTCGACCGAGAGAGACTCCCAATCTCCCGACGATATCGAATATAAACCCCTCGATCGCACCGATCTCTCGTCCACTCTTCCTTCTGCAACCTCTTCGCAACCAGAATCTCCCTCGCCCAACATGTCGTCCCAAGCCCCTCACCCCACCTTGCTGATTCCCGGACCCATCGAGTTCGACGATGCTGTCCTTCAGTCCATGGCCCACTATGCGTGAGTCGACCGGTGGTCCCGTAACCCATTGACCCCTCCATACTGATGCTTGTGGTAGTGAGAGCCACGTTGCCCCCGGCTTTGTCAAGACCTTCGGAGAGACATTGACCTTGGTGCGCAAGCTCTTCCAGTCCACCAACCCCGCCGCCCAGCCCTTCGTCATCTCCGGTAGCGGAACCCTCGGTTGGGACGTCGTTGCCTCCAGCTTGGTCGAGAAGGGAGAGAATGCTCTCGTCCTGCACACCGGCTACTTCGCCGACTCCTTCGCCAAGTGCTTGGAAACCTACGGTGCGAACGCCACACAGCTCAAGGCACCCATTGGGGAGCGCCCCTCGTTCGAGCAGATCGAGCAGGCCCTGAAGGAGAAGCCCTACAAGATCATCACCGTCACCCACGTCGACACCTCGACCGGTGTGCTCAGCGACATCAAGCGCATTGCCGAGATCGTTCGCCGCGTCAGCCCCAACACCCTGGTCGTTGTTGACGGCGTCTGCAGTGTCGGCTGCGAGGAGATCGCCTTCGATGCGTGGGATATCGATGTGGTCCTGACCGCCAGCCAGAAGGCCATCGGTTGCCCCCCCGGCCTCAGCATCCTGATGGCCTCCCCGCGCGCCCTCGACGTCTTCAAGAACCGCCAGTCCCCCCCCGCTTCATACTACGCCTCCATCGGCAACTGGCTTCCCATCATGCAGAACTACGAGAACCTCAAGCCCTCCTACTTCGCTACCCCACCCACCCAGCTGGTCCACGCCCTGCACACCACCCTGTCCCAGATCACCTCCCGGCCCATGGCTGAGCGCTTCGCCGTGCACGCCCAGGCTTCCGACCGTGTCAAGGCCGCTGTTGCTGAGCTCGGCCTGAAGCAGCTGGCCGCGAAGCCAGAGAACCAGGCCCACGCCATGACAGCCATCTGGCTGCCCGAGGGTCTGACCCCACCAGATGTGCTCCCGGGACTGCTGAAGCGGGGCGTCATCTTTGCAGCGGGTCTGCATAAGGAGGCTGCGACCAAGTACATCCGCTTCGGACACATGGGCGTCAGTGTCTCCGATCCTGCCCGCAATGATGTTGACAACGCCATTGCCGCTCTGAAGGAAGCCATGGCCGAAGCCAAGCAGGCCAAGGGACTGTAAATGATGATACCTTCTATATGTCACGAACTTAAGTAGAAATGAATAAAAAACGTTAATTTACCACTTTAAGAGTATTTCGGGGCTTTATCCGATCTCAATGTAGATTCATATCCTAATTGATGCAAACCCACAGTAACCCCAGCCCCTCATGAATGTGTCCGATTATAGTAAGCTCACTGCTCCTGTTCCACCGACCAATAGGATGATGCTCCGAGTGAGCGGTAGTGCTCCCGGTTGCAAACAAGACATTGGATCCATTACATAGTGACAGTACCGAATTGTTAGGGTAACATGAATACCTATCCATTAGACGCCGTCCATGTTGAAATGGGGCTATATATAAGGACTAGTGGCTCCGATTTCATACAACCACCAGAGGGCGCACAGAAAATATGATAATGATATGTATAGTGATGATCCTGACTCGTAACATCCGTCCAACTCGAGAGAGAGAGAAATAGGAACAATAACAATAGAACAGGGAAGTGAAGAAGAGGGGGGAAATTACAAGAACATAAAGTAGGGGTGACAATGATAAGTGAAAAGAGGAGGGCATGAAGTGGCAATGCTACTGGCACTTATGATGCTGGCCAGTTGTCTTTACAGTCACATCACAACGGCTATGGATGCATTATAAAACTTCCACCAGGTTGTATACGCGCGGTGCTTCATAGGACTGTTTTTATTGTTCCATGGATTCTATTTGGGAGCCCATGTCCATCCCCTCCTAGGCTATGCTTCTGTTTCCCCTCTACGTAACGCCAAAAACGCACGTACGTCGGTCACATATTGCAAAGCTTCTAGCAGAGGAACGAGATGGAGGAGGCCGTTATCCGTTGGGTCGTTGATCCAGCCCTCAATGGGAATCGCATTATCTAGACAGAATCAGTGATCATGCTGGCCGTGTCGGCTCTCAATCGCCAGGGGACGAACCTTCGTGAAAAATATAACTCATAGGACTGTTATCCAAGATCATCACTTTGCTCAAGTCAGGCTCCACCGAGCTCAGGTCCTTGATATAGGCACCATTCCGGAAAGTACAATGCTGGCGGTAATACCGCGCATGGAAGTACTTTCGCTCTTGCTCCAGCCAGTCGATCACGGGGTCGGCATATTCTTGAACACTGGCAGTGAAGATAACCAGCTTATACCATTTACAGATCTTGCGCAGAAATTCATCACAATGGGGTCGTTTGTGCACATAATACAGGATGGGGTGTTGCGGTCCTAACGTCGTCGGCGGTGCCCCCGGGCTGAGAGCAGTCGTCATTGGCGCGGCCAGTTTAACCTCAACCATGTGGCCGCTGGACATGCGTCCTCCTTTGGCCAGTGAGTGGATGAGGGTTTCATCCAAATCAAGGATCAAGGTCTTTTGAGGAGCCCTATGTGCGCGCGAAGTGGCAGCGTAGGATGGCAAACGGGGTGGGATCAGCGGCCGAGGAGGCACAGGCGAATGAGGGTACCTTGTGGCCTTGTGAATAGATGAAGACGTTGGCGATTTCAGGCTATCTGGATTTACATTCCCGGTTTCTGACGGTTGATCGAGGTCCACACTCTGTGATCGGCGCTGCCTTTGTCGCTTTAGAGCTTCTTCGTTATGGAGCTTGATCCGTATGGAACGGCGAGGAGTGCTCTCATCCGACATCTGGTCCGACTTGGAGGATTTAGCTTTCGAAGATCGATTCTTGTTACCTGGAGAGCCCCTGAGAGCCTTCCGATCACCCTCGGATTCAGAAGCGCTCGAGGCAATAGAATCTCGTGACCTGTGGCTTTTCAATTTTCGCGTGGAGCCCTGCCGTCGTCTACTTTCCGTCCGTTTGACGTCTTTCGCCGACGTGCTTGCGCTGCTGGCAGAGGAACCGAACAGAAATCGCCCCAACTTCCTCGCAGGAGCTATGGGGGAATATCGCCCGTCATCCTCACGAAAGCATTGGATGGCAAATATACCGGGTGTGGCCAAAGTGGACAAGATGAACTTGATTGCTTCGGCAACTGCGTCGAAAAACCGCTGTGCAACAAGACCTAGTGTACTTTTGGTAGCGAATGACCCGTCCTTTTGAAGCCCTCGTACCAGTGGTGATTTCTCATCGAACGTAAGACCAAACTGGTCCTCTTCATGTGTTAACCCAGAACCATCATCGCTACTCTTCTCAAAAGCGTCTGCCGAATGGAAGTCGTGGCTGCTGTAAGACCGGAGTTTAGAGAGATCCGCCGGTGCAGTCACTGGTGGGATATCTCCTTGCGAACGTGATCTCTGACGGTTACGGCTTGAATGGGAGGATTGGCCAATGACTCGGGACGAAAGTATGTTCAACGAGTTCATCTTCCAACACGGCCCACGGGTGTCCGGGCTGGCGCAGCTATCTAAGGGAGAACGTGCTAGTTAGCACGCATGTAGTGTAGGCACAACAATGTCGGACATGGCTCGAGATAAGGCAGCATTGAGATTGCAGTGGGATACAGAAGATGCTCATACGAACCTCAATGCGCCAGTTGACAACCCGTGTCTCAGAACCACGCTTATACCAGCTCTGTTCGATGAAGCGATAGCCGGCGGGTAGACCAGGTCCCAGTCGTGTCGGTCGGGGAGGTTCTAGGAGAAAAGAAGATACGGAAAGGAAGGAAAAACCGATACAAAGGCACAGCCTCTCAGCTAGGAACACGAAGCGGTCTAGTAGCCGGAGACGACAGAGAGGTGTGTGGGGAGAGACTCTCATACATACTCCAGGTTCAGAAGTGGTCTGCTGTCAGGCCGTCCCGGGATTAGTCCCAGATGCCAACAGCACGTTGGGCCGAGCGGCAGCTCTAAGCGGCGGGCAAAAACTCCCTCCGTCACATCCCACCAAACGCCAAAGAACCTCCCTCCTTCCTCCTCACTTTTTAGCGCTGCCCCTCAACCACCGGTGTTATTTCTCTCCAAACATCAAGTGAGTTGGCGATCCCCTGATTTATCTACACTTGAGTTATTTCGAGTCGCATATATATATCTCACCATCCGTTCTTGGGATATATGTATAGAAACTGAAATTACCGTGTGCGGCCATGACTCAATCTGCTAACCATTGTACATAGACTCCAAGGAATACCCTGTCTCCAATACGCAGCGCTATCCACGCAAAGAAATATTCACACAAACTATGCCATCCACATCTGTGGCTTTGACGCCAGGGTTGGCGTCTTTTCTCCGGTCGTTGAAGACCAATCCGATTGACACATCTATCGATAATCTGATCTCGTGCGTCTCACCGTCATCTCACACCTCGCATGTTCGCTATGTATATTAATGAACGTCCAGACTCCTCAAGCGAAGACAAATTCGTCACTCCCGATCATGCGCTACCGCGACCGCTTACCTTCTCCTTCGTGTCATCTCGGCCTGTCGCACATCAGATGCAGCTAAGCTTATTGAGCGGGTCCAGAGTGTGGGAAGGCGGCTGATGGCTGCGCAACCTAAGGAAATGGTAGTTGGTAACATCGTCCGGCGCGTGTTGGGCCTGATCCGGGATGAAGCCGAAGACGACAGGGAAGCCGACTTCAACCTGAGTGAAGCAGGCTCCGAGAGCCAGCCTCAAACGCCCCGTGCCTTGGATGGTTAGCACTCGCCATCCCGCATTATCTGTGTGATTTAAAGGCGCTAACAATTGGATAATAGATCCTTCTGAATATTCATCTGGCCGTTTCGAAGGCTCGGACCGAGGATCTTCTCGACCACCGTTGTCGCAGCCCGCACCGATCTCCATGTTCAGTCTACTTTCACACCCGGAGCCCGAAACGTCGCTTCCCGGCACTCCTGCATCGGCTTCCCCATCCGGAAGATTGCTGGGGCACGCACAAAGCAAGGACATTCGTGCCGAGGTTCTCGAAGGTGTCAACGAGATCATCGACGAATTGGGTCAAGTAGACGACCAGATTGCGGCCTACGCCCTCGACCATATTCACTCCAACGAGATCATCCTCACCCATACATCGTCCACTACCGTCCAGAAGTTCTTGCTGAAAGCTGCTGCCAAGCGGAAGTTCACCGTGATTCACGCCGAATCCTACCCCAACAACCACGAAGCGACCCATGCCACCGTCAGCGGCAACAGTACTGGCGATGAAGAGATCCTGAGCACTGAATCTTTCCAAAAGCCTCTGATCGCTCTGGGTATCACCGTCATCCTGATCCCGGATTCTGCTGTGTTCGCGCTCATGTCCCGAGTCAACAAGGTCATCTTGGGCACACATTCCGTTCTTGCCAATGGTGGGCTGGTTGCCTCCGCAGGTACTCGGGTTATTGCTCGCGCAGCAAAGGTTCACCAGACCCCTGTGGTGGTTGTGAGCGGCGTATACAAGCTTAGCCCCGTTTATCCGTTCGACTTCGACTCGCTGATCGAATATGGCGACTCCAGCAACGTTATCAGCTACGAGGATGGTGACTTGGTGGATCAGATTGACGTTCAAAATCCTCTGTACGACTACGTCCCGGCAGAGTTGATCGACCTTTATATCACCAATTTGTGGGTTCCCATGTATCATGTATTCTTGTCTAGCCGAGCTAACTATGGACGTTCTTTTACAGGGGAGGTCACGCTCCGTCTTATCTTTACCGTATTGTGTCCGACCACTATCGCAAGGAGGATATCAGCTTTTAAGCATCTGGTTGAAGAGAAGAAAAAAATGACGAAAAATGAAAAAGGAATTGGTATTAGAAAAGCATGGCTACACACCGGCGTAAGGATTGTAATAGACAAAATATGAGGGACGATACCCACCGGGATAACACAAGGACTCGTGGAAGACACGTAGTTAACCCTAAATGGAATAGTTATGAATCAAGATCATATGATATGGATCATGCGATAAGATCAATTCGATGAACATTGTACCCGGATGTTCCAGCCTAAAACCCAAAATATATTATTGTGAAAATCGTTACGGACATTTCAAGCACCCAATTCATACTACAGCGGCTAAAAGGAGACGGAGGATTGAAGTTTGAGACTTGATATTTTAGGGCCCTTCCCAAAGAAATAAATCATGGCGCCATCTTTTATAAGTATATCAATCGTAGTAGCTGCAATTTATTTGCAGGGTCATCCGTCCTGAACCATAATTTCCAGACCAGACCATAGACTGAAGATAGATCCCATCGTAGTAATCTTCCAATGTTCCATGGAATGGGCCCTTTCCCATCGTTCCCGCTGCAATCGTTCGTTTGCGCAATCCTCTAAGAACGGGGCTTCTCCTTCTTCTCCTTCCAGAGGGCGAGCAGGGAGACACCGGAGACCTTGACGACCTTGAAACGGACACCGGGAATATCACCCTTGGCCTTACCCTTACGACCGAAACCGGCAAGGAGAACCTCGTCGTTCTCGTCGATGAAGTTAAGACAACCGTCGTTGGGGACTGCGAGTTGAACCGTTAGCACAATCTGAACCATATCCTTCCATGCGTGCCGTTTTCCCTTCGAATTCCATCCAAGCCCCCATCTCCGGCACATCCACCATCCCAACATCACCAGACAATCCTCATTTTCCGTATTTGCAGCACATGGGTATAACTGTAGGAGAGAAAAAAGAGGGCTACCCACCGAAAGCAGCGACCTTCTTGCCGTTCTTGATCAACTGGACCTTGACACACTTGCGAATAGCGGAGTTGGGCTGCTTGGCCTCAACACCGACCTTTTCGAGGACGATACCCTTGGCGTGAGAAGCACCACCGAAGGGAGAGGACTTGTAGGCTGTACCGAGCAGGCGCTTCTTGTAGTGAAGATCGGCCCAACGGTTCTCACGGCGGGTGTTCGCGAGCTTGCGCGCGGCGTTAAGACCACGAGGCTGTCCCTTACCCATCTTGGCGGATTATGTTCGAAGGACGGTCTGTAGAAGAGAAATGCGTTAGATCTTGCTGTGGCAATCTGAGGCTTGGTGCTTTCGTGATGTGTGGAGGGGACGTGGATTTCAAATGTACATGGCCGGGGCGGTGGAAAATCAAAAAAATCAAATCATTCGGTGGCAAACGAAAGTCCCTAGATACGAATATATTTCATCAAAAAATGGCAGCAGCAATATACATACCGACTGATATAGATTGCCGAAAGGCCTGATGGGGATGGTTGTCGAGAGTCGAAGGGTTCCTTTCACGGCCGGCGGTGTCGCTGAAGGCTCACCAAAATGTTCTGCTGTGCGCGCTCCGCCCTAATCGGCCGCTAAGCGAGGCACGGGATCGGAATAACTCCCGCCGTCCTCCGATATCGATAAGCCCCTTATCAGTGACGGTCCAGCATTGATGTATGCGGAGATTAAGCTCCCTCTTGCTTACGGCTGTCAATTGGAGCTTGTTCTGTTCTAGTTCGCTTGTGAACATCATGGATATAGCTCCAAAATTGGAGAATCTGAGGAAAATCCCCTCTGCGCGTCTGCCTCCCCCGGTCCTCTTTCAAGGTCCACCGACTTCCCATAATGGATCTAGCATCTCTCTCACACCTGCGGTGCCCCCTGTTTCTCCGGGTGGAGGGGTTCAGCGTCCTGCACTGCAGCGGAATCGTTCCTCTCGCAATCCCGGTGGCCTCGAGACTCCAGGTTCTCTTTCGCCCTTTCTATCGCGTACCCAGTCCAAAGGCGAAGTAGATCGCTCGGACGCCATCTGGCAAGAAATGCAAAATGCCTTGTCAGAGGTCGAGCTGAGCGCGGTAGCTAGTGGACACGTTTTTGGCGAGAAGCACTCTGAAGCCCTTGAAGACCTGCGAACGAAACAGCTGAAGCTTGCGCAAGCCTGGGCTCGAAGCGAAGCTGACGAGGTAGTTGATCCGAAGAATGCAGCTAGCAAGAGTCAGTCAAGACCGAGGGTATCCTCTCGAGCCACAAGTCCCTCGGGAGAGCCAACCGCACCAGACGATGCCTCCCAGAGGAACCTAGACGAGGAAACAGAAAAGGACATTCTTCTGGCGCGTGAGAGGCGTGAAGCGAATGATCGCTACTTCGACCGGGTCAACAACGGTGTATTGGATGTGGTAGCTAAGCTTGAGGAGGTTGCTCAAGCTATGCGGGCCGTGGAGAGGGAGAGCAGAGACATCTGGAGTGACAATGAAAGCATAACCACAGAGACCGCATCAACGGCTAACACCGGATGAAACTGTCAGGCGCCTATGAGTATTGATCATCAGTGGACGTCGCGCAAGGTTTCCAGCCCTGTGGCTATGGTCTACATGCCATGCTGACTGACAGTCGACGTATACATTCCATCAATTCCAACAGTGCTCTGCATAGGTGGGGTTACTACCACGCACGTGGCAATGGGAATTCTATCGTCCTGATTGTGTGACGACCACAAGAAACCACCTGCAATTTGTATGACCTGCGGTATTGTGAGAAGAAGGCCGTGGCCATTATTTGCGTATAAAAATGCAACATTGTCATTCGATGCAGGGAAAATGGTAAGGTTGGACCGACAAGGAAAATAATAATACATGAGAAACGCTAGTCAATGACAGACAAGAAAGGGTATCTGGACATATCTGCTCGCCAACGTCGAGCAACTCCAATGAACATGTACTCAGCCAAATTGAACCTACTCCTTCTTTACAAGCCTCAGCACAGACTTCCATCCTTCCCGCGCCGTTTCTCGCATGTCATCCCACCGACTTTCGTTTGCCTTTTTGGCCAGCTTTTCCACTTCCTGGTTCCAGTGATGCTTCAGCAAGTCCTCCATAGTAGGCCGTTCTGGCTCCGTTGTTTTCTTATCTAGTCGGGCGCTATCTCTCGGGGCTAGTCGGCGATCGTAGGCGCCTGTAGGTGAAGATAACCAATTTAGAGCTTGAGTCTGTTGACGTATAGCATCACGTTGTTCCAGGCGAATAGACCGATGTACTTGAACTGTTAAATATAAGGCGGTTGTAGTTAAGGCAAATCCGCTGAACTATTTCTCATATTAACTGATCGTTCGGCGCATGCCTTGAGTCGGAGAGGGGGTTGCCACTTACAAACCCAGCGAAGAAGCCCATATCTGCTTCTTTGTTTTATGAAGTAAACCGATTCTATAAAGGATAGTGAACTCTTTCCGACTGCTGGAAGACAGGTGGGGGAGGAAGCTCTTCGGTGCCGGCCGAAAGAACAGCAGTCACGATTCGGAGATAGCAAAGTGGCGACTCAGTACTCTTTTATCAATGCGGAGAGATATGGAGAGTCCAATATAGTCCAAACCAAGAGGAAAATGGGTGAAATTGAAAAAGGCAGGCTTGTCTGCTTGTCTAGATGAAAGAAACAAAACTGCAAGTATGGGGAGTTTCTGTTGCGCGGATCGGGAATGCCATTCGAGCACTCCGATTGGCTGCCGCGGATGAACGAATCTTTCCACCGGTCCTGGCAGATGCTCCAGCATAACGCCTGTGAACTGCAACTTCATCTTACTATCGCCCACCTCCAAATTTCGCCTTTCTCCCCTCTCACCGGTCCTTCGGCTTGCTGTAGGAACAAACCCACGACTTTTTCTACAGCACACATCTTCGTCATACACCAATTGCCACCGCAAAGAGAACCAAAAAACAACCGATTAAAAACACCTTCCGCATACACCTATCACAATGGCCGGTGGTGCAGCCAAGTATCGCCATCTCAGCCGCAAGTCATCGCACAGACAGGCCCTTCTTCGCAACTTGGTCACCTCTCTCTTCAAACATGAGTCGATCACAACAACATGGCCCAAGGCCAAGGAGGCGCAACGGCTGGCTGAGAAGTTGATCACATTGGGCAAGAAGAACACAGAAGCGAGCCGGAGACAGGCTTTGTCGGTTTTCTATGTATGTGGGATTTTGGTTCTTCATCTTTCTATACTTCCGCATCGAGGGAACCTGCTTAAAGGACAGGATGAATGTTGCATGTCAACTTTCTCCTTGATCTTTGATTTATCTTGAGGATGTCGGTTTTTGTTGCTATTGGTACTAATCGGATCACAGACTCCTCATGATCTCCTTCCTAAGCTCTTCGGACCCCTTCGGGAACGCTACGCCGAGCGTCCCGGCGGCTACACTCGAGTATTACGTGTCGAGCCCAAGAAAGACGACCAAGCACCTAGCGCCATCCTGGAACTCGTTGACGGACCCAAGGATATACGGTTCGCGATGACGGCACGCACCGTCGTTAGGCAACGGTCTCAGGGTCTGGACACTCTCAATGAACTGACACGGTTGAACGTACAGAAGGTGACGCGGTTCCGAAAAGACGGCGTTGACGACTTGGAGCGGGAGATTAAGAAGTTGGAGCTTGACGGCCGGAAGGAAGAGAAGGCTCAGAAAGCTCAGGAGAAAGGAGAATCGAAGCAATAGATGCATATAAAACAACCCTGTTGAATCAGGGTAGGGTTGCCAAAGGCTCGGCGAATGGGGCACCGGATCGCAGCGACCTGAGTCCATCTGGTGCTTCTGTATCTGTACATTTTTTCCTCCATGGTCTCATGTCTTTACCAGTTGGTCTTTATGATCGTGTAATTTTAGCTGTTGTTTTCTGGATACAGAAATGGGCTTCCGCTTATTCATAGACTGTCATTGTTTATCCTGCAACTAGGTACGTGATGTAGCTTGGATCACGCTGTTAGCATGAGGAATAGGTTAAGGGTACACTGTGGGCATCCTCTGATGACGGTCTTCATCCGGCATGGTTGCCTGATTATCGCCTGAGTAGCCTGACTGTTCCTGCATCTGTCATCACACTTGCAGATCCAGAAGAACGACCAAGACATCCTTGTACTTTGACTTTCTTTCAGACTGACCTATGAGGTACTAATATATGCTTCCAGCAGCAGCAACAAAGCACCGAAGATAGTATGTACATATATCAGACATGGAGGCAATTTCCACAGCGCATTAATCAACACTGTTTTGTTCTGGCATTAACTGTATTCAATGTCCCTCTTTGTAAGAGGGAATTCAAGAATGTGAGCAGTCTGTTCATAGAGATGAACTTCTGAGAGTTCACGGTGTTCTGCAACTCTTGGAACCATCGTTGACCATCGCGATTTTATGGAGATTTCGACTGACAAAAACACCTTACTCAGCCGCAAGTATGCATTAGATCCGAGATATATATTAAGAACCCTTCATGTATGGTGTATTCCACTCTGTGAATTTTGTTTGATTTCTCATGACCAACTAATACAGCCAGCTGAGAGCATTCGTTGCTAATATTGAAAGCAGTATCGAATTCGAAGCTAACTGAGCTACCGTTGATGACTGATAGCCTCGCTTAGAGATGGGGTACTCAGTAGTTCGTTATGATAATTCCCACATCCAAGAACTAGATTGGCATTTCCCAGTCAAAGATCTGTGCTAACTGTCTTACATAGCCAGTGATTCCTCATCTTGTCTCTAAGCAACAGCCTTCCTGTTGCCCAGGGTCCCGCGGAGTCCAGCCAGTGCTTGATGGTTGTAGGGGTCGGGTCAAATACGGCATATACGGGTTGCTCACCGGCCAAAAGCTGGGCCGAGGTGGCCTGATATTTGTGGAGTCAGCATCCGATATGAATTCCCATCTTCGAAGGGATCTTTCATAAAGCATGGCAGCACAATGAAGTGCATGTTGGTGCTCTGGACCAATGGAAGATACGCGCAGCCTAGAATAAGTCTTGGGCACTCCACTGCCATTCCTTTACTCCTGGTGGAGTACGTGTTCTGTCGGCAGGTTATCCCAGGGGCTTGGAAAGCACAGTTTCCAATTGGCCTCCACCAGCATACAGATATAGCATGGAAGTCTGTGTAGAACATGGCTGGAATGATGTACTACCGCCAGGTACCCACTACTTTACCCCAGCTGTGACCCACTTTGGCGCATTATCTGAAATACGATGCCGATACGATGCCAGTAAAGCCTTTAATTGGCTCACGCTCTTATATGAGTAAGCGGTCTCTGAGCCCTAGTTGTCGTATAGAGCGTATACGATGTATACGATAATGGCTGTTGTCGAAGGTATCTATGCAACGAACATGAGTTCTACTGCTATAAAGACCTGTTGCTGTCTTGCCTCAGCGATTTGTTCCTTTTCATACCACAACAGTTGTCCAAGCACATCTCTCATTCTACCGATTTTCTCTCCCTATCTCAAGGCGTTCGCTTTCAAAGCCCTTCCTGCACAACATCGACTACTGGCATCTCACAATGGCCGTTGCCCTGCAAGACGACCCCGACCTTGCATTAACCAAGGCCATGCATGGAAAGTCGGCAGAGGAGAAGAATGCCTTCTTCGCCATGCTCAAAAAGAACAACGCAGCCCATCGGGAGATCACAAACGAATATGTGCGGCGTTGGAGGACCGAAAAGGGCATCGACGGCACGACTGACGAGGCCCGAAAAGAGAGAATGTCTGAGTACATGGGTGTGGTCAACAAGTAAGTGGCCTTTTTTCTGCTGCGGTGCACTTGAAACAGTTGTTCGCTGACTAGCTGGCCTGTACAGCTACTACGACCTTGCAACAGATTTCTATGAAGAAGCATGGGCACAATCATTCCATTTCTGTCGATTCACTGTCGGCGAGCCCTTCCTCCAGGCTCTGGCGCGCCACGAGCATTACCTGGCATATAAATTGGGCATCAAGCGGGGAATGGAGGTTCTGGATGTTGGATGTGGCGTTGGGGGTCCAGCGAGAGAGATTGCTCGATTCACTGGGTGCCAGGTGGTTGGAGTCAACAATAATGGGTATCAGATTGCACGCGCAACACGACATACGCAGAAGGCAGGCCTGGAGGATCAGGTGTCCTTTGTCAAGGGTGATTTCATGGTAGGCATGATGGAGCCATATTTCACAATTATAAGAATTTTTGTCTCACTGACTGTCAACTTAGCATCTTGATTTCCCAGGTAATACTTTCGATGCAGTCTATGTCATCGAAGCCACGGTCCACGCCCCAAGTCTTCAAAAAGTATATGAACAGATCTTCCGCGTCCTTAAGCCAGGCGGCCGCTTTGGTGTATATGAATGGGTCATGACGGATCGCTTCGATGAATCTAATCCCAAGCATCGTGCTATTCGACTGGGGATTGAGCGCGGCAATGGCATTGTTAACATGCGTACTCAAGATGAGGCCGCCGAAGCTATCCAAGCAGCGGGGTTCGTTCTCAAACATGAAGAAGACCTAGCAGCCCGGCCAGATCCTATTCCATGGTACTACCCTATTGCAGGGGAGCTGCGGCACGCACGAAGCCTCTGGGATCTACTCACTGTTTTGCGCATGACGAAGGTCGGACGAGGAGCGATGGGTTACCTGCTGTGGGCGCTGGAAAGTCTGCGACTGGCCCCATCTGGAACATCCGAAACAGCCACCGAGCTCGCCGGCGGTGGTGACAATCTTGTCGAGGGTGGTAGGCTTGGCCTTTTCACCCCGATGTATTTCATGATTGGGCGGAAACCGGATCTCTAGGCTTGGATTTCGGAGCCTAATGCGGAGTACAGGTGTTACATATGTTGCCAATGCTAATTAGAAATATTTGCCTTCATTATCACTTCATTTCCGAAATACTACTATCTAGCTCAACAAGAAGAGTCAGATGGGGCTTGCATATGCTTGTCTGGTATAAGCCCTAGGGATATAGCAAAGATAGCAGATCCCGGAACTTCTTAACCGGTCAGCACTAGGAAGATATTCTCACATACCTGGTTACCCATAGCACATGGAATAATTCCAAGCTTCGTTGCCCAAACTTGGCGGAATATCAGTGTCTTATCAGTCGGCTGTGGTATCCCGCAGACTGTGACTAGTCTAGCCCTAACATCATGGTCTAGCGCAGGAATATCCCACCCCTAGAAGTATATCTAGTAGATTGACTAGAATATGAACTGATGCTGGCTAAGTTTGCCGTATTCAAAGCCTATCGGAAAAATCTGCCACGCAAATCAGATAAGATAAAAGGTTACATCCAAGCTACTTACTGTTTTCGGTCACGACGTAAGCACTCTGGAATGCAACATCCGACATGTCCGACCATCCCTTCTTCACTTTTCTCTTCAAAGATAATTACATGTCAATCCACTTGACATTGAAAGACCCAAAATCATGGGGTAACTGAAAAAACGCAATTTAAAAACAAAACATTGGCATTCGTGGTGTTTAGATCTACTTAGTTCAGTCCATATACATCTCTGGCAACATATTTGCAGTGATCCTCGCGAATATGACGGCTGAACCTAAAGAGATCCCACAGGGGGCTGCTGTGGAGGCAGGCCGAGACCAAAACTATGCGGCTATAGTCGACTATGAAGCCGAAGCTAAGCTCAATGGACTCAGAGAAGCACATGGTGTAATCGCACCCACACCCTATTAACCATCCTCGATGATGCGAATGGCTAATTTTGATGCCACTCGCTGTTTAGGCCACCTGGGATAGCCCAGATGATTCCCAAAACCCATATAACTGGTCGCTTACCCGCAAAGTCTCCATTGCTCTCGTGGTGTCCTGCGGTCAACTGGCCACTCTCATGTCGACCAGTATGATGGCTGCGGCACTGAACCAGATTGCAGAGGACGTGGGCCTGAGCATTTCCGTCACGCAGATCTGCTTCTCAATCTTTCTTCTTGGCTTGGCGTTTGGACCCTTTCTCGTCGCTGCCTTGTCCGAGATATATGGCCGGAAATTTGTGTGGTTGACTTCCAATGTCTGGTACATACTTTGGAACTCACTCTGTCCCGTTGGAAACAACGCAGGACTGATGATGACCGGGCGGTTTCTTGCAGGCTGCGGAGCAAGCGCTGGTGTCACGGTGAGTGCCTGCTTATAAAGACTCTCCGTGAAACAAGATCGCTGACAAAGAACACAGCTAACAGCACCTATCATGGCGGACATGTTCCATGCCAAAGACCGTGGAAAGTCCCTGGCACTGGCCACCCTCATCCCGTATCTGGGACCAGCACTAGGGCCAATAATGGGAGGGCTAGCCTCACAGCACATCCACTGGCACTGGCTCTTCTGGATCCTGTCCTCATTCGAGGCGCTCGTTACCGTCCTCGGCGCATTCATCCTGAAAGAATCATACACACCAACCCTCTTGCGCCGCAAGGCAAGAGCGCAGAACCCGAACCTATACCCCGACAACAGCCCCCTGACGCAGCAATTCTACATCGACCTCTTTGCCCAACTCCGAAAGAACATCCACCGTCCCCTGCACCTCCTGCTCACCCGCCCCATCATCCAGTTCCTGGCCATCGTCTACGGCCTCGACTTCGGCATCTACGTCCTCATGCTCTCCACCTACGCCAACCTCTGGATCGACCGCTACCACGAATCCGAAACCATCTCCAGCCTAAACTACCTCGCCATCGCCATCGGCACCACCATCGGCGCCCAAGCCGGCGGCCACCTGATGGACTACATCTTCCGGCGCATGCGCGACCGCCCCGGCGCCATCGTCACCCCGGAGTTCCGCATCCCCTACATGATCCCCAGCGTGCTGCTGATCCCCATCGGCCTCGTCTGGTACGGCTGGTCCGCCGAGCACCGCATCTCGTGGGTCGTCGTCGATATCGGCGCCGCAATCTTCACCGCCGGCTGCTTCATGGTCGGCCAGGGCATGCTGGCCTATCTGCTGGACGAGTTCGCGCATGCCGCCTCCGCCAACGCCGCCACCAGGATGCTGTCCAATATCCTCGGCTTTGCCTTCCCCATCTTTGCGCCCAGCTTGTATGACCGGCTGGGGTTTGGGTGGGGGAATACTCTACTCGCTTTGCTTTATCTGGGGCTGGGCGTGCCCATTCCCTTCGTGCTTTGGTTTTGGGGCCCGAGGATTAGGGATATCGGGAAGGAGGTTTAATGGGGGGGGGTCTTGGGACTTTCGTTGTATGTATGGTGTGTGCTGGGTACTGGCGGTGGGGGTTTAGGTCTAATAAGAAAGAGTGAGAGTAGTATACTATATAATGTTAATGATCTTCTTTAAACGGTCACCCGGTCACTCTCTATGGCTCTTTGTGTATGGAGTATATATACACTGTATAGTTCGGGGATACTAGATGCATACCCGAGAGGCAGAGCTGAGGTATCTCCGTTTGAGATCCCTTAGATTCTTTGTTCAAATTTACAATATGGCACATAGGCACGCAAGGAATACAGAGGTGAGGGATTGTTAATTGCTGTACTCGAGATCTACTTAGGGGTTATAGTGGGCTAGATTGAATAGACGGCGGTAGCGAAAAGAAAGAGCACAGGACACAGGGGCTCAATTTCGACTACGATCGTGGTAATGGAAATGTACTAAGGAGATGCCCTCCAGTAGCATTTATCCGGACTAAGCCCATGGGCGTCTGCGCCTATACGAGTTGTCATGCTTGTATCGAGTTTATATGTTCAGTTGTCATACTCTAGACAAAGTCGGTCAAATTCTAGCAAGTTTATCGGGCTGGTATCCTGAAATCTATAGATACATGCATATATCATCATAACATCGTGAAGTACTCTATGAGCGGAGCTTTTTCTAGCAAACATGTCGTCCATGGTGGTGCATAGTGCTAAGCCAGCTGTAGTCGAGGGTCTCCGCAAGACCTGACAAGATTGCGTGCGGAGGCATCGAATATCTTCTCGTGACACGTTGTGCAAGCTGATAGGCCCTTCAAACCCAGTACTCTGGGATTCCCAAGCCAATCGGTCCTGAATTGAGTTGCCTGGACCAGCAGCGCCAAATCGGAGGCGAATGCAAGGCGCATTGCAGTAAGCTGTATGCTTAAGTATTTTCAATAAACCCCGATCACGACTCGCTCTTTTCGTCATTCTCTGCAACAGCCTTCTCGCGCTTTTCAAAATGGCCCTGGATCCAGCAACGGTACATCTTCAGTTTCTTCTGGCGGTTGACCACCAACCGCCGGTCATATGCCAAGGCGTGTATTTTGAAAGCACCGTCATTCTCGCCGGTAACGGCCTTTTCACCTTCGGCCTTCTCCGGGAGACCCTTCTCGAGTGTCCACCGACCCCACATTTCTTCCAGCTCATCTCTATCAAAGAAGAACACACGAGTGCCGTCTCCACGTACGTAAAAGTTCTCATCCAAATACCGACCCTTCTTGAATCGAACCTGAGCCAAGTCTCCCCGGCCGTAGTCACGGAACAAGACCTTACCACCGGGCTTCAGGACCCGGTAGATATTGCGAAGGGCCTTTTCCCACTGGTTCGGGTTGAGGGCGGAGAAAATGAAGATCAAAACCACGACGTCAACTGATTCCTCCGTCAGCCCTGGAGGAAGGGAGTCATTGTTCTCATCGGGTTCGGCAGCGACATCCCACACGTCCGCAGTGATGTGCTTCGGGTTATAGTGCTCGCTCTCCCGTATAACCTTGACGGCATATTTCGAAAAGTCGCACGCATGGACCATGAGTTCTTCGTTCGCATTGTTGTTGATCAACGGGAATGCCGTGTTTCCTGCGCCTGCGCCCACCTCCAGAACGACCTTCTTTCCGGCATCGGGACGGGTAACCTCTTCTAAGATGGGAAACTCCTGCTGCAACCACTTGCGATCTTTGAAAAAGTTCGCTGTGTTATTCTTATAAAACAAGTTCCACCATTTGGCGGGGTCTGCATTGAAACGAAACTTGTCAAAGTCCGATGCGGGCGACTCGCGCTGTTTAGCGTATTGGACTTCTGCGAAGGCTAAGAATTCGTCGTCGGGTTCGACGTGATCCCAGGCATTGAACTCGAAGACGTCGTCGCCTTGTTCCAGGTAGCGAGAACCGAATTGAAAGGGATCACTGCGTTTGAGATTGTTGGAGGGGTCGTGCGAACGATGCGGGGCAATCATGGGAGGTTGAACCTCTTGGGTGACTTTTATAATGTCATCATAGGAGTGAGCGTTATCTGGAGCCATCTTCCTCAAGACTGAAAAGAACGTTATGCGGCTCAACGAGGGAATACAAAATAGACCGCGATCAATGGAGGGGAAAGAAATGGTGTTGCGGAGAAGAAGAAAAAAGATCTGGTGGGGAAAAGAAAAAAAAAACCCCCATTCCTGCCTCAGGCGCCATCCGTATCAGTGGATCCCCGAAAGCTATCTTTATCGCAGCCAATCAAAAATATGGATGCCTGAGAGGATCAGCAACAAGCCTGAGCTTACGCTGCCTCAGGCACTCCCCAATACGAATGCCCCCATTCTGATTCCACACCCCATTCGAATGTCACTTCGCTTTCTCCTCACTTCCTCGCATTCCTGCATACTGTGTCCTTGTCTGGACATTTCGCTCCCACCAGTGCATAAATTGGCATCATCACCCCACGGGGTCACTCTGCGGGTGCCGACCGTCATGCTGGACATGCACTGAGTACAATTCATCTTTGCTCCACTCTTATCAGGCCGACCGCATTGACCATCTGTACATCGTATACAGATCCCGATTCCCGCATTAGTCACAAGGACTTATTTCTTGATTCCTTTCCCCTCGTCGGAGTCATTAGAGATTATCCTTCGTATCACCCAACCTCTGACTGTTTCTCTAAATATTTCCTGAGTCGCCATGTCCATGTTCAACATACTGTGCGGTTGCGTGACCCGCAGTTCCCCACTGTCATCTCAACCGCCGGCTCAGCCTCGTCATCAACCCCAAAACGGAGACAATGGCACCGCCACATATAATCCCGACAGCAATGGTCCCCCAGGGATGTACGAGGATGATGGCTACAGCCCCGTCGTCCCATTACCAAGATATACCCCACGACCCGTGAGCATTCAGGAGAAAACGCTAGAAGCACACATGCGGGATCCACCAGTGTCATCGTCTGAGAACGCCAGCAACTCCACATATTTCCAAGATGAAAAGGACCGTCTCGCCTTTGAGATGGCCCCTAACCGGAACCACAATCCCGAAGACCTGACCTCGGAGGTCTCTTCCGCTATCTCTTTCCCCAGTAGCTACGGGAATACCTCGACGGCAACGAGGGACACTCCGCCGCCGCCGTATTCATCTCGCGGGGTCTCTCCTGCGCCGTCGAGGTCTATGTCAGTGTCTTCATCGGGGTATCCGCTGCCGCCACAGCAGGTAGCTATGATGCAGATTGCGCAGCCCCGGCCTGTATTCCAAAGGCCGCACGGTTTAGTCCGGAATGTGTTGTCGCGAAGAAGTTTCGATGAAGAGCATGAGTCTGGGAGACCACGGAGGTTCTCGTGGGAGAACCAATAGTTGTTCCAAATTGTTTTGCAATATCGAGGCTTAATTGGTCTGTTGACCGATCGGGACATCGCTTGGGGGGCTTTGTCTTGTCTCTTTACCCCTTCCTACCCCATTCACCCTGCCTCTTCCTCCACGATCTTTCTTCCTCTTTTCCTTTCTTTACCGATACTACATCTTGGCCACTGGAGCACCACATATTTATACGAGTAATGATGGACTTTGAGAGGACTTACTATCTATGCATGGATATGGGTAATCGGCGTTAAGGGCACTCTTGTTCGGCTTGATCTGCGTCATCTAATGAGACTACCCCGTACATAATACATATACATATATACGTGTTCAAATCATAAGACTTCCACATGTGGAATAGTACACTCTAAACGCTCGAGTAAACACATCAACGCACGGAACACCAAACACAAAGTCATACATAAACCTCGACCAGTCTCGTCCTACCAGGTAAAGTTACAGCAACACCAAATCATACTGACACGCAATCCGCTCCTGCACATGCTTGAGTAAATACCCACAAGCTTGCGCCGGAAACTCCAGCAGACTAAGAATGCGCGGATCGTCGCTCTCCTCCAGGTACATGCAGATCGCCACGCACTCGGACCTGGCCCTCGTTTCCATCCACCAGACATCGAGATTTACTATCATGGCCAGCCACCAGCTGAGGATAATCAATGCAGGCGGGTCCTTCTTCAACAACTGGTCGTAGTAGTCCGGCAGGAGCCGGCCCATGTAATTCGTATAGTGGGTGAACGTCTTGATGCTGCGCTCGAGGGAGAGCAAGGGGGTTAGCATTCGCAGGGGCCAGTGGTAGGGGTTTGTTTCCTCGGTGGTGGTATCGTCTATGCCGCAGATGTCGGCGAGTTCCGGATGTAGGTCGACACGTCCGGGACGATGGTCGTCGTAGAGGGGGTTACCCTCGCGAGACCGCTTGAAGACGTCCCACCACATGCTTTGGGTCATCCAGGGGACTGTCAGCCCGAGGAGATAGCGCAGGCCGCTTTGGAGCATCAGCCAGTTGAGGGCTTCGGGGTCGTCGGAGAAGACGAAGGAGCTGCGGGGGTTGTATTCTTCGAGACTGAAGGAGTGGATGGTCATGAGGAGACAGGCGGAGTAGAGGGGGTCCATGTTGTGTGGGCCGACGGCGGTGGAGATCTCCTCGGAGTACTGATTGATGGCCTTTTGCCAGTGGTAGGCCTCCACCATCGTGTAGGCGTTGTCTTCGGGGTAGATGCGGCGGAGATGGGATGTTGCTGCGCCGATGATGGCGTGCATGAGGAACGGTGACTGGGCCCGGTTAGCTTGCTGAATGGGGATATGGCAGGGAGCCCTCACATCGAACGCCAGCTGGATCATTTTACCCCTCATCATGTTCTGGCTACGCTCGGAGCTGACAGTAGGGATCGTAGCTTCATGGAAATGGTGCAATGCTCGCAGAGTAGAAGGCAGATGACCATTTTTAGGCTTCAAGCGTAGCAGCTCGTCTAACTTGGACGAGACAGCACGCAGCGACATTGTGTATGCCGCTGATTCCTGCTCGGTCAAGCTTGGGACTTTGTCGATGAAGTAGGATATCACACCCTTGCTCCGCGCAGAGCTAACTGGACCGGCGTCATAGCTGCAGTCAACTCCATGCTTTTGGCATCGCAGACAGTGGGGCTTAGTCTCGTCACACTAGGATCCTTCAGCCCTGCATTCCTTTGAATACAAGGAGTATGTATGAAAGTGGCGAGTACCTTAACTCTTCGCTGCTTGCATTTCACACACCCAGCGCGCGACTTCCGGTGCGATCGACGGGCATGATAAACCTTCTCAGCGCCGTCTTCTGCGCCTGACGATTGGTACAGTGACACACGAAATAGGCTCTTCCGGCCCTGTAAGGTGTCCAGGAGTGTCGTGGGGTGGGTGCTGTGGGACTGGCCTTTCCCAGTAGACTCGTCTGCTATAGCTGGCATCGCTTTTTATAACCAACTTCCAGTTGATGGTTTTATGAGATATATGTGTGGATAAGTAGAGACCAGATACTAAGACTTGTTCCTCCTTTTCTCATCATAAGACGGAAGGAATGATTGTCCTTTGGGTGGATGTGAGAGGAATACGAGGACTCAGCCCCGTTGTCTGTCCCTACATCATGGAACAGTATTGAAGCTGTCCAGACCCTCATTGGCGTGAGACACACCGCCCTGAGCCACAAGACAAAAACTAAATACTAGTAGTCAATTGTAATCGTTAGTATTCCGTCTAATATGGCACATCGGGGGCATCCAGACGGGTATGGTGGATCCTGAAATTGACCAACTGTACGGTTAATAAAACGGCAGGGATGGAATTTCACCATCTCTGAAGAGATCCAATGACTTGAACAGTTTGAAATCCGAATCGAATGCCTTAGAACTCATGCATAATGGCTTCTTGAATCGCAGATTGTTCCTCGTATACATCGACTGCACCCTCTTCGGGAACAAACGGCTGCAAGTATTGGAAATGCATAGTATTAAAGAGGAAAGCCACGAAATGGATGTTATGGGGTATATGTGCTCTGTAGAAATGCTAACTTTGTAAAATTTTGCCAGTTGCATTTCTGGTCCGGGCACGGTGGTTGGGCTATTTATGATAGTTTTCGCAAGGACAGTAACATACTGGCTCATGTCTGTGAATACGAGAATTTGGAATAATTCATAAGGCGAGGAAGTCTCTGCCTATAATGCCTTTGACTCGATGCATAACTGACACGAAGTATAGCACAAGAATCGCCGTTTGTCAAGTATATTTGTACGCCGCTAGTCCTAACCAGGTAGCTCTCGTATTCGGCCAACAGGAGCAACCATCTTGATATATCCTCGGAATGTTTACTTATTAATATAGCCCATGTGCTTTTAACGAATCAATGTTTGAATTCTCATGCCCTTTCCGAAAAGACTATTGCTCATTACTTCATACACATCGCGAATGGCCCATCAACTAGCCGATTTGCGCATTGGAGAAGTCCATCTCTGTACCAGAATGTTAGTAAACCTTACGAGACCCTAAGCACAATAGTGTCCAAACATACCCGGATGTTCCGCCTGGAACTTCTTCAGAAGATCCATCTTGCGCTGCTCATCGCTGCTTGCGCCGCCGATTTCCTTCTGTCGCTGATCGTACATCATCTTCTCGACCATGGCCCTGGTCTCCCCGTCCAAATCACTCAACTTCGATGACTCGGGCGTGATCTTACTGACGTCGATCTTGGGCGCAGAAGTCACCACATGCGGCCACCACTCGACCTTATTCACCTTGTCCAGATGAACCGCCACCTCCTTCCCAGGCGGTTGCGATGTCGTCTCCAGCGTCCATGAGCACTCGTCAAGTATAACCGGATGAGGAAAGTCTCCCTGTGAAACACTTAGTTATCCCATCCTCAAATGCCCACCGGTATCACCAAAAGAGCGTAGCCTACCTCGATAATAGGTTCCTGTCCCTTAACCGCCACCTTGATCTTAGTCTTGGTCAAAACCACATCCAGATCCCTTCCCCTGAGGTTTCCCGGTACGGCAATCGTCACGTCCACGTCTTTGATGGTCTGCGTCCACTTGTATGGCAGCTTCGCTTGCTCGGCGTCTTCCTTCGCCTTGCGCTCCTTCTCCTCGCGCTCGCGCTCGGCCAGTTCGGCGGGGTTCGGATCGCGTTCGGCCTCGGCAGAAGACATGGTTGGGTTTGGGGTCTATGCGCTTGCTCAAATGCTTTGTGGTAAGTTAGCTGATGTTGGTGGTTCTTAGTACCTGTGCTTGTTGTAGAGGGGGATGGCGGGGTAATGAATAGAAGTGGGTTGCGGGGAGAATAGATGTACGCTTGAAATACCTTGACGGGTTTTGATAAAGGCTTTTTATATTTGTGAGTGTTCGGTGAGCTGGTTACTGAGTGGATGTGAAAGTACAGGAAAGAGATTCCCAGTGTTCGTTGTGATTGTTTGGACTTTTGTTCTCTCCGTTGGCGGGGCAGTTCCGCATGGAGCTGGAGCTTACTAGCCTCTTTCGGGTGCTTTTCTATTCGATCAATGTGGATGTTTGAATACGAGTCTGTAGAGTATGGATATGGCACATGTTTTAATTATGTCATGAAATTTTATGATATCATGTAATTCGACTGGGCTGGCTTGTCTATAACAGCAAGCATCTCGGTCTTCATAGGGTATTCGTAGTTAATCTGATATGTAGTGTGTGTGAATAAATGAGGAAAAGTGAAAGCATTATCATATATGTCCGTGAACAAGTGAGGGTGGCATGTTAGCAAAAAGAATCATGGTTGGTAGCATCACTCGACATCTCCCCCTGAAGGCCAGGGCAGTCGACACACCTGGCGGACCACTCAACTTAACCTCGGAAAGAAGAGGATGAACGATAGTAGCGAACGTGTATAGCCTCATGTAGTCGGCTCGGCCCTTACTCTATGCTATCGATTACGTCCTCCTCTGTAATAGGTCCCATCCAGGGTGAGCCGTCGAAGATGCGAACATGATGCGGAGATGGAGCATTCTGGTGAACATCTTCCACTTGCTCAACAGATATGCCCGGCTCCTCGACGGAGTTGAAGAACTGACCCGCATATTCCGCAACTTCGTTTGCCATCTTAGTCTCCAAGATCCCCTCCAGCATCTGCATATCTTCCTTCCACCGTTGTTCCCTCCGTGCCTTTTCCTCTTCCAGCCGACGGCAGGTTCCGTCCTGCTCTCGAAGCTTGAGGCAGTTCGGGCACAGATAGTTTACCTCACAGTATGAGCAGTTACATGGAGGATTGGCCTCAACGCAGTCCTGGCATACGTGCACCGAGCAGCTTGAGCACTCACGGAGGACACTACCACACCTTTGTCGTTGATCGCCGACAGCTCGATACTGCGGGCAAAAGAACGATTGGCAGCCTTGCCACTTGGCCGAATCTGACTGTGATTCACAACCAACGGAGGAACGTGATGAGGAACGGGATCGGTTTGAGTTCGAGACTGAGACACTCCTGAGTCGGCGGTGCACAAGAGAAATGGGCCCTGGCGGGTCGTCAGCGCCTTGCACAGTGTGGCTACTAACATCCGGGACGGCATCCGCAGGATTATCCTCGGTAAAGCTGCTTGCAGTAGAGTCGACAGCCCGGTGGGTCCGATATGGCAATGCAAATTCGGTCGAGGAGCTCAAGTAATGCGACGAAGCAACAGCACTGGTGGTCTGTTGAGAGCCTGATCCGGGCCGATTTTGGATGGCCATCTTTTCTAGAGTAAGGTCACGGTATCCACAAATGCGTAAGCGGAGGCCGCGTAGATCATGTTCAATGCATAATGGCTTCGAGCAACTTTTACAGTGTACCTTCCACTGGGGAGTGTCATAACATTCCTGACACAGATTTCGAGGGCAAGCCGTGGGTTCTCGGTCTGGAGGCCCCAGCAACCATTTCATCATAGCTATATGTCCCGTTTCGAGTGTGTAGTCAGGTTTCCGTGGATCACCGTAGGCATACTTGGGAAAAGTCTTACTCCACTCCTGCGCCGAGTATTCCAGGTCTTCCCAGCCTTGCCCACGGGGCAGAGGCGCTGCTCGCACCTGGTCTACATCCCGGTTAGGAGTTCCAATACTGATACCGCCTCCACCGGAAAAGATTGGTTCGGTACAACACCAGTGAAATTTCAGGACAGGATGAGGGGGTGTGGTGTTATGATTCAAGGTATCACTGTCAGAGGTACTCTCCAAGGGATCCAGCATGAGGCAGGGAGAAGTGGTGGCCCCTGGCGCCCACCAGAAAGGTTGCTTAGACTCCCCTGACAGCGATGAGGGCCGTCGAGGACGAACGTAGGGTCGATCATAAGCACAACTTGCACAGAGCGTCTTGCGGCACCCAACACAGTGCATTAGAACACTACACTGTTCGCATCTTTCCGGAATCTCTTCGTAGCAGTTGTCGCAGCGGATATTTTCCACAAACCGCTTATGGCTCCAACGTGAATGGGCCGGTGACATTTTACCCTCGCCAAGGTCCCTGCCTTCTCCTGTCCCAAGGGCTTCACCATAGCAGCCAGTCTCCTCATGTTCCCACAGCTTACCGTCTCTTTTGGGTGGACGGCTGCTGTGGTCTACTGGGCCAATCCAATTCTTCGACCGCCATAACCGGTCAAAAACCACCCAGACCTCCGCAGAGCCTTGCGGTACTCTCATGGAAACGTAACCTCTCCTCCTATAGCACCTCCCGGCGGGAGTCGAACACCACGCGGTGTCGGTCCAAATCCCTAGTTTATGGCAGAGGTTGACTAATTCATGGGTCGGCTCCGAGTCTGAATCCTTCCGAGTTAAAGAAGAGGAGAGGTAAGGTCTTCTTCGGTGATGTCGGCATCGGTAGGTATACAGGCTTTTCAGTGCAAGACGCTTGGTAGATGAAGAGCTACCAATGCTGTTTTCCATATCCACATCATACTGAAGCCCAAACATTGTCAGATACGGAATGATATGGTATTTAAGGGAGACATTTTTACATCCCCGGACGGAGAGATGCTCTAGTGTTTCGCGCCGTGAATACAAGACAGTCGATATGAGTATCTGCCCAGACACCGCCGTATTATCCAACTCTAGACTCCTCAAACACGGACTGAACGGGACCACCACATTCATCAACAGCTGATCAAGAGCATAAGGGCGGGATTGCCGCGGTACCACCACTGGCTCCAGAGTCCCTGGAATGACAACCCGGAGGGGTGAAGAGGTACCTGAAGGGAAGAATAGACGAAACGACAAGTGCTTCCATGCTGTAGGATAGGATCTAAGAAAGGACCGGAGGTAGCGGGAAGTGTGGTAGAGTTTCAAAATGGAGTCTGTCGGGAGTTGAAGTAGCAGGGATTCGAGGAGAGGAGCATGGGTCGTGATGACTCGTTCGAAGGTTGAGAGAGAGCGTTGGACGGGGATGAGCGACTGTTCCAGGGCAGAGTCAACCAACACCTGCTGGTTGTGAGCGGCGCTATCGGCCATGCTTTTAGGTGCCTGGTTCTCCTATGGACTGGCCGTCAGATCGTGGGTGAGAGGTGTACCAGCGTGGTTTATTGCCTTTGTCTTTACGTCTGTCGGTCACGCTATTGCTATTGCTGTTGCTGCCGCTGAAAGTCAAAGTGACGCGAGGTCGCGAACACAGCGGAGATTGCGGAAGATGCAGCGCATCATAGGGAGAAAAGAAGGAGGGCGACACGGCGCAAGGAGGGCGGTATAGACTCAGGAGTTGGACGTCATGCTAGGCCATCAAAGGGAGAATAAGATACGATAATACTGGCTGATGGGTGGCTTTGACAACTCACAATTGGGACAAAAACCAACGGCCTTACGGCCGGCAAACTGCCCGCTTGCATCATGTGATAGGTCGATTCCAAAAGACTCTTGCGACCTTCCCTATTCGAGCCGGTAAGATACTTCAATTATTTAATAAATAATCCAGAGGCCCTGAACCTCAACAGGGTTGAATTCTATTTGGTCGATCTATGGAGGAATAACCCTTTTTCTTTCCATTTTCAGGTGTTGACCTTCAATAACATAGGGTATATATAATATAGTTCATCAATCCAATGGATCTCCGGGAAGTTTAGTGCCGGTCTATTGAATCGCCCACTGTATATCCCCTTGCAATGCCCTTGCGCCCTTCCACCACCAGCGTATCATCTGGGGCGTCCTCTTCATATTGAATATCGAAATCACTCCCCAACCCCTTCCACGTCCGTTGCGACCGAAGAAATTCTGCCCCTGGAGAGAAGGTCCCGCCGATCATAGCCAAATCCCCTTTGGCCCGTTTGGCCAGTGCTCGAGCAGCAGACGGCCCACTCGCTGCTGACGCCGCATCCTGTGCTGAAGCTGAAACGCGGGGTGCAGGATTCCGCATCGGCCTCGAGTGCGAGACATATCGACCGGTGCGCAAATCGAACTCAGGTGGTGCAGATTCGGATTCTGACATATCCTCTTCCTCATCGGCGGCCACACCATTCGACAATGGAGTCTCATCCTCGACTTCCTGGTTAGGTTGATTAAGAACGCTCTGGAAGTCACTCTGCCAGGCTCCGGTCCAGATACGCTCGGCATCCCCCTGGAGAGCAAGCTCCAGCTCAAATGGGGTGATCACTGGCTTCCAGAAATCTTTGCTATCAACTAGGGAACTCTCCCAGCAACCGATGACCACCCAACCATCGATCTCACTGAAATTAGCCACCTTGGCTGCGTTCAACTTCCCCACCACAAACATATAGCTCTTCTTGCCAGCTTCCGCGATTTTCTGCTTCACATGCTCTACGATATGTAGATAGTTCTTCACACTGAGCGTGTTGACTAAAATTCCGAAGATTGGTGCAGTGCTGAGACGGGTCAAGGTGGCATATCGACGCCGCAAAGCGATCGCGGTCGATGCAGGCAAAGGCTTGACGTTTTCGTTTTGGAGGTCATCTGTGGGATATATGTGGATTGAAGCTACACGAGACGCCAGCGTCATGAGGAGAGCCGTGGGAGGGTCTGAAATGTGGAAAAGCTGCCATTCTGATAATGAATCAGGAGTCTCGCGAACCGAGTCCGGCACTGTTCGGTTGGGAATCGCAGATGATGGGTTGTGGACCAAATCAGTAGCAAACAAGTTGGTGTAACCTTCATTCACAAGTCGTGAATACACTGCAGGAATATGATCGGTGTATGTCACGTCAGCCGCGAGGATGACCTTTGTGGTAAGGTCAGGGTAGGTCTCTTGGAAAGCGCGAACGACGGGGTCGATGGGAAGAGGTTTATGTGTGAAAACGTAGATCACCGGTAGTCTCGACGTTGGAGATAGGCATGAGCGGCCATAGTGCACGACGACATCTGCATTGACATGCTCCGCAGCCACCTCGTCGACGCAGCAAGTCCCGTAGGACGTATCGGCTAAGATATACAGTTTTGGCGACGTCTCCGTAGTATCCGCGATATTGAGCTGAGAAACCGAATGCGCTAGGCCATCCGACTCTGCAGTAGTACTCGCTCCATCTTTCTGCGTGTGAGAAACATTGCCGTCAGTAGCGTTGCGCTTGTCTAAACCGCGGCTAAGCAATTGAAACACCCGTGGTGCATCCGGAAGCATATCATCGGGGAACTGAAGAGCAATTCGCCTATAACGAGCCTCTCGGATCTCCTTCAACGTGCGGTCAATATCATAAGTGATTGATAGCTCCTCATCCGACAACGTGCGCGGTGCCTCTTGTGTAGTGATGGGTTCTGTAGCCTCGAGAATACGATCATCGGGGGTTGACAGCACGGGGGCTGCTGCCATTTCTGTAGCCATCTCGAGAAGTTGATGATATCGGCAATATAATAGATAACAAGAGCAAACTATGTTGAACTAAGGGAGATCGTGGAGATGGCGGGGTTTGAAATTGTTGTGGAATTTTTTTTTTCGCGATTTTGGGAGAACAAAAAGGCCCCCCACTTCACCCCGCCATCTAAATTATTTCCGTACAAGAACCAATGGCGCGGATGCCAATTACTGATGTTGTATACATGCGATACAATGCCTTTACCCTTTTGAGTTTATATTTTTCCATTCATAGTATTTCTGTCCTAGTGGGATGGTTGATCGATAATGCGCAAGATGAAAATTTATCATGGTTAGAACCGTATGATTTTTTTTTGTATGTAAGCAAGTACGATAGCCTAACTATCAGATATAGCAGCTTACTGTATAGAAGGCTCGCTAACCTACAAATCCGCCCGTGCTGGTTCCCCAGCCCAAACACGTCGAATCAATTCACGGATTGGTGCGCGCTCGATCTCCCGTGGGTTCCAGTAGGGGTTGCTCACAGCAATATCCGCTGCCTTGTCGATATCTTCCTCCTTCATGCCAAAGTCCTTAAGGCCTCGCTTGACTTGCAATTTGGACAGCAAGATGTTTAGACCCTGGACAGCATCTCCATTGCTACCGGGAAGCGCTTCAGCCAGCTTCTTCATTGCCTCTGGAATCTTCGGTGCGTTGTAAGAGATTGCATGGGGCAACACTGCTGTATGTGTCTCTGCATGGGGCAGGTTGAAACTGCCACCCAACGTATGGCATAGTTTATGGTGTATAGACATACCCACACTACCGAGGCAAGTCCCGCAGAGCCAAGCACCATACAGAGCCGACGCCCGGGCAGATTGAGATGTGGGGTTCTCGACAATCTCAGGAAGGGCTGATGCTAGTGCACGGGTACCCTCGGCGGCCATCAAGTTGATGACGGGGTTAGTATTGCGGGCATAGAGTGCTTCGACTAGTCGTATGATAACCGTTGAGCTTTCGACATCATATAATGGTCAGAGCAGTAGCAGGTTCTTAAGGACTCACCGGCATGAGCAATAGCATTCACACCACTCGTAGCACTCATTGCTGGTGGCAATGTCATAGTAAGGTCGACATCGTAAATGACAGTTCCGGGAAGGATTTTAGGGTCTGAACGTGTCTTCTTCAAGCCATCGGCCGTCTCACCCAAGATAGGGGTCATTTCACTTCCCGCATAGGTGGTTGGAATGCAAATGTGAGGCATGCCCGTACGGATGCTGATGGCTTTTCCCAGCCCGATGGTGCTTCCACCGCCGATAGAGATGACCAAATCAGCATTCCGAGACTTTGCATACTCGAGAGCCTTTTCTGTAACGTGTGTAGGAGTGTGCATTGTAGCCTCAGTAAAGATGCCAGCTACCTTACCCTTGAGGACATCCTTGACCCTCTCCGCTTGGCTGATCTGCTGTGGTGTTGACAACACCAGTGGAGCCTTTAGATTGAGTCTAGAGATCTCATCGGGGAGTTTCTGGAGAGTACCACTGCCGAAGATGACTCGCCCAGGGTTCGCGTTATATTCGAATGCATCCATCATAAGAGCTTGTTTTTTTGCCTTTGTGACGTTGGAAGAAGATGAAAGTCACACCGGGACAGTCAATGGGGAACAAATCAGTTTTATATCTAGTTAGTGCTACTCGTGTAGGAGCTGGCGGTCGACCGATATAAATACCGAGACTCTTATGGATTAGAGGAAACTTTGATCATCATGAATAATCTCCCTGCACCCCACACCCCACCAGTAGTAGGAGACGGTCCTGCAAACAACCGTCAGGCAAATGCCTTTGCCGTGGGTCCCTTTCGCGGGGGTCCTGATTTCTCGGCATCTGCTGCTCTGATTGCTTCCGGGAAGGCCGATTTATAAGGAAGAAGGACGGCAAAGTTCCTCACATCGGAAATCCCCCGTCCAGTGACAAACTGGCCAACGTCACATGGTCAAAGAGGGCTGAATTTGTTGCTAGACCCAAAGGATCGAAATTGACGTCAGGTCAATTCTGTAGAGAATACTTGCCCATATTGACATATAAATCGTTGGTTGAACCGACTAAGTTACATACTATAAGAATTATGCAAGTGTTCCGACCTTGCAGCTCACAGCCCTTCCCCAATCTAAAAGGTTTCTTCCCATAGAAAACTCCCCACGCTATGCATTCCTGCCGTGCTGTCCGTTCCTCGCATTTGCCTCCTGCAAGCCAATTCCCTTTGTGCAGGTACGAGTATCAGGAAGAGCGACAGGATCAATCAAGATCATAGAACGCCATGACGTGTTGACCGCCGCTGCGATCCTTGCCCTTGCCCTTCTTCCGTTTTCTCTGCGCCTCGTCGGCCCGCCGACGTTCACCATCGCTATCGTCCGAGTCGTCGCCATCGTCGTCGCTGTCTTCATCACTGTCCTCAAGCATGTGCTTTTCACCAGCGCTAGCGCCATTTGCCCCAGATCCGACTGCTTCATGCCAAACCTTGACCACCTGTCCACCACCACTGACCATACGTCCTTCCACATCAAATCCTAGACCGACAACACCCTCCGTTTCATCGTGCATGACCTCTGACACAACTTTGTTTTGGCCAATCCTGACGAGCTTAACACCACCACTTCCGAGACCAACCGCGACCATCTTGCCCTTTCCAAGCTCATCAGGGACCATCGCGAGGGTTTCGAGAGACTCTCCGTCCCCGCCGCTTCGCTGAACGTAGATGCGCTCGTCCTGATCGTCCCAAGCACCCTTTTCCCAAAGGGTCAGGACTCCACCGGAGCCACCCACAATCACCTTCTCGCCACGGCTTGTCCCGGTCGTGGCCAAGCCACCGACATACACGGAGCTGACCAATTCTTCTTCCTGGTCCTCACTGCGCACTAGTACTCCCCGTCGTAGATCCGTCACGGCCAATGTAGTACCACCGGTTGATACCCATTGTTTGCTAAATCCCGAGGTACTGGTATCCGATGCAGGTAATGGAGTGATAGATGAGATGTAATCATCGTGAGGGTGATGTGTCTGTTGTGGCCGGGCCGAGACGCGGGAAAACGGAAGGCGAAGGTCATAGAGATGCAGTGCGCTCGAGTCAGTAGCGAGAAGGAGGGTTTGGGGGGAAAGCGCATGAATGACGGTCGGGGCATCGACGGAACTGCAGAACAAAGACGAGTCAAAATGTAAATCCTCCACTAACAGTTTGTCCCACGAAATTAAATATATATTCTTCAGTCATTATAGGACTCACCCGTCTTTCTCCGGGGGAATTGCAATCTTGTTTTCCACCACACCGGTCTCTGCCTTTGCAGCTTTAACCAATCCATCTGTTCCCGCGGAGTACAAGGATTCACCGTCCAGTCCAAACGTTAGGCACCGACAGCTGCCTTTGTGTCTTCTCGTCCTCCACATCGTATCAATATGTCCCCGGCCATTTCGCGACGAGGAAGTCGACGCCTGATCGTCGTCACTGTCCACTTCGTCTGACGGAAGACGGAAGGTTTCGACATGACCGGTGGCAAGCCCAACTGAGACAATTGGTTCCTTGGGATGTATGGCCTGCGCGAATAAATCCGCGGAAAGCGGTAATGTGCAGACTGTGTCAAACATGGCGTTGTGATGAAGAATTAAAGCGTCACCAATCTTCCCTTTTTTTTTCCCCTTCGGAGCTCTTGGACAAAGCTCGGATCGATTTCCCGCTCGAGAAAGTGCGGGCCGATGGATCTTCCGCGGGTGGTTCCACCTATGAATTATATATATTCACGTTTCTGGTCGATCATCTACTACTCGATCATCTACTACTTAATATACTATCTGCTGGTATTTATCAGGACTAGTGCTACAATATTTTGCTAAATGTGAATAAAAAAGGCAATGAAACACTCTGTCTCGTCAATTTGTCCTAATTGAATACAGACGAAGAAAAGAACGCGAATCACAGAGAATGTCATAAAAAAAAAGTCGAGTGGAACCCCTTGATTCTGCTCGGCAGAACCAAGGCAAATAGAAGCGAAAGAAAAGAACAGAGTATAGAGACATGTGTCCTTGATAGGACCTCTATCCAGCACATCTTTTTTCCCATGCCATGTACATGTCTTGCTCAATGTTCCCAATGCCACACCTAACAAGGCTAGCCTTGACTGCCCTTAAATTCTGGCACTTAGGCTGGAGCGTCGAAAGTAGAGCCGATCGGGCCAAACTTGATGTTAGAGTAGGTCACCGTGGCACTGCCATGCTGCGCCTCGACCGTCTCAGGGTCACCGACGTGTGGCTCGCAGGTGCCCCGAGCGACACCGGGGGTGCTTGCGTCGGCGTCTTCTGGGTAGGTGCTGTCCAGCCACATCATGCTGGAATGGTGGTCATCCCATATACTGAGGGTCAGGACCATGGAGGATAAGGCGTTGCCCATACCCTGGAGTCCGCCGTGCTGCGTGAAGATGTCGTCATCGCCGAATGCCGTCTTCTGGGCAGTGCAGAAGTCGGTGGTGATCGAGTTACCAGTGACACCTTCAACGTTCGATGCGGCATTGGCGATGACCTTACCACCCTGCACGTAGAAACGCTTGATCTCCGACAAGGCGCCCGACTCGGTGCCGTCGGCAGTGATGAATTGGGTCACAACGGTAACTGGGGAGGAAGAGTCGACGAGCGCGCCAGGGCCATAGAAAGACTCATTGCCCATGCGGTAAGCGTTGAAGTCACAACCATCAGGGTCGCAAGTTCCTCCATAACGATCCGCGGAGTAAGTTCCTCCACAAGAGTCACCTTCACACATGGTCTGAGCGGTATCGTCGCAAGGATGGGGTGTGTAGGCCGTAGAGATGCTGTTGGCTTCCCAGATATCCATCTCGGGGCAGCAGGAACCGTGGCCACCAACACCGGCATTCTTGTCACTGTCGGAAGGCTCCCATCCTTCCACGTTGGCCTAATTTCCACTGTTACTATGTGTAGCCGAAAATATGAAGGCGTGTTTCTTACCTGGCCGTTGATAAACTTCAAGTCTCGTGGGCACTGTGAATCACAGTAGCCAGTTCCATACTTGGCACCAGCCTTGTTGGTCGCGTGCTTGGCGACACCGCCGTCAGCGTCCATGGCGACGAAGTAAACGGCACCGTTCAAGCCACAAGGAAGCTGGGAAGCGTCAACATCAAAAGTGAACTCATTGTTCAAGAGGTTGAACGTCTGGTATGACTCGTCGTCGTCTGCCATCAGGTACAGACGAGAGCCGATATTGGCACCGGTGACAAACTGGAGGGACAGGGAATTGCCGCTGGTGGTAACACCGTAAGTGCCCTCGTAATCAGCTCCATCCAGAGCACAGTTGGAAGCGCAGGCTTCGTTATCAGGGCAGAGACTGGCATCCCACTTTGTTGATCCAGTCAGTCAGGTGTACATGTCCCCCTTTGGGATAGACGTAAAGGAACTCACAGTGTTGCCAGTGTAACAGTTAGTGGAGCCCTCAACCGAGTGCAGCCAACGCCAGTTGGAATCAAGTACAACAGAGCCTTTCTGCTCGGTGCAAGTGCCACCAGCAGCACACTTTTGCCAGGTCAAAGAAGGGTGGGTTTCCGCCGTCAAAGTTCCAGCCTGCTGGGCCTGGACAGCCGTCCAAAAGGCCGAGAAGAGAAGTGCACGTTGATGCATTGCGGATGCTCAATGGAAAGAGAGAATGTATTGAACTGATTTTTTGTTGTTGCCTGTCCTGCAGAGATGATATTCTGATCCTGAGCAGGAGGCGTCGGGCCTTTATATAACCTGTCTACCATACGAATCTAGGAGAGAAACACCCTGGTGTTCATTTCGGAAAAATTCCTATGCGAAGCCCTATCCATACTAGCCGGTGCAACGGACCGCGATGCCGCTGAAATGACCGTTTCATAGAGATTGAGGAAGCCATACAGGAACCGCCGGCATCAAATGAGCATATTGCTACTGAGGTATAGCCAAGAGTGGATCCTAAAGTGTACATGACATAGGTGTGTAGTGAACACTTGAGGACTGTTGGCGCATAAGGGCCGTAGTAGGTCTGAGACGGTAACGGAGTATGCTCCGAAATAATGGATTAAGCGATATTCTCAACAGCTCCGGTTAGAGAATTACAGGAAGGGGAAGAACTGTGTCCCTTGCTAATTTCGAAGACTGTCAGCAGGGCGAGGAACCATGATACATGCTTTCCGGGTCGGCCTTCCGATCGAAAGAGACTAACAAAAACTATACACGGTGGTATATCCTCCTTCCAAAAGCTCGATTGGATTAGAGGCCCAGGGAAGAGTGCCGTACGAAACTGGTGCCATATTCCAACGAGACAGGTGAATGTCTTCTTGACGATTGTCGCCCCGGCTAGTCCGGCCCATTCCTCCTTTGCCGGAGACTAGGCATTTGCGGTAACCTCATCCGGGGTATAGTATATCTAATCTCAGTTATAGTCCTTGTTTTGGAAGTCGATCGACAAGACGAAACTCCCTATAGTTGTGGGGAAGGACGAGGTGGTATGATGTGCCCCGATTGGTTGTGATGCAGATTCTGAAGCATCAAGTGTTTACTCCGGAGTAGATGAAGGGTTGGCCCATCATTAAACGCCCTGGATCAACCCTGCCGATCGTCGGAATGCGGGGGAGAAGATCCATCAATGAGATCAAGCTTTGCGATGCCCTTAACCTGTCGGCACTGTTGTTCGTGGAATTGTGGCTGCCAGATGGCGCCCGGGAACTTGGCGTATCGTGGCTAATACAACCGGCCACTCTAATCCAACCAATATCAAAGCTTGTGGTCGTTTATGGCTTCGGCTCTGAGCGCTTCGGGTGTTCTTCGATCAAGGCACGGTTGCAGAGTCTGGGTCTTGGAACACATAGGCGACAGGAGCCCTCCGTGCCATTCTTGTCACTAGAACACTCCGCGGCGCATAAGTGATATGCAGCTAGTATACTCGGTAATTATCCGCCAGAGTTATCACTGCAGAAACCCATCTCTGGAGCACGATGGTTCCTTCGAATCCTTCCCTGTCTCCAGACGGAGACATCGTTCGATCCAGCCAGTGGTGACTTGATAGGCTGTGGGGCTGGTACCTTGCAGATCGTTTCCCCATCCATCCCTTCTTCTGCCTGATATTTGGCGGCTGTCATATCAGAAGACTCCATATTTAGCCGGTATTCAGGTCCCAAAATGACCGGACGGAAGATTCGTCCGTATCACTTACAAGGTCAAGGCCACCATCCTATCGCTTAGACGGAGGAGAAGAATAATGCAGGACCCCCGCGTTGGGCTGTTTGGGAATTCTATCGCCGACACACTTCGATCCGATATGCCCTGTCAGGGTACCATAGATGGTCTTGTCCTCTCGCCTGATTCTTTTTTACTCTACGTCTACAAGTAGGCTTTAGCTCCTCCTGCGAGTATTCCATTTGGTTATTCCCTTCCATGAGCCCTGTATCCTTTGGCCCGATCATCTATATATCTCTAACAAGACCCCGGTACATATCTTAGAACCGTATATAGGACAAGTCCAATCTCTAAAGGGATTATAAAAGAAGGGACCATTGGAATGTGATGGGAATATTCTGCATATGTCCTTTCGCTTCTTTGGTCTCTACTCCGAGTATATCAACATCAACATGAGTGATAGAAAAAGCTAAAAGAGCGAGCCTCAGGCCGACGAACCTCGGCTTAGCGGCAGCCCCACTGGTCAGATGGTGATCACTGATCAATAGGAAAGATGCAGCCGACACGGACCGTCGGCACTTCTCTTCATTCTTCCTTCACTCTACATTCATTTATTTATTCATTCATTGCGCACCAGTTGATTTTTTTTTTTGTGGGTTGAAACCATAGACGAAAATAGACATATACTACTTAGACATAGAGGGTAAAAGGAATCTGGCATCATGGCATGGTATAGCCAGACTATCGATCTTCTTCGCGATTCGGTTGGGAACCACCGCGCCCAACTTCCCGTGCTTGCTGCGACAGGGGCCTCGTTGACTGTGGGGCTCCTCTTGCGCTCGCTTCTCACTGAGCAGCGTCCGCAAGGTTCTGTACTCCGTTGCCCCCAAGTCATAGCCTCGTCCGCCGCGTCAGATGCAGAGAACGAGAACGGTGAAATTCCTCTCCCAAACGATGTGCTCCCGGGGGCTCGTGATGTGCCGACTCCGTATGGATCGATGCGAGTGTATGAATGGGGTCCAGTAGATGGACCGAAGGTCTTGTTCGTCCATGGTATCACTACGCCGTGCATTGCCCTCGGTGGAGTGGCGCATGCTTTGGCAGACCAAGGATGTCGAGTTATGCTATTCGACTTGTAAGTAGCCTATTGGCCCTTAGCTCTGTCTGGACCTTAAAACGATAACTCTCCTTCGTTTGCTTTCTTATCTGATATATGGCGACCAGGTTCGGAAGAGGCTACTCGGATTGCCCGACCGACCTCCCTCAGGACGATCGACTCTTTGCAACCCAAATATTGCTTGCTTTGAGCACATCTTCAGTATCATGGACGGGAGCTGGTAGTGGTAAATTTAGCCTAGTTGGCTACTCTTTAGGAGGAGGGATAGCAGCATCCTTTGCGTCATTTTTCCCCCAGTTACTTTCTTCACTGGTTTTGCTTGCCCCGGCGGGCTTGATACGTGACTCTCAGATCAGCTTTCAGTCACGGCTTCTTTATTCCCGTGGCCTCATCCCTGAACGTGTTTTGGGTTTCCTTGTCGGCCGTCGTCTCCGTGCGGGCCCACTAACTACCCCGAAACCCAAATCCCAAAAGATTAACGCCGCGGATGCATTGACCGAGGAGCTTCCCTCACAAGGAGGCGCCAACACTCAGCTGTTGTCTCGAGCGTATCCGCATGTCACTGTGCCCGGAGCTGTTAAATGGCAAGTTAATTGTCACGCTGGCTTCGTTCATGCTTTCATGTCCAGCATGCAACACGGGCCGATATTACAGCAGCGCCAACGGGAATCATGGGAGCGCCTCGGTGAATTCCTATCTACTCAGAGCAAACTATCACCCGAAGAGCAGCTGGATAACGGTCTCCCAAGTGACAAAGTGATCATCATGTGTGGCGAGCATGACTCGGTTATTGTCAAGGACGAGCTTGTCCCAGATGCCACTTCCGCTCTCCAGGGCAACGTGGTATTCAAATACTTCAATGCGGGACACGAATTCCCCAGTACAAAATATGATGACGTAGCACGCGCCTTAATGGAAGTGTTGCATTGATAACTGCTTCAGAGCTGGACTATATGACAGGAAAACCCGTTCTTCTTCATTGACCTGAAGGGCCTGTCATTTGCCCCGGGGTATGCGGCCTTTGTATGTTTCCGGGCATCGGGCTCTGGTATGATTGTCCAACCTAATAGACTTGTACATAGAATGCCCTCTGTGGCCTTTTGGATCCCTTATTTTGGTTATACTTGGAATACAGAGTAGAGTTCCGTGTTCATTTTTTCAAGATTTCGTCTGTCGCGTCGAGTTGACTTGAGAGTCGTGATACATGACTGGACCGGTCTTGCATTCGCGCGCGAGCAAAGTAAGGCTCATCTGCAGCGGGTGACTGTGAAAATCGATCCACCACGCTGTTGCTGCTTCCGTCCGGTACATGGCTCAGATCTCCTGCACGGAGACCCTTGGCCATGCCGTTCGTAACTCTGCTTAGAGCGCAAAAGTCAGGATTATGGCCGTATAAATGGACAAGGGGTCTTACTTGGGGTGCTGTTTGCTTCCAGAAGACATTGTTGGTAAAAACTCAAGCTCAGCCTATGCCACCGGCCTGTACTAAAATAGAGGGTATGCCAGAGCGACTCTTATGTCGTTCGAGGGAAGATTGTTCGGCTGTGTGTGTGTCGCTGGCCGTCGTAATAGAGAAAGATCCTGAGAGTTCAATAAAGAGCTGGGGTGGTAGGAATTGTGGTCTTTCGATATGGGAGGTTTGGTGCTGTTGCTAACCTTGTGAATCTGCTAGGGATAAGCGTGGAAGGATTGTGAGTTTATATACCTTCTTGAGGGATATTCCGCAACTGCTTACAAAGGGAGCCCGACGGTTGTGATACAAGAATAGAAAGAAGAAGTCTCTACGATAGCTTAGCTCGGAATCGATGGCGGCGGGTGAGTGACGCAGAGATGGGGATCTTCGGCTTGACTGCATTTTTGGGGATCGTATCTCTAACCGTTCACCTGGAACTGGCCCGATGATTATCTTCATTTACTTTGACCGGAGAACCAAGCCTGTTTAGGTCCGCCACATGGTGAGATGGGGCTCTGCCCTGCATATGGCCATATGCTTGAGCAGCCCACTTGAAGGGACCCACCCAGGCATTGCCATGACGGAAACTACAAAATTAGTTTCACGGGCCCTAGACCAAGAAGAGGCTGGTTGACCGATGATCATTTGGCCGCACGGAGTTGAAACGGGGGTATGAAGTTAGACTGGTGCCAGGTTGGGGCAGAGTTGGATACGGAATGGACATTCTGGGGAACCCATGACCGACAGGTAACAGGCACATCAGCCGAGGAGGATGCGTTCTCCCCCACCCTTTCGGTATGCAGTTCTGGGTCCAACAAGGCTAAGCGAACTATGGGGTAAGGACGGTCTTCATGATGAACGCCCAAAGTGTCGTCATCGGATGTGTGAACCGCGAAAGAAGGGGAAAAGCACTGAAACGCCGACATCAGATCAGGACTCGGCGATCAAGATGGAAAGCTTCGTCACGAGTCTAGACCGAGATCAAGAGCCTGTTCACGAAGGGAAGGGGGTCAGCAACGAACCGTTTGAAGCTTGGACTGAGATCGAACGGACGTGGGCCAACGTGGTTGATTGCTCCAGGGGACTGATCATGCACTGCCACAGCTGATACCTGTCTCTGTGATTTTCTCACCCAGTCCCCACTCCCCCCCCCCCAAATCGCCCTCGAATCCTTTGATGCTGTTTCGGGTGAGGATCGTCAAGGACACGCTTCCCAACGTGCCGATGCTTGTCCGACTCGAAATACATTGGCAATAATGCGCATACGGCGTTACTTGCAGACGGTTACGGCTCCGCTGCGGAAATTCCCTTATGCAGCAAGTCTATCTTCAGCTGCTTTACTTATCCTAATCACTCTCGAAGAATGTGGGAGTCAATGCCAAGGAATACTTTTCCCATTTGCGAAATTACGACCGCGAATGACAGCACGTTCTGGTTCCTTACTGTGCAAGAACCGTTGCCCTTTCTTCTTTTTCGTTGGATTTATTTTCTTTTCTCTGTTCCTCGTTCCTGGCTAGTTGCTTCCCGCTTCCTGGAAAAGGGCAAGTCATAGATCTTGGTGAAAATATTGATCACCAGTTTAATTGCACATCTCTCACATACTTTGGTTGCCACAGACCTTGGTTGACGAAGTGAATTGAGCAACAATGGTCCTTTAATCAAACGACGAGCTTTCTCATTGCTGGGAAGACTCCTAAATTACGCCTCGTTCGTGTTGCGGGTTTGCCTGCAGAAGTCAGGAGCTTGACTCGTCGAAAGGGGCGTTTCTCATGCCGGGGTAACCGAAATTGAGATGGCCCTAAAAAAGCAAATCTGTTTTTCCTTTTTCCCCCCTTCCAAATTTGGTACCAACTACCACAGGATGCTCAGTGTGGTACTTCTTTGCGGGCAATCGATGGATGATCCACGGAGCTAGCCTACTAGTCCGCCCCTTAGCATGGCTTACCACAGAGCCGGGTACGTGATCTCGCTCTAATCACGGAGCCGGAAACATCTTGGGCCAAGCCACAAGCGCAGCACACGAAAAGGGGCACATTGGGTTGACTCGCTTGGTCTCATGCTCAACGATACCCGATTGACCCTCTCTGTCCATAGTTCAATCTAAAGCATGTGTCATACTCATGCTATGTTTTGTGCGCCGGGTAGAAAGGTTCGTGGCAGCGTTTTAGCCTCTCTGAACGAAGAAAAGCACTTCCGCGAGGGAAGGACACGCTCGGGCACCTTGTTTCCCAAAATAAATATCACGTATGCGATGGGATTGGTCAGATATGTTAGGGGTTCCTGGTTGGTGATATCAATTATTTTGTTATCGACACGGGCGTGCATAATCCCGCTTTCCAACATGCAAGGTACGCGCTTGGCCCGAGCTGCGCCAATCCAGCAACCTTATCTTCATGAGTTGAGCATGAGATAGTGCTGCCTGCAATCAGGCCCCGCAAGGCTCTATCCAGGAACTCGATCTACAATCCTGCATGAGCGTTCACCGTGTTATGTGCGTACGGCGTAGCCGCAGGTATGGAAGTGCAAGGGAGCGCCTGCAGGTCCGATCACGGATCTGACAGGTCTCACGACAGCAAACTAACAACGATTGCATGCAATTCTTAGCTTCGACCGATATCTGGACACCTTTCTTTTCTGCTAACCAAGTACGCCATGCCGCGTGGTATCCCTGGCCAGGAGCTCAAGAGCACAACGTCTCGAACCGAGCCGAGTTATGGCGGCTGCAGGTCTTCCGAGTTTAAACATGGTGCACGGAAGCAAGGGATAAACAGTCAGCTCCGCTGTCACAAAATATGTCCGTTCAAAGCTACTCTCGTGGTATGAGTGCACTAATAAGGAGAATCTGGCGGCCGCAACCGAAAGGGAATGTATTGGGGCCGCTGATCTTACCTGAGCGAGAGAAGCGATGTCGTATGAAACAGCTCACTGAATTCCGGAGATTTAAGCTCCTTATTTTTTTTATTATTGTTATTTATTATGTATTTTTTTTTTGTCTCTCTCACCCTCCTATCTCCGCCTCCCATTGGTGTGCAGCCGTCCCTTGTTATCGCCCCCTTTCTACAAAAGAGAACAGAAAAAAACAAAGACAAAAAAGTAAGGGTGACAACCCATGGATGGACAGGAAAGATGAAACAGCCGCCAGATGTTTATTCAACTTGACGCCAAGAGGCACCTGTGAGGTGACGACAGCAGCTGATGAGGCCTTAATTTGGCGAGCAACCCTCCAAGGACGAACTGAATTGACAATCGGCAACTACCGACAACTCCACTGCGCTATTCGTGACCCGTTTATGATCGCTCACAGGGTTGCTAGCCGTCCTTGTCTCATCTGGCATATTCGGTCTCCCGGCATCCTATCCAAAGGGTTCCCTTGAGATTGCTCTTACCAATCGTGGAAAGTGTAGATTTCGGTTAGCGGACACAGGCATCTAAGGTACTTCCCGTTAGGGAGGGTCAACGATAAAAACAAAAGCACACACACAAGGAAAGAAAGGAATAGTTGATGCAAGTGGGACGATGAGGAAAATGACTTCGAGCTGCGGCCAGACCGGGCCGGTGGTATACGCTATACTCACACTCAACATATTGCTACATGATATTGCCTATTGGTAGGATTGAACAACCAGATCTCGTGTGTCTATCACCCTCGGCCTAGGCTTACTGTTAGCTTGCTTTTCTTTTCTTTTCTTTTCTTTTTTTTTTCCTTTTCCTTTTTCCTCCCTTGTTTATCTTTCGCTAATGCATGTCTGAAGACGATCTCATGACCCAACCTTGGATGTTCTAGTCTGGTATGCAACACAATCACGCCTCTACAAGGCGGGGATAGGGCAAGGTCTATTGATGTCATCTGCCGTCCTTTGCTAGCGCCCTTTGGAAGGATGAGAGACGAAGGTGATGCTCATTGAGACCATGAAACAAGTGGAGTTGCTCTCCGAGAGCCACGAATGCAGACTAGGCAGTGTTTATTCTTCCAAGATCCGTTTTTAGTACCCTAGACGACAGCCATATCCAATGACGAGATTCCACCCCCACGTTTCACCCCATGCTCTGGCGGGCCTGCGTCACTGGTTTTTGGTCGCTGATATTGCAGTTTCGTTAACTTTATTTTTACCAGCGGCCCAACGCATATGGGTGAAATGATGGCACGAAGTCATTGAGGAACTAATCAGATGACCATGCGAAACATCTCCGACACCTCTTAGTTGCACCCGACGGAAAACCGGAAAGCCTTGTTGGTCTCGGCCAAGGATACACTCATGTAGCTAATTTCACCTTGTGTTACCCTTGCAAACGATAGGATTGGGTTTGCCAAAAGTCTCGAGCTGTTGATGCGTGACGTTGCACCGTTAGCACATTCTTGGGCAAGGCTGATACCCGCTATTACCGCCATAGCCAAGCTGGCTTTGCAGTTGTGTCTCTGAGGTCAGACGGCCTTCGTGAATACCAGGTGTAGGGTTTCCCCTCTTTTCCTTCGATAGACAAAGACAAGCTGATCATTCCCGAGTGAGGCTTGGCCTCTGTCGGATCTTCTCTGTGGAAGGCTCAGATGATTGTCCATGCTGCTGTTGGGTGGTCGAGGAGAGGTGTAAGCGAAATTCGAATTTATCCGATCTTGGTAGTCTTCTGGATGCTGGGAGAATGGTAAGGAACTCCTAATACTGTGTCGCCTTTTCCTTGGGCGAATTTCATTACTGGTATAGAGAACTTAATAGGGACTCATCGTTATATTGTCAGGGCCACTCGCTCAAGGGAGGCCATTGACGAAAACCTCAGGAGTACCTGCCGGATGGAAGGCAGCACCCATGACAAACCAACAGAAGCATCCTTGCCATCAACTCTGGTCACCTTCGAGGGGTTATGTTTTTCATCGAAAGAGGAAATGCTAATATCGGCCAGATACGCATCCCGATACTTTAGTAATTTGGGCCCTGGTAATCAATCCGATGGAATTAGATAGATACGCAGAGAGACGAACCGCTCTAATGCTAGATTATGATGAAATTGCACTAGTGCTGATCATCTCAATGAGGTGAAGTGACAAACGAGGACTTGCCTCAAGGCAAACAGCTAGGCAACCACGATGGGTCTGGCAAAGACCATTGGGTCAACTGAAGAGCCTGCATTATTACCATCCAGGTTAATGATCACCCAGGCGATAACCAAGCCTGCAGCGTTTACATAATTGCTTCCCACCCGGGAAGGACCCCAAACCAGGTTTTCGCCAGGCCAGTAGTGTATAAATTGATGGAACTGGTTTCTCATGTTGCTTGGGACGCAGGGAACTGTCTGCAAGTGTGTAATTGCATTTCACAGTTGCACGATAAGGCTGGGCGTGAGACAATGACATGTAGACGCCAGCTGTGCTGTTCCCAGGGGGGCTGAGCAAACAGGCCATGTCTCAGGTGGGAGAATGGTGTTGAAAACTGCCTGATGGTGATTGGGGCACTGTTTTTCGTCATCCTCTCCAGTCCATACTTACACCTTTTGCTCCTTGTCCATTCTCAGCCATGGCTGGGTACATGCCGTTTGCTTCCGAAGGTCAACCGAACAGAGCAAAGCCCCCGGGCTTCTGGATCATCGTGAGCTGCAACCAGTTGGCGTCTTGGTCACTCCAATCAGCAGTTTTCAATTAGTTCATAGTGTCCGATCCCCTTATGAACGGGCTGACGGAGTGAAAGGATAATGTGGCGTGTAGATCGTAGTATTTCCGGGGCTTGTTTAAACCACTGCAGCCTGCCGAATGTTGATGATATCCCTTGGGACAAGGTTGGATGGCGATCAACATCCCTTCTGGAATTATCTTCGAAGCACTCCTCAGGGTGCATTTGGGGTTGCCTGAAAGTAGCAACTTCGTAGGCAGACAAATCCAGCCCACGGATATTGAAACTAGATCAAGGCTAGTGGCATCAACGGGAGATTGCGACCTGCGACTGGAATACCTATAAATTGTATTAGTCGATCATATAGTGAAAACAGTATCATCAACGATATGACTAGCTTATTGAAAGTGATCTTGCCCCTGCGAGCGTTGCTGGAGTCCATTAAGTGTGGCTTTAAGCAAAACCAGGCAATGGCTGGTCGTGGAAAGGAAGAAAGATGTAGGGACCAACTGCATTCCCTGATAAATATCCAGCTGAGCATACACGGAGACTGTCACTATTATTGAATGACCCAGGAGGTACATTTCCATGGTGCTTCATCGCCCTAAAGCTGTAGGATTGATTCATCTTTGGATCTCTGATGCTATATTGACAGCACATATGCCTCAGGCATATATCACGTGTCATCCCAATCGGGCAACTTTCCGTGTCTCTAAACATTTGGACTTGCTTTTCTGCATCAGCCTCACCTTTTACCTTGATAGGGTGGTTCTTCTTCTCTAGCTAGACAAACACTAGCATACACTCGTGTTGCGATCCGCTTCTCCTACATAGACAGTGTGCAACACGTTGACAGACGTGACCCCTCAACCATGTGGAACTGATAGTGGGGGACAACATCTCGAAGTCTCAGCTGTAACGTGTAGTTAGACGAGGTCGCAGACTGCCCTCATAATCCAGGGATAAAACCGTGGTATCCAAGACCATGTATGATGGAAATTGCGCAACATGCTAACCTCTCGTAGTAGACAAACAAACTTAAAATTGCTCCTCATCGAACAACTGACAAAGATGGGATCGCAAGCAACTCTCAACAGTATCCAGAAGGCCGTATGGGACGGCAGACTTCCCTTACAGATTAGACTTGCCCCATCAGAAAGTCGCATATACGACCAGTCTGACCCGTATCTTGTAAATTCTCTACCCTCTATGGCCACGTCTCGGGCAATGTTAATGCGGCCTAGATCTCTTACCCCCGAATCTCTTATCTGCCATCCCTCCTGCCCAGACTGAGGGCCTTCTTCGCCTCTTCTCTGATCGACCCCAGTTCCCAAGCCCATGACGGGTGGTTCTCCTTCGAAGGCGTCCCGCTCAAATGGCATCTCCCTATCGGCCTGCTATATGACCTCTATGCGGGCGCTGACCCAGCATCCAAGGGAACAGTCGAGCCGGAAGACGCAGGCTGGGACATCGATAACGAAGATAGTCCACTACCATGGCGTCTCGTCGTGCACTTCAGCGACTGGCCAGATGAAGAACTAGTCCGACTGGACGCAGAGGGCATGGTGATGAACGACGCGTTCATCAACAGCGTCAAGGAAGCGGATTTCCTGCGAAACGGGACTGCAAAGGGCATTATGAGTCTGTCGAAGGAGGATTCATCTGGGCTATGGAAGTCTGTACAGGATGGTATGATCACCCTTTCATATCTCTCAGTCCTCTCATTTCCATATCAATACTCTATCAAATGACCCGAGAAACAACAGCTAAGCAAAGGCAGTGGAACTCCCCTCCTTCCAACGAATTTCCAATATCCTCCTTCCACCTCCCAATCAGCCTTTCCGGAACATCCCAATTCGCATATTCCTCCCCCTCCCGCCTGACTCGGGCTCGCCTTCTCTCAAGGTCGTCCAGTCCCCGGTCCCGCCGTCGATACCTCCCTCCAGCGTGGCGGCTAGCCAATTGACCCTTTCACGAAGTAGTACCACACCGCAGACGCAGACGATAGGTACAGCCTTGCATTCGCTACTACCGAACCTGTTTCCCAGTCGGAGGACGCCCGTGTTAGCGAAGCCCGTGCTCCACGGTGCGGCTGTGCCTATGTCAGCGCCAGTGGAGGAACTGGTCAGGAGTTCGGCGTACGGGGATGGTTGGTTGTATGTCGTTGTGCGGATGATGGGGTGATTGTTTTGTATGTATGGGCTAGATCCCTATGATGAGTATCGGCTATGAACTGTGGTCTAGTGACTTTTCGTTTTCAAAGAGCGAATGATTTAAATATTATGTTGTTGTTTCTAATTACTACATACCCATTATACTAGCCGAGGTTATGTCGTCCATACTATATATCAGAACCGTGTGAAATGCAGTTATGGGCCTTCAACCCGTACATGAACACCGTTCTTCTCGCTCACTTCTAGACTCTTCTCAGATGGCGTCTCCCCGGTAGCAGGAAAAGGCTGATCACGCCATTTGCGCGCCGGGATGCCATTGATAAAGAACCAGTTAATCTCCTCCATCGAGCGACCGGTGACCTCGCCGACGCAGAAATAAACATATACAAAGGTGATAACACAGAGTCCGGTGTATACGAAGCCGGTTTTGGGGCCGAGATTGGCCGAATAGTATAGGTAAGGGAGGGTGAAGACGATTGCCCAGACAGTTATCTGCGGTTGAGTTCTGTTAGTGGTGTCGACCAGAGCAGTACGGAAGGGGTGCGTTCGTCGAAATGCTTACCCAGAAGCAGGCTACCGCGACAGCGTAAATTTTGTTTCTGTTGCGGCCAACGGCCATTTCAGAGGCCTGCTGAGGTTAGTAAACTCTGACCCATAGCTGGAGATACGAGGGGGCGCTTACGATTGTCCAGCCTAGAGGTCCCCAGGCAAAATTGAATGCTGTGATTTCAATGATGACGAAGCTGATGATCACCTTGCCGAATGTGTGGGAGACCTCTCCGCCTGGGATGCCCAAACATCCCACCACGAAGATAGAAACGCCCATAATGCCCGTGGTGATGAGTAGAAGTGGTCGTCTGGGTAGTTTGTTGGCGCAAAACACCGCGCACAACACAACGACGACTTGGATGATGAAAACGATCAAGGTCATAAGGAACGGATCGGAGAGTCCGATTGCCTTTGAGAAGACAGTGCCAAAGTAATAGAACCACTGGATACCATTGACCTGTTGTGCGACGAGCGCACCCGCAGAATATATGGTCTTGCGTCGCTCGATGGGGTCTAGAATTAGATCCAGCCAGGACGAGTCTTCCGCAAGTTGCTTTTCACTGTCTATATCCCGTTGTAACATAGCTAGGTCGTCATCGGCAATGTACGACTCGTCGTCCCGGTTGACGCTCTGCAATGATTTCCTGGCCGCGTCTACTTTATTCTTGCGGAGTAACCAGCGCGGGGACTCTGGTACCCACCAAAGGAAAGCTAGAACGAGCAGCGGGAACACAAGCTGTACACCCATGGGAACACGATAGGCCACAGTGCTGCCTATGCCTTGTGTACCACGATTAATAGCAGCGGCAATAATTTGGGAGATTGACAGGACTAGCTGCCAGCACATGAGCAAAGGACCACGAATTCGAGTAGGAGCAATCTCCTGCGATGATCATTAGCAAAAGTTCTTTTTGTCTCAAGCATGATGGATTGGGCTTACTCCAATGTACAGAGGGGATGTCGCTGAGAAGTTCCCTACACCATAGCCTAGCAAGATTCTACCTGCGATAATCATGGAGTGCTTGTGATCTGTTGCCAATTGCAAGACCACACCAACTACAACCATAATTGACGCAATGAAGAACACCCCTTTGCGGCCCGCAAGGTCATTGAGCGGCGCTGCCGTCAGTGAGCCCACCAGCTCTCCAATGTTGATGACCGAGGTCATTAACGAAAGACTTGAGGCTGGAATGGTGTACGTCCCATCGGACTGCCTCTCGCCGAAGTGCTGGACGAAGGCGTCCATGGCAGATACTCCTGTAAAGTATACACCATCGTAGCCATAAAGGCATGCGCCCAATGCGGCAAAGGCACAGAAAAGCCAGGCGTAAAAGTTTCTGATGATAGCCATGACTGGAAGCGGTCTTCAGACAATAACAATGAGCCTAGAGACAAGTTCTCAGGAGCACGAACAACCTGTAGGATAAAGAAAAAAATTGAAAACTAGTGGGGTTCCACTTTTTAAATACTACTATGTAACTCATGTCAGTGTATGTCGGACTAAAGCTGCAGCTTAACGGCTAGATCGAGACAAGATGCCGACGGCACGCATGAGATACTTTTGCAGGATTGCTCGCGATGACAGAACCGGGTACTAGCGATGGGACGCCCGATAGATTTCTGTACGGATTGGAGTTACTCCACATCGCTTGCAACCGGAAAACGGCCGTTGCGATCGAGCTCTAGGATTTCTTCCTGAGCCACATTTAACGTTCTCTCCCCACGGGGCACAGTGCCAAACATCACCGGCACGAGGAGATTAAATGGACGATGCCGATTGGCTGTCCGAGTGCCAAGGCGGCATCTTGGGGCTTCGTGCCGGAAAGTCGCCGAGCCCGGCGGCAAGCGTGAAGTATAGACAACGGTGTGATTCAAGTCGCAGGTTGCATCTGCAGGAGATACTGGGGTCTTTCGAATGATTTAAGAGGTGGTGCACCCTACATTCAGTGCCCCAAAATTTAAGCCCACAAAAATTCCGCAAGCAATTCAGCCAGTTCACCCCTGCAGGGCTCGTCATTATGGTGTCGCTCACGACAGTATCGCCGTCATCCTTCAGACGGCCTTCTCCTAACCAAGGATCTGCTGATGCGATTCCAATCCTTGTCAATGGTACTTATCATCTTTTCCATCTGACAACACCACCTCATACTGTTCATCATCCTGAAAGACTTCGTTCATATTGGTCGCATCTTCGCTCCAACGATTTGATTCAATGGACTAGAGATAGCTCTCCAGCCATTGTTCCAGATGAGAAGCCAGCAAATTATGACTCTGATGGTGCATGGACTGGCTCAGCAGTTATTGGACCTGACGGAAACATGTACATCTTCTATACGGGATATAATCTGTCCCAGGATGGCAAACAAGTAATCATTCATGCGGCATCCTCCGATATGGAAGGGTCATCATTCGGGAAATATCCAGAGCCGATCTCCATAAGCTCTGAGACAGTTGCCAACCTCGCATCATTCGAGGATATTGATTTCCGTGATCCATATGTACTTTTCAATGAGGAAGAGCGACAGTATTGGATGCTGGTGGCCACACGCCTCTCCGAAGGCCCGTATTGGACCAGAGGATGCCTTGCACTTTTGACATCGACGGACTTGAACACCTGGCATTTAGAGCCAGAACCCTTATTTGCTCCAAATGACATGTTCTGCCCTGAATGTCCAGAGCTCTTCACACTCCCTAATGGTAAATGGTACCTCGTTTACTCGCGATTTGCTTCTCCTCATGCCGGTACGGTATATCGAGTGTCTGATACACCGCGTGGTCCCTTCCGGAAGCCCAAGGATGGATCTGCCGGGCGTTGGGATGGGAGAAGATGGTACGCGGCAAAGTCCTGCCCCAAGGCCGGAGATCCATCAAAGCGCGTGTATTTCGGTTGGATAGCCGATCGCTGCGAGGTAGACAAGAAATGGATGTGGGGAGGTGATATGGCCTACCCGCGACAGGTATCTGCTGCACCTGATGGATCTCTTAGAATTGAGCCAATCGAGGAGATCCTGTCAGAGTACTTTTGCTCGGAACCAATTTTCCAGCGTTCCTCTGTCAAATTAAACTCTCATGGAGCAGTCAAGAAACATTTTCTCTACCCAGCATCACCTGATTCCGGTGCAAATTCGCCCTTGTCGACCTTCATGTCTTTCAAGTTCTCCTCGAGTGACGCAGCATCATTCGGTGTCCTATTTTACGCAGATTCAGATCTTGCCGGATATTGGCTGCGTTTCACTCCAACGCAGACTGAATCAGGAAAACCACTCTTTTCTATCTCATTGTCTCTGTGCCCTCCTTCCCTCGATGACTTTTGGGCCGACCAGTACAAACTGTACCTCCCTCGAGAAGTTGATGGTCATGAGCTGGTCCGACACGATAACGTCTCAATTGGTGAAGATGAACCTGTGAAAGTTCTTATGATAGGAGATACCCTGGAAATTTTCGTGGGTGGGAGGGCGATTAGCTATCGTTTTCAACCAAAAAGTTACGACGATAAAGGGGGAAGCCTGAGATACGGGCTGTTCGTGGATGATGGAGACGTCACTTTCAGGTCCTTTTTCTCCATTGTTAGTAAATACCTGTGACCTGTCCAACTGAATCCGCTTCTCAAGTCACCGGGTAGTCCTCGTATCCTGCCAAATACCGCAAGGAAAGGAGAAAGTAAATAAAAAAAAAAAAAAAAAAAAAAAAAAAAAAAAAAAAAAAAAAAAAGAATAGATATCAATAACAGAAAAGAGGAGAGCAGAAAGGAAAGGAAGAACATCCATAGCACCGATGTGTTGAGATCAAGGTACATATGAAGTATTGTACCTACATATAAGGCATAGCATTAGCTAATTCGAGACAATTGTGGTAAGTAACTGCAGAGGTATCTTCATGAAAGGAAAAACGAAGAGGATGAAAAAATCTCCTATTATCATCTGGCTCGCATTAATTTTCTGCGAGCCAGTCAAAGTGCTTTAGGTTCAGATTTGATATATCTTCGCTGATGAAAGGGGTGAGCCAATCTCCTGGAGCCTGGGAAGAAGCAGATGGTATGGCTGAATGAAGGCTCATGTCCATGTCACAGATCTGATGGTTAGGGGATGGAAACTGTAATGATTGCTGGGGAAATGATGCTGTGAGAAATATGTTCTGTTCATTTGGTATATGTTCTGGAGGCGCTGGTGCAATTTGCACGGCCAACGCATGCTCCATTCCTCGAAGTATTGCTCCTTCGAGACGGTTGACCGCATAACGCATTGGCTCGTTTCCCTTCCCCATGATACGGAGGCTCCACAGATAATCGTTCAGGCGCTCCCTCCAGTGAGCTTTTTCAGCTTCTGAATGAGACGTTACTAGAAGCAAGGTGACGAAAGACCCGATCAAGGAGAAATTAAACCCTGATGCTGGGCGTGAAGAAACTGTTAGTGAAATGGGCTTCAATAGACGCTATCATCAGATGTATGGTGATACTTACAAAAAAACCAAAAGGCTTCCAAATGATCCGGACGTAGTGTACGGACGAAAGCCATGGCAGCTTCGGCCGAGTCACTAGCAAGCTTACGAGTATCGTTGAGAACACCAACATGTGAACAAAGTGGTGCAAGTGCAGTAGATCTAATAATTCTCCGCATAAGTGTCAAGACTAGACTGTGGTAAGACAGATGAAGAAAACCTTGTTTTCGTTAATTCTGAAGCATTGTATAAGAGCAGCACGACATACCATTTGCACAAAGTCGCCGAGGAACCTGCCTGTCCATGCGCAGTGAATGTGGAACATTCTCGTACCAGATGTGCAGTTTCTGTATGACCGGAAATGCTCGTTGATAAAGCTCAACAGTGTCTTGAGATTTGCTAGCACGCAGCGAAAAGAAGTCTGTTAATATCGTGCTGAGAATTTTAGACAATGTGACCATCTCCATAAATCCTCTTCTCCCCGCCTGAATATCGTTCATGGGAACGTCGTCATTCCTTGGGTCTTTATTCTCATCAAGATCATAAAAATCACAGTCCTCGATATCTTCGACCCCCCAGTTGTCATCATGGATATGACTGGGTCGTCCATGCATTAAGGCAGTCCACTTGTCTTGCATGTACAATGCCCAAGAGAGCCTCTTACGTAGTCCACGTTCCCAGCCAGGTATCTCCCAAGAACTGGCATCCAAATGAAGTCCCAGTGCTTCGCCAATTGCCAGTGCTTGACTGGTATATCCCCGGGTCCATGTATGATCCGGGTTCAAGGCGTCCTCTGGCTTACATTGTAGCAAAAGTAAAGTAGCCTCAATTGATGATAACTTAGGTCGGTGATAACTGTTCTGGATTGTTTTGATGACTCTTTCTCTTAACAAGCCTTCATTTGGCGCTGGTTTATTGCTAAGCTCTCGGTCGTAGGTCCACCAATTTAGGGAGATGAGATACACTGCCCCCAATATTGGTGCATCGATCTCGCGGTAAGATGTTGAGTATCGCTCCATAAACTTGCCTTTGTGCAAAATAGGATAACACGGGTGCACTATTCTCCAAAAGAGATCGATCAGACTAGGACCGTATGGCGCAACACAACGCTCGATTGCATCTTGTTCAATGTGATCTTGGTATCCGATTGCCTTATCATCCCTTACAACGTGAAATGTCACTGGATACTGCATGCCCATGTCTTCCTGCAGTACACGCCGAATACTATGGGTGTCAAGACGGAACTGGCGTGAATGAGTATCATACGGCCGATGCCGCTGAGCCACTGTTAGCCTAGAATTCGCCCAGCAGTGGGATTATCCTTACCATAAGTATTGGCTCCATGTCGCTCGTAAGCCCGTACAATTCGGCAAAGTTCGATTTTGAGAGCCCTAGGGAGCCATCGTCATCTCCTCCATCCCTTTGCGAGATATCCACCGGAAGTACAACACGAGAGCTCTGTACTTCAGTGTCCTGTTCTTCTTCCAAACTTCCTGATACCAGGGGGCTCTGGTAGCTCGATGCAGATGAGGAAGCGGGAGAGCGGCCAACGACAGCGCTGCCATCAGTCACCCTTTGAGGGATCAAGACTCCTTGACCTACACCTGTACTAGGAGCCAGGCTACGATACACCTGTCCTGCGTGTACATTCTTTTCAATTGGGGGCCGCTCAGGGTCACGACTCCTGCTTGACTGCAGACGCGAAGGCCGAGGCGGTGGTTTTTGATCAAAAGTACATGCTGTCTGGCGAGACTGGCACACTGTACAGCACGGGGTCCCTGGCAGTAGAACGCACCGCGACTTTCGCACACGGCAAAGATCACATGGCCTCACAGCCCTTCGAGGCCGTGCATTTTTTTCGAGTGGCGGCCGTGAAGAGTTATTACGGGCCGCTGTATTGGAAGTAGACGCCATCAGATCGAACTGGCTTTTATATACATCGTTTTGGTTTTCTCTGAAAATGACACCAGCAAATGTATCTAAAAAGCCGTAAACAACCCAGTCAGCCCAATCAAAATCCTAAAAAGCCCTAATTTGCCTTGAGATTCACAGGGAAGCATGTTGACAACTTGGCACTTAGGAACTCCAGTCGGACATCTCTTCCGATGATGAAAGAGACGATGAAGGCGGCAAGGAGAGGCAGAATTTAATTGAATCTCTCCCAAGCACGGACCAGCATTAAGGGGTCGATCAATGCACTAAATCTTCCGAGACCACTACTACTCTCTAGTGATCTCGGCTTCGTATAGACTACCAGGTATATTGGCTATTGCTATATACTATTTTCTGAGAAAATCGCATGCCATGAATCGGAAGGTATACGAAGGTATATGGTACAGGAACAAAAACTGCACGTCTGTAGCTGCTATCTAGATATCATTTTCTCCTGACGCCTATTATCCTCGGCTAACCCATGCATGTCAAATAGTACTATAACCAAAGTTGACCTTGCTGTGGCCGGGTATCAAAAACTACTACTAAACTAAATCAAGATCATTACTCATTCAATAATCGTTATGACCTGGGCTGATGTTACAGAGCCCCATTGAGACCCTTCTTCCTCCACTAGCGTTGAACCTCCTGTTTCATCATCGTCGGTTTCTGAGTCCGTCTCGATTTCGATCGGTGTTGGCATGGTTGTTGTTGACTGGTTATCATCGACGGAAAGCTGTAAATTGCCCATCTCATCGAACCAAAGTGCACCCATTGGATGCTTCTTAGCAATATCTAGAGGTGTTTTCCCCTTTCCAGTTCCGTCGTCGCTTGCTGTACTGCTGGGTATTTTGATGGTCAAGTCTGCGCCTGCAGCAAGCAAAGCTTGGAAAATGGAGTCACGTCCCCTTTCGGCGGCTAGATGTAAAGGTGTCTTGCCTTCCGTTGTTTTGCAGTTTACGGAAGCACCGTGTTTGATAAGAAAAGACACCAGTGATGGTCTCGGAATCGCGGCCATCGTCGCAAGATGGAGGGCCGTTTCACCCGTCGAAGACTCTGCGGCCGCATCAAGGCGTGCGCCGTAAGAAAGCAGAAGCTCGATATACTCTGATGTTTTATCAAACTCAATATCTGGAGCGCCAGTCCCCACAAACACAGTTTGATGTAAAGGCGTCCAACCGTTAGTGTTGAGTGCATCAACTTCAAGGCCACCTTGCAAAAGCATGTTCAAGATATCCAAAGAGTCTTGAGTCGACGGCGGTGTGAGGTGCAGGAGAGTCTCCCCTTTACTCGTTTCGATATCGACTTTTGCGCCTTTCTCCACAAGGAAGAAGAACATTTTTCTATTCCCGCTCATGGCTGCACATTGTAAGGGCGTGTAACCTTGAGACGTCCGAGCTTCAATATTGGCGCCTTGCCCTAGAAGATGAGCAGCGACCGCGGTACTCGAAGCTTTTCTCGCCTGTCCATGCAGCAATGCTTCCCCATTATTATCCCAAGAGTTGATATCCGCACCGTTGATGAGCAATAAATCGAATGCAACCCAATTATTCTGTGCAGCTGCTATATGGGATGGCCTGGAACCAAACGGCGAGCAAGCCTCGACCTTTGCACCGCGCTCAAGCAGCAATGAAAGTGCCTCGCGATTGTCTGTTTTGGCGGCCAACTGGAGAGGGTTCAGGCCTTGCTTGTTAAATACGTTGGTACTTGCGCCTCTTTCCAGCAGAAAGAGAAGAATTCGTATTCGCTTTTGCTCTACTGCAACATGAAGCATGCTATTTCCAGTGGTCGCATTCTGAGCGTCCATATCAGACCTGCTTTTGATCAGCAGAGGGACTGTGGATTCGTCATATGCCGTTCCAACAGCCATGTGTAGAGCAGTGAGGCCTTGCCGGTTTGCAGTTCTGGAGTTGGCGCGCCGCATGAGTAAAAGTCTCATGATTCTTCGTTGTCCTTGTTCTGCTGCGAGGTGCATTGCAGTGCTGCCATCTCTGCAGGTAGCATTGATGTTGGCTTTGTGGTCAAGCAGCAGCTCGACCATCTCTTCGTGGCCACGATGAGCTGCACAGTGTAGTGGGGTGACGCCCATACAGTTATCTTGGGCATTTACATCTGCTCCTTTCTCTATTGTTCGCTGTGCTTTCCCGACAATTCCAAAAAACGCTAGCACGTGAAGTGCAGTCCAATCTGGGAAGTATCCCCCCAACCCAAGCTGTGCAGGTATTCTCATTTCTTCCAAAGCATGGTTGTCCGTAACTGGGGGGCGTCTCCAACAGAGCTTATTGAGAAATGCGCCAATGAGAACCTGGGTAGTCTGTTCTTCTTCCGCTTCGCGGGCATGGTGTCCCCAATTTGCAGCAGCGTAACTAACGAGACTGCCACTCGAATTACGAGGCGTGGTACCATAATTGATATAGCAGTCATCCACGACTTCGTCGGAAGTAATAACAGTCAGACATGTTTCTGCTATATGCTTCCGGGCCGTAGGGAAGAAGACCCTAGCAGCCGCCCCGGTGAGGTATTCCTTTGCAGTCCTGTGGACAAGGTGAACGGTCGCTGTCATTGGATCAACTGTTAGAAGCCCGGAAGTCTCAACATGCAGTATATGCTCGAAAGAGGACAACTCCTTCTGGGCAGCACCGTTCTGGGGCTCGAAAAAGACCGCAGACTTCAACTCAGTGACGGTAAGTGGCCGATGTGCGTATAAGGTCCAAAATATACAGCGGCTTGCGTACAGGTTTTGACTTGCAAGTTGCTTCATAGACTCAGCGTATGAATCATTCAGACTATCGGGCAGATGCAGAAGAGTCCCCTGCAGGATGTTTGCATCCTTGCAGCGAGTCAATAAATCCATGTGTAATTTTGCTAAGAGAAATCTAAAAGTAGAGCCATTGTTAGCCAAGTTATATCAGAAGGTTGGAGGTCCGTGGAACGAGAGGTAAGAGGGAACATACAACCCGTAAGACTTGTCCACAACCTGCTGGATGACAGCTTCCCTGATCATGTACTCTGGCGGATATTGCTGCAAAAGAGACGAGAGCTCAGGTTCCTGGTCGATTTTCGAGTCAATGTAAGCTGTGAGGTCTCTTCGGGGTGCTATAACTGGTATGGAGTCATTCTTATCGGCGCATCTTGCGTCACGTAACGTGAATAGCAAGTGTGCATGCTCAGGTAGCTTCTGTAGCCGGGTGATAACACGCTCCTTCTCCGGCAGTAGATCAAGTCCGTCAACAATAAGATACACTTTGGAGAAGTGATTGATCTCAGTTTTGATTGCATTGTGAAAAGACTTGGCCGACGCTTTCCCCTCGACAAAAGCCTCAGACCGGTACAAGGCAGCGGTGGTATGGGTAGCGGACCCTTTCCGATACACAAGCTGAGCAAGGATGTTCGACAGCATACTGAGTGAGGAGGCCTCTTCATCCCTTTCGTCTTGACAGAAGAAAAACACAACAGCCACATCGGGAGAGATGAAGGTGTTTCGCAGATTCTCGATAATGGCAGAACTGCAATATATTATCAGTCCTGATCGATGTCCGGGTTGGCTTTATACTCACGAAAGAAATGTTTTTCCAACTCCAGCTATGAGAAATATTAGTCTCAGACCTGCATTGAGTTAGGATGAATTCAATACCTGATCCAATGCAGTATAATGATCTCTGTCGTCCAAATAACCAAGCCTTGTACTTTTCCTCGTGGAAAATCCATTTGCAGGTGTCTCTCTGCCGTCTGTGACACATGTTGCTGAGGTCGATGAAATTCTTTGAGGTTATTGGGCTCGTAATATTATGGAAATCTTCCTCGCTTGTGGGTTTTGGAGTTGAGCCTATGAATATTCATGTTCAGTGCACAGAAAGACTAAAGCATAGTTTGGAATTGCTTACTGAGCTCCAAGTCTCGGCATTCCCGAATACTGTTTCGTAGCTGCTGCTCGCTGAAACTCTTCTCACTGAGCTACTGTTAGCATGGTTCATACTGAATCCAATTTACCATGTTCCAGATGGCCAACATACCGCGATTCAGGTTGTATGAGCAAGAGAAAAGCAACTTTATACAGCTCCAGTTGTGGTAGAAAGGTTCGTTCAATAAGACCTTTTCTGAATAGTCGGCTGCTCACACCTCCAGGCTGAAAGCTTGTTTCCATAGTCTTTACTGTTGACTCGAAGGCACCGAGAATCTCCTCGACAATATTCAGGCGCGCTGGTGCAACGACCCATTTTTCCTCGGCCCAGCTTAGCTGCTCCCGAATTTGATAGAGAAGGTTGAGGATTTCACATAGCATCAATGAAATCTTTTGCAACGCTTCCTGCGACTCTTGCTTAGTACCAAATGAGCGTGTTATGGCTATGACCGATCGGGCAGTCTGCGTAAGCCGTTCACGAATTGAAGCAACTTCAACCATCGTTGACGATGGAAAAGTGAACGATCAAAGATCTTCGCTGCGAACAAGCCCCGAAGCAGAAGGATAGGTACCACGACAAAAGGATCAACAAACTGGACGCAGGTACAGCATTGAGGTAAAGGGGCGCCGGCTTTTCCAGGAGAGACCAGGAAAGTATTGGCCTTTGAGTCAGTCCTTAAACACGGGAGTTCTCACGCAAGCCGCTCAAAAGTTCGAAGCACGGAGGAGCTAACAAAAAGTGGATAGAGTCTGCGGGGGAACACATCACCGATAGAATTCTTGCTCACATGGCCATGGCTCGTTTCCAACGTGGGTACTCCCGCATGGGATCGTCCAGGAACTTTGGAGCTGGGCGACTAACTCAGCGTTAACCCAACAGATGTTGGATAATGTGGGCTGTGGCCAACTCAAACTAACCGAAGCCTCTTGACAAGCCAGAAAAACCGTTCCTGGGCGCCAACACCACGCGAGAGGGGCAAAATAATTGACTGCTTGTAAGCGCCGGGAAAAGAAAATGGGATGGTTGGTGGAGTGAGTTGATGCTCATCTGTCGCTGGCGCAGGGGCTCAGGATTCCAATCCCGGTCCGACTTTAAGCGCTGAGGTGGGGGTCAGCTTTGCTCTAGTGTGATGCTCGGTCGCCATTGCATGGCGACCTGTACATATTTCCTCTTTCGAAGGCTTATCGTAGTTGCGATCCAATAGGCTACCGTGAGCGATGGTGCCATTTGTGATCTAACCAGCAGCGCCGTGACATGGTCATCGTCCAATCTCCACCCAGCAATAACCCCAAACAAACGATAACGGCGCGTAACCATGCACTAGGTTTAGTATGGGAACTGTTGTCATTACGTTTTCAATTCATTTCTCTTCCCTTCCCCTTTCTGTGGTCGCAAGCAAAGAACACTGCGTTCACTTATAGCCCATGGCCATGGAGATTGGCATTCCCTGGTTCTCTTCGTTATCATGACGACCAAGATAGTTTCGATCTGAACCTATTAACTCGTCTCATTCCGGTTAAAGCGGTATAATATAGTAACATAAGCTAATTTGGGGACACTAAGATACACGTATTGCCTATACAGCTCACAATTATCCAGACTCTCCTACGATAGGTGAAGAGGGCGTGAGCCTGCTCCTACACCCAGCGAAAATACGTTCTAATCCAGCCACGACAACAATTCTCAGCAAAGCCAAACAAGACATTGGACATCAAGGGAAACGAGGGCGAGACGCTGGTCGTACTCCGAAGCCAGTCCGAAGCCAGACCAGAAGTCTCTGACAGAAAAAAACGCAATATAGAACAAGAAAGACAAAAAAAAAATGTAAAAAAGAGAAAAGGAAGGGGCAGAAAAGGAGAAGAAGACAAAGGAAACTCGTCTCATGCATAGTATATTGTCAGGAGTCAAGAGTAAAAAGATGCATAATCATAATCATCAAAAGGTCATCTGCGCTGAAGGGGCATGTTGAATGGGTATCTCTCGAGAGAAAAGGAAAGAAAACAAAATAATAGGAATAGACAGTATCTAGATCATACTTCCATTCATGTTCACAGCGGCTCCACGTTTCAGAGCCTTCGCAAGCATGAGCTCTCGCATCCAGTCAATACGTTCATCTCGGGTTTTCACGGCAAAATGGTGACTCTTGCCACTGTGCAAAAATAGAGCCTTCTTGTCAACCGTGTTGCCGCTCCCAGATGCTGGGATCAAAGAAAACCCAAAGGCTGAGTCTGTAAGGCCATCGGGTTTGCGTTTAAGGACGGTCTTTTTGAAAGCGGCAGTCAACTTGGAATTGGATGCTAATGAGGAGCAAGCAACAGCGTAGTCATCCACATCAATATATTCCAAGGCTTTGGAGCGGCGGTGAGCAGACTCTTCGTCTGTATGCATTGCGAGTTGTGTTCCTTGAAGGGTAAAGTGATGGTCCTCCCAATCGTGGCGTAGAAGACGAGTAGTCTTTCGTTTCTTCATCCATCCGCTATGGGTAACATCATTGGGGGACCGTCTACCGGGAGAGAGGAGATTTCTCCGTTCCCATGCCTTCTGCAAGTCTTCTGGCGTGTCGATTGGATTAACTGCACGGCGCTCATCGAGGGGTTTCAAGGTCGGAATAATATTATGGGAGCTCTCTCTGCGACGCCCTTCCACCTGAGTTGACGAAGGCCGGCGTATGGGATCAGCAGGGACATGGCGGTTTGAACCAAAGCGCATGTTTGGAGGAACGGATTGAGACTCCTCCCTTGGAACAAGGCCGATTGGGAAAGCAGTCATAGGGGCATCTGCTTCAGATACTGGAGTCTCCTGGCTATAGTGAGGGTCGTCGCGGTAAAAATCACCGGGGGACGAATCAACGCCATAAGTATACTTCTGTCCTCGAGGTATGGCCGTCGGGTAGTCATCATGATAGTAAGGCTTCTTGCGCATCATAGAAGGGATGGCAGTCCGCTGAGATGATAGATTTGGGGTGAAGTCCAGGTCGTCATCGTCCGGGGTAGCAGGGATCTGCAGTTTCGGTAGGTTACGGAGGTTCTCAGTGAGAGGATTGCCCTTGACTGATGCTGGGGATTCGGATTCTGGTGAGGGAAGCACTTCTTTGGGGGGGGTTCCCGGTTGATTCACCGGCTGCAACTTGTTTAACTTCTGGAAACTCAAGAAATTGCGAACATTTTCCTGCGGATCCCTAGGCTGGACCTCCCTAAGCTTCTCCTTTGACAACGGGAAGCCGGATTTATCAAAGGGTCCCATCACATCAGATGAAGCGACTAACGACGGGGTGATCTCCGATCCGGGTGTTTTGATCAGATTAGGGGCTGTTGCAGGGTTACCTGGATCCCCCATCAGAACGATTCTGCCATTCAAAGTGCCAATCGGCAAGTCTTTTGCCATTTGAGCGAGCCTCGCCTGCTGTTTCTGCCATTTGCGGCAGTTCTCGCCTTTGGAACAGCTGTGAAGCTTTGGCAGCACTTCCTCAATCGCAACAATTGAAACAGGCTCGCCTGGACGGTCCTCTTCTAGTTTGTAGGACTGGTCATTGTCTCGGTGTCGACGTCCCCGGCTGCTGCTGTTTTTCCTTCTCGACCCGTCGTCATCCGTAGCCCGGGTTGACTGGCATTCGCTTGTCAATGTCGAGGCAGTGAAAGGTGTCGGAGGCGCCTCTCGGACAAAGGAGTCATTATGAGAAGCCCGCGCCCCGGCACTAGCACAGTTGCGAAGAGTTTGAATGGCACCCATCAACATGTGCCGCTTTCCAAAAGACTGGATACCCAATTCCTTCAGATCCTGGGTCTGAAGCTCAAGTAGGATAAATCCAGAGATGTCGTTCGTGAAGAACGTGCGGATAATGCTGTCGTCAAACCTGTTGATCTGCAACCATCTCGAGACATCTTCTGGTGTCCACCGGGGAGCATCAGACTCATTGGGTGCGAGGTCTTGCCCAATGAAAGAATGCCGTTGTACCTGAGGTTGTACCTGAGGTTGTACCTGAGGTTGCATCTGAGGTTGTTGGTGAGATTGTTGGTGTAGTTGGTGAGGTTGTGACGTATGGAGGAGGCCGTTAGGGACGGGTGTGTCATGCCTCACCGGGTCCAGCTTTGAGGCAGACTGATGAAAAGGGAGCATGGCACTGGGTGGACGGGTCTCCAGATGTATGGGCCCCGTTTCCATATCAGTCAGATCACTATACTCCGAAGAGTCCATAGAAGATCTAAACAAGTGCGGTCCATTCGGGCCCCTCACTGCCTTTTCGTCGATATGGAAGTCGAACAAGGTCAGCCCGGTCGTATCAGGCGTAGTAGCTTCATCTGGCGTGGAGGCAGTCGAGATACTGCCAGTACCAAACTATCGCCCGGTAGTGTTAGTTGTGTTTATCTAACTAACCCTGATACAGTCGTAAACTTACTGAAGCCACACTTGTAAAGGGTGAATATTCGGGGTATGATGAGGAGTCGTCGTTATCGTAGTCCTCCATTATGTCCGTGGACGCAGAGAGCGGTCGAGCGACGGGGGTTCTGGGGGAGTAGAGGGACAGCTCCTCGGCTTTTTGCAATCCTGAAAAGGACATATCATATGCATATTGAGTCGCCTATTTTAGAGTTAGCTGGTGTCTCTATATGCCTGAAGTCCAGGAGGTCCCACCATCGCCATGTTGATCTCGGTTGCCCAAAGGGCAGCAAGACCTACTATGTTGAGAAGGTGAAGGCAACCGTTTGAAGCAGTTGATTAACGCATATGAAAGTTAATATTCGCGAAGGATGAGGACATATATACAAAGTCCCCAAGTGAGTGATCGAGGTTTGGAGTGCATAGGTGGAAACGGGCAGGTTGGGGTGATTGAAGTGTTTTATGTGCAGTACGACCGCCCCTCCTGCAGGAGTTAGCCGACAGTATTCACACTGGGCGACTATCCTACAGAGAATTAGTCCACAGGATTTCCCCCCATGGCTAAATCGAACGAATTGGACGTGCAGGCTGGCCAGCGGTCAAAAGAAGTTCGAAGCCAGCGGTAAGCCCGTTGTGATGAGAGCGGTGGTTGGCACGTCTGGTCCGGACCAAGACCTACGGTCAGACTACCTACTGGGCGGAGAAACCCACTCGAACGAACTTTACAATAGGCAAAAGTCCTGTTTTGGGCAAGGTGATTGTACGAGATGCAGAAGTGGTCGCGGGCCCGCGGGTGATGGCGGCCTGTGAGAGGTCAGTGTTTAGCGCTACTGCTGTGACGACTTTCTCGGCACACTTCAACAGGCTGTGATTCATTTGACCAGAAACTCTACGCGCCCAGTGAGTTGCATGTTTCACCATTGACTAGTGCTCGATGTTGCGTCCAGGATCGCTCTCCTAGGCTGAAAGAGAAAATCCCTTGTGATAGGGCAGTTACTCACCAAACGACAAAGACGACTCGGTTGTTTCGGGCAGGCTGTTGGCCAGAAATATAAACCATAGGCCAACCCTCATTAACTTGCGACATGATCTATCATACTAGTACCAAGAGTACTGTCGATTACTTGGGATATTTTCTGTCTTAATTTATCTCTTTTTGTTCCTTTGTTGGTGTTGGTTTGCGCCTCCTAGGGCGGCTGAGTACTCTCCAGGTACAGACGGAGTTTAGAGGGGCTTTAGGGCAACCGAGATCTTATGATGAATGGACAAAGGTATGTACGTAAGTATATGTGCTTGCTTAAGTATAGAACCACTAACATTGCATTGCGCTCTGTTTGAACTTGAAAATAAGACGGAGGTGGCTAGCAATCGCTAATGCATCTGTGACAATTGTGATTGCGAAGACCCATGGTTACTGTAGCAGCGAGAGCACTACTAGTATCACTTTAGCTGTCATCTGACCAATAATGAAGTGAAGAAGTCAAGTCAAAAAGTACCTACTCGGCTCCAGGTCCAATTCTGATTATCACTAACTCTTCCTACTTGAAAGTCTCAATCTGTCCTCCCCTTAATGGGATCAAGTATTTTTCAACTCCCCAGGTCTTTCGCACACTTCCAGAAGACTCTATGTATGCACTCTATGTTAGTAGGTCGTAAATTTCGTTGGTGATGTACATCGAATGAATATGGATTTCTACAGCAACACCCGTGACAGAGTCCTGTATTAACTGCGCAGAGAATCCAACCAATACATGCCTATGAAAAAGTTGGAACAGTCTAGGACATATGCTATAGCTAGTAATCAGCTTTAGCATACCTTGCGTCTACTATGTGCATTACTTGAACCTCGATCGAGGGTGATAGTAAGTTCTAAAGTAGGTCCAAAATTCTTGTCGATCTCTTTGAATCAAAATCCGGTTCTTTAGTCTTTTAGCCAAAGAGTGCTATCTCATGGGGTCTACATGTGAGTGCTCCGGGCGTTCTTGGTCGAAATAGCAGAGAGGGGTGATAGAAGGGAAAGACTAGCTACCTAAGTGAAGGCGGGGAAGTTCAGTCAGTGTGCTTGTCGAGTAGTTTGTTCGTCACAAAATTGCTGCACTATCTGGCACCGTGTTGAATCTCCTCCCTATTCTACTTGGGCACGGCTTGACCGGTCCCGGTGACAAGCGCTGTCTCCATGACATACATTGGAGTTTCGCCATGTGAATTTCAACGGATACTCTTGACAAAGAGAAGGTCAGCAAGATCCGATGGACTCTAGATCACAAAAAGCAAGAAGAAAAGAAACAGGGAACTATAATTAGGGTACGGCTAACTTGTGGTTGTTGCTGTCGTCGTGCGATGAGTTAAAGCGCCGGGCAAGCGAGTGACGGGCTCCGAGATGATGGGAGCTGGTAGGAACACTCTTAGCTCGCCCAATGGCATCGGGTGGAAGATAGTATCTTTGTTAGTTACTTCGAGTAGATCCACGATAGAAAAGACGTGGAATGAGTATAATCTTCCACCAATGCAGGTTGGATGTACAAAATTAACATCAGATCAACCATATTTGGGAATTACTATCCATGCCGAATGCATATCAGGCGCCAATTTTAGGGACGTGTGGCTTCTATTTTGGGTGATATAGTAGCAGTTAGGCTAATGTACTCCGTACATTAGAGTGTGATACCCCGCTGGATTCAGGCGCTAATTAGGGAAACCTGGGAGTTATTAATAGGGAAAAGCCGGGGTAGAGATACAAAAAAGGGCTGGATACAGTTAATTTACTAAATTTAACTCTCCTAGCCCAATCGTTGTGGGCAAAATTTGCGATAAACTTTGACGCTGTTTTCCGGTTCTATATTGGATCCTCGGCGGTTAAGCGTTGCTAATTAAGGGAGCTCCTAATGCAGTCCGTGATCACATCCCGCCGTCTGTGCTGCGTCTCCACCACTGCACGGGCCGAGCCCCACGGTTGGTGGTGGCATTCCAGACCTGCTGCAGCAGTTGGTCTTATCCAGAGCCTGAGACCAAATCAATTTTCAACATCCGAAGCTTGGCATCGTCTCATCTGGCGCCCACGAACGATTTACATCCAATGATTTCCTTCCAGGATGGTCCCAACAGCCATTGTCAATTCTTATTGGAGCATGCGATGTCACTACGCCAGGGAGGAATCGCTGTCTTCTTTTCACATTGCTGCTCAACGTCGTAGGCTCTTAGCGCTGAGTTGAAAGTGGGAGACGCTGAGTGTTGACCCGGACGGCTGTTCATCGAACGTTCGGCGACAAAGATATGGCTCTGGATGAATGTTTTCCTGAGCGGCGCAGTGCCTTTGCAGCACGATCCAGTCGGGCAGTGTGGATTGAGATGAAAGGCAACAGTTGTTTTTCTGGATGACATAGGGCTACTGGGGGTCACGATGTACTCGATGGACAAGATGGCAGGAGAAACACCAATCAGCATTCAACCCCACCAGACTCAAGTTCGCGCCAGGGAGGAACCGGTAGACCCTGACAGAAACCTTGTGCTATGCGCCCACAGGTCACCCCTGTAACTATCAGACCTGCGCGTCTATTTGCATGGCGAGTCGTCAGTCTGGCTCATTGTCATCTGGCACCCCATTCACTATGGAAGGTCCCAATTTAGATCTTGCGCTCCTATACAAGATCATCGCGTCAATTGTGATTTGCTCATTGGCATCAGTCCCACTTAATCTTTGCATATCATACTCCTTGAAACAATATCCCCTGTCAGTATTCAACCGCTTGGGTCAAGCAAAAAATAGAAACACCTAAGGCATGGTGGCTCTGTACAGGTGAACCATATACTACTCCATAGAGCAGATATGAAGATGGACTATCTTCATAAAAGCCTGCTCGACGCCTCTCCAATTTTGATATTCATCCTCTGTGACAGTGCCTGTTCAAGTGAACGGTAGAGGATACGCTTTCCACTTTGATATTAAGCTCTGTCGTCTGCAACTGCTTTTCTACGTCACCATTGTGCTTTGCTTCAAACCTTCTTGTCATCGACTAGCCGTCAACTCGTCCTTCAGTTGTCCCAGTTTAGTCGAGACTGTCAATACAAAGACATGTCAAGCGCAAGGGCTTCGGCCTCTGGCCCATCCACTAGGGAGGACAGTTCTTCTGACGCGTCTGATTCCGAATCGCCTGTTGAAGAAACGACCCGTAGAACCAAGTCGTACCAGAGATCACGCTCAGGTATATATTTGTTCCTATGCACAAGGGAAAGGCATCGGTTGCGGTGATGCACTTCCTTACTTACTCTACTCATCAAGCCGTTTCTGACCATGTGATGGTGCAGGCTGTTTTACGTGTCGGGCCAGGAGAAAGAAGTGTGACGAGACACGCCCGATTTGCAGATCGTGTAAAAAGCTTGGACTCAAATGCGACTATAAACCCCCGAGGTGGTGGCCCAACACCGAGAACCGGCGAAAGCAGAGGGACAGACTCAAAGAGAGGGTCCGTCAATCGAAGGTTATGGAGAAGGAAGGAACTATAAAGGGTGAGTTAAAGCAAGTGAGTAACATTTGACATCACCTAATTTCCCGTCTCCGTCCAGAATATGAGGACCGAATTCGTGCACTCGTGGAGAAGCCATCCATAGGAAATGATGATGGCTTCAGCATTTCGATGTTTGGTGAACAGCCTAATCTTTTTGCAGCGCCTGGTTCAGCTCCCATGGTCCCATTCGATATGAGCGTTCAAACCAATACCCAGGCTTTCATCAACAATGTGCCGTTCAATCAAGGACTTCCTTTTCCTGCATACAATAACTACGGTGGTGTGCCGAACCCACAGATGCTTCAGCCCACGGCCCAGCTTCCGCAGATGACCAGTCCACAGCTTCCTCTTCCACAGCTTCAGCTACCATTCCAAGCTCCGAATATGCAAGTTCAAGCACCAAATGATCAGGCCCAAACAGCGACTGCGCAGTTCCATGTTTCTGAAGAGCAGTTGCAGCCGCCAAATACACAGCTTCAGTCATCAGCAGACCAGGTTCAACCAGCTACTACCCAGCTCCAGGCACCAACCGATCAGACCCAGTCAGCCACTGCGTTTCAATTGTCAACCGGACAAGCCCAGCCGGCTGTCGCACAGTTTCAGGCTCCTACACAGCAGTTCCAGTCACCAGCTCCGCAGCTTCAAACGCCAACTGATCATGACCACTCAGCGGCAACGCAGTTTCCAGCCCCAACTGACCAGTCGGCTACTGAATATCAATTGCCAGCCGAACAGATCCCGTCATCGGCCGCACAGTTTCAGGCCCATGGAGAACATTTCCAGTCTTCTACTCCGCAGCTTCATCTACCCGATGGACAATTCCAGTCGTCTACTGTAGAGTTTCAACCACCCGTTGATCAGGCTCAATCGTCAACCACACGGTTCCAAGTCCCAGTTCCCCCAGAGCAATTCCAGCCCTCTACTCCGCAACTTCAATCTCCAGTTGAGCAGCTTCAGTCCACTTCGCAGACCCATCCACCTGCGGAACAATTTCAACCATCCGCTGTGCATCCCCAACCAACAACGAACCAGATTCACTCAGGGAATGCGCAGTTCCAGCCACCGGTGGAACAATTTCAATCAACTGCGCAAACTCAGCCATCGACTGGGCGATTCCCGCCAGGAAATACTCACTTTCAACCGCCAGCCGAGCAGCTTCAGATACCGAATACTCCATTCCTACCATCGGCACAGTTTCAGTCACCAAATCCGCAGTTCCAGCCAACAGTTGCACCATTTCAAGCGACAGGCTCTCAGTTCCAGCCACTGCCTGCACAATTTCAGGTCCCAGGATTTCAGTTTCCCCCGCCAAACATGCAACTTCAAACACCTGCTTCAAACCCAAACATGCCCAACAATAACTGGCTCCAGAATAACGCAAACTATGCTCAATCGTATAACCCTGCCGGTCCGTATCCGACCTACAACGCCATGGGTGCCCCAGGCCCTATGTATCAGAACGTACCGTTGTCGTCAAGCCTGCGAAGTTTGATATCTGTAGAAGACCGTGACCGACCACTTCTGGACCATTTTGTCGACAATGTTCTGCGGTTAATCTTCCCTGTTATCGGGGTGCATCAGGGAGGTGCTTCCTATATCGATGAGATATTGAAAATAATGCAAGGCAATCGCTCTTACCTTCATTGCTGCCTCAGTGCAGGCGCAATCCACCTGAAGACCAGCATGGGAATGGAGGATCAGATGGACCATGACATTATGCAGCACCGTTATGCAGCGATCTCGCAGCTTAGTCGTGTCTTGAGCCGTGGCAGCGGCCACATGCAGATCTTGGATGCAACACTTGCAATGATCCTGTACCACTGCTCCGTGGGAACGACAGATGATTACTTGCCAGATGTCTCGTGGACCACCCATTTCCAAGCAGTGACAAGCATAGTTAAGAAGCTCAACTGTGCGCCGAGTCAATTCAACATATCTCTTATAACATGGATAGACATTATGGGCGCTACCATGCAGGGGAAAACACCGGAGTTTTCCCATACACACCGCACTAAGCATTTGAGCGCTACTCAGTCTGGCCTCCAACAGCTGATGGGATGCGACGACCGTGTCATGTACCTTATCTCGGAGATTGTGTGTCTGGAAGCCCTGAAGATAGAGACCAACATGGATGAGTTGACTATCTACAGCCATGTCTCTGCGCTGACCGCTCAGATTGATTTCACTGAGCCAACCGATCGGAGTCTTCAACCACCCTATGATGCCAGTGGCGCCGTCAGGCAAGATATGTTGACCAAAATCATAACCACCCTGTACCGCATCGCGGCCCGCATCTATCTATTCAGCCTGACGCCCGGATTTGATTTCAATGAGCCTTCTGTTGTCAGTCAAGTTGCGCGTGTGGCAGAGATTCTGCAATATATGCCATCAGGGCCCAAAGGATTTGACCGCTGCCTTGTGTGGCCGTTGTTTATTGTCGGAGTACATTCAGTGCACACCAGTGTGTTCCGGAAAACATTGGCTGAAAGGGTCGCGGCTTTGGGTTATATGAGCGAGTTTGGAAGCTTCGGTCGGATGTATCGTGTGCTGAAAGAGATTTGGAAAGAGACAAAGCCGAAACCAAAGGGCAAGGCAATTGCAAAGGGGAAAGGGAAAGCGAATGCGAATGCGAAAGGGAAAGGGAAAGCGAATGCAAATACAAATGCGAAGGGGAAAGGGAAAGCGAATGCCAAATCCAAGAGGCCGGTCTCTGACTCGGATGACTCAGATACCTCTGATGAGTCTGACTTGGAGTCGGACGAGGAAACTCCAGCACTTGCTAGTAGCTCTACAGCTGCTGGAAAGGACAAGCCCGGCGAGGACAAGCCTCATTGGCGGGAAATCATGCGACGCAATAAATGGAATTACCTACTGATGTAGAGGCATAACGCGGCCTCATGGATAGCAGACGATGAGAAAACGACATGGTTCACCCTGCGAAGGGACATCAGGTAAACGATATGCAGCCTGGTTGCTCGACTTACCCACAGGAGGAACAGCAGCGCTATTTGACTTGTTCGGCTTTTGTCATTGTTGCTCCCCTTCCTCAGCCACAGGATTGTTGACGCAGACACGACACTTCTGAGACGTCTATTTTTATGCTTGATGTGCGTTCACTATTAACTGTCAGCCACTCATTCAGCGTGCAGTTGGTTTTAATTTCTTGATTATTATCTATCTTCGTTTTTAATTCGCTCTTTATACCCAACCCCGTTCTTCGCTCCTTTATGTTCCTCCAGCGGTCGTTTGGTCCAGTTGTTAGCCTGGCATTTGCCTGTGCACGTTTGTATACTCTTCTTCCACTCCTTCGGGTCAACTCCCATGTCTATTTTTATTTTACTTTTTATTTTACTTCTTTCTTTTCTAGCCTTCTCACATTCTTCTATTGCTCGTCCCTTCCTATTCGTTCATTATAGTGATCTTCGATAGTTGATTTGATTTTATGATTTACATGCTGCGTTAGTTTCGTTGAATGCAATTTTGCCGTATCTTTTATAAGATCAGCCTGTAGAGCCGTGCCCTTACTTTATGACCCAAGAAACAAAGTCCAAGCCCCTTGAGCCAGCGTAGATAGTGATGAGCGCGAGGAAGGTAGAAAAGACGGTCAACCACGAATGGGATTGCCAAGTCTCGAAGTATCCATCAGAGTGGCACAGACCTTATTTCAAGCTGGCCAACTCACCAAATCTACTTCTCTAACTGAAGCCAATAATACTCCATATTCGTCGTAGAGGGTTTCCCACGGGCTCATTCTCGAGCGCTTAATATACTGCTGTGAAATCGTGAGCATTGTCGTTATTGGCCGGAGGGGTATTCCTTCCAGTTTGACTGACTCTTGCTCTGGTCTGTGATCCTAATAAATTGGCTATTTTCGGGGGGTGGAGAATGATATTGTTGAGAGCTTTGTCCTCTACTGTTGTTGCGTATGGTTAGGTCGACTTGTATGAACTGTGTTGAGATAGCGGGATCGGGGAAGGATTGACTACAAACAGGTGCTTTAGAGCCCTGTCGATTGATTGTTAGGTGCTGGTGCATAGCGTTCCAGTTTATTTTTGGTCTATCAAAGTAGGGCATGGCTTCGGTGTACGATAAACCTAGTATGCATGTCGCGGGATTCATCCAATTGACAAGGTTACTGAGGTACAGTGCCAGAGAACACCCGCGATTAACGAACCCCCCTAACCTATGTACAATGAAGACTGCAAGCGCCGACGTGACAAAGGTTGTTCATCTCAGATCTTTATTTAGAACTCATGATGGAGCAGGTTGTGATGGAGATGAAGAGAGCATGATCGTATTGTACTATACGGTATTGTACGGTATGGGGGAACCTCACGTCGGAAGGTGTGATTGGTCCGGAGAGGGGCCGGGCAGGCCGTTGGTATAGTGGAAGCGCTGAAGACAGGGGGAAAAGAAGGAGGTGATACTATAATTATCATAGATTGTATGCTAGTGTAAGAGTAGGAAGGGGAAACCATGAAGTCAGCTGCGTCAAAGGTGGATGTTGTGCGTCAGAGGAGAGACCTTGGAGATAGAGACGGGAGCATCCATTGAGTAGGGTTAGTATCCATCCTTGTGGACTATATGTACAACACATACTTGATCAGACCAATAAGAATGTATGAAACCTCGACATACAAATCTCACTAATGCATGGTAAGTTTGATAAGACTGAAATGCTGCATTTCGTTTGGTTGGAACGATATAACGGGGATGCTTGGGCCTCTCTTTATCTTCCGCTTGAGTGAACCCCGACAGCGGAGATCAGCGCGACTCGACTTTAGCATCGTCTTGAAGAAGGGGCTTCGCATGTGGTAGGTGCAAATCCAAACAATCTAGCCTAGGGGCTTTTCAGCATACTTGGACCAGCGTGACGCCGTTATATTCGCAAACCATGGGTGCAAATCGTTGCTAGTAATGCAGGTTGGTTGCTTTGACCATGTCTAGATTAAAGGGGGGGGTTTACTGAAAATCTAAATGATGGGTATCCTTTGACCAAGTTTTTGATCCGGTTGAAGGTCTGACTTTTATTGTTCTCGTACGTATGGAGATAGTTATCTTGGTCAATATCCATAGAAACTTGAGGTGAAGTTGATGTTCCAAAAATAGACCCCGGATCTGCAAGCGCGGGTGGTGTTATTCTTAGACTTAGACTCGGGGACCCTGTCACCAGTGCGCTTCCACTTCCCACGGGATTGGTCGGCGTGTTTCTATAAACAGACAACTGTTTCTTGTTCAAGATGTGATGTGGAACTTTCTATAGTCATTGGTAGAGGGGTTTGATCATCAAGAACCACGCACACTGCAGTCGTTGCCAAGAAAGCGGAGGGGTGAGGGGCTCTCTGTTTATAGAGATCTCAGGATTGACTACCAAGCACGATTACTACGCAAGCCACTGTAGACTATAGGCGTCGCGTCGGCTCCCTGGAATTTGTTCAAGATTCATGTGGCCGCTGGTCTAAGAAAATTATGGAAGGAACTAATGTGAACAGGAAGTAGCGGGCGGTATATCAGATCCCACTGCTGTAGTGAACCCAGAAGCAGCCAAGAGAGTCGTTGCTGCATAATCACAACACACGGTTTCAGATTCTTTTCATATATGCAGCGTACAGCCGGCAGCTTGGTGTTGTTTCAAACAAATGATGAAAAGGAATACATTCCTCTAGCAACAGGCGCCTACACAGGCAATGGATGGCTTGGCACCGTCAGCGCTAAGGCCCTACCTACATGGAAGACAAGGCATTTTGCCACCAGTGTAGAGCACACTATTGTATCATCCTCGGCTCAGTCTATTCTAATAAGTTGCCCAGTGTAGATACATTTTTTGCTAGCTGTCGGCAAACTGCCCCCTCGGCGACTTCAAACCCTTAGCCAGCAGTATCTTCTAACACTGTAAGCCAAAGTAGAGTGCAATCATTGTAGATTCCGCGTCTTGATCAACTGTTAACAATCCCGGTGTACCCCCGCACAGCGCTTGTTTTGATATCGATACATGAAGAACATTGTAGATGAAACTGTTCCGACTCATTCTTCGCGGCCCGATTGGACATCACGAACTCGACTTGGTTTGTGATATTGACCCTGATCCAGTTCTGCAAGGTCTGGCGTCTATAGATTGCCGGTGGGTTCTTCGGACTGCACGACGCATCCACGATGCTTACCCCGTGTTTTAAAATTGCCATGTTGACGGAGTTCCGCTGTTGGTTACAGAACCGCGCGCTATACTTTGACGAACCATACTTAGAGTGTAATGAAGGCAAAGCAACGATATATGCTCCTTGAATAAGGGGCAACGAGATGAGACTTGCCTCAGATGGCGCGCGACTATGGTGAAGATTCTCTCGCATATCTCGATACATTAGTACTTCTGGGTAAGGGTCAGGATGGGGAAGAAAAAGACATATATATTCTGAAGAGACCCGACTGTCTCTTATTTCCCATCAGTAATTGTCTTGTATCTCCTTCCTCTTGCTTGTTTTTGTGGTGATAAAAAAAAACAGACATCAGCTGGGCTGAGACGTTATCCATTCGTTGCCCGTATTGAAGATCTTCGCGGGAACCAGAGACACTCACTCTCCCAATCCTACAAACTCACAAAGCACACGGGCTGTGCAATACCCTGGACATAATCAAGCGACTATAGTGGTCAATAATTCCCTGCCATTTCTCATTCTCTGTCATTCTGCATCGCGACTGTTGTAAGTGGATCGCATTGTTGCTATTTTGGAGTGCACTAACTCATTGGGATTGGATAGTACCGCTACGTATCGATACGGTTCGGTACCACAGATGTATGTTGTATCTTACGCACTCTATCCAGCATTTGGAAAAAGGGTTCTGACAGACTATCATAGAGTCAATCGTACACAACGCCACTTCTTGCTTACCAACACAGACTCTGGCAGTCCCCTTGCTACTGGCTAGATAAGGGCTGTATATCATCCTTCGAAGACCCTCTCTACTTCTTTCCTCCACACTTCGACATACAGATCCTCCTATACTCCGGTCCTTTCAGGCTCCTATCTTGATCGGCCTGACTATCTTTCACATCTTTTTTCCTGTTTGACTTCATCGCGCCTCCTCTTCTACCATTCTCATATCCAATATACTCTGCACGCAAAGCCATGGCCCCAGAAAAGCCGGCCCTTCATCCACTGAAGACCCCCAAGAACATGACATTCCCTTCAGAACTTCGTGAACGCACCTACACATGCCTCGACGCAGATAGACCGGACAAGGAAGTGAAGAAAGAGGACGAGGATGCCGAGATCACCATAACTCCTCCACCGGCATATACAGAATTCCTCAATACCTTCAGTCCTATCTTCTCAAGCCCTACGCATTCCCGTGCAAACTTTGCCAAGTACATGCACGATAAACCTCGTCCTTCTCCAACATCAGCTCCCTCAAGCACTACCAGTACGTCTTTCGCCAACAGCTGCCCACAAAAGGACATTTCTGTGGCTACTGTGCCACCGTACGCAGCAGCACTCTCTTCCAAGAGTCCAGATCAGCTCCGTCACTTGCGTCTACCTCCTCCATATGCCCACTCACCCATGGCCGACTCTCCCAGAAGTGCACATACCCTTCGATCGCCCTTCACGCCGTCAGACTACAGGATGCGTCCCTTTGATTCCCCCATCAGTGAACATGGGCCCACTATTAGCATCCGCCATGTGGTTACAACCACCATCACACTCAAGCGGGCTCCCCAGCTTGACCCTCCTCCGCGGGGGAAGAGAAGGAACGTTGCTCGTCGCAACACCTGATCTACTTTTCTCAGAATAGACTCTGGGCTCTATACATCCACTCGATTACGTTGAACATTTCTTATGGTTATGGCCGTTCTTAGCATCTCAATTGGTTTCGCATCGCATATTTTGCACTCGTCTTTACTTACATGTATCGCTTAACCTTTTCCTTTGTTACGTGGGCCTGGTTGCTTTCGGGAATTGCATTTCTCCTAGTCTGGGCTGGAGCCCACTGGTTAGACCTAACGGAGTTTGGTGCGCATGTACTGTACAATGGGATCTAAACATAGTACCTTACTTTTTGAGCGGAAACCGGACAATATAGTTTCGTGAAGTTAAATTCCTCTTTGTCTCTTTGTATGTAAAGGAGGCAACTCTTCCCACCCTCAGTTAGCTCAAAGCGCGAACTTTCTCCTGTCGGTACATCAGTAAAACCACCGAAGGATTCAGCCTTAGTACGTACAAAATCCCCTCGATAGTTCAGAGAAGAACAAGTCGCCCAGTTACTGTAAGATCCTGGAGGATTCCACGTGGAACTCCGCCCCAACCGCCGCAGCCAATCCCATGGTAGTATTGAACCAACAGGAACCAACTGGCGGTAAAAACTGGAACATGATTGAGGGAATTGAGGGGGGAAAGTCCCAAATAAACCTCATGTCGTGCGCTGGAATCGCAGTGACGCTTATTGCTTTGGTTCATCTAAATTCTGTCGGGTCGTTTTTTCATTCCTTTTTCGGGAAAAGACGGGGGATTGTGGATTGGGGCAAGTTTTCCGGGTTGTACTTACTTCCAATGATGACTGTGGATAAGAGCTCTGGATGGCTTCGTTGTTGCCGATAGTGCGACTACCATATTAGTTATACTGTCGCCCAGGTAAGGCATTAGAGTGGATTGTGACTAGTTATGGCACTGTGGCTAGCTAACCCTAAGCCGGCACAGGGGCATGGATTGAACCTTGCATCATGTCTATTGCTACGGGTCACGTTATGCAAATCATTAATCAATCCCTGGTGCATTGGAACCCGCGCTTGGACCATTCCCAATGCTTCGGCTACTAGCAAGCAACAGGTAGAATGGTTGATATACAATCACTCAAGGCTCTCACGGGCAGTGAGCCGTGGCAGTCGAGGTACATTCATGCGACAGGCCCCAATCTATTTACCTTCCCGTTGGTTTACAAAAGGACAAAGGGTCTTCTTCTCGAGCTGACACCAACTAAACCTGTGTCATACTCGGTCTGGCCTTTCATGGGCAGATGTAGCCTACATACTTATATACTCAGGCATTATTCGCGCAACCATCTCTCATGTCCGAATTCGAGGTTATATTAATCGTGGCATATCACAGGGAGCATAACAGTGGGATACATGATAAAAGGTTGGAACGGGCTTCAACAACTCACAACCCCGGGCTGCCCGGAAAAGACAAAATAAGCAAGAAAGGCGTTAATCATCCAGACTCAACCCGTTCGCCTGCCACCATCCAATATTAAGAATATAAGCTGATATATACACAGGTACAACCAGTAAGAACAGATCAAAATATTACAAAATAACCAAACCCGTGGTATCATGCTGCACAGTCATGGTGAACAAAGTGGTATCATAAACAATCAAAAGGGAAAAAAGGGGATATTAGTAGCCACTCAAGGGGTGATTAAGGGGAAATAGAAAACATATGCGACGAAATAAGAAAAGTTTATAAGCGAGAGTCATGTCAGAGCGTTCATTCTTCAGTCAATGCGTCATCGCCGGTCTCACGCCACTCCTTAGACCGTTCGGTCAGTCGTCGAACTCCAGCCACCCGCTGGGCCCAGTGTGCCTCAGAGGGCGATCGGAAGGTGTACGCCCGCTGCGACGAAATCACGCCAATACCCTGCAGTACAGCCTTGCGGGAGTCCCGGCCAAACACTGCAGGATGATTGATCCACTCGAGCGCTGCTTGTAGGTCACCATCCAGCGCCTGCATGGTCTGCGCATCAACCGCGGCTCCTGGTGTGACCGTGGCTGAGTCTGAGACAGCCGAGGAGTGGCCATCGCCGAAAGTAGAAGATCTTGGAGAAGTGGATGTAGGCGTTTCACCTCTGCTGCCAGAGTCGCTGATGCTTGATGGTTTAACAGCACCAGGTGGGAGCGGGGGCAGGCTTCCTTTACCAAGACCCTTAAGGATACTGCGGGTCTCAACCAATAAGTGTTGCGCACGATCATGATGTCCGCGTGACACCAAAGTCAATGCTCTAGTTAGCATATCGGACGTGAGTAGTTCCATGCGCCGCTGAACTATTGAAGGATGCGGAGGGATAGGGGGCGTCGTCGGTCGACTGGAATGTCGAGTCCTGGGGTTTGGTGGAAGCATAGTGATCGCCAAAAGTGACGGTCGCGGCGAATGCGTCAAATGGCCATCACGGAGAAGATCTCCAAAAGTGATATCCGCTTGGATCAATGGGACTTCCTCCACGCTAAGCACTCGCTGCTCATCTCCATCCGACCCGCCACCGAGGGCTTCCAGTCCGGAGACCAGACTCTCCCAGGGATCTTGCGGCATGTTCTCCTGAGAACTGTTGTCGGGCTGGATAACAAGCTGAACCAAGATGTCCCTTTTATCTCCGAATCTGAGATCACCGAGAGCGGCCTCCGCGTCGCGGCCGGTGGCCCTCTTGGTGGTGTGAAGGGCCCCACTGATTTTCACGAACTTCGCCGGAGAACCTTCCGGGAGACGAAGCTTCAGCTTGACATTCTGATGAGAAGTTGTCTGCAGAGCTCCGAGACACCCTGCGACACATTCACGGAGCATCATCCAGTCCTTGACATAGAGGTATGAGCCTTTTGTCCGAGTTGAAAGCTCAATCATCGTGTCCGGCTTATGGGTCAGTCCCAGGCCGAATGAGTGAATGCTAACCCTGCAAGACAGTTAGTTCCATGATCTTGGTATCAAAAATTAAAGGAAACGCACTTAGCAGCTTCTGCCCGGGACACAACAAAATCCACGCTATCTGGGTCAGAGGTAGACGAGTCACTGATCAAGAGGATAGTGGATATGGGATTGGACAGCTTCCGTTGCATCAAGAGGTCCATGGCCACATTCGCCCCTTCAACCACATCTGCACGAAGACTCTTCTGGCCGACGGGGCGGATAGAGTTCAAAATCTTGCCCCATCCCCCCCAGGACTTCGTTGTCATTCCCACCAGAGGGACTCCGCCGCCACTAGAACCGAATGTCACTAATCCCATACGGTCCCGAGGTCCAAGGTTCTGCACAAGAAACTTGAGCGCGTCGCGCAGAAGCGTGATTTTCAGGCCCTGCATCGAAGATGACACGGGGATCACCACTACAATATCAAGCGGAATGTGCAGAGACGGGCTAGGTCCACTTTCCACGGCCACATTCGTGTAGTCAGTGATGGCAGTATTGATCGACCGAGCCGCACCATATGAGGAGTTCAGCGATGCCTGCCGTTTGATCTGGCTGTTTCGATAGTCTTCCTCCTCGGTTCCCGAGTTCTCTAGGTCATAGTCGGCACTGCGAGACAAGGAATCGAACTGGTGGAGATCGAGCAGAGCACGACGCCAGATTTCCAACTGGTTCCGGTTCTGGAATCTAAGGTAAAAGCATGGAAGTTCGCTGACGGATAAACTCAGAGTTAGAACGGGCTCATCTGTATATATCGTTAGTACGCGCTCATTGCCCACTGGTATCAAGATCTTGGTTTACCTGTATCCGCATCGACATGCTTGAGATGCTTCTTGATCAAAATCGAGCCCTTAAGCGTACACCGTGTGTGTCGCGGTTTGTCATCATATTGGCGGCGGTGATCGTTGGCCTTCTTTTCTTTGATGCAGATAAGCATCTCCGCGAACAGGTAGCATTGCAAGTCCTGCCACGATTCACGGTCTTTGCCGACCCGCATCTGTCCATGCAGGCGAAGCTTTCCGAACCTAATATATAATTAGCAAGGGCCTACAAACAAAAGAAACCACAGATCAGCATACCGCTGAAACTCAAGACCATGCCAGTTGTCCACTTTCGTCCTCAGTTCCTCCGCAATCTCATCCAGGTTCTCCTGTGGTTCGTATGGAGATGGGCGGGACTCCTGGGCGGCGGGAAAACGGGTCATACTGTAAGGCTCATCCTCCGGTTGTGGTGAGCCAGTCGACGTGTGGCGCAAGTCATCGGAGTCTGCACGCCAGCCTTCAGGGACTTCGACGGTGATTAGACAGGTCAAAGGCTGTTGTTGACGGGACCGGTTGAGGGTTGGAAACTCGCTCCGAATTGTCATCGTTGGAGCCGGGATGGGATTCTTTGTGGACCCAGAGCGAGGGCTCAGTTCGGACTCCATGGCTTGGAGGTCATAATCATGCCGTCTTCCGTTGCTCGGATGCTGGTTATCATTGTAGTCACCCGATGAGCCAGCAGCGCTACCATTCCGGGAGTGATGCTGGCGGGATCCGGATGTCAGACGCTCAATCCGTTCACGCGGGTCGCCCGTATCACGGCTGTCTCTCCGGCTGTACATATCCCGGCTGTCGCGGTTGTACGGCCTACTCCCGGCGTCACTGGGCAGCCGGCCGCGACTTACGTTTGTGCTTTGATCCCACGGCGCAGTAGCCCCGGTTACACCACTTCGTTGTGTGGCGGCATCGCTGGTAACTGAGCGCACCATATTGCTAAGTTTCTCTACAAGTGAGTTAGGAACAGTTCTCCTGATGTCCTACCTAGTGTTGGGACTTACCGATGTCTAACACATTCCCCCCACGACTTGTGTCCAGCCCCAATGGGGCGTCACATGTTGGGCAATACTGTCCCTCGAACTCTTTAATAAACTCGTAGAAACAGGCTTCATGCGCTACATGTGCACAAGAGAATTGGAGAACGCGCTCCCCTCGCAGGGTATGTTCTAGCGGTTCCTCACAGACAGCGCACTCGCTACCCACAAAAGTCCTGTCTCTCCGGGACCGAGTCCGGTCAACATCCATTAGGCCTGCCATTGGCCTGCCTGATATGGAATTGGACGACGTTTGAGACGAATAATTGATTGAATTCGAATGCCAGTCAGAACCCGATTGGTCAGGGTACAATGAACCACTGGTGACCGTTGAAGGTGCGCGAGACCGGAAAGAGCCAGCGTGGTTGGACAGCCTACTGCCCGGTCGTTCTGAGCGAGTGAGTGATCGCAGAGACCGGAATGGTGAGCGGGTGGGGGACTCTGGTCGAGAAAATACTGTAGATAATGACGAATGCACCTGTCAGTGAACAGGGGGGGTATAATAATGAACGGCCAGAAAATGGAACGGAAGCGGGCAGTGAGGGTCGACTACGAAAGGGCAGTAGTGAGGTAGTATTGCATAACAGTAGCGCAAGAATCTAGGTTCTTTGTCTCTTTGGTGTCACATATAACGAGGATCACCGGGGGTGGTTAGGGTAGAAAGATAAGGAACGACCAAAATGCAGGGGAAAAGAAGAGGGAAGGACTGGTGATTTAGGAGGTGAAGGTCCAGAATGATATAATGTTATGATGATGACAGTAGGGTAAGGGAAAGTCAAACTAAAAGACAAAAGGCCCCAAACGAAAAAAAAATAATAAAAATAAATGTAATGAGGGACTAGAATCAAGCACAAGCACTAGTATGAGACACTATACTTACTCGGCGGAGACTTCTTCTTGGGACGGCCAAAGAAGCCACGCTCGGAACTTGGATCGATGCTCCCAGACTTTGCATCCGATCTGGAAGACGGTCGATGCTTCCACATGAGCTAGGAAAGAATGCTCCTGACGGGTCAGGAGGGAAAGCGATCACCTAAAAAGAAGAGAGGGGGGTGGAGGTGGAAGAAAGGACGAATTCCTATATTAGGGGGAAAAGCCCAAGTGGGGAGATTGTAGTGGGGGAGGGATTTAGGAAAAAGTCCCGAGGATGAAGGAATTGAACCAGGGGGTCGAAAATCAAAGAGAATTGTTTGATGCGCAGACACACAAAACACAAAGGCAGAAAGTCTGAGTGAGAGAAAGAAAGGAGTGGAAGTTGCAGACATCGTGATGGTGGGAATAATTTTACGACGGCGTCACGGCCGGTCTTCAGGAGGCCGTTGATAGTGGATGGGGCGGGTGAGCGATCATCGAATTACTGGTACCTCGACGGTACTTGAACGGTACCACTTCGTCTTTCATTGGTACGTTCCGTCCCCATTGATACAACCACGGGTTAGCCCATACCACCTAAGTATTATCAAGGTACATTTTTCCTGCAGGAATACCAGACAATGGTGCCAGCACCAAAAGGTCACCCAGCAAAAAAAAAAAATAAAAATAAAAATAAAAATAAAAAAGAAAAAAAGAACAGAAAAAGAAAAGAAAAGAAAATCTCTTTAAGTGGGGCATGCAGCATCTGAGCCATGGTTTGAAAGGCCACCAAAAATGCTTCCAGTGGAGCATATCCAGGGACTGGAAGTTTGAACGAAGGCCCCTGAAAAATGAGTTTTTCTCCTTCGTTTCTTTTCAATTTCTTTAGGGTAAGAAGGAGGTGAATGTCAAACAACACTTACAAAGTGAGAGGGGATGAGGTCATCTGTACAAAAAGTACCAGATGTGTACTGCTGTCAACCAAAATCTCTCCTATTTTTAACTCATATCATAAACAAGAAAAAGAAACCATATAACATCAGTACCACTAGATGGATCCAGCCTACTGGTTCTCCTTACATCGTACATCCTGTACAACCAGAGGCGACACAACTCCAGCCAGTCGGGCCTGTACAGGCCAATAATCAAATCGCCTACATTGATCTATCCAATCTATCTATCAACCCCAGACCGCCATCGGAACATTAATTCTTGGAAAAAATCCATTCAATATCTTGCTTAATTCCTTTTTTCTTTTTGCCCCCCAAAGAATTATAATTGAATCTGTTCAATGGAAGACGCCACAGTCGGACATTACACCATATGTAGAGAACTAGTCTCGCCGCACATTACCAGGAACGGAACACCAATACCACCAGTTGAAAATAACATGGAAACAATTTTAACCATAAATCCAGAGCCGCCCTGAAGTAATAGAGATCTACTCCATACCTGCCAAATGTAATTTCGTTACGGTGCCGGCGAAATTCTTAGCCTTTGTGCTGCCATAAGCAGAAAGAGCCTAGCCTAATGACGGGGATATAATACAATGGCCTTATTATTCTCCATAAATTATGACCTTCTAAGCTTCGGATGGGCCAAGCCGGGGCCGTACGGTGCAAAGACTGAACTCAGGCCCCTAATTAACCGACTGCTGATCCCCGAGCGTTTTCTGTCACTTGTTCCTCTGCTATGTTTCAATATTGGATATTCCCCGGTCCAGAGAGATAAGGCTTCGGTGATTTGGTCCCTTATTCCAGTCTCATAGTCTAAGGGTCAGGTGCATCTCTGGTACAGGAGGCGAATAAACAAGGCAGCGGTGGCGTACGTAAGCGTTGATACTGCATAAGTTGCCAACGGCTGAGAACTTCGGGATCCCCACCAGGCAAATTTTAAAATGGGTAGCCCGGGACTTAGTCAGCCATGTCCGGCAGAGCGGAGATGAAGCTGCAGTTGTTCCCATAGAACTCCGTACGGATCTATGGGACCATTCAGTATCTGCCCTGTGCTTCTCACTAAAAAAAGGAACCATCTGTACACACTATTCATTTTTCAAACGATAATGCTTTCTGATCACCATTTCTTTCTCCTGATGTTTTTTTTTCATCAATTCTACCATAGGATTTGTATCTCCTATGGACGGGAAAGCGTATCGCATGAAATCTCCCAAAAACCCAAATCTCTGTGGAGGAGCCAATAACCAAGGCGTCGGTTCTATACTGACCCCCACCCGACCCGCTCGGAATGGTGCAGCACTTTTCTTGAGTGGGTTCAGGCCTAGTAGCTCCTCACTCCAGTAGGGTAGAAAACAACTCCCCGTACTGTCTCCATGTGTACACTTGTAAAGTACTGTATCAAGCCACACATCTTCATGTGCAGCGACTCCGTAGTTCCTGCAGGAATCCGCAAACTGGATACAACTGTCAGACGGCACTGAAACCCCCAGGATCCCAAACCTAGACATTCAATTATCTCATCACCAATTTGTTAAATCGCTCTCTCCAATTAATATCCATGGTGATCGTCTACGGTATCCGACGGTTGAACTCCCCGTCCGAACCAAAGAACGTCGAAACCTTATGCTTTCGGTCGAAAGATCGGCTACCCTAAGAATTTTATGAGTACAAACATATTTCCAGTGCGCTTATGTATAGTGCAAAAAAAAGCATTAATCTAATGCAGATACACGAGAGCATGACTTTGCAAAAGAATAAACAAATCGAAGTTTCAACCATGGCTAGTGTCTGTTTCTGAGTGAGAACATATATCATACGTCGATTGTCAGAAGTCCCCTCTGCACTTTATTGTGGTCAGCTAACGGAATGCAAAACTTATTATGAACCCCCAAGGATGCACGGAACACATCCTACTGGGCCACCTGGAAACCCTGCATCCAACGTCAGAAGGAAGCATTCCGAGACGCTGACTCTGGCAAATCTTATCGAAAACCAGAAGAACATCGTAGGTGGAAAAACCACATGCAAGAGTGGAAATCAACCTGTGCTTTAATGAATTTGTTGATTCCGTGGTAAGCAATGTCAATCACTGCCAACTATATACAGGTAGTACTCCACAGAGTCCATGAGAGTGTAATTCGCTGAATTAGCCAGACGGGTACTAACTATTGATTATCAGCATGACACATTGATGGGTCAGAAATTCGGGCCATGGTTACGCGCGAGCACTGACAAAACGAGTGTCCAATTTTAGTAAATTACTGGATTGACCAAGTCATGCACAAAATTCAAACCAATAATCCTTCCATATACTTCAACTATGCGAACCGCACGGTGCAACTTCTGTCCAAAGAGGTCCGTTTGGACTCATGGGATACAATAAGGATCAGCTCAATCTCCACAGCTACACGCGACCGGCCGGGCTATGCCTCGCACTATTGCGAGGATACGTGCTTCTGGCCTCTTAAGCCTGAACATCTTAATGTCCTCTATTATAGCTTTTTGTCCGAAGTCAGTTCTAGTTCTTATAACCGAGCGGGCTAAGTCCAGTGCTCTGTGCAGATTGATCCACCACAATGAAAATCATCCACGAAATAGGCATCTCAAAAGTTCTACTAAGATTGTGACAGGCATTGCGATTTGCTGGGGGGTCGTCTGTTGGGCCAACAGTGGCATGGTTGACAGGGGATCTAGGCGACAACCCAACGGTTCTAGACGCATGAAACAATAGTGAAACTCCTAGCAACGTCATTGCCTACTACTTGCAGTAGTTCATAAATCGCAGGATCCAAGGCAATTGCCTTATTGCTCACCAATGGTGCTAGTTAACTCCTCATCGTTTAGTGAGCCGGCCGGAATGCTTGTATATCGGGGTATGTTCGGAGTATGTAGGACTTGTGTTCAGGCCACCGTGTTGAAGAGGAGAGAATATCAGATGCAATTAAAGAAATAGTATATGCAGCGGTTAAGGCCCCGAGATCATCCCACCAATAACGACTTTCCTTCTCTGCGATGCAATGCACAATATAGTACTTTTGCGACAATGCTCCCTCCTTTTGGACTATTTCACCACAGACCATCGGCCATGGGCACGTACGCGTGGTGTGAAGCTCGTATATAATCAAGTCCGCAGGGCTTGCCACTGTATATGTTATATGCAAGGTGTACGGAGTATGCACTGGTGATCTACCGTAGATAAATCGAATTTTCCGGGATTTGAATGAAGTTGACTGTTGACAGCTCACATTTTATGTCCCGTATGTTGAACATAGGGTAGATCATTGGATGATATAAGATGACCCATCTCCCTGGATAACGGCAACAGGGACTAATATCAACTTTATTTTGCTGCAAGAACATTAATTAGATAAATAGTCTCTGCGAGTGGCAATGAGTGATGTCACCGTAGCTTTATTATATGTACCTACATATTTTTCTATCAACCTCCCATACACTCCGTACCGGAGTACCACATGCATACTGCACATAGTCCCTGGAGTACCTCCATACGTACGGGGTAACATCCACCATGTAACAGGGCTGGTTTTGCATACGTACTTCCATACTCCGTAAATACAGAGTACATAGAACAACACTAGTAGCCCAGGTAGCGGACAATAGCCACGCTGACCTTTCCTTCCGGAGTCGTTTGCCGGGCATCTCTGGACTTCAAACTGGATTTAATTTCCCACCACTACTAATACTAGTAAATACTGTGCAGATTTATTCATGCAAATTGGTTCCGAAAAAGGAAAGGGCCTCACAGTCAGCCGCGAAGAACGCGGCGTCAACTGGTGATAACTTCGAATGTATGTATGTACTATAGTGCTATCAATATCATCCAAATTAAGAAGGGATATTGTTCCGAATATAAATTGTCTTCACATGGGCTTTCATCTTCAATCCCACAATACCGTTACAATGCAGTACAAATACATCAAGAGAACAATATCAAGCCGTCTGTTAATCAATTTTCAATTAACTAAGAAAACTTTATCCCACCCCCACTTGTCCCTGAGGAGTTCGTTTGACGGAGGATTTGTCTCAGTCAAAACAACGCTAGTCGCATCGGCCGACATGCTTTTTCTGGAAATTTATGGGTTCTCAACGGTGGATAATGGACGGAATATGGAAATCATCCGTGGTTCATCCCTGGTGAGTGATGAGATAGTGCCCGTTGAGATACGTGCAATTGGTCCGTTTCAGATCAGGAACCGCGCTGTTGGCGGTTACAGACTTTTCGGTTGATCGGATAACCCAAGAGAAAGGTACAGTGGGACAGCGATGTAGTGTTAGTATATGTATGTATGTACTCCGTAAGTATGGAAGTACATATGTACGTATATGTACATACAGTTGAGATGATCATGCTGTCTATCGACTCGCGCATTGAATGATGGTCCATACCTACATGTCCATATCGACATTGAGAAGTCAGACTTCACACCAGCCAAGAAATCCAAATACCTAGTGACCAGTTTGAATCACATGGGGGTTACAGAACTCGCTGTCCGACCAAGTTTTTCTCAATCACTAGTTCTGACACCATCTCCTTGCAACATTCCTAAAAAAGATACCTCACCTTATCCACAGCTCTTGCCACGTTGAGGAGCCCACCCCGACACATCTCGGCTGAACTACGGAGACCGATCCCCCCCCCTTCCAACGTTAACACACTCTACCATACCGAATGTGGGCAAGTACATACAGGCATCATCCAGTCCCAACCAACTGTGGCGGCAAGCTATTAAGTTTGTGACGCAGAATTGCCTTAGAGAAGATTTGTCACCGACTACTACCTAGTCAACCTTTCCACGAAACTGCCCAGACCAAGATCTTCATGGTTCAATGGTTCGTGCTAAAAAAAAAAAAATTTTTACTCTTAAAACCTAGGGAATTACCTCGATGTAACCTACCCTAGGCTTCCATTGAAACAGGACACTGAAAAAGTTAATTTGGGGAGAGCAAAAAGGTTGGTGGAGCTTGACAAATATGTTCTGCGGTATTTTTATGTGAAACAGGCTGGCTGAAAATACGCAATAGTTCAGTTGGTGTTGTTGATAATCCATCGAATCTCACATTTTGGACCCTAATTAGGTCCACGATCGGAGATCCGATCGTCCCGTTCATGGTTCATCGCCTTCCAGTCGGGGTTGGCATTTCTGTCCAAGCAGTTCGATAGATAATCGCTTAGTTAATATTAGGGGAGAACGACCCACATCGATCTGTGCCATATCAACGATGGCGACAGGGTACGCCGTCGTGTCGCCCATCTACAACGTCGTTCCCTCTCAAGCTTGACCATCTCAGGTCAAACCAATCGAGTTCCAATCAATTTTCTATCAATTAATTGTACAGTAGTGCTGGAGTGAGTCAACTCTACCATCTTCTGTGAACAAGCTCCTTCAATCTAGCATGATCATACCGAAGTGCAACTGGATGTTGAGAATGTGTACTAATGTTGAGTATAGGACGCATGTAAAGTTGAAATTCCAGGAATTCATATTGATCCCTGGCCTCTTGAGCAGCTTGTCTGTTGCCAAATGCATGCCGCCGAGTCCAAGGACAAGAGTACCATTTGCGACTAAGCTTGAAACAACGCAGGAAGCCAGGCCCCTTTGCGAATCAGGAATATGCAATCTGGTACAATTCTAAGGAGATCTGCTGTCGGCATTGATCCCGGTATATGTGTATGAATACGGCGAGGGCACTTCTAGGTGGAGGTGTTCCGCCTGTTCACCGATGGTAGTGTCCTGGCATAGCTTAAGTTTATACTAAGGGTCAAGACTCGTTCACGTCATCTCTCTAGGCTAGGACCCAGCGGTCGGGTTTCAAGGGCCAATACAGAGCCTCCTTGGATTCACGTACTGTCTCGTTCCTCATAGCAGTGGACAGTTTGCCGGCGTATATCATCCAGTCCCAATTTCGCAGCGTTGACTACATCGCTGTGTTGATCTCTACAGGCATCTCAGTTACGACGCATCCGCGCAAAGGGGCGAGCGAAACAAGGTTGGCACAAGCCCTGTCCTCATTTGCATGGGAACTTCAGTCCTCTGTTTGGTCTTAAAGCCATCTTGTGCAATCGTATCTTGCCAAACAGAAATGGACGTCCTCACTTGGTCAAAAGCCATCGAAGTCTGCTGATACCGGCTTCCCTGATTCCTTACGATCCAAGAATTAACTGTTTATATCATGCAGTGCTTCCATCCCACATCGTAATCGGGGATTGACCGTCCATTGATGTTGAAGGAAGATCCATGAAACTCCGAGGAGAAGTCAGGTGATTCCCAGAATGGCGTACGCCGGTCCAACACGTATGCAGGATCAGGATCGGTGGCATCCGCCGGAAGGGCCGGACCACCATCAACGGTGTATCTATGGGGAGGATGAATAATCACCTGTGGCAGAGAGGTATCTGCGGAAGGTCATCGACAAGTTTTTGAAGATAATTGAGAAAGAATCCTCCTGTTGCGTAGGGTCGTTGTATAATAATGTAAAGAGGATGTTTGCCAGGTTTGCAGGGTGTACACCGGCAGGTCCCGAATGGAAAGTCAGCTTAGATAAGCCATTGCCCAAAGCCGTTAGTCGCAGGGGAAAGTTTGTTCCCAACATCTCCGTTGTTGAAAGATAACAGAATCTCCCTGATCTTTCTCCAGCTCCCTTCTCCATCAATTGGACCTCCTGCCCTGCCCAGAATGTTGTTCCGCACTGCGTGGGCCCGTCAAGCCGCGCCTTTGAGGCGTCACGCTTTCACTCCCCTTGCCCGTCGTTCCGTCACCACCGACGCCGCCTCGTCGCATGCTGAGAACGTTCCGCAGGTTTGTTGAGCCCTTCGGAAAAGTCTCTGATACAGTGATGCTAACCCGCCGTGCGCTTACCACAGGAAGATGACAAGCCTTTCACTGTCCAGCTCTCCGATGAGAGCTTTGAGACCTATGAGATCGATCCCCCTCCCTACACCCTGGAGGTCACCAAGAAGGAGCTGAAGCAGATGTACCATGATATGGTCTCGACCAGGTATGCATGATCGCGGAATCCTTGATGCTTGGCGATCTGGATCTAACGTTTCGCTCTCGTGTTACTTTAGGCGCATGGAGATGGCCGCCGATCGTCTCTACAAGGAAAAGAAGATCAGAGGTTTCTGCCACTTGTCGACCGGCCAGGAAGCCGTCGCGACTGGTATCGAACACGCCATCACCCGTGACGACAAGATCATCACTGCCTACCGTTGTCACGGTTACGCTTACATGCGCGGTGGTACCATCCGGTCCATTATCGGAGAGTTGCTCGGTCGCCGTGAGGGTATCGCCTACGGAAAGGGCGGTTCCATGCACATGTTCGCTCCTAACTTCTACGGTGGTAACGGTATTGTCGGTGCTCAGGTCCCTGTTGGTGCTGGCCTTGCTTTCGCCCAGCAGTACAACGAGGAGCCTACTACTAGCATTGTCCTCTACGGTGACGGTGCTTCCAACCAGGGTCAGGTCTTTGAGGCCTTCAACATGGCCAAGCTCTGGAACCTTCCAGTTCTGTTCGGGTGTGAGAGTAAGTTCTCCTTGATTAAGGGGCAGTGAAAGTGAAGAGGTTCTGACCTGTCACAGACAACAAGTACGGTATGGGTACTTCCGCCGCTCGTTCCTCCGCCTTGACCGAGTACTACAAGCGTGGTCAGTACATCCCTGGTATCAAGGTTAACGGCATGGACGTCCTTGCCACCAAGGCTGCCGTTCAATACGCCAAGAACTATGCTGTCTCTGGCAACGGCCCTCTCGTGATGGAGTACGTCACCTACCGTTATGGAGGTCACTCCATGTCCGACCCCGGTACCACCTACCGTAGCCGTGAGGAGATCCAGCGCATGCGCAGCACCAACGACCCCATTGCCGGTCTCAAGCAGAAGATCCTTGACTGGAAGGTCATGACCGAGGATGAGCTCAAGGCTCTGGACAAGGCCGCTCGTGCCTTTGTTGACGAGGAGGTCGCCATCGCCGAGGCCATGCCCGTTCCTGACAACAGCACTCGTATCCTCTTTGAGGACATCTACGTCCGTGGCAGCGAGCCCCGGTGGATGAGGGGTCGCACCGTTGATGAGACCTTCTACTACTAAGTATGACGCGAGATGGCTTCTCATCGGGGGTGACAACGACGGAGGAAGTATAAAAACAATTAAATTGGCAGGCTCCTATGCAGCATTACCATGCACGTTTACTATGTAATTTAGCCGGGGATTTATATCTTTATTTTTGCATTATTCTCCTATAACGTTAGGAATATACTATTGGAGATTGTTCGAACATTAATGGTAAATAAATCAAGTCTCCTTCGTGTGTATGTAGACATTATCGGTGAAGTTTTCCGCACTGCAATATGACTTGGACAGGGATACGCTGTTCGCCAATGGGTATCATAGCAATAAGATCAAGCAACAAACCGAACGGGAAAAAAAAAAATATCACGCAGGCTCCTGTCGTAGCATTTCAAGAATCATCTCCTGCGTTCTCTGTACAGAATCCAACTTCTCTTCCAACGCCACTCGGTCCCTTTCCAGCTCTGACCGGAGCTCATCCCGCAACTCCTGCCGAAGTTCCTCCTTGAGCTGCTTGATGGCCGACGCCGGCAATGCTTTTACCTGCTTCTCGCCTTCGTTGGGGGTGGCTTCCTCTTGATGCGACGGCCTTGCACGACGCTGGGAGTCTGAGTTCGAGGCCAATGATGTGATTAAAGGCGATGACTGAGGTTCTGAGCTCACAGCATCTAAATGCTTGTTCAGTTTGCCTAGCGTTTCTATGACAGCACTCATCACGCCATTCTCCCCAGCTGAAGGGGGAGCAGACGTGGACGCTGGATGCTGGGACGGCCACCCAGCTGAATTGGCTGGTTGATTCGCAAACATGTTTTCAAATCCAGGAGGCAATCGGACTAGAGTAGGCGTAACAGTGGCAGCAGCAGCGGTGGCCGGGGCAGCTGGAGGAGGCAGCTGGCCTTGACTCTGGTTTCCACTGACTGCGGTACTATCCACTGCTGGACTGGACGTTTGTCTCCACCCGTTCGAACTGGGAGCATCCCACGCCGGTTCCCAAGACCTTTCTTTTCTCTTGCGAGACCGGCGCGAGTCGCGCTTCTCGATTCGCCGCGCCTCTGCCTCTTCCCAGCGCTGCCATGTCGGAATCCAGGCGTCGACAGCTGAACGCCATCGGGGATTCGATAGATCTTCATTCTCCGTGCCACCCTTCTCTCGCTGCTCCTCGAGAAACTTCATGCGCTGCTTCGTGACCAGCTCAACCTTCCGCCGCACCGAGTGCCACGAATACGGATGACCCTGATCGCGCGTGAACTCCGCCGTCACCGTCATCCACCACTTGCACAGATTACTGCGCTGCCCAAATTCCTCCGCATGCCGATTACAGATGTTGAACAACGACACCTCCTCCAGTGTTGTCAGCCGCTTGCCATGTTTGCGGGGCGTATCTCCTGCCATCCCGCTACTATCCAGGTCGTCGTCGCCCAACACCCGATCCATGATACTACTCCTCCCTGTAGACCCCATCACAGCCCCTCCGGTCGCTGTCGCAGCGCCAGCACCTCCCTCCCCTCCCCTCCTCGAGTCCTGCACACCCCCATGCGACGCCACATAATCCGTATCCCCCACCGCATCGCGCCCCCCGCTCGCCACATCCGACTGATCGTTATCGGAGCTCTCGATTGATTCCGCCGAAACCCGCGACTCAACCACCACAGAGACACCCGGCGCATGTTGCGGTGTATTAATCCTCGGCCCTGGACCAGCGATGGCCTTCCCGCCAGCCGCACCATTGCCAACGGCGGCAGCAGCCCCTCCTCCCGGTGCGGCGGTGGCACCCATCCTCAGATTCGTCGAGAGGGTCGGCAACGCACCGGGGGGCGCATTATGCGAGCGCGACATCATCGACGCCGGCCATCGTAGCTGCGACATGTACGACGGGGGATTGGGCGATTCGAGTCGACGGCCCGGCGTCGGCGTGGCTGCGTTGGCCGCTGCATGATGGTTCGGACCATGCCCATGCCAGGAATACATTGGGTCTCTTTTTTGGGGGGCGGATCTAAGAGATCCAAGTTCTGAGGTTGGAGGGCTTCTTTTTTTGGTGTGTGATGGGCGATTTTTCTTCCTTTTTTTTCCCCCCCCCCAGGTTGCTTCTTGGTTGTGGTGAGTCTGGCTTCTAGAGTGGGCGGCGTGGTATGTATTATGTATCGGTGGTGGAGTGAAAAAATGGACCGTTGCTTTGCAATTTTACCCACCTGATAAGTGATAAGCGGGTTTGTCTGGCCTGGTATTGTATTTTTCACCGAGGTTGAAATGTAATTGGCATACGTTGTCCATCCCATGACACATCAATATATATATAGTCTGGTCTAGAACTGGCGGGTCTATCAGCCTGTCACTCCCATTGGAATGCTCTACGATTTATTAGCCCGGAATTGGAGATCGAGGTTGCATTTACATTCACTTGATTGTACAGGGTGTGTGCGCTATCAGTCCAACACCAAACATGATTCTGTCCTCCCTCAGGGAACACAAGGTAGATCGATAGATAGATAGGGTACATCTATGAGAACGGACATATGCCAAATAACAAGAACAGACCAGATACCCAGTAATACATGACTGTGGAACATGCCCGCAGAACGTAAGAAGAAGAGAGAAGCCCAAGGAGAAAATACAATGATTATTACATGGTCGTTGCGTTGTCTACCGCCGTTTCAGGTACCAGGTGAAAGCGGCTGTACCGACGGGCTCACCGAACGGTGTCGGCACCTCTGAGAAGCCAGGACGAGCCACCGGATGGCGCAGGTAGACCGCTGCGCAGATGTTGTGGTTGACCTCGAGGTATCGGGGGATGAAGGCGAAAGCGCTCATGTAATCGCGAGGCCTCCAGGGGGTGGCGTAGGGCTTTGTGCTGTCGATGGGGTTGTCACGCATCTGGACGAGAGCCCGCTTGAGCACATCGAACTCCTCTTCTGTAAGTTCTGAGGTGTCAACTTCTTCCTCGGGGTTCTCGGCGGCCTGTCGGAAAGCCTCAGTTAAGGCCTCTCCGGGCTGGGATTCACTGGCAGTAGCAGATTCGGATGCGGACTCGGAAACGTTCTTGGTCTCGTCGGAAGACTGATCACGCTTCGAGCGCTTAGTGTCTTTATTCTCCGCAGGCTTGGCCTTGAGGAGAGTAATGAGCTCAGAGAATTGTGATTCCAGGTTGTCGGCGAGAACGGTGCTTGAATCGGAACGAGAGAGGACACGTTTGACGGCCTTCTGGAATCCACGCAGTTCCTGCTTGCGCTTCGCGGGGAGCACATCCTTACTGCCGGCCATAATATTCTTGGCCTGGGCCAGCAGGACCTTCAGAGTCTCTCGTGGGTCGTCGTTCTCCTTCTTTTGGCCCTGTTCCTCAGACTCGGCTTCCTTCTTCTCTCCCGACTCTTCCGTAGCAACCTCTTCCTTCGCCTCCGCTTCCGCTTCTTGCGACTCTGCCGACTTTTTCCGGGCAACACGTCCCTCTCGACGCTCGTGTTTATCTTTAGGGGCACCAGTTGCATACATGACACGCTCGGGGTCGACCTGGAAAAGATCGCCAGGGTTGAGGAGGTAACCGGGGTATCTCATCTGGGGAACCATAGGGTTAGTTCACTAGGCATCCAATCTCGATGTGAGAATAAAAGCATACCTGCTTCCCATTAACCGTCACCGCACCGTGAACAACAAACTGCCGAGCCTGTCTAGCACTGCTAGCAAACATAGCTCGGAAGATAGCCACATCCAATCGACGCTCCAGAGGAGCAAACGTCATCTGTGTAAAGGGTGTCAATCGAGGGAAATCCTTGGTACCCTCCACACCCGCTCCACGACCAGCGGACATCCCGGAGCCATCATCCTGGGCTAATCTAGCCGGGCTCATGGGCACGACGCTGCGAATGCGGCGGGAGAACATGCGCGCCCATTGGCTCTCGCGGACTTGTTCACCATGGTATGATCGGGCCATGGACTTGGCCGTCCATTTTTGTTGGAAAAATGTTTTGCTGCCGGTTGGGGGATTACGCAGGCGCTGCAGGTTGAATAGGTTATATTTGCTCCATGATTGTCGGATTTTCTAAACAGATTGGCATTAGCTGCTGTAAGAGTAAAAGGAAAGATATTTAAGACGACGAATCCACAAAGGGGAAGCTTACAGGCTTGCTCAACGGTGTAGTGGCCCTGTTCCTCATGATGGCGAGTCGTTTGAGCGTGACCTGGATACTATGTCCTGCTGTTCATCCAGCGATCTTGCGGCCAAAACTTCGCATGTGGCACGTGATAGTTTGCACATGACCTTGCAACTGGCATTGATGCCCTATTTATCAGGCACTACGAAGTCACCCAGATCAGCGGGCACCAATGGCTCATGATTGGATGGCAGGCTCTCGCTTGCCACTAGCGTCATTCACATGACCCCACCGGACTCTATAAGTTCATCGGATACCCGACACCCTTTTGAACTTTTTTCTTCTTTTTTTTCTTCATACTTACCTTGTTTGGGTGGCTGCGATCAAGAAGGCGGTCCACCACGGATTGGTCCCTGCATTGCACAGCGCGGCGGAACAATCCGTCCAACGGCCTTCGGGTCATTGGCAGGCGTATTCTTTGGCTCCTTTCCACTTGCTGGAATACCTATTCTCTTTTCATCATTTCTTCGCCTTGCGCGGGGGTATGGAGAAGAGGGACATGTAATCATGTATCTTAATGATCACTCTACCCGCAATTATTATCGTACTTTGATGTAATACCTCCATGGGCTCCTTCTCTTACCACATTTTATTTGTCTGGTATTACCTACCCATCATCCTCGCCACCTAGTCTGATTTAGCGACTTGATGAATGGACCATCGAAATACCACTGTTTAGTACCCGGCAATGTCGTTGTATCATTATTTGTCGTGATTCATTGTGTATATATATACATACATGCACATCTATTTGTGTACTGTTCTATTCGTGCTGCTTGCTACTTGGGAACGCTTCGAGCAGAGCCTCGGCCTCCTGAGGATTCACAGCGTCGTCCAAGATCTCGTGGGCCATCTCGACCGTCTCATCCTCGATTCCGGCCTCTAATATCGGTCCTTCACTGAACGCAAGTCGCGTCAGCACCACTAGAAATTTCTGTTTCCCGCCCGCCACTCGGCTGAGTTTCGACTGGAGATCGACGTGCGCTGGATGTCGTCGGATCACCCCGTACACTAGACGCATCAACCCATTTACTAACGCCGCGTGCAACTCCTTTTCGGGTGGTGATGAATACAAGGCATCTAGCTCGTCGTGCATGGCCCGGATTAACCGTGCTAGCGCCGTGGTGTGAGATGCAATGACCATGCTGCCATGAGTACTAGCGGGGGCCTCTTGATTGAAAGCCACCAATGTCAAAAGAGACAACGCTTCCAGCCGCATATCGCAAATCTCCGAAGCCCTGTAAGGGGGCTGTCCTTCGTCTACCTGTGGTGTCTCACTCAGAAGGTTCGCCACGCGATCAACGATGTAGTTTTCGTTTGCGATCTGGTCCTGCTCCGTGTCCTGAACAGAACCGAACGACTCGATGCGAATGCTGGTTGATAGGAGGTTTAGGGTTAGGATGATGTCGTTTATGGATTGCGAGCAATTTAACATCATCAGAATAAAGTCGTAGCGCATGTATCGCCAGAATTTCTCCAACACGCGATCGATATGTAAGCATGAGCAAGCCATTTGGTACAGGAGGCCCAGCGCCTCAGTCGAGTTTACAAGAGGCTGCAGCTCAGAAAATGGTGTCTGTCTGACCTGTCCAAAGTTTTGCCGCGAAACGGGAGAGTGTTTAAACCGGGGTATGCCGTTAACTTCACCCGATTCTTGTAATAGCGGTACTAGGTGCTCGATCAACTCAGAGGCAGATGATGGCGCACCCAGGGTAAATACATGCCGCATAATCCCCATGAAAATGGGCACAGGCTCGAAGAATTTTTCGCGCAAAGCACGAGACCATAATGAAATTATAGCCCCCGCGTATTCTAGCAAATAACTACCGATGTCCATGTTTGCCACTTCCTCCAATAAAATTGAGGACAGCGTTCGCTGGGGTTCTGATGGGAATGTTAATCTAGCCATCACTTCGATATCATTGTCTTCGTTGGGGAATGTTCGATGATTCAATAGGCGCTTAACCAAGTGCGAGTTTAGGTCGTCCACATGCGCGGTTCGGTTCGGTATGGTTTCATCTAATGCATCGTCCGACATGTCACCGACAGCAGTTTCGATATGCATAGGTTCCGGCTGTGGGCTTAATTGAAGTGGTATCGGGCTATCCTCGCTCAGCCTCCTCTTCCGTTTACCACCCACAGTCGGGCTCATTCGCTTGTACCGCGTGGATTTGCTGGGAGAGACAGCAAGGATTTCATCGTCATCGAATCCATCGCGGAAAGGCAGGGCTTTGTGTTTCTTTGGTGTTCCTGGAGCTGGCTTTTCCTCTACCCGGCCCTTCGCTTTCAGATTGCTGATCCGCATGGACTCCTCGGCAAGATCTTGCTTAAGAAATGCATTCTCCGTGGCTAGCATTTTGCCTTCCGCACGTGCGGCCTCTACTTCTTCCTTATGCCTAGCTACCTCCTCAGCCATCGCCTTCCGCAGGGCGGCAACCTGACGTTCATAGTTTTCTGTAAGTTTCGCTTGATTTGATCGGATGATGGCAATTTCCCCGGCTTTTGTTTCTGCCATAGATCTTGCCGCAGTCAGCTCTTCCGTCATTCGCTTATACCGTTCATCCTCCGCTGCCAGCTGTTGTCAAGAATTAGCTCTGTAGAAATGCAGATCAGGGATCTAATGATGTTACCTTATCATTTATCATGCCGTAAACTACATGGCTACGCCTAGTGTGCGACGTTTCCCCTTCTACCTCCATGGCCTTGGGATAAGCTTGTGCACCCTCCTCTTCCGGGTCAGCAACAACCTGGAAGGAGCCAGACTGCTCAGTAGGCACAGCTGGTTGATCCAGCCCATGCATTGATTCGGTCTCATCTTCTAGAACCGCTGCGTCCAATTCCCCTACATCCAAAGCGCCGTAATCGCTGGTCAATCCCGTGTGCAAATGCACAGGCGGTTGTAAGGAAACATTAGGAGTAAAGGTTTGCTCGGAAGCTGCCGCTTGAAAATCATGACTAGCAAAGGCTCGAGAGGGCTGACCTATTGCCGCTATAGTCTGAGGCTGAGTCTGTGAAGCCTGGTTTGCTAAGACCGCGTTCTGTTCCAGCTGGAATAATGTGCCCGGTGGCAGATCGTCGAAGCCATCATCGGAGAAGAAATCATCATCGTTTTCTTCCATGCCCTAAGACGCACGATCGCCATGAATGAGAGAATGAAAGGCGAAAATGGCGAATGGGTGAAGGAATGACTGCGGTAGATAATGGAGATTTGGTTGTTGGGGTTGTAAGCAAAAAAGTAGGGGGAAATAACGCTTGACGTAGTAGCCCGTCAAAGTCACCTGCGGCCACGGGACCTCATCTCCCTCTCTTCTTCCTACTCGTCCTCTTCTCCGCTCCCTCAATATCAACCCTGCGATTTGGACCGCAGTCAATGAAATATTGACGAAGAATTGCTTGTTGAGTCCTCCCCAGCGGCGTCTCGACCTCGGGTTTTTCTGTCCGTGCATCCGCCGACCGCAGTCGGTCGCTATTTCACATGAAATTTTAATCTAGTAACGACGATCACCTGTGCTCACTCTCTTCTCTCTTCCCCTTCTCACTCCCTTTCTCCTCTTCGCCCTCCCCTGTCATACCTTTCCTTGTCGGCCCCATCCCGACCCCAGTTCCCCTTAGGATTTTCTTCTAGACTTTCCCCTCCTTCCCCACGCATACCGCTTAGCTACTGCGCCATCCGTTTCTCCCCTCGGCTCAGTACACCATGTCCAAAACACGTCGGAACGTCAGGTTCCCACACCGGGCGTCAGAAACCCGTCGGTTAAGTATCTCAGATGCCAGCGATGTCGCTTCTGAACCCGGAAGTCCGTCAAAGAATGGCAGCGTGTCTAAGCCAGAGACAATCGTCGAAGAGGTGGGCGGCCCGAATTGCTCAATGTTGCTAGGAGACTAACAGAAAACACCGCCAGAAACCCGAACAGCCGCAGATGTCCGATTACGAGAAAAAGAAGCAGACCTTCATTACTCGCACAATATGGACCTTCGTGATGATCTTTGGTTTCTTTATTGCCATGTTCTCAGGCCACATCTACATAATTGGCATCGTTACCGCCGTTCAAATCATCTCATTCAAGGAAGTTATCGCTATTGCCAATGTGCCGAGCAAAGAGAAGAATCTCCGTTTCACTAAATCGTTGAATTGGTATTTCCTAGCCACAACCATGTACTTTTTGTACGGCGAAAGTGTCATCTACTATTTTAAGCACGTCCTGTTAGTCGACAAGGTGTTACTGCCTCTCGCGACTCACCACAGGTTTATCAGCTTTACGCTTTACGTCATGGGTCAGTTGCTTTCCCTGTTCCAGAATATTTGAAGACAAACATTCAAGATCCTAATGAGAGAATGTAGGATTTGTCTTCTTTGTTGCATCTTTACAAAAGGGACACTACCGGTTCCAATTTACACAGTTCGCTTGGACTCACATGGCACTTTACCTGATCGTCGTACAGGCGCACTTTGTTATGAACAACATCTTGGAGGGAATGATATGGTTTTTCCTCCCAGCGTCGCTGGTCATCACCAACGATATCTTTGCCTACGTTTGCGGAATCACGTTTGGCCGGACCCAACTCATCCAACTGTCTCCCAAGAAGACAGTCGAGGGGTTCCTCGGTGCTTGGATTTGCACCATAATCTTCGGCTACTTCATGACCAATGTCCTAATGCGCTACAAGTACTTCATCTGTCCGGTAAATGATCTCGGATCCAATGTGCTGACGGGGTTGGAATGTACACCAAACCCGGCTTTTATGCCCCAACCGTACCAAGTTCCGGAGTGGACCGGAGTGGACAAGTCCTTTTACATCGAGCCCATACAATTCCATATTTTGATCTTCGCTACGTTCGCCTCCCTAATCGCTCCTTTCGGTGGCTTCTTCGCTTCTGGGCTTAAGCGAACCTTCAAAATAAAAGATTTTGGCGAATCGATCCCGGGCCATGGCGGTATCACCGATCGGATGGACTGCCAGTTCATCATGGGCTTCTTTGCGTATATGTATTACCATAGCTTTATTGCCGTGTACAAAGCTACCGTTGGAGATGTCATTGAGACGGCTATCAATGGCCTGACAGTCGAAGAGCAATTAGAGGTGGTCCGAGGATTGGGCAAGTATCTGTACAACCAGGGCACTGTTTCTGAGACGGTCAGTATACTCTCCAAAATCCTTTTTTTCTACTTACCATATATCAAATAACTAACGGCATGTAGATTTTGGAGTGTCTGAACACTGAGCTCAAGCGCCGGTGAAGAACGTTCGATAATGACCCATGCCATTTCCATTCTGCCTTTCAGTGACGAAACCCAACCTCATCCCGACTTGCTCTAAAATTTCGGAATTTAAAGTAGCGGCTCATGTTTTAGAATACCATTTTAATCGGTCGTTATTCGACATCACTAGAGCCCTTTAACGAGCTTCAAACGAAACTTCATTCTCAACGGTGGCTACCGAACGTCTGTCATACCTTACGCTTGTTCTCTCTTCTTGCCTTCACATTGGGTCATTGTTGTATAGTGTCGGGAAATTACGGCCAGAAGGTTAGGTTCATGTCTAGGTACACGTCCGAAAGGGGATATTGTATTTTTTTTTTTTTTCCTTTCCGTATCATATTCTGATATGTCAAGCCGCCATTGTCTGACGGAACGAAACGGGCGTCTAAATGGGCAATGTAAAGTCCTTCATATATAGGAAATATACCTTGATCAATTACTGGGTTATGCACATCGGCGGTACTTGCTGTGCCGATTTACTCAAGTCCCTAAATAGTATTCTATGAATAGATGACTTAGATATATATACTATTCTGAACAGTGCCTTCTCACTGTGCAATAGTGGACAGACTCCATGGAATATCCGATGCACACTGGTATCGAAATCGTTGGGTCATATCATTGTAGTGTCAATCGCTCTGCTTTTCCCATCCGGACTTCCCTGGCATTCAGCGCGACGGGTATGCTTTGCCTCTTGCATATTTGGCCTAGCTTCAGATGGTATCCTTCTATTTGGTGCCACTCTTCCACCTCTCAAAATCAAGGGAGAGGCCGGCGTACTTTTGTTCGATGTCAGTAACTGTCGCAAAAGTAGCGGGCGAATCGATAGAATCAGACGCGCAAATTGCGGGCTGTTCTGCACTAGTCGCAGTATGGTAGCCGTATGGGGTAATATAGCTATGATGAAGGGACTGGACAGCTCATTCTTCCACTTCGTATTCTTCCATTTCGACCTTGAAATACTCGGAAACACGCGCCTTCTCTGCATCTGCACACTCGGTGTCGAGCATAAAGCGTACGGCTCCATCCCGGCCTTTCTCGCCAGCTCTGGGTCTTTCTCCATTGGCAGCGACAGGTGTAAGCGGATGCAGCCTGGTGCCTGCTTTCTCCAGGGCGGGCTCCTTGCCGCTCTTTGCGCCATTGGTAGCTTTGGGGTCTCTCGACTCATTGACCCAGTGTGTATAACGAGGGAGTCCTTGAGTTTCTGCCTCTTTGTTCAATGGAATACGGACTGTGAGGAATCGATCGGCTGGGAAATGAGGGCCGACTGAGGTGGAGCCACGACTGTGGGTATACAGCTCCAGTAGGTCAAAGAGGGTTTCTGATACGATGAGCAAATGCCTTAGTGTAGGGTATTTGCGAGGAGCACTTACCCATTACTTCCTCCCGGCTGGTTTTCCACTTCTCATAATCTAGTCCCATTTCGACCGCCTCAATGCGCTGGTCCAGCAGACGACCTGCCAGTTCTAGACAGGTAAAAGCCATAGTTGAGGCAGTCTGCTTGATTGGAGCAAAAGTACGATAGAGGTCCTGCGATATGCGATATGCCACATTGGATACCTGCGACTGCGACGTAAGGCCATAATGCCTAGCAAGCTTGATCAGGGTTTTCTGCGGGTGACGCGTCCGAAAATCAAAGCCTGACGCCTCGAGCATGAGCCTCTCCAATCCGATGATGCCTCTGGCATGTGCTTCAAAGACCTAAAAAGCGTTAGCGAGGGATCAAGTGCAAGGCAAATGTAAAACATACCGGATTGTCGGGAGATATATGTTCTGAAGGTGGTAATTTGAGATTATATGCTGCACATACGATCTCCCGGGACTTTTTCAATGTGTCCTCAATCTTGCAGGCTGTAAACAATGCAGCCGCAGCAGCATCCTAGACGGTCAGATGATTTTACCTGGATAGGTGGGTAAGGGGGGTATCTACCATATAATTATACTCGCTGTCAGGATGAACGAGCCGAAACTTGTGATAATACACCACAGCCGTATTAAAGGTACGGATAGGTCTAATCCGTTAGCATATTCTCTTTTTCTAAAGAGTACGTTGCTGTTTCTTTTTGGGGGTGACGAATAATGAGTAGACCAAGCAGGCACTGCTAGATACGTACAAATATAACACTCGGCGAACATTATCGATCCACGTCACTCCCTGCAGGCGCAGTCCCTCCTCGCGTAGGGGATTGACGCCCATAGCCGCAATACATTGTTGAATAGTCTGCTCGAAGATGTACGGCTTGGCTACTTGGATGAAAGAGGGATGAATGGAAGGCGGCTCCGGTATGCTTGTCTCCGGCGCGGCCTGATTGTTCGAGCCATCCTTCTTCTCCGGCACCATACTTGCGAATGGTACTAGAACTCTCCGAACAACCAGACGATGATGTTCGAAAGGATGAGATCCAGATCGCCTTGGGATGGAGGAGCGTGATTGGCGACAACCTCGAGTCACGTGTGATACACGGGATATTGTTGTTCCGCTGGCCTATCAGAAACATCAGAATAAAAGTTATAGATCCTCGAGGTCATCGATGGACAGGTTCAATTAAAGAGGCGTGGATGGGGTGGAAGATTATTAAGTGGAGTAATTTGCATTGTGTGGTTCCTGGGATTCTGGTTGTTGATCTGGGTCGCAGGTGAATAACAGTCATCTCACTGGTGCGACTGAATGTGTATATATTTCCTACGAAGTATAATAGTAACCAGTATATGACTTAGTTTCCTCCATAATTCCTCATGGCTGTAAGCCAAACAGATCTCATGGCACCCCCTTTCCTTCACGGGTGGCTTTTGCCAACTCACTCTGGGCCACATTGTCCGCATACCGCTTATAGACAGGGAGGTAGTACTCCTTCTCACTCGTAGTTTCTCTCACACTTCTCCTATCCTCTACAGCTTTCAGCCACTTCCTCCACCGCTGCCAAAGAGGCTCATCCTCCCCTCCATTGCCTTCCGCCGGGATGCCAAGCCCACCTGATTTGTATTCATCAAAGACCCACAGCCGTACCGCCCATGGGGCGAGTACCAGATCTGGGAGTGCAATATGATCTCCTAAGAAAAATGGTCCGTCGGCATGCATTTCCCTAGTCCATTCCTTGAGATGACCCAGGAATTCCTGTCTGACTCTCTCCAAGCCAGCCGTTGGGTCTTCACCTCCCGACTTGGGCTGGTATTGGAGAAATCGGTGGAAAGACGGGATAATCCGCGAGGTAACATAATCAATCCAGATGCGTACTCGGGCTCTGTCGTAGGGGTCTGCCGGGAGGAGCCGTGGAGAGTTATCTGGGTAGGCCTCCTCGAGGTACTCAAGAATAACTGTGGATTCATACAGGGGCTTGGCTGTCTGAGCGCCCCCATCTTTAACCACACATGATAATGTCGGAACCAGACCGCGCGGGTTCAGTGAGAGAAGCGACTGTGGCTTGTGGTAAGGATTGACTTCGATGTACTGGTAAGGGATTTGTTTCTCCTCTAGTGCGAGCCAGACCCGTTGGACTTGAAGAGGTTAGCCAAGATGCAAGGACTAATTATGTCGTGCGGATTGGAAAAGCCACAGGCGAGACATACCAAAGCTGTCGTTCAGGTCAGTAAACTTGCCTATCGTACAGATCCGTAGACACTGGATGATACTAAAACACACTTACGGACAGAACCACCCGGCATACAGCTTTAATGGCTGCTCCGCACGGTGATTTTCGACCAACAATTTGGCTGCCCCCGTTGCTTCAGGGTGAACTGCTGCATCTGGATGGGGGGACATGTTGAAAAATCTACAGGTACTGCTGCTGCGATTAAATGGAAGTTGGAAGATACGGGGGATTCTTGAGTTCTACTAAACAGATAGCGTTCCCATAAATACTACTTTATTAGTTACTTCACCATGCTGAGTCAGTATGTATGATGGTGTCATCGGATTGCAGGATTATTAATTCTCTCGGGACAACGCCAATACTACATGTAGATCTATCTAGTAGAGAACGACGGCATGCGGAACCAAAATCTGCCACGCCAAAACCCCAAGCAGCTGTTCAGACTAAGTACCATACTTTCTGATCAAATTTTGCATAATTGATACTGCTCCCGATCGATACCCAGCCCCGAAGATGGCGTAATGATTTAGATGGTGATATCTGACCCGGTTAGAGATCTTGTGGGTTGGATGAGCGGGGGAAAGAATAAAACCTACAGCTCGTACAGCTTCACCCGGTCTTCATACTCCTCCACCGGCTCAGTCTTAGGGACAATCTTATGGTAGGCAGTGAAAAATGTCGACCCAAAGCCTCCAAACATCTTCATGATCCCTAGCTCATACTCACTATGCGCATAGCATGCCGATGGATCGTATACAACGTCACCCGCCTCTTCATCTCCCTTACGCCCACTCCCTACGATCCTTCCACGGTCTGCATTGCCGCTCCAAAGATCCCCATGAACAACCACAGGTGTAACACCTTCTCCATTTCCATTCTTGTTGTAGCCTAGGTGATCATCCCCTAGAAGGGCAGGTACAACCGTGTGCGCCGTCTGCTCCACTAGACCGCGCAGGTTGGCGTCTCGGCCATTGCGCTTCTCCGAGGTTTCGAGAATCGTCATCAAGCGTTCATTGGCGTAGAAGTCTGCCCATGAATCATGAAATCGATTGGGTTGCTTAGTATCACCACAGAAGGTCGGAACAGGGAATCCGAACCGACGTTTCCCCGTCTCAGGATCTAGCGGGGCTGGAGTCGAATGAAGCTTTCCTAGTCTCTGAGCCAGAGATTGGCCTGTCCGGCCACCACCCCCCAGGTCCAGGAATTCAGTCGCGAGGTAGAAGCTCTTTCCATTGCTTTCTTCTAGCGATCCCCAAGCTAGAGCGCGGGGACAAAATCCTGGTACAGAGGTCGCGATAGCATTCAAGGATTCATATTCCCCTCGGAACATCTCCTCGGCAGCTTTACCATCTGCGGATGTTTTGACAAAGTACTGTCTCTCTTCTTCATATTGTCCGTCTGTAGATGGAACCGTTGCTCGAATGGCTCCTGTACTGGTGAAACCCGTCCCCAAACCAGCGGTGGACAAGCTTGCTTTGGAGGGATCGGAGATGGAGAGAGCACGCAACAGCGACGCGGGGACTGGAGCCATAGAGCTTAGTTCGTAAGAAGATGCTGTGTAAGTCAACCCGGGAGATAAAGGAGGACAGGAATTGATGGCGTTATGTACCTGAACGCTTGCCAGGGGATTGATTCGCCGGAAATGCTTTATACCACGGCCGTTCTGATGACGTATCCGGTCAGGCCCCACTTCTTATCTTATCGATAAGATAAAACAGGTACATGGTAGAACATAGTATGTACTCCGTACTCCATACTCCATACATACCTATGTACATCGATAGTAGTACTTCGTCCAAATCGGACACTCACTCATAAGAATGGACGATATTCCCAGGATAGACAAAACCTCAAAACGTTTCCCGGTCATCAAGGAAGGAAGAAAAGTAGGAAGAAGAGGAAGCCGAAGGAAAGAAGAATTTGTTTGCATAAGCCAACATGTACATTTTATCATAATCCTTTCAATGCCTTTATACAATCATCCCAACGCCTGCCATAGTTCATGGAGCTGTGCATGTCCATGTAGCATGAAAACGTGCAATAAAGAGATCATAATTTAGCCGAAGATGGCCCAAACAAGCCCAGAAAGGAAAGTCAAATACGGTAGAAGGTGATAACCGTTAGGCCTGGGTCAAGGTTCTTACCAGATGTACGGCTGTTTTGGTTCGCTCTCGGACATCAAGATCTGGATCCTCTTCTAAGCGCTTCAACCGGTCCATCACCCCAACCGAGAGCAGTTTGTATGCTCGCTCACGGCAGCCGTCTCGATCACTCGAGTCATCCTCATATGTAAGATTGATCACTACCCACACGCAATTCGTCCGCACATCCCGGTTGGCGTGCTCGAAGTACCCCATGAGATAACGTAAGAGATCACGGTGCGAGACCAAAAGTTGGCGGTGCCATGGGAGGCTAGCAGCGAGGTGGATGATCACATACGTAACTGCTACCAGGATCTCTGTCGGAACTTGTAGAGCTCTGTGGGTCGACGATTCTCGTTTATGTGGCATTTGGATGGTACGAGGCCGTAGTTTATCCGCCAGTGCATCCAAGATCAAATCCTGCCCGATCTCCTTGAACAAGTGATCAATCATCTCGGATGCACCCGGGCCACAAACAAGATTACGCAAGAGATCAAAGGTCTGTTCCTGTACGGCAATATCATCTTGGCGTGCTTGAGTGGTTTGGTCGAGGTCCCCATGTAGTGCAAGCTTGCGACGCCGGCTAACATCGGGGAGGAACATCTCTAAGCTCATCTTAGATGGTGGTAAGGAATCGGCCATTTTCATATCCTCATCGCGTTCCTGTGTGTCCTCGACGGGATTCAACAGATCAACTTGTTCCCCTGCGGAGTTGGCTCGACTCATGCCCGTTGAATTGCCGCTTTCCATCTCATCATCCATCCCTCGTTTAGCTAGAGCACTAGTTGGGTCTTGCGTTATGATTTGCTGGATCCACGTAGGTCCCAAGCCGTTAATGACCTTCATCTTGACATCATTGGTTGAGTTATAGGCCACATGCTTCAACGCCCAAAGCGACTCAATCCGGAGCTTTGTATTCGTAGAATGTGCATGCTCACATAATGTTGGAAGTATTTCCGCGGATATAATTGCCTGAGAAGCGTTAGTGCAACCTCCGCGCACTGAGCTAGTGTAAAAACCTACCTCCTTCATTGGGCTAAAGTCCAGCGCAAGATTACATATAACTGACGTTGCCGCAATCTGAACTTCAATATCCTGGTGACGAATCAAGGCAAATAAAGGAGTTGCTACCCCGGCATCAATCAAACTGGTTCTTAATACGCTAACTGAGCGAGTGAGCATCCGGGCAGCACCACAAGCTGCTAGCAGGGTGGGCGTAGGATTGCCGTCAGCAGCGGTGTTTTTCGGATTAGATGTGTCTCGAGGATCGTTCGGACATGGTTTGAGCGAATCGATGATATAGGGGACTACCCCATTGTCACAGATAGTCTTGCGGTATTCATCTTTGAAAGGGACCAGAGCAGCCAAAGCCTTAAGGATGTTCTCCCGGTATCGCATGACATGACAATGAATGGGAGAATATCCTGGAGGACCTAGCGTACACTCTGCTAATTGTGTGCAACTAGTCTCAGTCTTTTCCCCGCCATCGACATGCCACATCGGTCTAGCGTTCTCTTGAATTGGATTATAAGTTTCCTTCAGGAGTTGAGACAGTCGTTTGATAGCACCTCCATCGACTGCATGCTTCTGCAGCTCTTGATCGTCGATCACCAGGGTAGCAAGCACCGCCGGGGCTTCCTCTTTCAGACGGTCAGTGGACAGAATCAGTCCTCCATACTGGACGCCATCATCGCCAGTTATCTCATAGTCCTTATCGAGCATCCGGATAAGAATTGGAATCAACAAGTAACAAAGCATGGAGACTCGAAGCTTCTTCGTTAGACCAAGACGGTATAGAACTGTGACCAGACGTGCAGCCATCAGCCGCACCATGCCACACTCGGCACGGATAGTATATAGAAGCCAAGGAACGATAGCATTCTCATCATCATCAGAGTTCGGCGCCTCCAAGATCGAGAAGGGGGTTGGGAATGAATGGCTTTGCCGGCGTTGAGGTCCATGTGGCTGACCAAGAGGTGGAAAGTTGGTAGCACTAGCAGAAGCCTTTCCTTGAGACAGTGGAACAGATGGTAGGAGATGCTCGAGGGGACTGGGTCCGAGGTGGCGTGGCACAGCTGAACCCGAAAAATATGTCGATCCCCATGGGCCTGTCTTGATATCAGAAGGGGCAAATCCAGGCACCTGCTTGGGGAAAACAGTCACTATGCCAGGCGATGAGAGAAAGTGCTCCGCACGCCATTTAGAATGTTCAATAATGACCGTGGTAGCACGAAGGATCGGAGCCAGTTTGGCACTTGGGGGTGCAGGAGGAGGTAGAGAACCAAGAGCGCCGGACTCCTGCACATGTGCTTCCGCACCTGGAAGTACAAAGCCTTGAGCAACGACGAACGATGCCACCTTCACGGCCAGCGCATCCAACACGCCACAGTCAGCCAGGATTGCCTTGTGAGCTTCCTCTGTGCAAAGCTTTCCGATAAGGGCCGCAGCAAGTTCAATGGATGCCTGCGCTTGATATGTCCCATAGTCCTGCCCGAGAATGTGTGACAGACAGCTAATATGTTCGTCTGAGAAGAGCAGATCGGCTAAGCGTGTATCCTTCGGCCATTGTTGTTGGCTTTGCAGTGGTAGCCGATCCGCGATGTTATTCAGGGTTCGCAGTATGGGGAGAACGAAAGATTGAGGGCAGTCGGGAGATGATAACATAGACAGGAGGATCGAGAGGATGCCGCTAGAAAGGATAGGGGAAAGGAAAGCTGCACCGCCTGATTGAGAATGGTTATCAGTCCCTGAGCCAGTGCGACGGACAGAACTCCCACTTTGAGTGAAATACCTTGTGCTATACTACCCAGTACTATAATTGCCTGTAGGCACGTCTCATCCTCCTCCGAATTGTGACTCGATGACTGTTGGCTTTTGGTCGGCCCATTGAGCTCGGTGTTCTTTCCGCTAGTCTGCCTGGAGGCAAGGACCTTGGCTAGTATAGGGATTATACCCCACCGGATCCAGGCTTCTTTGCGTTGATCATGGCCAATTGTCTCATTTTTGAGGGTTCGAAGCGCCGAAGCCTGTGAGGTTAACGAATCTGCGCTTTGAAGTTCTAGAAGTATCGGAGGTGTTGAAGCGCGAGTCATGGTCAGAACGCCGCCTCCCGCGGGAGGATGTCTATCAGACCGCTTTGGTAAATAAGAGAGTTGAGTAGTGAATAAATAGAATTAGGATACGGCAGTAGTCCGAAGGGTTTAAGAGGGGGAGGTGGATAGATGTTGCCGAAAGAAAGTGTTGATGTAGGGGTGGGGTTTTGTACAAGTAGCAAGGTAAGTCGTAGCCGGCGATGATATACGAATGAATGGCGTCTAATGAGCAGCCAAGTACATACAGTACCTAGCGTATGGAGGAATCGTTATGTACTATTATTGTAATATAACGCAAGATGAGCTAGGCGAAGTCTATGGAAACAGACAATGAAGAGAGAATAAAGCGATGTATAACGGTACACCTTCGACACCAATTCAGAGAAGCTGACACCCGACCGATTTCCTTCTATGAGCAGAAGGTGTTGCTGAGAGCTTCCTTAAGGTTAGCGTTACCTTTACCGGAGTACAACATTACAGAAAGTAATGCCGATACCGTCGAGGTCACCGCTTTCGGTGCCCGCGGTCATGTGATATCACTCGTCCATGCGGGATTTCAGTTTTCCCGAATCCCGGAAATGGGCCAATGTCAGCGTAATCATGTGATTCAGCCTTACGGATGGGCTTGTTCAGCAGCCTTACTGACAGGCGGGCTGGTCGAAAGGGTTTCAGTCTCACTTCTACTTAGGATTACCCCAGGAGTGTTCACTGAGAGGCCAAACCCCTGCACTTGACCACTTACCCGGCCCTGGTCTGAGGGGCATTATAGGCAAGGTCTCAGTATATTGCAGAGATAGATGCGAACCTGCAGGTTTGGGGGCGGGTGGTCGCTCCTATAGTAGCATAAGATTCCTCGATCTACTCGTGGCACTTGACCCACGGAAATGGCATGGATGCGATGTCTTTATACGAGGATCAACCATCCCAAGCTCTCCTAATGTTTTACGGAGTACGGAGTACAAACGTACGGGGTTCGTCGGGTAGAAATCCGGTGTCCATTTCTCTACCCCTTGGCGCTTTACCCTTATTGAATAGATTTTCTTGTGGTACTGTACAATGCATGACAGCCATGACCCATCGCCTGTCCGAGAACTCAATTGTAACGGGACGGTAACGTTCCTTATCCGTCTTGGATTCTAGCCCCTGTTGAAGACCTCCGATTGGATAATTGTAAAGAAATTTATTGTGTCTGTGACATATTCCTTGATTTTTGCCTGAACAATTTCTGCAGCTTTACCTGTATTGTGGGCGAGGAATTTTTTTTTTCCCTTTTTTCTTTTTTTAATTACCTAAAAATCCTTCCCCCATAATTCTTTTCCCCCTCTTCCCATCTTCTCCTTTCCTTGGAACAATTTCTATTGTTATAATAGGTGTTCCTCATCGCTTCCCATATTCAGCTTCTTCTATAGAGCTGAAGCCCCGCAGATCACGATGCGCCAGGGCACGCGGCCATTCTTAGCAGCAGCAGCACAAGGTTTCGCAGCGTCTGCCAACCCCATTGCACGTCGTTCAGTCGTGCGCCCACGTGGTGGTATCGTTGGGCGGAGATGCTAGTTTCATCGCCCTCGCCCTCCTCCGCCCTTCGCCCTTCACCCTCCTCTCCTCCCACTCGCCCTCACCCCTCTCTCTCGTCTCCTCCTCTTTCTCGTCACTCGTCGACGACGACTTCACATAACCAGCATTATGAGCCTGTTGGTAACCCGACAGCTGCGCCCGGTAGTCATCTCTCTCCTCATTCTTCCCGTGTGGCCATCGAAGAGCTTCGTTCGGCTCTAAACCGACACACCGTTGCCTCGTCCCCTCCGGGGCCCTCAGGGGATCTCCCTCGCGGTCGCATGTCCGCTGGGCTGACCTCCCTTGGGGGCGGAAACAGCACTGCCGCGTCTACCGCTGAAAGCGCCGCCGCCGCAGCCGCCGCCGCCGCCAATATCAACACAAACCCTTCAAGCGCCCCTTGTTATACCCACAATAACGGCCCTCCTGCTGTAAATCAAGCTCAGGCCTCCGCCCCGGCTCCCACACAACCTCCCGCGGCCACCTCAATGCCCGCGCCAAATAGCAACGGCGCAGGGTCTAATAAGCGCAACAGCCCGAACGACCCTGTCGCTAATGGTGGACTTGCAAGCGGGATAGGGAGCACAGATTTGGAGGGCACGCAATCAAAGCGGCTGCGTCCTTCCAATCCCACAGTCAAGTTGCTGCCGACTCAATATGAACTCGCCGATCCTCGGGATATCGTTGTGCTAATCTCTAGCATGCTGATGGAACTTATTCGGTTCAATGACAAAATTCCGCTCCATCAAGGTCGGCTGACTCGTTTTCACTCCCGATCTCCTCCGCGGATTTCCGTCAATGACTATCTGCAGCGATTGACCACTCATGCCACACTTTCCCCTCCGATCTTGTTGAGCATGGTGTATTATATCGACCGCCTTTGCGCTCTTTACCCAGCCTTTACTGTCTCTAGTCTCACTATTCACCGATTCCTCATTGCTAGTGCAACAGTTGCGAGCAAAGGGCTGAGTGATAGCTTCTGGACGAACAAGACCTATGCTCGGGTGGGCGGTATCAGTATGACGGAGTTGGCTCTTCTTGAGTTAGAATTTCTATTCCGTGTAGAGTGGCGCATTGTCCCTCAGCCGGAAGTGCTTGAGGACTACTACCAGAGTCTAGTTGAAAGATGTGAAGGATATGAGATCCTACGCGAACCTTGAAGGAGCCGGTTCCATTTCAACATATGCCTTCTACTTACCATTTGTTCGACCTAGATGGGGTTTGAGATTACTTGCATAGCATGCAGCAGCGTTATTCACCGATTTAAAATTCTACGAAGGGGATCAGCAATATCCCCTATTGTCTTAGTACATATCACGTTAAAAGAAAGGTACAGACAGATGACTGTGCTAATACATAACTCAACTGTGGTGGACGATTAGTTTTATTCATGTTCTTGGTTCATTTATTTCTGTTCTTTCATTGCATATTTTTTTCTTTTGCCATGTTTGCAGGCTGTATGTCGAGCTATATTGGTGTTATTGTGACCGGCGTCAAGGAAGTACCTACTATAGCACTGTACCTACCCTGAAACGATGTATGCATACGATTACTAGTTGATGGTGCAATCAACGTAGTGATTTAATCCAATCAAGAGCGAATTGATTAATCCAAAGACTATAAAAATGATGACGTTGGTCCTTGCCTCAGGTATCCACTGGCTAGTCTTGAAACAGCAGAAAGTAGGGCTTAGGTCATAGGGTACAGGGTTGCTGAGATCCATGGAAACATGTCGATCTCGAGTCCTCTATCAATCCTTCCCTCGATGGAACCCCGGGGTTCAGAAGCAATGCAATTTCCGCCGTTGCAAGGCCAAAGAAATGCTGTGAACGAAATTTGTTAGCTCCCACACATTGTTCTTCTCTGAGCTCCCCGAGCTTTCTGTCACTTAGCAGATCGATACCCCGCGATTCAAGTAGTCATTTCAGAACATGTACGACTCAATGGATGTACAGGAGCTACTTCGCGGCGTAGAGCCACTTTCAGGGCAGGTTATCCCTGTTAAAACTGTTCAAGAGGCGCGGCCACGTGAAGAATTTGGTGCGTTCCCCCACTACTAGGGTGGAAACTGTTGGCGCAATTAACAATTCCCAGCGGATGCATATGTAGTAGAGGTCGGTGTGAAAAGTGCTTCGAAAGTGATAAAGTGAGCTTTGTTTTTGGCTCGACTACTATTTGGGCAGTGCACTGACCAGTAACAACTAGGGCTTTGGATAGTGCCTTTCCTCGCGACCCTTCTCGTCCTCTGAACCACCTTCGACGCTTCGCAAAGCACACCCAACTGCCAGATGACCTACGATCTACCCTTATAAAGGGAGAACCATCGACGCAGACCATTTTCACTCTAATTCCACCTCCCTTACCTGAAGCAGAAATACTTGAGAAGCTATTGGCTCCGTTTGCGCCACCATCTGAAACCCCATCCGAGTCGTCTCAGGACGTAGGGAAGGTTGAACTCCAGATTATTCGTATCCCACTGGAGCCACCCTTGACGGTTGCACAAGCTGAGAATTGGACCAAAACCATGTGGCCCGTCACCTTTAACCCTGCAGCCCCCAGAGCTACTATTGCGCCACCCCTTCAAACCTTGAACCGTGTCCTCAACTCCATCAAGCCCAAGGCAGGCCGTTATTTAGCCCTGGCGCGCAAGGTCGCCGATGAAGCAGAGAATTCTGGACACGGACGAAGGGTTGGCGCAGTGGTTGTCGATCCAGAACTCGAGGCTCACATTGGTGCGATCGACGAGGATGTAGGAACCCATTGGGCCGATGCGATTGTGGCTGTTGCCGGTGACGTACGATACGCACGCCGAGAGGCCGGAGCAATGTCAGAGTCTGAGCGACAGCTAGGTGCAGGGCCCAACCCCAATGCGCAGACATATAATTCAGACGTTGAAGGCGGGCCGGAGCTGCACGCGCTAATGCGCGCAGCGGACTTGATTGCTAGTGGGAGGCGCAAACAGGATGGAAACGAGTCTAACGAACAGTTACCTCTAAATCAATTAGAGAAGTTTTTCCTCTCTCAGTCGGACGTCTCCGGTTCCGAGGTGTTGGCTGATTCCGATGATTTATCGCCCGTGCCCGGGAAGTATCAGAAAACTGATACCGGGGCCATCCCCAAACCTATCGACAGTTCTCGAGAACCTCGACTTCGCTCGCGTGCTCAAGGCGGCTACCTCTGCACAGACCTTGATGTGTACTTGACGCATGAGCCTTGCATCTGTTGCTCGATGGGTCTTCTTCTTTCGCGCTTCCGGGCGGTTATATTCCCCCGACAAGGACGGATGATAACGGGAGGTCTGGCATCGGAACCTGTAATCTCACCAGTGCCAGTGTCGGACCCTGTGGACGAGGCGCATGAGACGCCCGAAATAACGCAGGATCAGGATCAGCACGAGTCAGAAGAAAATACGTCCACTGAGCATGCCAACCCCCAGCCACAACGGATGTACTATGGATTGCATTGGCGGAAAGAGCTCAACTGGCGGGCCTTGGGATTCGAATTCGTCGAGGATGGAGTCACAGAGAAGAGTGCCGAGGAAGGCCTGGCCTTTCACGCATAATACTCGGACGAGGTTAGAGAGCATCATGTACTATATAGACCTCCGGAGACCTGATCTATGGAATAGGAAGTGGGGGTGAACACCTATAACTTACTCCCTATGACAGAATCAATGATAATCGCCATGTACTATCAATTGCTCGAATTCTTGCTCGCTATTCAAACAAACGCTTAGGAATCAATAACCCAGGAACACACTACAACCCCTTAGTCCCAAGATCCAGCTCTCTCCACCCCAGATCAACGCACCCTCAAACAAGCGTCACGTAAATCTTAGCAATCCGCTGATCAACATGAGAATACGGCTTAGTGACCTTCCCATCCTCATCCACCTCCTCCTGGTCCTTGATATTCAGCTGGGCAACAATCTCGCCACGAAAGGGCGCAGGTGGATTCGACCAAACCCCAATCACCGCATCATGGAAGCATGGAATCTCAATGCCCCGAAACCCCTTACTTGCCGCATCGCGCATCAGCCAATGCGCCGTCCGCTTCATCAGCCCGTGGCCCTCGTAATCGGCCCTCGTCGAAGTCCCATTCCGCATCAACGTCCCCTCATGCGTCGTCACCTCGCCCCGAGAATCGATCTCAGTCAGCCGTTGCAGCACCTTGGGGAACAGAGGCAGCACCCCGAACAGCTGCTCCAGCCGGTCGATATCCACCGGATTGGATCCGTTGTAGCTCATTGCTACCGAGACTAGTGGGAAATCCATCTGTTCGAGGAGCTGTTCCTTCGTTGCGGTCTCATCGGTGAAGTCCCAGTGGAGCTTGCCTCCGGTTTGCTCGGAGGAGGGGAGTTTGTACTTGTATTCTTTGTCGAAGACGCCGTAGGAGAGACCCGAGGCGATCTGGTGCGCGATTAGGTATTCGCTGCCTAGGAAGCCCTGGTAGAGGCGTCTGGTATTGCCCGTGGGGTACACGTTGGGCCAGATAGGAGAGCAGAAGACATTGCTGTGGATGACGATCGCGTTGGCCCAGTCTTGGTGTTCGGGGCCGAGTTGACGGATTTCAAATCGGGGGGTGAGGCTGACGGGCGTTGACATGGTGCAGTGTTAACGTGATTAATAGAGTGGAAACAGACAGGAGGGAGGATGGATTGAGAGGGTTTTTTTTTTTTTTTTCTTTTCCCTTCTTTTCTTTGTGGGGGTCGAAAGAGGAGGCGCCAGGGTTGCATTTATTGAACCAGAGGCTTTAGTTGTACTACTAATTAATTAATCCTTGTAAGCTGCCGGTGTTGGTGTACTATCGGTGGTACGACCGTACGAGCTGACTTGGCGAGAGTTTTTGTTACGCGATTTGAGTGCCAGGTTTTTGTAGAGTTTGATCCCTGGACTGGAAGTATAGATGTGGAATTTGCTCTGTACTGCTCCACGATGATGTATATGACGGACAAGGGTTGAGTTCATTAGCTTGCCAGCCAAGATAGTTTCCTAGAATAACATAGGTAGTCCTGCGTTTCGCTTCTCCCAACTAGAAAAGGCCATAGAAATAGGGAGGAACCCTTTAATATTCACGAAAAAGTCAAGTTGTTAACCCCGGGCTTAGTGAGGAATAGACTTGGGGTTAGTGGATTTAATCCATATAAGAACAGTAGGGCCAAAGGCGTCTATATAAACACCGGGCATATACGTGACTAAAGCAAGAAGCTGCACCACCCAGGTAGAAAAATCATTAAAAATACCATTCGCCTAATATGCATCAATCTTGTCATAGCCATTGCTCGTCTCAGCCATAACAGCTCTTTCCAGAGCTAACATAGGTGTGCCCAAGGCCTTCCACCAATGTCCTGACACTGTCAAGATGGAAACATTCTCTTTTTCTCTTTTTCCCTTTTTCCCTTGTTTTTATTTTTATTTTTTTTTTTCTCTCTCTCTCTCTTTTCTTTTCATCGATTAACCATTGCCATATGTCCATGCGCGAGGAGTCCACGTCCGAGAAGCTTCATGCATTGACTCGCTCTTCTCTCCCTCTCCTTCTTGTCTCTCATTCATAACCCACAGACGTCACCCTCCGTCCTGGCATTAATTGCATTAAATATGCGTGACTATCATAAGACAAACTAAATGTAGTTATTATTCAATTGTGGCCTTGTACGACAGTATCAAAAAGTGCAGCGGGGAACTAGATCACAGATCTAGCTACGCAGCTCTCGAGCGCGGCGCGAAAGGAAGGGGATTTTGCGAATAACAGGATCATGCGGTGCGGTCTGAGCGACAGACATGTACAAGATATCCAATCGCTGGAGGAGAATATCCATGATCCTGGGCGCAACTTCCCGAATGTCCGCATCCTAAAACATGTCAGCAAGATCCGTATATTCTTATCCTGTTGTACATACCATGGGATTTACAGTCTGCAGAACAACTTCTAGCCACTTGAGGCGTTCTGCAACATTTGTTTGCAGAGATGAGGTGACCGCAACACCAACGGAAAGCGCTACAATAGGGGAGAGGCCAGTTAAGTAGGCCGGGTCTAATTTGATGAAGAGGTTGTCAAACAGGTCCGCCTGCTGGTTGGATTGAAGCCACTAGTTGCATAACGATAAGCAATCGCCCCAAATATTGTCGGAATGAATACAAACCTTGACTGAGCCCTCTTCAAATCTGCCTTGGCTCATCAACTGAGCAATCTCCGCTAGTTCCGCGTCCTCGGCAGACTGTGCCTCGCTAGGTGTAGCAGCCATGGCGCTCGTCGGCTGTTGCGAACTTTCCCTGTCTTCTTCTTGCTGACCCACGGCACGATTGAGCCTCAAAACTTCGTTCTGGAAACTAGTCTGCGCCGCGGCCATTGAAGCCACTGTATCCGATAGACCACGAACAAGATTAGTGAGCTGATCAATCTTAGCGGCATCATTCTGACGTTGAACCTCGTATTGCTTGAGATGTGCCTGTAGTTGCTTCTCCATGTCGGACCCAGTCTTCTCTGCAATACGAGTAGAAAGGGTCTTGAAAGCTGGCGTGACAGTGCGTTGAACGGCCTTTGATATTTCGGCTTCAAGACCAGGCAAAAGCTTCTGACCCACGGCTTCCGACAGGACCTTCACCATTTCAGGTTGCTGAACAGCGCGGGAAACAGTGTCAGGTAGAGTCTGGCGCAGTTCACGAGGAAGGGCAGCCCCTATCTGTTGACCGACGATGGTATCCAATTGTTTACCAACAGCTGCTGATGTTAGGTTTGCCAAAGCAGGCAGCACTTCCGACTGGATGCTGTTCGAAACGATGCGTGCAAGATTCTTCTCGACGTTGTTAGAAAGAGTGTCAGAGACCAACCGCAGGACTTGGTCTTGTTTGGCCGCGGAAGCCGCATCCCAGCTGCGTCGCTCTTCGTCAAAGCGCTGATACAATCCTTCAAGTTCCCGGCCAAGGCTCTTGTTAAATTCAGCGGACACGCCGGTTTGCAATACCTCCACGTGTTTGTTCCAGATGTCACTCGGCTCGGTGCCACCAGCAGTAACCGGTGCAGCATTGACCGTAGTCGTTTTCGACACATCCCCATTAAGCTGTTCTCCAGTAGCCTGAGCCTGGGTCGCGGCTGCAAGGCCCTCATTTGAGCTAGTGACGGAGGGGGCGTTCGTTTCTTTTGTTTTAGCGGGCGCTTCAACAGCAGTAGTACCCTTCTTTTTCTTCTTCTTTTCAGGCTTCTCCCCGGCAGTGTGGGGAGCTGCTGACTCAACTGGCTCTTCACTTGTCTTCTTCTTTGGAGCGGGCTTACTGGGAGACTGGGTGCGTGAAGCGGCAGCACTAGCCACAGCGCTGGCTTCAGCACTCAGATCAGGGGTCTTCTTGGCAATCTCCTTAGGGGCTGTCTTGGTTGGAGTGGGCGCAGCGTCACCATTGATGGAAGGATCGTCCGTAACATACGCCGGGAAAGACTGAAGCTCAGAGATGTTAATAAAACCTTGCTCCAAGGCATTAACGGGGCGGATGATCTTGTTATCGGAACTCCAACCGAGGTCTTCCTTTTTGATGTTCAGACAGGTTACTCCACGAGAGTGCATAACGTAAAGCTCAAACAACCCGTTCTCATCCCCGGCTGTCTTGTTGATTGGGAGAAGGTCCAAACTCCGCAGCTGGCCCTTTGAAGCGAACGAGATCTCTCGAATGCCGCTCATGCATGCAGTTGATTCTGGTTTGGGAAGGCTGCCATCCTTTTCACCCGAACGTTTGATGAAGGAGGCCTGGGACATGGATTGCAAGTTGTATCTCGGTGCGGACAGATGAACAAAGTAGATAGAGTTACGCGTAGGATGTCCAACAACGATGATACCGGATCCGGGGTGATATGCGACACTACAAATAGCATCTGACTCATTCTCATGAGGGAACTTAAGCTCCTGCACAGCCTTGCCTAACCCAATATCCCAGAGCTGCAAGGTGTGATTCTGCTTAAGACCAACTAAGACGTAACGAAGAGCCATAGACTTCACATAGGGGCGCAACTTGTCAATGAAAAGCACAGATGTTGGCCACGATTTTTCAGCAGGAGAGCCGGTTACAAAGGTGTTCAATGGGACGCGGACTTCCGAGGGATTGGGTCCAGTAGCGAAGAAAGAGGGGTTGTTAACAACATCACGTATGTCCCAGAAACGCAGACGACCTGTCTTGTCTAGAGAGGCAATAACGGTGTCATCGTCACTGAACATGAAGTCCTTGCCGGCCTTGCCGGTGGAGATCTTCAAGGCACGCTCTTTGAAGAACTTCTCCGTATTAACGGTACGCTGTGTGCCGGAGACACCATAGCTGGAGTTTGCGGCAGCCTGCGGAGAGATCACGTAGATGTTTTTGCCGCGACCAATTGCAAAGAACCCTGGATGGCGAGAGCTCCGTTTGGCACGCGTTTTCAGCTGGCCACCCGAAGTATTCTCATCTGAGGCTGGGAACGGAGGGAAGATGAGGCTCTCGCTTTCCAGAGCATCCATCTCAAAAAGGTCCTTGTCTCCATTCGAGATCAGCGCCCAGTATACAGCACCACTAACGCCGATACCCAGGACCGCTTGCTCGTCGGATGTACCCGTCGTTGTCTGGGAGGTACAGACAGCGACATTGAACACACGATCGCGGGTGGAGCGAAACGCTTGTTTGTCACTTCCATCGTCCTGGCGAATTATTCTCATACCTCCATTCTTTGCGAGCGCATAGACGATGTAATCGGAGGTAGCTGAGGTCAGAGAGCGATCCAATTGGTCGAACTCCTTCTTCAGTCGAGCGATGTCCATGATTCCGTCATCCCGAAGAGTGGTAAGATTTTCAGAGTCTTGGGCCTTCACGGAGATGGAAATGAACGGCTTCAAGGGGAAATTATGTACCGGTACGATACGCTCCTCTTCCTTCTGGGCGCTATCTTCAGCACTCTCCCAGCTATCAGCTAAAGCATCACCACTGCTATTGTTGGAAGTCTCCTTCGCAACCAAAGTATCAGCAGTAGCATCCTTTACTGTCCCGTGGTTTTCATTCTCCTGGGTAGCTTCTTTGGCTTCAGCAGCGCTCTCCCGGAGATGGCTAGCGATTGACGACAGGGTCTCTTGCGTGTTTTCTTCTCGAGCCATCAGCAGCACGGGCTTGCTCTCTTCCTTGGAAGCTTTGGCGACCGCTTCATCAACGTCGCGAACGATCTGGCTGACAAGATTATCAACTACCTGGGACACAGCTTCCTTCTGCTCTTCCGCCAAACTCGGCGATCTGGCACGTGCTGCCTCCTGAGTGATCTCCTCCTTGGTGATGATTTTCTTGCTTCCCATGGCCTCTACGGCCGGGCTCTCGCTCCGAGACTTCGGCTGGGGAGTCCCCTTGCGAGGAGAAGCGGCGGCAAGTTGGTCGAAGGGGTTGACGTATGTGAACAATGCCTCCTTGCTAGAGGGAGTGGGCTTAGCCTGATGAGAGGCGAGGGCATCCAGTTTCCCGGCTATGATTTCCTCGGGGTGAGAACCCATAGCCAAAGGCTTCTCTACAGCCTGAACTGAGGCTGTCGCAGGGTTTCCCGAGACAACCTCGGCCACAGGGGACTTCTGGGGGGAGATAGAAGTCAGCGGCTGAGAGACTGGCTTCACCGGTCCCTCAAAAACTTCTTGGTCTGGCTTGGGGCGGTTCAGCAAGCGAAGTAACATCTCCTGGGTGTTCTCGGCGGTTGGAACAACAGAACTTTCACCGGCAGTGACAGCAGGTCCAGGTTGACCAAACTGCGCACTAGCAGGCTTGACAGGAGCTGCGGGTCCCTGTCGGCCGAAGAGAGTAGCAACGAAATCGGACGCGGAGATATTTCTTGCGTGGGACTTCGTAGCCTCCGGGCCGGCTTCGTGGATGTGAGACGGCTTCGGCTGTTCCAATCCAAAAGGTGACGGCTGCTGAGAAGCCGGGGATGCCGTAGACTGGTTGAACTTCAGCAGATTCAGCAGATTCGCAGCACGATCGGGATTCTGGGGCATCGGCTGGTGGTGCTGGGGAGAAAACATCTCCCCACGCGACGTTGGAGCATTAGGATGGAGAATGTCCGAGCCATGGTGAGGCGGAGTATTCACTGGAGAGGGACTGTGAATGGTAGACGAGACCGATGGGTGGCGGTAACCTTGCTGTTGCAGCTGGGGATGAGGAAAGCTCTGCCCATCATAGGGCTGCTGCTGCTGCTGGGGGCGTAATCCGGACTGGTACTGCTGAGGGTACTGCATGGGAATTTCCTGACCAGGCGTAGTCGAGGGAGAAGGACGTGGCCTGATGCTCGCCAGCAGAGCCTGGAGATCATTGGGGGTGGACATTTCTGTCACTCGCCACGGTAAAGGCGACCTCCAACCGAAATCCAAGCTCCAACGTACTTTTCACGAGCTCTCTTTCGAGAGCCAAAAGGAGAGTAAGTAGCCGAGTCTAATCCGATAAAAGAATGAGATAGAAATGACAAGAGAAAATCAACCGATGAAACGAAGCCAAATGACCGACTATTATACAGGGATTAAGGGGGTAGGGAGGAAGCTCAAGGAAGAAGAACAGAAATCATCAAAAGAGAAGAGGAAGCAAAAGGCCCGATGTGGCTCTGTGTGTGGCTAGAGGCGCGGCTGTGAATTACGCTAGGTGACGTATTGATGGTACGGTATTATTTCCGTCGGAATGGATGCTCAAAACCCTCGAGGGAAGCAGACGGACAACAGCACAGCGCGATGGACAAGAAGTACATGGCTTGATTAATGATTATTCTCTGTTTATTTTAACCCACCTCAAGGGAAAGTGTCTCATCTGTATACCGTGGCTTTTACTCCCACCTTTCCCACCTGCTGTGAACCCAGGGCCCTCTGAACTCTTCCTTGCCACTGAATCTCCGTCCCGCTCTCTTCTCTTCTCCCGAAGCGCAACTTTCTGATCGTTGGTATCTTCGACGCACGTCTCATAGCTACCAGCTAGATCTCAGCATGTTTTGTTTACGAAGGTGGGCTACCATGCAGTATCCACACCATTTCTATTTGATAGTTCAGGTACTAACAAATAGTACCCTTATATAGCTGGTTACCTCTCCTATTCATCCCGACCAATGCCTCCCCACTTTTCATTGTCTCCTTCGTCACTCTGACCTACATCCTCCATCGTCCATGTATCTACTGCTCAGCTCTCCTTCTAATCCTCTTTATCTCATCCTGTCATTGGTCAGATCGCTGTTTCTTTGACCTTCGTGGTGACTGGTTTGCGCCTCGCTACTCTCCCGATCCGAGTGCCTCTTTGGCCGCCCCCAATGAGACCCTCGCCGGCTACATCCTAGAGACTGTGAATACTACAACGAAGACCCTAGCGGGGGTAGTAGTCGACGAGGCGCAGCGCCGCCTGCTGTTGAACGGGTCGTCGGCTGCCACAGGAATGGGCGGGCTGGACCAGGAGGAATGGACCGGAGTTGGGCTGGAGTGGTTGCGCAGTTTGCTTGGACGACGAGAGTGGACAATCCCCTGTGTCGACGTCAAGGTCCGGCTATAGAGATGGTTTGACTTGGATACTCTACTTGCGGCTGATCGGATAATCTTCTTTCCATTTTCTTTTCATTCTCAACAAATCTAGAATGGTTTGCAAAAACACAGAATGTATACCCCGCGCCTTCCAAGATGAAGAGCTTGGATCGGCGAACAGTAAGTGATCCCTTCAGCAAAACATAGGGTCCTGGTTCGGATACTAGTTTGGCGATTACACTTCTCACTGCTTTCGAACTTTTTCGCCCGCGCACATATTCTCCGCACTTTTGTGCGATAGTTGACTGGCTTTGACATTTTCTTTAAAGGCATTGTATATAAATAAACCCTACTATATCCATCTGCTACATAGCTTTAAATAGACCCCCGAACCATATTCCACCTTGAGAAGCACGTGCTAAATGACCGCGTCAAGTTGATGAGGCGGACATGATGCAGTTTAGTCTCGAACGGATCACAGCGCAAGAGAGACACATGTAGGATGATTTGAAGGCTAAGGATTAATTATGTAGCGTAAGGCATACAGTAATTACAAGCAAATAGGTATCTAACGATAGAGGGAATACACCAACAGTGACCAGATGCTGCTGAAGATAAGCAAATCACATCCACATCATGAAAGAAGCAGTAAAATCGTAGGCAAGCATAGACCACACCGAGGCACGTCAAACAAATCATGAAGCATAAAAAATATAGAACAAAGTATCAGCATGGTATCGAAACAGGTCTCTCTGTGAGACTCCGTTAAAATGCATCAAAAGCAGGAGTTCAGGAGTTGAGTACAGGCATCGAGCATTCGGAGGTAAGGATCGTGAGCTGGTTTGAATACTATAGTCGGTCAAGGATCGTCATGGAGCAATATGGGGCGAAGGAACACTAGAGCTCGGTGTGAAGTAGTGAACGAACAAGTAGCCTGAGGCGAATCGTCTAGTCGTATCCGCTGGTTGGCCCCGTTGGCATGGGCCAATCGTCTTCGGTGATACTGCTCCAAAAGATCCAAATCATAACTACTGATAGGAGGGTGAACAGAGTCTCGAACAATGCACCGTTGATCTTCCCGCTCGTGGCCTGACAGATGTGGGTGCTGATGACATATTCGAAAATCTGACCGATAGCAAAGAGCAAGCCAGCGCCGGATAAGTAAACTTTTTACGACGTCAGAGAATGGTTGCCTAACATTGCAGAAGGGTTAAAGGGGTAAACATACGCATAGGGCGGGACTCGCCCAGTACCCGAATCACCAACACGGCTTCCAAAACGAAGAATACCACGAGACAAACAAGTGGGAAAAGTTGGTACAGCACATATAGAGCAATGTTTCGGTACTCGGTTGACGGGTCAGGCTTGAACTCGCCGGTCCAGTTGAATCCCGTATCCAAAGCAATATAGCCAGTGCCAATGAAGAAAACTAAGGCGGACGCTGAGATGAGACCGAGCGACGCAGGTGTGCCATCATCGAGAAATTGATAGCCCACCAAGGCGTTCAATAATAGCACCCAGCATGTAGCGGTGATCGCGGCAATGTGCACTGCAGAAAATCCCTGCATATGACCGTTAGAATTCCGAAGTGGTGGTTAAGGATCTGGCAAAGAAATTCAAACATACTTTCCGGACCGCTGCGTCGAGAGGGAAAGCACCAACGCTGAAGATTTCACATATTTCGATAACTATGAAACCGAGCAAGAGCAGTTGTATCTCTCTATGACATTTCTCAAATCAGTTGCTGCTCGCTGTATTTGTTTCGTCACTATGTATACCTTCTCCCGACTGCTGCCTGTTTCCGCTCAGATCTCCATAGTAGCAAAAGCGACGTTAGGATGGCAATGAAGGCAAGCAAAATAGAGCCTACAAAGTATTAGTATGCGATAGCATGAGTCATCTTGCACGGGCTATCTCATTATCTCATACCCAGATTTCCCAGATTTCGATTACCGCTAAGCGTAATGCCTGTGAGCGGGCAACCACCGAAGGCTTCATTAGGGGGTTGGTTCTTGTCAACGAAAAGCTGGACAGAGAATCGATAAGTTAATGAAACTCCTTCCAATTAAGTCGGCGTAACGTTCGAAAGTAAGGGAAAATTCGCTCCACATACATTGCAGACTGGTAACGTAGAATCTCGACAGAAGTCCTAAAAATGGGTGGAGAATCGGCGGTCAGCATGCTTCCGGAGCCGACATTTGGCGTTTGTCGCGAACTCACGTGGAACTTCCCGAATTGCGTCGAGCCCATGGTTTAGAAAGCGTTCAAAAGAGAGATCATGCGAGATGTGTAGTAGCAAGAGAAAGTGGGCGCGGTGTGGTGCTGGTGGCGTGGTAGTGTTGGGGCTTAAATTGGTCGATTTCCTCGGACCCGCTGAGGACCGTTACGATCGGTCCGGCGCAGATCTGAGGCGCAGGATAAGCGGTATGGTTGCTGATGATTATTGGTATAGATTCTATTCGGACGGCACGCCTTTTTCTCTTGAATGAGGGGAAAGGGAATCCACGAATTGATAGGAAAATGGCCCGGAATATTGACACGTCAAGTTGTATGTCAGTCGACTCCTGCAGCGTGACGAGACTGGTGGAGAGATAGACAAATTAGGAAGTAAAAGACGGCGAAGCCTCACAAATTAACAAGATATTGGAGCAACTCAGAGAACTGGCGACGTATGTACTGTGTGTGGGACCGATGTGTATTGTATGTATGTACAAAGAGAGAGCTGTCAGGTTTTGAACAGGCCGAAAGGAAAATGTAGAAGAGTGTTGAAGAGAGGGAGAAAAAAGGCGATGGCGGTGTTGGGTCTGGAGGCCGAAAGAGGGGGGAGGAGAAAATAAAAAAAAAAAAGAAGAAGAAAGGAAGGAAAATGGAAAAGGAAACTTGGAAACGAAAACAACCTACCTTAATGGATGTGCTGGAGCGAGAAGAGGAAGGTGGTAATTCTTAACCAACAATTTTCATAGGCGCAAAATGGCACTAAAGAATGATGGTTCGTCTCAATTAAGGACTAGACCCAAGGCCCCCAGTGGATGGAATAGTGGGCAAAAAGCAATGGCCAGCCAACTAATTTCATCCTAGTATATTCTTTGCCGATTTTTTTTTAATTGACCCTGCAGCTAAGATGCAACTCAGAAACACAAGCGGAAGATAGTTGGCTGGGCCTCCTGTCAGTCAGGGATACCACGCGAGGCTGGTGAGGCTGGTTAACCCATTAATCATCAGTTGACGTTGATATAATTTGATTCAGTCTGTTCACGTCGGATTCACAGTTGTGGATGAGGTATTTCGATCTTGACTTGTCCCCTTTCTACCCTTACATAGAGATCGGATGTGGTTCAGACTTCACCACCCATGGACCATGGTTAATAGTTGGTGTCCCTGAGCTCGGGTAAGGTTGCCGTGGAGAGGTCCGTTTCCCCAGTTTCTATTTCTGGGACATTGGCTGCCTGAGCCTTGAGGAACGAAACCATGGGTTTCTCTGCCAATAAGAACTTCGCCACGCATTATTAACGTTGGTGTACAGTACTTCACAGTAGGTCAGATATGTACTACTACCTAGGCAACTAGCCATTTATGAAGAGTACATGATGTCATCAGATATTTTTTGAACAAAAACAGTGAGCTCTATTAACATATCAAAATTCGGGAAATCGAACACAATATGGTAACACTGGAACAGCTCTGTGAAACAATTGCATGAAAGGGAACTTGTCACAGCCTCACAAGACGCCACACGCCACTGTGACATCTCAGCCAAGGGGTATCTCATAATCCCGCCTTCTGTCCTCCCGGCTCTTATCCCCCCTTTTTGTTTCTTTCTTTCTTGCGTGCGAATTAAATGACGGAGATACACAGAGACGACGTATATTCATTTACTTCATTTGTTTTCCTCCCAAGGATGGACTGCTACTAGTTGACCTAGTATCGACTAGTACTCAGTATCCCTAGTATTCGAATATACTCGGGACGGCCCAGTCATGCATGCATCATTAAATTTTAACCTTATTACCGAGTGGGAGCAAGAATAGTGAATAATTTCTGGTTCCCTTGTTAAAAACATAGCTTTTATCTGTCCACCTCAGATGCCGATATAATCCGGCATAGGTAAGGAGGGAATCTCAATTGTAAACTCAGTACGGAGTAGACACGAATGGTTCATGTTCTGCAATATCTTCCTAGGCACATATTGCCCCGAGACATCAGATTATTCTATGTTGATTATGTATGGACCTACCCGCGAGACCAGCCCAGCCACGCACACAATGGAGTCAAACCACAACCACGCTGCTGTAAGACATCATGCATGTTTTCCAAGAAAATATGTCAGATTGTACTGCACAACAGTGTACATCGTGGGTATGCTGTCTTGGACCTATCCAGCCACTTGACTGCTGTTTTACTTTCTTGGAGCTAGGTTGTCGGCCGTCCCTTGCTTTGCTTCTACCCGCATACATTTGTTTAAATCAAGAATTTCCTTGCGGAGGCGCTGCTTGTGTGAGGATACTTTCAACTATTCTATAAGCCTGAAACGAGTACGAATCGAGGGTCAAATATTGAGTCCTTCAGTGGTACCACTACCTACCCCTGGCAAGTCTACAGGCCATAAAGGCTTTTTAGCATACATCCTCGATCTCCAATTCCTTACCATCGTGCTCACCCAGATCCAGTTTCAGGGTCCGTCCAAATAGCTCGAGTAGCATCTCAAAACAAACTTTGGTGATGGCGGGGTCATATCGTCCCTTGCTGAGTTCATCACGAATAAATGCGTCTGTCGGACGATAATGTCAATCGGGCCAATCTCAAAAGTGCTGTTATCTCTCTTAATGCAAAGTGCAACGTACGCTGAGCCCAGGCCACCTCGTAAAAGCTAAACAAGACCCCCTTGTCATGAAGTGTTTTGCGAATCAGGTCTCTTCCTTCCGGTGGGACATGGTTATCGTTTTTGCCGAAGATCTAGCGCCTCCCATTAGACTACTACACAGATGGAGTTCCTTGAAAAAAAAGAGGGCCAGATTGCCGAGAACTATTCGAGAAAAATAGTTTCGCGTGGGACGGGAAAGACTTGCCATTATCAACTCTCCTTTAATATCCTCTGCTCTGGCTAAGCTATCATCATTTTTACCGGCCGCAAGGGTCTTGCTGTGGATGTCTGTTGCAAAGTAGCATACTGCCGCCCTAACTCGACTATCTAACGCACAGCGGTACGCAAGATGGCCACCAAGACACATACCCGTCGCGCCCACACGGCCATTGCATGTGGGCAGTGACAAGAGATAGTCTACACACAGTGATGCGTCCTCATCGTATGCAGCCAGTTTCTATATCCTGGTCAGCAAACTTCTCTGTCAGATCTCTCGGATTTCTGGGCTATTGAATATCATACCTTGCTTACTTTCCAGTTGTTCCCTTTATCCGTGTCCTCGGCATTGTATTCCAATGGCTCTGGGCCAGTGAATTCGTGATAGCTAGAGGGAGCAGCGCAAATATATCCTTGGCCAGCGATCTGCCTAGCAAACCGTGACACAGGTCCAGTCACTATAAATGTTAGGGCACTAGCAAGTTAGGGAGAGAAAGGCAAAAATACCTTGGTAGATCTCACTGAATACAACTACACCAGGGAATCGGGCCTTTGGATACCCAGGGATCGTGGGATGGAATACATAGATACCTTCATAGTCACAGCCATATCAGCCAGGTGACCTCTAATGGGCCCATTTGAGCCTGCAAGTTGAATTATAAAAAGATAAGTTGCAAGGAGAATGCCTCACGCATGGTTCCATTCCCATCTGCCTTGGTTGGCACATCGTGAAAAGACTCTTGAATCAACATGTTTAGCTGAGACCGTATGTCAAATCGTACGGTGACTTGCGACTACAATTTGCGATCGATTGAAATGGACTGGAGATTTCAATTCAAATGAGAATTTAGCTTTCAATTAGCTACTATCAAAGATTAGCTGCGGGGAAGATCGAATTGTCCGATAAGATCTTAGTCATGTGACTCGAAATGTAGGATGAGCTGCTTGCAATGCCTGTACGTCTCCCATCAGGCTCAAGAGGCGAAGCCTAGACAATCTAGGATGCCCGTGGTTTCAGATAACTCTGGGAGTTATCTTGAGGTGTGATGCAAAGACTGGAATAGGAGGCCATCATCCAACCTCAAGGGTCAATCTACTATGAATATACTTACTCGGGATTACTTACCAATTACCATGCCCTGGTCAATGGGGACATACTGTAAATGGCTCTATGAATACAGATGTACCTGATAGATCGATTGGACCCCGTCTCCTGCCCAGCGATTAACGCTGTCGTGTAGAACGTCTGTTTCAAAAACCAGCCCACGTTGTTGTACATCAATTTTACCCCTTCGATTAGATATTAATAAAGCAAGTTGGAAAAGCGCATGC